TAAATCATTCATCTGAAATTAGTAAAACTAACATATATTCATTTAAAATTCATATTGACTTTTTTTTACTCTTTATCATGTAACGGTTAAAAATAAAAATTTCAGTAAATTTTACCTTTATATATAAAACTTGACTCTATGTTATTTCTGCAAAAACGATGTAAATTTCTTTATTCCTTACTTTTTATTTTTTACTAAATACTTATATCCGTAAGATTTTATTCTAAAGGAAAAATGAGAATATAAACATGAAAATAGTATATATGTTTCAAATATTATGTGTCATTTCACTATTGTTGTTGAACTTAATTGGTCCATATATGGAATAATAACCTTAATCTGCAAATTTAAGTTATTTACAACTGGACAAATCACATATTAGGTATATATGGTAAATAATGTGTCAACGAACCTCGGATACAAATTATACAAAAAGATCATATGAATGAAATTTAAATAAACTGTGGAACTTAATAAAACAAACATAATGTAGAGTCACATAAATATATAATTGTTGTAAATGTCAAACTTCAACAAAAAAATGTATGCATTTATTGACATGTGTGGTAAAATTAAAATGTGTGGACCTTACCATCACTATGCAAGGACAATAAATTTTGCATTATAACTTCTATATAATCGATTTTTTTTACACAATTAAATAAATAAAAAAAATGAGAGAAATTTTGGAAAAATACCCTAGTTATTTTAGGTTTTGAAAACTACACTTTTATATGTTAAAAAGACAAAATTATCCTAATTTGAAGTTTCTAACTAATTTAAAACGAAATGTAATTAATAAATTTAACTATCATGAGTATCTCCTTTTTCTGAAAATGTAAATTTTCGATTTTGTTTATATTTATCCTCGAAATAAATTACACCTATTATTATAACAATGGTAAAGTAGAATGCATGATCTCTCCTAACTTCAACTTTTATATTTATTCATTTAAATGGAAGGAACAAAAATGGTGTGATGTGAGCTTCTGTTTGCGTCTTGTTTGTGTAGAACACACGATGTCGTCTAACTTGTTCAAGTCTTCATCATGTGCCTTCCCCACAATCATCCTCGTTTATAAAAAAATGTTTTAAAAATATTGTTGGATACCACCTATAGCTTGATATTTTTTCCTCTTAATCCTTGTTAGTGAGTGAATCTCATAAATCCTTATAAAATAAACAGATGAACAAATGTTGTATCGAGCGTGATGATGAATCTTGGAATTATTTATCGATTAATATTGTAGGGTTTTGCATGATATTTTATTAGGTAGCTTAAATTGAATTAATTTACCGATGTAAGGATGTAGCCACTACAGAATACATGTCTGATCTCATCTCCATCTTATGTGCATGTGAAATGTGTCGCTACAGTCATCACCACTCCGACTAGTGACAAAGCATTTGAAACACTAAGGAGTTGGGGATTGAATGTCCCTCCTTCATGTGTGCTATGCTCCACCGGAATCGAAAATCATCACCATCTCTTTTTTGAATGTGACTTCTCTACCAGTTTGTGGTTGCACTTTTCTTCTCGGGTTCGAACTGGTCCGCCTCTGGACATTCACTCGGCTGCAGCATGGATCATGCAACCTCACATCAGTCAATCACCTCATTCTCAACCTCTTCTAAAGCTATTCTTCCAAGCAGCTATCTATCTTATCTGGCGCGAGAGGAATTCAAGAATCTTCACGTCCTCACTGGCCATTCCAGTAGAAGTCATCTGAGCATCTTTGGATCGCTTGATCAGAGATCGGCTTCTCTCCTTCCCGGCAAGGAATCTCCGTCTGCCTTCGATCCTGGAAATCCTATTTCTCTTGTATTAGGCCTCTTTGACTCGCTCTTTATTTTCTTTTTCTTTCTTGTATTGAGTTGTTTAAGTTTCTTGTATTGTCGCTCAATAAGTTGCTAAGCAACATGTAAACTCAGAAAATGCCAAAAGGGTATAGATTTTAACATGCATACCCAAAAAAAAAGAGGGTATTTTTAGTGATCCTTTTGATAAAAATGGAATTTTCATAGGTGGGGACTGGAACACATCTGCGCAAAAATCCAGAAAAGGTACATGATTTAAACCGTCTCAAACAATGCATGCAACTGTCCCAGAGTTGAGGTTGTCGTCGCTATGGTTGCTATACTTACACTAATTAAATGGTTTGGACAGTTTACAAAACAAACATTAGAAACCCAAATGTAACACTAGACAAAGAAACAAATTATTGATAAAGAGTGAAAGCGAGTCTTGAAGTCCAAGAACTCTGCTAACGGAATCCAACATTTGGTTTGGTATTTGAATCTATGCAATATGTCTGAAAATAAATGTTGATGTTCTGGAGCCCCCACATGCACTCTACTGTCCAAATCAAATCTTCTAAATCCGTGTGAACAAACAAAGAAAAGGTTTCGTCACTGTCCGTATTCGCAGAAAACCAATCCAGAGAAAATGCCATCAACCCAATTCTATTAGGCAATTTCAGGGTGTTATTTCCTTTCCAAATTACTATCGGGCTTTGATACAAAAATGGGTCCTACACTAATCCTGCTGAGGGAGATTCTAAACGCAGCTCAATAACGGAGGCCCAGCTTAATCTCGTTCTTTTTGTATGGAATATGAATAATGTATTCTTGATTCTTCAAAACTCTTCTTCCATTTGGGAAATAAAATGATACTGCTTTCTAAAACACTTGATCCCTTTAATTTAAGTGAATCGAATTTGAGGAAACTCCAGAAATTTAGACCTAAAGCTCAAAACAAAACAAAATCTTTATATTAATAAGTTCACATGCATTACAATATCTTTAGACCTAAAGCTCAAAACAAAACAAAATTATCTTGTATATGGAATAATTGATAAAAAGAGTTGCTTACTCATATAAAAGATTTGTGATTACTACATTTCTACCGAAAAATAATATTTGGCACGATGTTGAAAATCTTATTTCGTTTCTTATACTATGTGTGACGGAGGAAAAATAGTTATTAGAATACAGTATTTATCTGTTTAAAGAGAACAGTATTAAGAAGTATGATATAAGTACATAATCAAATCCAAAACAAAGGAAAAAGAGGTTGATGAATAGAAGGTCAAACATCATAATTCAATCATGAGGTCAACCGCGTCCTCAGAAGCAACAATCCCATTCATACTTGAAATGAGCTGCCCAACTGCTTATTACTATAATCTATATGCCATTGCATTTGCATTTTACGAATGTTCCTTTTTAGAAATAAAATTACTTGATAAGATGTTGTCCTTACGATCTCTTTTTTAATTACACAATTGTGTTTGACGTTGAGAGGTACTTGACAATGATCAAAGCAAATGAAAGGATGACGTTTTTGGTTTTTCTACTCATGAAGAAAAAAACGGTTTTCACACTTAGAAAGTCATCATTATTAATGTCCATTAACAAAAAAAGTAAGCTCTCGTATAGTTGTTTCCATCAAGCCAACCATAATCAAAGTTCAATCAAGTACATTGTTATTATTTTCCCAACGAACCTAAGCTACATATTAAGATCGGCCTGTGTGGCTCAATGATTTTGACTATAATGATAGTTATAAATAAAGATATAAGTATTAGATCTATATATCACTATATACGTGTTGATGCACGATGTGTGCATACACCGACCTGTTTGGATTTCTGGTTACCTTGGCTTGGATGGTTGGATCAAATCGAGTTTGGTGTATGAGTATAAAAACGAATTAATTGACAATAAATAGAACAAAACAAAAGAAACATAAAATTAATGATTGACTGTGAATAGCTTCATATAACGCGCATGTGATGCTGCAGGTGATGCAACATGGGAAAATCATATTAATGGACGAAATTTTCAAACTCTACTATTACAATTCCTCAGATTGGTCACGCAACTAATAATTAGTTCTAATTAAACTATGACTATGGTCTATGGATACATTAATTATCATCATTGAGAATCCATAGATGTGGGACAGTTAAACTTCCACATGTATATTCACTCGGGTCGTATAAAGCATATATACACATGCGCTAGTGTTTTTATATACTCCTATGTATTATGTGTATGGTAAACGAAGGTTACATGAAAAGGTCATAACCATGATGTGTGCAGTAGTAGATATACGCGCATAATGCCTAAAATGCAGTTGAAGTGGGATCACATATTTACATTTCTATAATATTGGAATCTACAGCGAACTCATCTCGATGCTAATTGGTTGAAGATTTCTCATATACAGTTCAAGATTTTCTCAATGCGATTTAATCATTGTTAGTCACTATTACGGTTTCATATATTAAATATAGTAGTTTGGTGGCTTAGGTATCGAGTTTGAGATTAATATGTTTGGATCTGATAGGGTGGAACCATATCTGCAGCCCACATGATTTTATAACTTTTTCGTAAATTTCAATTATTTTCAATATATAGTTTTATAGGGAGTTTTATATAATAAGCTGTATTTTGGCAGTATACCGTAGCTTAGAAAATAAGGAAAGGAGACGAATAACTAACAGTAACTGAAAAAACTACTAGAAAGAGTAGTAATAAACGGGTAAAACTACAGAGTAGTAATGGCCGGATAACGCATTGACGAATCTACCCTTCCGGTAATCTCGGTGAAACATCATCATATCAAATTTTTGTTTTCTCAATTGGGAAAAGAATTGAAAATTAGCAATGGAATCTTTGTATATCATAAATCCAGAAATTACGCTACATTCATATCCAAACTGAAGCAATTTCCATATAATCTTCACAAGAATTTCAACCGATTTTCAAAACCGGCGAAAAAATTAGGAAATTTGCGACAACAAATTCTTACAAAAGAAAGAAAAAAGCCCTAAATTTGCTGCTAATCTTCCCCTTTGGATTTCAATTTTCATCATCATCAAACGAATCCAGAAAAAAAAAAATTATACACCTATGTACATGAACAAAGACGAAATAACTCTGTATCTGAAAAAAAACGAACAGATCTATCTCTAACTACCAAGATTCCTTCTTCGTCAAAGAGTCTCGCCGCCGATTAGATCCTGGAGATCACTCGGCACTGCTAATCCAAGACGAAGCGACTCCATGATTCGCTCGAAGACCAGCACGTGGCAGGGGATTTGCAGAACTCCTTTCTGCTCGTATCCATACTCCTGAGCCGATCGGTTCAACAAACCGATGAAAACCGGATGGTTTAGTAGCTCCGCGCTCACAACGAACTTCTCCATCTCGTCTCCGACGTAGACCGGCACGTGTCCTTCGGGAACAGAGGATGTGTTCTTCTTTGCGCGGCGAGTAACCGAGGATCGGAGGAACGACTCGGAGCGGCGGGTCGGTCGCTGCGAATCGGACCGGAGGAGGCTGTAGTGTGCGGAATCGGCGACGCGGGAGAGACGGCGGATGAGTTGTTTCATCTTCGTGTTTGTGAATTGAGAGAGAAAGCGAGAGAGAGAGAGAAGCTTTGCTTTGCAGAGTGGTGAAACTGATTGATGCTTTGAGAATGAATGAGAGAAGATTTGTGGAGAAGTGTGAGAGGAAGGGTTCTGATTTTATATTGAGGCGAGGGTATTAATGGAATTTGCGTTGAAATAAAGTGGGTACGGGGAAGGAGTACTTGCCAGGTACACTACTACTTACTCTCATATTTGGACTGACTATTCTAAAAACATAAAAGGAAAAAATATCTTTCAACTAGAAAAAGGATTGGTTTAAATCTTATTTCTTGATATTTTCTTGTTTTATATAAATCAACTGTTTGGATTCCAAAATCATATTTACAACTGAATTTAAAACAAATCTCCAATTCTAAGAAAAAACGAAAAAAAAATTGTTATCATCTCGAATTACACTTATGGATAACTTTGAAGTGTTGTTCAATGATTTTTTATTATTGTTTTAGATAACTGTTAGGATTTCAATACTGGATATTTCCTTTATATAATAAATAATATAAAATTAAAATATAGTCATACTATTATGCACCTGAATAATATGGTTAAGATACCAATTAACTTAGCTTTGGTTAAACTATCAGTTATTAGAAATACTACTATTAATTAGATATGGTTTTTAGTATATCTTGAATCATATGACAAAGGAGGTTCATGAGTTACAACTCAAATTATATATCTTCCCGACGCTGTAGTTAACTGTTACAAAATTACTGGTTAAGTAGTTATCAGAAAAACAATAACATGATTATTTATTACTGGTAAAAGTGATGATAATTTACAAGAGGCCAATATTCAGTACAATTTAATCCAAGTATCTATATTGTATCTTGCTTTGGATACACACAAAACAAAGAATCTTGCTCTAGAATCTAGATGTTTCCATATACTCCACGGATCGTAAGCTAGACTATAGCTAATAACTTTCCTTTCTTATCCTATTTAATGGAGTATATATAAGGGGCAAAGGATAGATTGCGTTGTTTAAATTTTCCATATATACTAAATGAATGCTAATGATTTATCGTGGTCTAGGTCTTAAATTAAATTAATCTTTGTTACTATTTTTACGAAAAAAATGAAGTCTGTTAACAAAATCTAATATATATGCTGCAATTAAGATAAATCAAGCATGACTAAACCAAGGCTGATAACAAATTGTCGAGCTTCGAGAAAGTTACATAAAGGCTTCTAGAATTTGGACCAAGCGATTAAATATGAACCATTTGTGTGATATTATGAATTGTTTTGGAAAGTCTGATTATACATATAGCCAAATAGGTCCATACTCACCCTCAACGACTTAAAGACTTCAGTATTCATTTTGTTTCTTTCTGATCTTATTCAGACCCTCACGTAACCATCATTGAAAATTAAAACAAGGTTTAGTTACTTCTAAGTTTCTATTTTACGTTTCCAAAATCTTATTAAGCACTGACTGTATTGTCTACTATTTTTCTGATCATAACTATTAAAAAACTAACAAATTACGTCTTCAATGGTGTAAACATAAATCTATCACTTTCATAATATAAACACAAGCAATGAAGCAATTGAAGGACAAAATTGTGATCATCATGCAGAGACTACGTACAATATAGTAACGTCTTGACTGAACCAAACAATAGAGAAAACAGATAACTTGTAACACTCTAGAATTAAGAAGCATCCGATTATACAATATAATTTACTCAAACATTTTATCATGACAAACTAAGTATAGGTTAATGATGGGACTTTTAAAAACTGACGTTGCCCAAATCTTACATGCAATGCTGTTATGTGATTTTCGCATCCATCTCGTCCGATTATAAAATAGATTGGCGCGTGGAGTTTAGTTTTGTACAGCGTCATAGTAATATGCCGTGCGTGGATTATCATGAAGGACCATCACCATGTGTGTGTGTGCATATGTGTGTGTGTGTTAGAGAAAGAAAAAGTAAAGCAGAATCGTTGTAGGATCTTTCTCCATTATGTAAAGGTTAGTTGAAACTGTAAAGACAAGGATATGAGGTGACCTAACTTTCTCTGGTTATCAAAAGTGTATGTCCCCTTACTCAACTTGGGGGTTGCAACTTTAGACCCCCTTTAGTCTCCTGACTTTTTTGTAATTTATACTTTTATACAGAACTACACATATATATATATATATATATATATATATATATATATATATATATGAGTTAATCAATCGAACTAAAGTAGCTTCTCGTACTACAATTATAAATACTATAATATGCCATGGATCTTTAGTACGCTTCGTCCAATTTAGAAACTTGGAGTTCCCACTTAGTTTTAAGTTTTACCGCAGTTAGAAATTTAACTTGATGATATATATAGATTACATCCTAGTAGGTAAAATTAGGTTAGCTTGTAAAATGAACTTAAAAAGGAAACAATATATAAATCAAAGAAGCAGTTAAGTTGGATGGAGTGTCTACAAAATCATAACAAGCTCTCGAAGTGGTTTATTCTCTTACGACTCCTTGTTCAGTTTCCGTGGAACTCGTATGTTACGTAATAGTTTTCAATGAATTTCTTGAAGAGTTGAAATTGGTCAACCCGTACGTAGTTGCCATTTTCAGTATGATCACTGATTATCGTTTAGCTTGAGAGAGCCCTTTTCAGTTGTGAACGGTACAGCTGAATAACTAACACTAGTCGAAACTCAGAAAATTGAAAACAACAGCTTCAATCATGCACTACTAAATAACTAAATCCGTTGTATGTTTCTTTATTTCAATAGAAATCCCATCCATCTATAAGCTGATCGTTTTTGTGGTGGTTTAATTTGAATTATGGAACTAATCGGTTGTAATTCTGATGGTAGTTGGTCGTTAATATTTTGATTAATAGTTAAGCATTGTTTAGTATATATGAAAATTGAATTTAAAATATATATATCAAACATAAACAGGTAGACATATAAAAATAATAAAGATATGCAAAGAAACAACAAGCATCTGATGCTGAAATATATAGTATAAAATTAAGAGAAAGAAAAAGGATAATTGTGATTAAGAAATAACAAGACAGATAATCATAGGTATTAATTTATGCAAAACACACAGAGGACAGAATATTCCTCCAACGGCAAAGGTTTTTAAGAGGGCATCAGCTCCAATCATTGAGATACACGTCAACAGCTTGAAACTTCACTCTGATTAATTAGCTGTAACGCGGTACGCGTTATTGCATCATTCAATTAAACGAGTATGTCACCGCTTCTTCGATCTTTTTATTCATACGAGTATAGTTTCACCTTTGAGAAATGATTTACTCGTTTAAGGAAACACAAATCACAGAGGCTGCCAATTTTACACAAGTCGTAAAGCATTATTTTTTTTCACAAGTCGTAAAGCATTTAATAAAATCGGTAGATAGAAGAAGTAAAATAAATGTGGGAATGGGGTCACGTGAAAGGAGTTTGGGGTAATAAATGTGGATAAAGATAATTAAATGAATAAATTAGCCGTACGGTGCAGTCGTACATGATAACCTACCCACCCCCACCTCTTTACTTACGTGTCATACCGTACAAACCAACGTGACTTTTCTTCACGATTTAATTATTAGTTGAATAATAAAATCAAATTGACGAAGAAAAACAAAGCGTGGGACCTATTCTCCACTATCACAAATGCCCGTTACACGCCGTTTGCTTCTCTCTCTCTCTCTCACTCTTTAATTCTTTTTTCGATTATCTATAGTTTTTTTGTTTTTTTTACTTCTTGTATTTATATCTCGCCTCCATATAATTATTGTTTTTAGTTTTTTTTTCTTATAAAGAATTATTGTTTTTAGTTTCTTTGATGTCATGGCATCAGTGTCGGCTACGAAAGTTATCAGACATAAAACCATCGAATACTCTTTTGGGAAAAATTCGAAACCATCGTATACTCTTAGTTTAGTTTCTTTAGTCATCACGTTGGTCTTGACTCTTGAATGCTAATTTGTATTGGCAATAAGACTGGAGGGAATTTGGTTGAAAAGTTAGTAAATTTCATCAACACATCAATCGATAAAACTTCACATAGTTTCATAATTTTCATTCAAGTCTAAATAGCTGTCTTTTGTTTGTAATTGATATATAGATTTTTTTTTCTTGATCAAGAGATGTTGAGTCTTAAATCTGTAATTTTCTCAGAGTACCAGAACACGTTAAATACTCTTTTTCAACTGCGATAAATGAATTTTATATCTCAAGGTACAATTACTTTTTGAAAATCTCAAAGTACATCCGACCATTTATTTCAAGAATCTTTGAAAAATATTGTCGTTGAAAAACAATGTCTTACATGCACATTTTGTAAGAAAATCCAAGAAGTTTCTGTAAAAAGAAAAACCGAACGCATGTGTGGTGGTGCATGCATCATGACATTTACAGTCAGGCATAGAAAGTTCTAACAAATACTAATAGTCTTCTTTTAATAGTTGTAGAAAAGCAGATCGTTACTTTTATATCCAATCTCTACGCATTGAATATTAGTTGGTGAAACAATAAACGGAAAAATCTTGTTGAAGAGCAATGGCTAATAGAGTTTCACGAACTTAACTATCAAAGAAATTCAAAATGATTGACTCCAAACTTAAAGAGACAACCCCACAAGTGTCCAGCCGTACGCAGAACAGCCAGACGACACTCTCGCTCCTACTTTTCCGTGTTTGACAACATTAATATGCTTAATTCTCTTAATGAAATACAGAGAGTCACAAGTACGGAGTAGAAAAATATATACCTTATGGGATACGGCAATATTTTTTCTAATGTGGTCCATGCAGATGATTCAATTTCAAAGTGGAGGGTGCCCACAGTGGTCTTAGCTTTTAGGGTATGCTGATCTCACTCTCTTGCCTCTTGGCTCCACCTTTGTCTCTATGTTTTCTTTTTCAAACTTTTTGGTAATAGAAATGACGTTTTTATGACTCATCGCCTTCCTTTACATCCTTTCCATGACTAAGCATTGCCATATTTTTAAAATCGCTTCATTCTTTATGTAGAGATATAGTTGTGAATTGATAATGCCATGATTAGTTCGTTTTATCATTTTTAGTGAAATATTAATGGTCGGTCGTGTGCTTGTGTTTTGATTAAAGTTGGATCACTGTTTTCATTTGCTTTTCTAATCGTATCTTTTTCACTTTAGATGTTGCATTTAGCTAATCTGGTGGATTACCATTTACCAACAACATAGACCATAAACTATGTCATGAAATTAATCGCAAAAGGGCTTCGATGTAGATTATTTTCTTGGTTAGTACAAGTGATCCTGAAGGTGAAATGGCAAGGCCCCTGTTATTTTGATGGTACGTTGATAATATATTATTTTCATTAATGGCTCCTAGCATCAACGTTGTTTAGTAGAATTTAACCCACCAAAAAAAATATGTTTAGTAGAAAGTTGAGAAAGCAATATCTAGCACTAAACAAGAAGATTTTACAGCAACACTAATTAAATTGAGAAGGAAAAAGGTACCTGCCCAACAAAATTCTTGGTCTTGTGCATGTATCGAGCAGTTTTTTAAACAACACACTAAACAATGTTTTATTTTGTAATAAATGTTGCAATTCTAAATTTTTTCTTTTGAACCTGATAATGAATAACATAGTTTTCTCCTAATTCCATCTATCTTATGTGATAAGGTTCTCAACAATGATAGATCATTTGCATAGTCTCCATGACTTATACCATTGTAGGCCATTTGTAATGTTTCAAGCTCCATCTCTTGGTTGTACATAGGGCTGGAGCAATTGTTGGCAATATGAACAAGCCTTAATAATTGATTTCTTCCCTTGTAGTTATTTCCATATTCATATACATCCATGTAAAACCTTTGTTCCTATAATAGACCACCATTAAATAAGGAGTTAGAAAGCAATATATATCAATAAACAAGGAACACAACAAATTGATAAGGATAAGGGAAAAAAAAAATTAGTTTACCTTAGAGTTCATTTTCCACATATTTTCTGAAATGAATCAAGTGGTAAACTGCTTCTTCTGAAAAAAAACAGTAAACAATCTAGAGAAAAACACAAATTAATTGTTAGGAGAGTGATGTTTCCTTCTTTTAAAACCCTACACAAGAGGAAACGAAGAAGATATGTGACAAATCAAAGAGATAGCAAAATATAACCAAGTAAAACCCCAATGCTCATGAAAAAACAACAAATCCGTAGCTATCTTTCACTTTTGGAAGTAAACCATAGCTTGTAAACCCAAATACTGAACATAAAAACAAAAACCAAGAAATTAAAGAGATAGCAAAAGATAACCAAGTAAAACGCTCAATGCTCATGAAAAACAAAACAAAAGTATTGAGCGTTTTACTTGGTTATCTTTCACTTTTGGAAGTAAACCGTAGCTTTTACGCCCAAATATGTGGGAACATAAAAACAAAAACAAAAGGGAACCAAGAAATTAAAGAGATCGCAAAAGATAACCAACTAAAACCACCAATGCTCATGGAAAAAAAAAACAAAAGCTAGAGAATACCTATTTCGGCGGAGGGGCAAGAAAACGAACGAAATTCAGAGTAATTGCCACTGGGACAGTAACAAGTAGAAAGCAAACAGTAAAGATCAAAACCGCGTTTGGATGAACCACAAGTGAGAAATGCACTTGGGCTTTTTTGGTTGAGCCCGAGACTTGATGGGCCAGGCCTATGGAATTAGTCTGACGGCAAAAGTCATCCTCCTCCTTGCAAAAACAACCTTAAACCCTAGTCTCGCCGACTCTTCTCCCCTTCTTCTTCTCTGAAAACGGGAAACTGCAATAAATTAATTTGGACTCTCAATTTTCCAGAGACGACGGCTAAGGGTTTTTAGCTTCTCTTAACAATGTCGTTGTATCTTTCCTACGAATCATCTTCCGGGTTCAGCCTGCTCAAGGTAAACGGTATCGATGAGATCGGACAGAACACGGAGGCGGTTCGAAGCTCCGTCTCGGACCTCAGTCGGTTCGGGCGGGTCGTCGAGCTCATTGCTTTTCACCCTTTCGAGTCTGCACTCGATGCTCTCAACCAAATCAACGCCGTCTCTGAAGGTGACTCTCCATTAAATTCAAATTACAGTCTTTTCATACTACTTGCTTTCGTTGTTATGCTGGAAAGATCTTATTTTTATTTAATTTTGGATAGAAATTGAGCTGTTACATAATTATTCCCCTCGATTTTGCTTGAAACAGAGCTTACTCTGTTCTGTTTTGGTTCTTGCTTGAGGTTTTGATAATTAGCATTGATTGTTTTTAAGGGTATATGACTGATGAACTGAGAAGCTTTCTGGAATTGAATCTTCCGAAAGTGAAAGAAGGCAAGACTCCCAAGTTTAGCTTAGGAGTCTCTGAGCCCAAAATCGGTTCTTGCATTTTTGAAGCCACCAAGATTCCTTGCCAGAGCAACGAGTTTGTCCTTGAGCTTCTCAGAGGTGTGCGCCAGCATTTTGACAGACTCATCAAGGACCTAAAGGTGTGATTTTTTTTTTTTTAGTTTATTCACCTCTCCTAGTGTCTCCTTTACGCTATTCATGCTCAATGTATCTCTGTAATGATGTAATGTAGCCCGGTGATCTGGAGAAAGCGCAACTTGGACTAGCTCACAGCTACAGCAGAGCGAAGGTGAAGTTCAATGTGCACCGTGTGGATAACATGGTGATTCAAGCTATTTTCTTGCTGGACACGCTTGATAAGGATATCAATTCCTTTGCCATGAGAGTCAGGTTTGTTCTCTTGCTTTCCCTTTCAGATTGTGTTCTGGCATGTTACATTGGTAGATATGGTTACTGAGCAGCTTATGTAATGGTTCTGCAGGGAATGGTACTCATGGCACTTCCCGGAGCTAGTCAAGATAGTCAATGACAACTACCTTTATTCTCGAGTTTCAAAGATTATTGAAGATAAGTCAAAGCTCTCTGAAGAGCATGTTCCAATGCTTACTGAAGTCCTAGGGGATGAAGATAAGGCAAGAGAGGTTGTCGAAGCTGGAAAAGCATCTATGGGTAAGAATCTATGAGAATCATGAGCTTTTCAGTTTTTTTAATGATCCTTCTCTTGCTCTAAGATATTTCTTGTTTCCTGTATATGAAGGCCAGGATTTATCGCCGATTGATCTGATGAATGTCCAGACCTTTGCTCAGAGAGTTATGGACCTGGCGGATTACAGGAAGAAGCTCTATGATTACCTTGTTGCTAAAATGGGCGACATTGCTCCAAATCTTGCGGCCTTGATCGGAGACATGGTTGGGGCAAGGTTGATTTCACACGCGGGAAGTCTGACAAATCTTGCCAAGTGCCCATCTTCAACTCTCCAGATTCTTGGTGCTGAGAAGGCACTTTTCAGGTGCGTTTTCGAGCTTTGTTTTTTGCTGTGGAACTTTACTTTAAACTCCAGTAAACTAACTGTGGTGTAAAATCTCAGGGCGCTGAAAACACGTGGAAACACACCCAAGTACGGTCTTATATTCCATTCTTCATTCATCGGGCGTGCATCTGCTAAGAACAAGGGCCGTATTGCTCGTTACCTTGCAAACAAGTGTTCCATTGCTTCCCGAATTGATTGTTTCGCTGGTAAGAAATCTAGAATGTCTTGAATCTTGGTGAAGTGAGATTATGATGTGTTGTTAACTAAAGAACAATGTTGGTCTCTTATACAGATAGCAGCACTACAGCTTTTGGTGAGAAACTCCGGGAACAAGTGGAGGAACGACTAGACTTTTATGACAAAGGTGTTGCCCCACGTAAGAATGTTGACGTAATGAAAGAAGTCATTGACAATCTTGAAAAGAAAGGTATTTATATACACTTCCTTTCTCTCTCAGCTTTTGAGGTTAAACAGGTTGTTTGATGGGTTTTTATCTTCTCTCTTTTGTTAGACGAGGGAGAAGTAACAGCAGTGGAGGGCTCAGAGAAGAAAAAGAAGAAAGAGAAGAGAAAGACAGAGGAGAAAGATGAGGTAGAAGAAGAAGAGGAGAAGTCGAAGAAAAAGAAGAAGAAAAGCAAAGCAGCGGAAGAGGAATTGACGACAGATAATGGTAACAGCAAGAAGAAGAAGAAGAAAACTAAGTCACAAGATGACGAATAGACAAAGACAAGTTTTGTGTAATGTATTAGTTTTTTCCCACATTGCAAGGTTCTCTGATTTTGACTTTTAAAAATAACTTGAAACGTTCCGGAAATTATATCAGGTTTTCTAGTATTTAGTCTTTTAAGTAGTTTTTATTTTCCAGGTCACATGGAAGACGGTCACAAAGATTTATAGTTATGTTTTTATATGGTTCTTCTATGTCTTTTTGCTTCAAAAATGAACTGGCATAAATTATTATCCGAATCCGCTCTTTCTAAAAACCCTAGATCTCTGGCTCATGAAGCGAGACAGAGTAAGCAAAATTTGAACAAGCCTGACGTTCGCTGCAAGTCTGTTCCAGAAACATCAAGGCCTCTCCAGATGAAGAGGAAATTCTGTGAAAAGAATGCAACAGAGATGTTGGAGCTCTTTGAAATAGCCAAGAAATCTGCAGATGTGGCTAATGCGAAGGGACTTCTCTTGGCTACAAAAGAGACATCGATATGTGTGGACACTCTGGCTTTACTCATTGAGTTCCCAATCAGTTCAACAGCGAAAATCATTGTTACTATCGCTTTCTTATTCCTCAAGAAACATAGAAAATCATTGTTTATATATCATCATCATCATGATTTCATATATAACTCTGCACCTTGGAACATGATCACATTTGACAAAGAATTCAGAAAGAATAAGCTTGAAAAAGGACCAAGAATAACTGTGGAAAAAATCAATCATTTGGTGAACTAGATTCATCTTCAAAGAGAAAACAAATTTATGCGATCATAAAATAATTATTCAAGAGATTCCTTAAAAGCTATTTTACATATTAAATTTACACTTCTTGTTGAACAGCTGTGTAGTTTCATGAAGCAGCAACAAGAAGATCTTTGCCTCATCCCGGATTTTTGTTACCGTTGGAATATTTGTGCGGACACATTAACCCTTGGGAGCAAAAAACGGAAATAGCAGAATCTCTTTCTGGCGACGTCGTTTTAACGTATAACCTTTCTCCGATTCTCTACCTGATCCTAAGATTACAACAACGAACATTAAGTTACCGTTATAAATGCTTTTAAGGATAAAAGGAAATAACCAAAACAAAAAAAGGAAAGAGAACATTCCCATTACGCGTATAATCTTTTGACGCTTCACTTCTATAAATACATAACATCACCAACACACTTATCAATTCTCTCTCACTCACTCGCTCTGTTTAATTCTCTTACGGGGCGGCTCATCTGATTTTGTTTTAATTTTCTCTCTTCTTCAAAGGAAAGCGAACATGGCTCCACGAGTGAAGTCCTTGGCTGATGATCATCTGAAGAGCAAGAAGTCTGTTTTCAAACAGAGATTCCCCGGTTTCAAGAAGAAAGCGACAGAGCTCTCTGTTCTCTGCGGAAACTCCGTGCGATTCATCTGCTACGGTCCCGACGAAAAGGATCTCCATGTCTGGCCTGAGAACCCAAAAGCTATGCAACAGATCGTGGCCAGATTCAATGCGCAGAGCCATCTAAAGAGGAAGAAGAACGGCTGCGATCTCAAGCCCAAGATTGGTGAGAGTCGAAATTAGGGTTTCAGAGACTTGATAGCAAAGGCACGAGAGAAAGTAGAAGAAAAGAGAAAGATCGATCAGAGGAACACGGAGATCGCAAGACAGAGGTTAGCTTCTCGGCTAGCCCTAAATCAGGTGGTAGCAACCGTTGATTTCGACGATCATCTTAAATATCACACGGAGTTACAAGAGCTTGGGTGCGATTTCATTCGAGATCAAGTCAGTTGCTTGAACATGTTCAGTTTGTTGTCAAAAAGCGATTACTCTGTCTTGGAGAAGAAGTAATTACTATCAATTCCATGTTTCTTTTGTATTCGTATATTAGTTGTGGCGCGTAATAGAGTATGTATGTGTGTTTTTATCTGTGTCTCAAGTTTGTCTTATCAAAGTAAATATACCAAAATTTTCAGGTTTATTCTGGCTATAATATTTTGCTAAGTGTTTTTTTTTTTTTGCAGTCCACTGCTATTCGTTATCCTGATTAGGAAAGAAAACTAATTGCTTCACAAAAGCAAGCTGTTTATTTTTCATTTTTGCTCAAACTGTCTCATTTAAATTTCGTACTTTTTATCATTTCAATTTTGAGAATCGATATGCTAGAGCCTGGTAGTTTCAGAGCTCGTAGTTTCGGATTTTCCTCGGTTAAACTCAATATGAAACCCTTCAGATTGTTTAGAGGTTTTACTCGGATTACAGGAAGAAGCTCTATGATTATCTTGGTCTATGATTATCTTGTTGCTAAAATGGGCGACATTGCTCCAAATCTTGCGGCCTTGATCGGAGACATGGTTGGGGCAAGGTTGATTTCGCATGCGGGAAGTCTGACAAATCTTGCCAAGTGCCCATCTTCAACTCTCCAGATTCTTGGTGCTGAGAAGGCCCTTTTCAGGTGCATTTTCAAGCTTGGTTTTGCTTATGAAACTTTACTTTTAACTGCAGTAACTGTCTAACGGCTTAGTGTAAAATCTCAGGGCGCTGAAGACACGTGGAAACACACCCAAGTACGGTCTTATATTCCATTCTTCATTCATCGGGCGTGCATCTTCTAAGAACAAGGGCCGTATTGCTCGTTACCTTGCCAACAAGTGTTCCATTGCTTCCCGGATTGATTGTTTCGCTGGTAAGAATCTTGAACGGGCTGAATCTTGGTTAAGTGAGATATGAATATGATATGGTGTTAGCTACTAAAAAACAATGTTGGTCTCTTATACTTATACAGATAGCAGCACTACAGCTTTTGGTGAGAAACTCCGGGAACAAGTGGAGGAGCGACTCGACTTTTATGACAATGGTGTTGCCCCACGTAAGAATGTTGACGTAATGAAAGAAGTGATTGACAATCTTGAGAAGAAAGGTATTTATATACACTATATTTTCTCTCTCAGCTTTTGAGGTTAAACAGTTAGTTTGATGGGATTTTATTTTCTCTCTTTTTTCAGACGAGGGAGAAGTAAAAGCAGTGGAGGCCTCAGAGAAGAAAACGAAGAAAGAGAAGAGAAAGACAGAGGAGAAGGATGAGGAACAAGAAGAGGAGGAGAAGTCAAAGAAAAAGAAGAAGAAAAGCAAAGCAGCGGAAGAGGAATTGACTACAGATAATGGTAACAGCAAGAAGAAAAAGAAGAAGAAAACTGACCAATAGACATGACAAGTTTTGTGTAATGTAGTAGTTTTTTTTTTCTTCCACATGGCAGGTTCTCTGATTTTGACTTTTTAAAACAACTTGAAACTTTTATATCTCAGATTTTCTAGTCTGAGTCTGGTTTTGACTTAAAAAAAAAACAGCTTGAAACCTTTCGGAAATTATATCAGATTTTCTAGTATTGAGTCTTTTAAGTAGTTTTTATTTTCCAGGTCAGATTAAGAACTATAAATTTATTGTTGGAGTTCTTGAATTGGATCTTATCTGTGTTTAGTACGAACAAGAATTTATAGCCTGATGTTTATATGGTTCAATGTTTTTTGCTTCAAAAATGAACTCAAATTATAGCATAAATTTATCATAAGATTTTTCTGAAACTCAGAGCATAATTTGAATTTTTGAGGTAAAATAAAATTAGGCAAGATTGAAGATGGATCACAAACTTGTTTTTCTTCTTCTTTATTAATCTAAAAAAGGATAAGTGTGCAGAAACAAGAGAATTCTGCTGAATCTTAAGCAAAAAGTATAACAAAAGAGAAAAAAGCAAGAGATCATAACAGATCTAATCGCAGAGAATGAGCCTAATCATGGCGAGAACCAAACACGAAACAGAGAAGAAGAAGAGCGTCACGAAATCTCTAGCGGACCATTTCCTCACAGCCTTGGACTCAACTCTCAAACTCTTTGCCCTACGAAGAGCATCCACTTCCTTGAGCAAATCGAATTCGATCCCTTTCTTCTTCAACTCCTCAACGCATTTCCTCAACAGCTTCGCATCTTCCTTCTCCCTCTCCAACAACTTCTCCAGATGCGATTCCACTTCCGATTTGTACCGTACGGCCCAGATGATTCCAAGCGAAGACAGTAAAGCGCAGAGAGAAGGGATCCATGATCTCTTGCAGGCGTTGGAAGCAGCAGTGGCAGAGGACGACGAAGAAGAGGCGTGGAAGATGAGAAGCAGAGAGATGGAGTGGAAGAGGAAGAAGAAGACGAAGAGCTGAGTGATTTCCCGGCGAACGGAATCGATCTGAGATTCTTTGTGGGAGACGCGGCTGAGGATGAGCTCTTCTTCTTTCAGCCACTGTTTCAGGAGAAGCTTGTGTGTCGGCGTGTCAGCGATCTGGTGGAGAGGGTGTCTCGTCTTGGGCTCCATGATCGGTGGATTCGTGCTCTGATCTGACGACATTGAAGCAATGATGCAATAGGGAAAATAGAGTGAGAGAGAGAGAGAGAGAGAGAGAGAGAGAGAGAGAAGCGTTTAGAGTTGTGTGGTTCGCAGAGAGAAGACGCGGATTTGATTAATAAAGCGGCGAAATATTTGGTAACGGCTCTTTTGGGTTTCTTTTAAATTTTATGTAAAATGACATATTTGTCCTCAGCGCCTAACGGTCATTAAACTAAATACGGCTCAGCTCGGCTCGGAACAGTCACGCATTCACATGAGAGTGCTGGGAATCTTTAATTTCGAATTAAAAACATTGTAAAATTAATTGATTTCTGCGGAGGTTCTTAAGAAATGGCCCATCACCCATGGCCCAATAATATACGAGTGTGTTGATTTTTTTCTTTTTTCTTTTGTAACTACACAATAATACATCATCATTAGACATTAGTTCATTTTGAAGAGATTAGTGAGAAACACACTACACCACTCACGTTTTGTTGTGCTTAGCTTATTATTAGTCCCGTAACGCTTTCACCACGTGTCATCAATATTGACAATGCACCCAATGAAATTACTGAAACAAAATGTCTACTTACGAACGTTACAAAATCGTAACATTACTTAAGGACCTAAGACCACCGCAGGCAACATTTACCAAAAAAGTGAAGAAAAGAGTAACAAAGATGGCTTCTACTCTGCTTGCAAAACTTCTTATCCTCACCATACTTGTAACAATCTCAAGAGCCAACGAAGAGCTAATGATGCAACAATGCCACAACTCCAAAGATACCACCATATGTCTTCGCTGTCTCAGCTCAAACCCAGCTTCTCCACAAGCCGACCAAGTCGGAATCGCTCGAATCATTCTGAGATGCGTCAACTCTCACCTCATCTCCCTCGCCAACATCACTTCCGGTTTGACCACAGAGCACCACTGGACTCCCGAGGGAGCAGCAGCGTTGAAGCAGTGCGGTTTGGGCTACAAAATGGCTAAGCGTGGCCTGGGAAGGGCTGACGCTTACTTAATAGTAGGAGATTACGACAAGGCTGCGGATGACGTCCGCGCGACGGAATCTCCTCTGGTCTCGTGCCGTAACAGTCTCGTGACCGTCGTCTTCAATTTGTCCTTTTATTTCAGTTACCATACCAAGGTTTCCTTGGCGTTGACTCAATCTCTGCTCAGGATCATTGATCGCTTCTAGATAGTTTATGTTGTTTCTCCAACAGCCGTCATTGTGACTCTTATCTATATGTTACTATGTAACCAATGCCTTTAATTATGTCTAGGCCCTCTGATTTTAAATCTAAGTTTGCTTCTTATTTTTCTTGATAATGTAAAAAGGTGAGAACTGAAAACTATATTTTCAGTTTAATAATCTCTATTAAATCAACAAACTTTGTTTTATAGAATTAGAGTTTCTTAATTACAACAATAACCAAAAAAAAAACCTGATATGAAGTTTCTTACAAAACTAGTGTTGTCTTTTTCCGCTTTAACATGAAACTAACTCAGGACACAAAAGCGGCTAAATTTTTAGCCGTCGTTTTGCTCTGTTCACACCCCTCAATGATCTTAATACCATTACCAAAATTTTGTTATGTTTTTGTGATTTGAATATGTCCTTTGAAAACAAGAAATTAACTGATATTCTAATTTCTAGGAATAAAGACAAGATAACGTTTGGGCGGAAACTCGAACCCGGTTGCATGAATATGTAGAACAAAATCAGGAACATATCTTTCAACACAAGATTTAGCTACAAGTTTTATTTTTCTTTGATTTTTATTTCTGGCAGCATAAACAACAGAGAATGTAACTCTGACGAGAATACTCTTCAAAAGTGGATTAAATTTTATGTAAAAATAAATGAAAACCAAAATTTCTTGCTTTTTTTTTGTTCTTCAAGGGAACAGCTGCATATATGAGATTCACTTCACAGGCAATATGCACCAATAACAATAGCCAAACACAACTTGCACAAATTCACTTTGAGCTTTCTTTTTTCCTCTTTTCATTTCATCAAATTCTTTCATTTTTATGTCTCTCAGATTTACCATGAAAACCTCCTTTTTTTCTTCAAACAACAACAACAAAAATTTGTCAAAGTTTTAAATATGTAGAGTTTTAACTTTTAAGAGTTATTTACTGTATAGATCAGTCTTCTTTTAAAGAAAAATGAATGCTTATTTTCAAGGCAGGATAGTTAAAGGTAGGAATCTTTTTAGATAACAAACAAAGATCGAACTAAGATCTCAGTTTCACTTTATCTGAACAGAACACATGAAAGCAAGATTTCCAAGAACAACTTTTTGAGTTTGAACTTTGAACGAAAAGCCTACCAAAAACTCAGAATTTATTTATACATAATAAATTAAAGGTATCGGTACTTTGAAGGGAAACGCGACGCAGAATTCAGATATTGATAAATAACTATTCCTTGGGATTGCTGCTGAGTTTTTTGAGAGCATAATCGAATCAACAAATAGTAGGAGGAATGGATAGTAGATAATTTTGAAGTAGATCATATGCTATTCGTGTACATGTATGCATGCAATGCAATTTGTTAATAATTCATACCCAAATTCTCATGTTGATTTATTTTAAAAAATGACATTTAAGTGACATCTTATTATTATGTAAGTTTGAGATATCTGGAAGATCTTCTTTTTTTCTCATAAAATATTTCGTTGTCTACTCCATGAGGCGAGTTTGAAATTAAGAAGATCACGGAAAGAGAATCTAATATTGTGGAGTTGTACGATTTCACAGAAAACAAGATAAAAGGAAGAAAAACATGTCTCGCTTTAATCTTTGAATGCATATTCAGTCATGTCATGACCCATCCATCATCTTTCTTCGAATCTCCTATCTCATTCTGATCAACATGTTTGGAGGCGGCCCTCCATGTTTAATACCTACGCTTGATCTCCTCCTATCTCTCCTTTAACCTAGCATAGTCTCAAATCTCAATCTTTTGTTATCATCCTAAAAAAAACAACAACTCGTGGTAGTTGAATGGTTGATTAGTTTTTTTCATGGGGCTGCAAGGATATGAAGAATTCGAGTCAGCCCACTTTAAATCACAATGATTTCATGGGTTCTGGGAATTACTTCATATAAGTCTCCGTTCCTTATGGGAACATAAGGCGTATGAATGTTTGTCACGCAAAATTACTATTATTTTGTAATAAGAGTATATCGAGTGGACTGAGGAAAGAGGGGTTATATAGATTAGTCACAAATCTAAGTTTATAGAAAAAAATACAATGGATTCTGAAGAGAGTAATGGGGGCTGTTTTGTACTTGGAGTAATTAATAATTTATAAAATGTTGCAAAATATTGGAAGAACATGTGTTGAGATTCTGGGGCTAGGGGTAGGGTTTCTCTTTACGTAGTTTTCATAGCGCGTGTGTTTGTGTACGGCCATTTGCAATAACGCGAAAACATTTATTCTCAAATTTAATAATTCTCTTTTTTCTGTTTTATGAAAAAAGACGAGACAAGAACATTGGCAAGCTGAGGACAATTGGTGTGGCTTAAATTAGATATCTAAATATTCGGCTGTGCTCCATTATCAATCGTATCATCATTATTTGTTCACATGTAGCTACGGTATAACAAGTTTAAATTTTGATTAATAAAGCTGTTTGAATTTTCATGTTTATAATAGTACTTGTATTTTTACCAATCTGTCACACAACACCATGTCAAAAGCAACCTTACTATACAGTTTTTTTTTTGTAGTTTAATATGTTGATGAATTTATATAGGTGTTATTAAACAAGTAACGGATATATGAAAGGGAGATAAACTAAGCTTGAGCAAAATGCCAATCCGAAAGAAAGATAATTCGATGAATATAGAAAGAAAAGTGAAAAACAAACGAAAATAGAAACAGTTAAAACATAAAGAAAGGAAATGAGCTGGTAATAATTAAACATGTTAAGAACAGAATATGTGGTATTGCCAGCATGAAAAGAGAGTGTAAGAAGTTATTAACAGAGCAGAGTCTCACTAATTACTTAATTAACTGTAAGTCTGGTGTGCTTGGCCAGCCCAATTTTGTGTTACGGTCAGCCTGCCCGAACCAAACAACTTGCAACATATTTATCTCACACAAACTTCTCTCTACGTTTCCTATATATACACACTTGGCACACACTCTCTCATTTCCTTCCCAAACAACCTCAAACTAACAAAACAAACTTGTTGTTCTCCAATGGCATCATCTCTTCCTCAGTTCTACGGCGCCGATTTCACATTTTCCGGCGAGACTTCTTCGCAGTTTCACACCTCTTCTTCATGTCCTGACGTCTCAGCTCTATCCAACTACATCGACGATTACAGCTCCTTCAGCACCTCTTCCAATCCTGATTCCATCTTCTTACCACAATTTTATGGGATTTCTGACGTCTCTCTGCCGGAGTACAACAATTATTACCAGAATAATAATGCTACACAATACTTTCATTGTGGAGATCAAGAATACTACGGCTTTTCACCGGAGATCAAGCCCATGTTTCGTCCGTCCACCGGAGAGCAAACCTGGGTATCTATCTATGCACGTTTCCTTATTGTATATTAACAAGAGAGACGTAAAATTACAAATGGATGTGAGTATATTCATAAGAAGCTAATAAACGAAACTATTTGTATGAAGCAGGGAAATAATGAAGGAGGGATACAAGCTGAGACAAACACAAAAGTGGGACGCTATTCGGTTGAAGAACGTAAAGACAGAATCATGAGGTACTTGAAGAAGAAGAACCAGCGCAACTTCAACAAGACCATCAAGGTATGTATATATATATATATATATATATACACTCATTCTGAATTATTTAATTAAGTTAATCCTTTTTCTGTGGGATATTCATGAATTACGAAAGAGAGATTTAATATAATATATAATATAAATATGCAGTATGTGTGTCGTAAAACCCTAGCCGACCGGCGTGTTCGTGTTCGGGGACGATTTGCTAGAAACAATGACACATGTGAACAACAATCTCCCACGTCTAAGAATCATAGTAACCATTCCGAGAAGGATGAAGATGTGTTTTCGGGATCAGACGACTATCTAGTCCAGGTATATATTATCAAACTCATTGTAACTAATTTAGGACGTTTAGTGTTTAATTTATTGAACATCGAATTTACACATGGTCAACATTTAGCAGATGGAAAATGACGACGGATGGCTTCACGAAGCAATGTCTAATCTGATTTCTTTTCCTTGTGAATTGGACGCCCCTGGAGATGCTCATCATCCAAACACTTGGAGCTTCTGAGTTCTGATCCTACTACATATCTCATTTACTGCCGAATCAGTTATCTAATGTCGCTAGCTATAAAATTTGATGAAATTGTATTAGCTTAGTTTAATTAAGCATGGTAGATTTATCACATAATGTACTTACTGTTTATTCCTGGGGTTAATGAACATGAAGATTCTTCTGTCTTGTATATAAAATAAAAGAACTTTGCTTATTATCATCATATCTGTGACGTGAGAATGATGATATCAGTCTTTTAATTAAGCAAGTTATTCCGCTTTCTTTATTTTTTTTTTTAAAACTTTACTTTTATCCTTTACATGGTAGATTGAATTTGAAGTTTTACTACGTACGCGGAAACCCACAATAAAAAGATGATTCGGTAAGAGAGGATTAAAAAGATTGTTGAGATTATTTATGGCAAAGAACACCTTTTACAATTACGATTCGAATCAATTAGGTGAGTCGATAAAAAACAATTAATTAACTAGTGGATTCATGGAATAAATGTTTATTAAGGAATATATGATGTAATTTTAATCATAAGACGAATGACTTAACGTAACATAGCTTGTGGCCTCTCACTTTATTTCTTTTCTATGTTTATATATGAATGGATATGAAGAATAATTCCGATTAATTGGTCGTAATGAGAAAACACAGAAACATGATAAGTTGCATGTACACAAAATTCTTCCAAGTGATAGGTGAGGAGCTAGAGAATACTGTCTATAAATTTAAGCATCAACAAATTATACATGATAGGGTGTATTAATGCAGTGTAAATATAGAGAGAGAGTGGAGAGGAGGGACATGATACGGAACCAAGTTCCAATCACTTTTTATGACATATAATTCTTGAATTGAAACAAACATAATAAGGCTTCAAAAATCTGCAAATTATATTCTCTGAATTTTTTCCCCTTTATTTTCTCCTTTGACGAATATATGTGAAGTTGAAGGCTGGAGCCCTTCTCAGTTCTCAACTGCTTTTTTTCTTTCCAGTATTTCTTCACACTTCTAAATTATAATGATGATTATATGGAATTCATGCACCTAACCACAAAACTGATATATGTGAATAATCTTTTATTTCTTCACTTGGTCCGACATACCATATACATATATTAGGCCTTTTAATTAAAAAAAAAAGACATATCATATATTACGATTATGTTCAATATGTACTGTTGAAACTTTTTCTCGCAGAATAAGCCAAAAAGCCACGAGTCCAAAATACGGTATAAGAAAAACAGTATACTCTCATGTTTTCTACTTATATTGGTATCAGGTTTTAAAGTTTTTTGCCTTTTTCTATGTTTTAGGATTTGTATTCACTCACACAATTAATATTTAAGTAATCATAGGCAAAAATAGTATTCGCTCCATTTTGCACTCTCTTATTTTTTACGTTTTATGAATTCATCCGCTTGTACCCCAAAAAAAAAACAAAAATCACCTGAATTCATAACATATCAATAGCATATAGCACAACTTCTCAAAAAAGGGATTCATACATAAATTCTTACGATTTTGGTTTTATCACATAAAATCATATATTGAATGATGTTACTGAAGTGAGTTGACTCTGCTCCTTCACTTGGGTACATTATGTGACTCAGTCTATCGCAGATGCTTAAGTCAAAACCAAGATAGAAAGATTGCATCAAGTAATGATTAGTTGTTATCTTCCCTTTTGTCAGTTTTCTTTCATATAACAAGAAAGATAATCAGTATTTTACCCACATTTTCAATAATTTCGGTGAATTCCCACTATCTCAAACTTTTTTTGTCTTCTATATATTACTGGTCAACTTGAACAGAAAAAGGCAATAAGAGTTGATTCGTTTTTTTTCTTCTAAAAATTAAGAGATACGATCGAGTATTATCTTTAGAATACAACTTATACAACGTGTTCAGCTTTGGTTAAGCACTTAACTAGGCTGATATAGTACTGCAATTCAGTGCTTGAAATACCGCTAGTTGATTAAATTATATGAAATGTAATTTGTGTATAGTAAATATTTTTGAGGAATTTCGCCTTCACATGTTGTGATGCGTTGAAAATGAGTAATACAAATATACTTTATTTGTCCACTTTACTAAAAATGTTACAAAGATTCGGTGTTGGATTTTCCAATTTTCATTAAGCCTGTGTTACCGTTAGAGCAGTGAAGGTCGCTCTCTATGCATGTTGAAAACGAAAGCTACAATCAACAACTTAGCCCTTCAATGGGAGGGAGAGCTAATATGTCTAGTTCCAAATCCTGGCCTCAATCTATAATTTATGCTTTTTTAAAAAAATACATTTCTAATATTCCCATATAGTTTTTCGGAAAATGATAGCAAATTGGGACAATTCTATTCTTATATGTTTTTTAAGACCTAATGAGATATATACAAGTCAACAATTATGTTCTTGTCGAGCATTTATAAGGATCAAACTTTATATTTTATATACTTTTTGTTATGATAAATTTTAGATTGCAGAAAAAGAAACTATAATTGAAGTTTTTCTCTGATAAGAGAAAGTGCCGCTAGTATCTATTTATGTAAGGAGATTAGTTAATTGATTTTTCAGCTTTACTACTATATGTGGAGTTTAATCAGGGGAATCATAAAACATAGGATTAAAGAGCTGATCAAAGTGGTGTTGTAGCCAATAAAGACTCTACACCGAGATAAACAGGGCCACCTGTTTTCTAATCATGCAGCAATTGAATTTAAGTGTTCGAAATAAATAAAAGTAATGCTACATATCTAAGTAATCAAAACTGCGCATAGTTCGTGGGATTTTGGAAAATAAGATAATGCAACGATGGCCACACGACAGGGTCCGACAGAATCTTTATATAAAATTATGAATTACTAGACTAGATCGGTTGACCTTTCCCACTGAGCTGGGAAAATCTGACCTTTTTCCCAGTTTATATAATTTAAAAACCACTTAAATATCCAATCATGACAACGATTATAACAAAGTTAAAGATCAGAAAGAGGAAACCAGTAATCTTCTTTTGGAGTAGGGACGTAGTTAGGCTTCTTATTGCATGCAACTGTGTAACAATAGCGATTTTGTAAACCAAAATGTGAGAGATCACTTTCATTGTCTCTTTCACAAATTTCTCTTCCAGACAAGACATCCATCTTCAACTTTTTAAAATGTTCTAATTGTATTATTTTTCCTTTTTCTTTTGACATACTTTTAAACTATTAAAATCACTTCGAAACAAGGTGATTCTGCAAAATTTAGTTCAAATTGTATAACTGTCTAGCTTTAGCATTTTTAGGTGGTAAAAAAGCTTATATACACAACTACCACAGGTTCATAAACGTTTTTTTTTGTTGTTGTTCGAGAACAGTTTATAAGAGTTTCATAGATTTGTTGAGCTTTTTTATTTTCTCAATACGAAACGTAGAAGAACCGATTTATATATATATTTTTTTTTAAAAGCAATTCACTTAAACCCTCCAAAGAAAATAGTAACTCAAATTTGTATAGGACATAGTCATCCGCCTTTAAAGGACTGGTCACAAATGTTTTTGTTTTGTCAAACTACTGCATTATATAAATCTTCAACCGATTAGGAACGTTTCAATACGAAGTTGAAAAACGACATTAACGAATTTTAGGCATCCGCCTTGGTGGGCTTTTAATATAACTCTAGTGCTTCGACGTGATTTTAGGCCCATAACAACCAAAGTCCGACGCGTTGATTTGAAAGTCAGAAGACTAAAAAATTGGCTGCGAAGATGTTCAGCTGGAGAGAGGCATGTCTCATGTACTGCTAGGCAGCTGTTAGTATTATCAATCAAGCGTGGATTTTTGTTTTTGGTTAGTGTTAAATATTCATTGTATTACTATTAAACAAAATGCCTTTTTTTTTTATAAGCTAAAGATGAAAGCATACCAGAATTTTAAAATGGCTGCAAGTGTAAGTTGCTATATACCCACTCAAACGTATATTTGTATTTTGTAACCTACTGGCTACTTAATAATTTAATTAGTTGTTGTTGTGAATGTCATTGTGTATAATGGCAAGACGCACACCGCATATGATCTCTTGAGAGAGACTAGCTCAAAAAAAGCTTTGATGCAGTGAGTTGTTTATTTTATTTTTATTTTTGGTCGGCTAATGAGTTGTTCATTTAAATATAGCAGTGAACGGTTGAAGGTTACGACTGGGACCTAGAAAATGAATTGATTACACGTTTACTTGTATTTGTTGTATTAACAGGTGTCCAGGCTTTATATAGAGCCATAGATGAGGGTACATATTTGTATAGCTAGTATTACAAATACAAACTAGTTGACAAAACATCAAATTAAATACGAGTGAGAAGACATGCTCTTGTAAACCAATTCGCTCTCTCCGATTGAAACCAATGACTAAGAACAACGATGAATCTCTTGTCTCTTTCAAACTCTCAAGAACAGAAAAGAATGAAGAGAAAAATGCAGGAAAGTAAGAACGCACGAGATTGTTAACCCAGAGTGTCGTGATCCGATATGAATCACCCTAATCTCTGGTCCCAGGATCAACCCAGCAAAATCCACTATCGAAGACGACGAGTCTCAGAAACAGAGAACTACGTCGGAGAAAAAACGCATACAAAGTGTTTGTTACAATGCCAACAGATTCATTCTCGGTTTCACCCTTTTATTCACTAAGGGTTTAAAATTAACCGAACCTTAACCAAAAATAATTAACTCACTTAATTGAAATAGAGATAACCAACAAGGGAGCTAATCTCTTAAGTCCAAACCGAGAATCTATATGTGATTGATATTAGACCACAAACTTCAACACTCCACCTTGGGCTAATATCAATGAACCTCCTCTTCAAGCTTCTCTTTCACATCTTCGATACTCTCCATGGATTTCACCTTCTGAGTCTACACCCCTGGCAAGCATTGCCACCTTCAAGCACGGGCAATATTCAGCAAGGTCAACGCAGAGTTGAACTTGCCAACAAGAACCACCTTAGTCAAGATATCAGCCGGATTCCTGCTTGTGTGAACTTTCAGAACCTCAACTTCTCCATCTTCAATCACATCTCGGATGAAGTGATACTTCACAGCTATATGCTTGGTACGCTCATGGAACACATTGTTCTTCGAAAGACATATAGCACTCTGAGAATCGCACCACACTTTCACAGCTCCATGTTTCAAACCAAAATCAGCTAGCAAACCTTTCAACCAGATTGCTTCTTTCACAGCCTCTGTCAACGAAATATACTCAGCTTCAGTTGTTGATAAAGCAGCAACACGTTGCAGACTTGATCTCCAGCTAACCACATTTCCTCCAACTGTGAACACATACCCAGAGATTGATCTTCTTCTGTCCAAGTCAGCTGAATAGTCAGAATCACAAAACCCCTGAATCTGAATATCCTTCTGCTTAGTGAACCTCAAACACAAATCAACTGAACCCTTGATGTATCTCAGCAACCATTTAACAGCTTCCCAATGTATATGCCCAGGCTTGCTCATAAATCGACTAACAAGTCCAATTCCATATGCCAAGTCTGGCCGAGAACCAACCATAGCATACATAATGCTACCAACAACAGACGCATACGGAATCACCTCAGTATCAACGCCTTCTTCATCATCTTTGACAGAAGACAACTTGAAATGACCGCCAATAGGTGTTAGGGACGACTTTGCATCACTCATCCTGAAATTTTCAATCACTTTTCTCAAGTAATTTGCCTGAGAAAGACACAAAGTTCCCTCCTCACGATCTCTGGTAATATCCATCCCAAGAATCCTACTAGCAGCTCCCAAGTCCTTCATCTCAAACGTCAAACTCAACTGCTCCTTAAGACTCTTAACATCAGACATCTCCTTTGCTGCAATCAACATATCATCAACGTATAGCAACAAGTAGATGTAGTTGTCTGCTGAAATCTCCTTCGTATACACACACTGATCACGCTCACTCCTGCTGAACGCTTGCGTCTTCATAAACTGATCAAATCTCTTATTCCACTGTTTTGGAGACTGCTTAAGCCCATAAAGAGATTTCTTGAGAAGACAAACCTTATCTTTCTGAGTTTCATCAACATAACCCTCTGGCTGATACATGTAGATGTCTTCTTCCAAACTTCCATGTAAGAAAGCAGTTTTAACATCCATTTGCTCCAATTCTATATCCAAATTCACCACCAGAGATAATAAAGTTCTGATCGAGACATGCTTCACAACAGGTGCAAACACCTCCTGATAATCAATCCCTTCTCGCTGTGAGAACCCTCTTGCTACAAGCCGTGCTTTGTGCCTCTCCAAAGCAACTCCAACAATCCCAGGTTTTATAGTGAAAATCCATTTGTTACTGATGATCTGTCGATCCTTTGGCTTATCCACCAAGACCCACGTTCTGTTTTTCCACAATGAGTCCATCTCCTCATCAGTTGCTCCATTCCACTTAACCCAGTCCTTGCTCTCTTTTGCTTCTGCAAAACTTCCCGGCTCTTCTACATTCATCATTTCAAACATAGTCAAAGCAAAAGCAATCTCTGCATTTTCACAGTCATAATCTCTCAATCTCACAGGTGGTGCCATAAACCTTTTAGGTCTATCACGAGCAAGCTGATAGTTGGACAAACTTGTTCTCGCTTGTTCAGTCGGCTCTGTTTCCTGTTCAAGCTCTTCACTGTCATCAGACAAACCCTGACTTGCTCCACCTTGATCAGAAGCATCTGTAGTTTGAGATTCCTCATTTTCCTTTGGATCCGAGTGAACTACCTCAAGCAATATCGGTGTCTTCATTGAACTTTCTGGTGAACTCTCCACCTTACCCAGAACATCCTTATAGACCAGTTCTTCATGAAACTTTACATTTCGGCTAGTGACACTTTTCCCTTCTTCAAGTAGCCACACCATATAACCTTTTGTACCCGGTGGATATCCAATGAAGACACCTTTCAAAGCTCGTGGCTTTAACTTTCCCTGATCAACGTGAACATACGCAAGAGCTCCAAACTTCCTCATGTGTTTATAACCAGGTTTCTTACCCAACCAGACTTCTTCAGGGCACTTGAAACCTATCGAAGCAGTCGGCGATCTGTTTATCACATACACCGCTGTAGCCGCTGCTTGAGCCCAGAACTTCTCCTCTAAACCCGACTCACTGAGAAGACAACGAACTTTCTCCATGATCGTTCTGTTCATACGTTCGGCAACTCCATTTTGTTGTGGAGTATAGGTGCACGTTCTGTGTCTCGCAATACCAAACCTTCTGCAAAACTCATCAAACACATTGTTGCAAAATTCCAGGCCATTATCGGTTCTCAAACACTTAACCTTTCTATCAACCTGATTCTCAACTAAGTTCTTCCAATCACAAAACTTAGCAAACGTCTCATCCTTGGTTCTTATACAGCAGATCCAAACTTTTCTAGAATGATCATCAATGATTGATAGAAAGTATTGGTTACGAGACAATGACGGTTGAACATTTGGTGAACCCCAGAGATCCGCATGAACGTAATCCAGAACATGCTTAGTGTCGTGCTTCCCAGTCTCAAAACTCACTCGCTTTGATTTTCCCATCACACAATGCTCACAGAATACTTCTTTGCCAACCTCTTTCTGCTTCAGAGTACCTTCATTAACCAGAATCTGCATATTCTTGAAGCTCATGTGACCCAAACGACTGTGCCACAATGGAACTTGAGCTTTGGATACCTCCACCTGACACGATTTTGCAGTAATTGTGTCACCATCAAGAATATACAAACCATTCTTCAGAAACCCCTGCAAAGCCAGCTTCTTATTTTTATGGAACATGATCTTTCCATCTTCTCCAGAATGAGTAAAATCAAGTTTATCCAATGTCCCAGTAGATATCAGGTTTCTTCTAAGAGATGGCACATATCTGACATTGTGCATAATCTTCACTGACCCTCCATTCGTATTCAACCTTATAGAGCCAATCCCTTGAGTTTCAACTGAGTGATAATCTCCAAGCAGAATCTTACTTGCACCAATCTCCTTGAAATCAATAAACCAGTCTTTGTGTGAGGTCATGTGATGAGTGCAGCCTGAATCAATGACCCAATTCTCCCTGGAATCATCTTCTGTAACTGTTAAGGTATCCACAGACTCAACCTGACCAATCACCACAGCAGCTTCACCATCACTATCTGCTTCCATTCTTCTCTTCCTAGCAAAACAGTCTTTCTTCACATGCCCTTCCTTTTTACAATACCAACATGTGACTTTCTTTCCAGACTTTGACTTGCTTTTACTTCTTCCTCGTGAATCACCAGAATCTCGCTTAGTCTGCCTTCCTCTGTCATTTGTGTACAACGCAGTAGCTGACCCAGAATCAATCTTAGCACTTTCAGCAACTTCTCTTTGCTTAGACCTTGCAGCTGAGATCACCTCCTCTAAAGAAATTGACTCCTTTCCATACTTCAATGTATGCTTGAGCTGATCATAAGCTGCTGGAAGCGCATTCAAGAAGACAATGGCTTGAATCTCCTCAGATACAGTAACATTCAAGCTATTCATCTCTGCCACAATCTTGAGGAAATCATCAACGTTAATGTCGATTTCCTTTGACGTATTACACTTGAATGTGTAAAATTGAGACTGCACGAAGATCCGATTCGGCAACGACTTCGGCATGTACAATCTCTCAAGCAAAGCCCACATCGATGCAGCTGTAGTGCAATGTTTGATCTTTCTCAACACAAGATCTCCAATGTTCACGATTATCATATCCTTGGCTCTCTCGTCCTTTTCCAGTTTCACAGGATCTTGAATCACCTGAGTTGTAGCCGGTTGAGCCGGAATCACATCCGCGATCTCTCCTCCAGCTCCCGGTACATTCATCGCCGGAACCGCCGGACTCAACGGAACCGTAATCTCGAAGTTATCGCTGTGAATCACATCTTTCAATCCCGCTACGCCGAAGTGCGCCATCATCCGAGTGGTCCACATCGAGAAATCGCCGGAACTATCGAAACACGCAACCTCCAATCGAGTCGTCGATACTGTCATCTTCAATCTGAGCCCAATCTGGCTCTGATACCACTTCTTGTAAACCAATTCGCTCTCTCCGATTGAAACCAATGACTAAGAACAACGATGAATCTCTCGTCTCTCTCAAACTCTCAAGAACAGAAAAGAATGAAGAGAAAAATGCAGGAAAGTAAGAACGCACGAGATTGTTAACCCAGAGTTTCGTGATCCGATATGAATCACCCTAATCTCTGGTCCCAAGATCAACCCAGCAAAATCCACTATCGAAGACGACGAGTCTCAGAAATAGAGAACTACGTCGGAGAAGAAACGCATACAAAGTGTTTGTTACAATGTCAACAAATTCATTCTCGGTTTTACCCTTTTATTCACTAAGGGTTTACAATTAACCGGACCTTAACCAAAGACAATTAACTCACTTAATTGGAATAGAGATAACCAACAAGGAAGCTAATCTCTTAAGTTCAAACCGAGAATCTATTGTATGCGATTGATATTAGACCACAAACTTCAACACATGCATCTAATGTCAGAAAACTTTTAAATCATTCATCAATTTCGAGTACTAATTGCTAAAAACAATTTTAAAATTTTTTAAAAACGTTTTGGCATTATACACACTTGTGATTATACAAATCAACTACTTGTTCTGGGGGAGTAGCAATTAGTTATAACGTGATTCCACATAATCAGATACTACTAACTACATTAAAAACATTATCTCAAGTGTTCTTCTCTTCAGACCAAAAAAGAAGAAGTAGTCTTCTCCATATTTTGTCGTCACCATTTATATATACCCACTCTGCTTCATAGGACCTCTCAACATACATTTTCGAGCAAAAACATACAGAGATAATAATGGCTGTCAATTTTGAGGATCAAACCACATTGTTCAACTTCGTGGTCAAACAAGGTAACGGCGTGAAGGGTCTGATTGACTCTGGCCTGTCTTGTGTTCCACAGCGTTTCGTCCAACCGCTCTCTGAGCGAATAGCGTCCCCAGACGCCCTCACGCGTGAAGCTTCCCAGCCAATCGATCTTTCCCAGCTAGATGGTCCAAACCACAAGGACGTGGCCAAACAAATCACTGAAGCTGCTGAGACGCTTGGCTTCTTTCAGGTACGTATATAATATAATGACGCCGACACATAGCATTCTAGGTCAACTGGTATATAGAACATTCAATCGTTTTTTTGCTATGTAATTCTACCAAAACCACAAAACCTAGACTGAGTTTATTTATCAATCTCTTTACAAATGCATGTTTAATAAGGAAATAATATAACTTGATGAATAAATGCAAATGGCAGGTAGTGAACCACGGTGTTTCGGTGGAGCTGCTTGAATTGCTTAAAACGTCGGCTCATGAGTTTTTCGCACAAGCTCCTGATAAAAAAGCGATATACCTAAAAGAAGTGAGTCCAAGCAAGCTATTTAAGTACGGAACGAGCTTCGTGCCAGAAAAGGAGAAGGCCATTGAGTGGAAGGATTATGTGAGCATGCTTTACACCAATGACAGTGAGGCTCTTCAACACTGGCCTCAACCATGCAGGTACGTATATATATGGAAAAAAAAATTATCAATGAAACTATGTAATTAGTACATCACATTTGTGCTTAGAAATAGGTGAGTGTATATATATGTTAGGAAACGAGGTATGATAGAACTTAAAGTAATACTGTATATAAAATGCATGTACAGTAATATAATTGCCTACTAATATTCGATTATAGTTTTTTTTTTACAACTTGTATTCGATAATATGATTTAACATATATGCGTGTGTGGCAGAGACGTGGCACTTGAATTCCTAAAGTCGTCGATGGAAATGGTGAAAAGGGTAGTTGAAGTTCTGATGGAGAATGTAGGAGTGAGACTAGAAGAAGAGAGAATGAATGGTTTGATGGGAACAAAGATGGTCAACATGAACTATTATCCAACCTGTCCAAGCCCCGAGCTTACCATCGGTGTTGGTCGTCACTCCGACATGGGAATGTTGACCGTTTTATTACAAGACGGCATTGGTGGTCTCTACGTTAAACTAGACAACGGTCAATGGGCTGAGATTCCTCCTATCGACGGAGCGTTGGTCATCAACGTCGGCGACACTTTGCAAGTAAGTCGTTAAAACAATGCTAGATGTTTATTTTGTTTGTGATATTCTTAAAACAATATTTAATTTTTGATAAACAGATTCTGACCAATGGGAGGTACAAAAGCGCTGAGCATAGGGTTCGCACCACAAACATCGGATCGAGAGTCTCTGTACCTATTTTCACGGCACCTAATCCCTCAGAGAAGATCGGTCCGTTGCCTGAAATTGTGGAGCGCGACGGAGTGGCTCGTTACAAGGAGTTGTTGTTTCAAGACTACATGAATAACTTCTTCGGCCAACCACACGAGGGCAAGAAATCTCTCGATTTCGCACGTGCCAATTGATGCTATTATCAGTCTTCACGTGCCAAATCAACCCCGACCGATGCGTGACGTTGTGTTCCTTTTATGTTTGTTCCATCCTAATGTTTTTGTTTTGCCTACAATTAATAAATACTGCCTTCTTCGTGCGCAATACTCCATAAAACGTGATGCAACTAAATGGAATTTTCATCGATATTAGGTTGAATGGTTGGGTTCTTTAACCAAAATTTAGAGTGCTAAGACTCTGACCTAACTAATGAATTTTACGGCAATGACTTTATTTTGGCAATTTCTGCAAGGATTTCCAATTTAGATATCGAGACTTTTTCTTCTAATTTTTTCACATGATTTTAATTTCTTATTTCCATTTTTCATCTCGTTTTCATGGCATGCTATATTTTCGATATGGCGTACCGGATGGCGGGTGCTAGTCTAGATCGAAAACAATATTTCGTTGACTATATATTAAAAAAAAATATATACCGTTTTAAAAGTTCGATATAACGTGAAACGTTTGTCTTTAATTAATGAATGTACTTCAAACATTATGACATTAGACGTTTAAGTTTTAACGTTTACGAAGTTTCAAAGCTCGTGCCGTTGCTTTCCTTCTTTAATTTTTCTTTTGAAATTTTCCTTCCTAGAGTATATAAACAACGTATTAAAATTATTCAAATTGCCTTTTTGTAGGATCATATCTTACATTGATTTTTTAACATTATTACCACACCAAAAAAAAAAAAAAAAAAAAAAAAAAAAAAAAAAAAAAAAAAACTTACATTGATATTATGATCACAATAACGTTTATTAAGTACGGACAACATCAACTGTATTTGTACGTATGTCGCTATGACTTTTCTGGTTGCAACATTTTTAAAGAATCTAGATGTTTTGTATTAATTTCTTTAATTGATCACCCCAACCTTATTTATTGTAAACATCTTATTATCAGGAACATGTTGAGTATAATGTGACTTGGTCTTTTCAAGTGAAACGAATATCGGATTAAATCAACGACCCATTATGATTATACCAGTTACCTCGCTAACTATCTATACTAGAGTGATCATCGCATTCTTACATCATCGATTCGTTGCAATAGTATGTATTTTTCTTTCTCTCTCTCTCTTGTTTGGCCTCCCGTCGCAAGTATAATTATAGTTACAAATTTCAATGTTTCTTAGCATATATGAGGATGGGCCAAACTCTTGAAGTATATGATATTTAGTATATGTTGTATATATCCTTAAACTGTATGTAAGTGTTCTGGTTTACTTTTCTACGATAATAGTTTTTCTCATTCTAAGCATCATATTCGTATAAATGATTAATCAGTTGCCAGAAAAAAATAAATGATCGATTAAATAAAGTTTATAATAGATGGAGAGGAACATGTCCAACTTGGGGTCAACCATTGATGACTCTGGTTGAATTATCATTTGACTTGACCAGCCGCTACGAATTGACTCTACAAATTGAAACAAATGAATAATTAGATCAGTCAAAAAGAAAAATGAATAATTAGGGGAAATTATATTCATTTAAATTTTGAATGTTGTCCTTCTATGATCTATCATATGTTTTGATAAACAATATTTTTTGTCAACTTTTGATAAACAATATTTTTTGTCCCTATTTTGCTACTTCTCTTTTGCTAATTTTAATTTCTTTATACAACTCCAATGAAATTAATTAATTTACCAACAGCTTTGCTAAAGATGTGGTAGAGATTTGGACAAAAAAGTCAGTACACCATTAGCTTGAATAACGTTTTTATTTAAGGAGTTTTGACAATGAGCAGTGTACTAATGGGAAACTCTTCAGTGCAGTCATATAAATTCCACTACCTTTTAGTTTTTACTTGACAACAAATTTCCACAGCTTTAAGCACGCTTCTCCGATCGAAATTTAGTGGTCTCGCGGTTTGCAAAAAAAGCCCTCATCTAAGATATGAGATTAAACTTATCCCCTTTTTTTGGTCGAAAGGCGTATTGTTTATATAATAAATTTTAACTATAATAGAATGAGCGTTTTTAAAAATAACTAACGGTTGAAAATATCTGTGTTATTGTTGAGATATATATAAGATAAACAATAGAAATCAGATATAGCAAACTTCGAAAGCAGTATTTTTTTTTTTTTTTTAAATGAGAAATAAATTTGACCAATTCAAAGAAAATATAATTTAATTTGTTTGAACCCGCCCATTCCTAGAATTTATGAATTTTCTAGTTAGAAAATACTCCAATTTGTATTAAGACGAAAATCACTCCCATTTGTTATAAGAAAATAATTGCGAACCTTTTTTTTACTAGATAATAGAACTCGAGATATGTTTACTGAGGAATCATTTCCGTAGCTGTAGTTGCAACATGAAAATATATTGAAATAAAGTGAGAATGTATATATAAGTCACCTTTTTGCGTTAAGAAGAGACTAATTAACAACTGATGCACGTCCAAAATTAAGCTGAGCTATATAATAACTAGTAAACTCTTTTGGAGAAGTGAGAAAGGAGCTGAATGGTAATATTCGGTCTTCGTTAGGTGGCCTTGTCATTGTCAATTTCGAAGAAATTACGGAATAGAAATGTAACATTCCTCTCGTGTTATTCCTCATGTTGATCTCCACAAGTTAATTTTTGGAAACGAAGCATAGAAATCTTACCTTTACGAGCACGAAGTCGGAATTATGCGTTAAAGTAATGATGGTAAATAGATGTGTTCGTCGTGGCCAATAATATAATACGCAAACAATAATGATGAGCGTAGGAGAAATTTTGATTTTTGGATTTTGGAACATTTAATCAACATGAGAAACACAAAAATCAAATCAGGGTGTGTAAAGGACAGTCCTCTCCTTGGCATTTTCCTTGTCCTCACTAATAAATGAAGGGCAAAAGTGTCATGTTGGGTCCACGTATACGGGACACTTCAGCATTGTCATTTGATGCGGAAAGACTAATTCCAAAAACTCAAGCCGGGAAAGACTTTTACTGAGTCGGATCATTGATTAAAAGGGATCAAATAAGTCAACAGAAATGACTTGACCGAATCGATCTTTTAGGGACACACACCCTTTATATAATCTCAAGAAGATTCTGATGTATATGAGTCCTAAAAGCCAATCAACAAAATAGTAGAGCAAAAGGCATGGAGGAGATGATGGGATCATGGGACAAAAGAAGGGGAGAACAAGAAGAACAAGAAGAAGAGGAGGAACAAGTGTTGAAACTTCCAGGGTTTAGGTTCCATCCCACGGACGAGGAGCTTGTAGGGTTTTATCTCTCTAAGAAAGTACTCCTCAAGAAACCTAGCAAGATCGATGAGATCATCGACCAAATAGATATCTATAAATTCGATCCATGGGATCTTCCTCGTAAGCTTTGTTCACTCACTAATTCTCTTGTTTCTTGTGATCCAAACCATGTTGATAAGTGTACCCTTATTCTTATAATTACAAAAAGAAAAAGAAAGGACCTCATGCATGTTTGTGTAGTAAAATTAGAACACATAAAATTATAAGCTGCTGATGAAAGGTGTGTTTGCTTAAATTGAAGGGTCGAGGAATACGGAGAAGGAGAGCTACTTCTTCTGCAAGAGAGGAAGAAAGTATAGAAACAGCATAAGACCGAACCGAGTGACTGGTTCCGGTTTCTGGAAAGCCACAGGTATCGACAAACCCGTCTATTCTGATAATATCCGTAGCAAAGCCGTCATCGGTCTGAAGAAGACACTCGTTTACTACCTCGGAAACGCCGGGAAAGGAAGCAAGACAGATTGGATGATGCACGAGTTTCGTCTCCCCACAGCCAATGACACCATACCTGGTGGCTCCACACACCATAACCCTACTATTCCCTCTTCCTTGCAACATGCGGTAAGTTTGTAACCTAGCTACTCAATCATGATCATATATATTATATTATAAATTTTAAAAATGCTCATCATTTAATTTGTATCATATGATATAATTTGCAGGAAGTATGGACGTTGTGCCGGATATTCAAGAGAAATGTGTCTAGTCGAAAATACACTCCGGACTGGAGAGAATTAGCAGGTGGGAAACGAGTGAAGCCGGAACAATCCAAGTATCAAGAAGCATTAATCAGTTTTGGTGACAATGAAAGTAGTAGTAGCACCAGTAATATCAACGTTACGGAATGCAAAGGGAGTTATGATCAGAGGAACGTTTTCCAGCTTCACCAAACGACTCATCATCAACAACAACAGCCCATTCCCATGGACACTACTTTACAAGTCGATACGGTTCCACATTTCTTAAACGACGATAACATTCACAATCTAACCTACGAGAACTGGGATGAGCTACGTTCGGTTGTGGATTTTGCTTTCGGCCCTTCTTCTATTTAGTTATTAGTATATAACATATATTACTTGCAAGGTGAATCGATACACTTATCATCAGTTCTGTTATATACACATATATATGCTGATCTTATTGTGTATATGAATGTAACTGGTTCTATGTATTAATGTATACTCATATTAATCCATATGTTAATAGTCTCCATTTCTCCTACATGTGATTCATTTGCATATTTTCTTCTTAGCGACAACGATTTTTTCATTAATAGTATAAAATCAAAAATAAAGAGCAAATGTAGCCCAGCCCACGTTAGCAGAAAGGATTTTAGTACCAGAAGACAAAGCCCAATGAAGTCACACTGACACACAGTTCCACCATGACAATTCAGTCTTGTTCCGATTCCCATGGTGGAATTGTCGGAGTTGAATCAATAGATTCATAACACCTCTTCATATACATTTTCCGTTTCAGAACTTGATTTTTTTTCTCCCCTTTTGATGAAATCCTCTCAATAATAGTGTATTGTATTGCTTATTCCTTGGTGTCTGAGTACATTTTTGCAGCTAGACCACAAGTATCTGTCTCACCTTGCGATATACAATAAATACACATTCATCATGGCTCGATGCAATTTGTTTGGTTTCTGTAAGCTCTTGAAACGAACCTTATGGATATTTCTGCAAGTCATATTGGACCATATTGGTATGTTTAAGTGCCCCATTTTCTCTTCTTCTTCTTCTTACGGCCCAATTACAAACTATCTTATTTCTATTTGATTTAGAGATGTGCTTGCTTATTTTATTTCTTGGGACTGGAACATGACATCGCCTCCACATAGTGGAAGGTAATAGACATGCGACACTTTGGATTTTAAGAAATCTATTCAAAAAATGCATGTTATAAAATTTGCAAGTTTTATCATTGCCTTCAAAAGTTGGAAACACTAATTCTCCTCCACTCACTAGTAACATGTTAATATTAAAATGTGAACAATATAATACGGTTGATTGGATCCTATAGATGAAATAAGTGTGTCGCAATCATCCAACTTAGGCATCTTGATTTTGTAGGGACTCGATCCTAATGGTCCATTTTTGTGGTGGATGGGGTCCAGATTTTGCTTTCTTGATTCAATTAAGTAATCGTGTTGTGTTGTTGTCTTGGCCTGCTGGACACTAAGGACACCATTCATCCATCACTTCACATCATTCATCTTCCTTACTTGCACCACTATAATCACCATCATTTATTATAACTTTGGGGAAAAAAAATAAAGAAAACTCTTATTGGAATCTGAAATAGCTTAAATCATCACAATCAATAGTGATCTTTGTTGTTTTGATTGAATAAACAAAGAAAATAATATTCCATGTGTATATAGGATAACTATGAGTTCTTGCTATCTTTTGATTTAGTGTCATCTTCGACCTCTAGTCTGTCTTTTACTATTCTTCTCCCTTTGACAAAGTAGCCGACGCACATCTGGTTTTTTCCATCACTTTCTTTTTTAGCTTTACCATATTCTCTCTATCTTGTGTGCATTTATTATTTTTCATACCATCATTGCATTGCTTTACCCTTGTTTTCAAATACATATGGTTACAAAAATGGGGTTGTAATAATTGTTTGAATTCTATGCTCCAATTCCTGTGATATAATATCGACACTGAAATTTCATACTGTGTGATACTTTCCCACTTGCCCCCACTAAAGAATTTATACGTGATATTAATAGTTAGATTTTATTTTTTTGAGTGGTTGGTTCCTAATGTGGACAATAACCAAACTATTTCCTCACCTTTTTTCATCCCTACGAAAGTACAGTCTTTACCCGCAAATGTATCATCATGTCTTGTTTCTATCAAATATATCAGTGTCATGTCTTAACCATATATTGTTTTTTTGTCTCCGATAGAAACATAAACTTCTAATTACATCTCTCATCTAAACCACATGGTGTTTTGATATTTTGTACCATTTAGTGGGTGAGAGGATGATATTTGCATAGGTACAAATTTGATTTTCCCAAAATAAAATAAAAAGGATTAGGTCAAGTGGGCAATTGTGGTATAGTTTACTCCTTTTACTTTAATCCCTTGATATCCTCTCACCTCTCTTTTCTAACTTCATCTTTTTGTTGTCCAGTCCCAAGCACAGTTAGATCTATCACCACAATTTGTATAGTTGTTATTATTTGATAGATCCAAGACCTGACGACGAGGGAATATCAAGAAATTGTTTATTTTGTGGCTTTAGCAAATTAAATTGGTACAAATGATATATCAGATAAACTCCAACACCATAAAGTAGAGAACAATATAGAGTTTAGAGAAATGGGATTTATATAAATGGGATTGAAAAGGGCATATAAAGCAAAACACCTCCCATAGTTTCTGTCTTTTACTAAACCCTTAGTTTTCTTTCACATTTTAAATCTTACAACAACTATTCATCTTTCTAAAATTATTATTGTAATTTACTAGCTCTTGGGCATATATATGTTTACATAAGATCATGTCTGATAAGTGATAACTACCAATTCCTCTGGTTAGGATTTGATTGATACTTATGTAAAATCTATATATACAATCACATACATGACAGATGCAACAATTTTCAACTGAAGTAAACAATCAACATCTTAATCACATTAGACAGATTTCTTACTGCGTCAGAGACTACGGGCGACTTTCATAGAAACCGAAAGTTGGGTTCCACTTTGGTATGAAAGGCAGAATATTTAGTAAAGAGTTGTGAGAAAGAAGAAAAGATAAAGAAAGAAGGCCATCGATATCATCGTTGGTCCATGGTTGACATGGTACACCATTTATGAATATGAGGTCTCACCCAAGTTTGTCTAAAAGCATATTTGATTTCTTTAATATATACTCTATAACTAATGAAGTAGGGACGTTGATTGTTAGGGGTTAGGCTAAAGAACAAATGAAAATCGACCCACAAATCCATCAATTTCGAAATGATGATGACATTTATTTCGTGTAGCTTTTTTAGTGCCGTCTTTGACATGGAAATTTCTTATCTTTTTCATATAGATAATAATATACTAAACCAAGTTGTGGAATATATTAAATCCTTATATAAAAAATATGAATCATATTCATTCATCAAACTACTGATTACGCTTGAAAGTAAAAGATGACTTGTATCATTGATTCATTTCCATCAAGAAAAAAGAAACTAAAACAATGAAAAATTCCAAAAAATGAATAACTTAACATCGTGACCCCACTCGGAAATCTAAATAATACTACTATTCATGTCTAGACTATTGTTTGGAGTGTGTTATGTGTCACCAGAATTATTGTATTGTATTGACTTTTGTGAAAGCTCATTTGAGTAAGAAAAAAAAATGCATTGTCCAATGTGACTCTATCAAATGATGAAGGTGACTCACACAACACATATAGAAGGTTAAGCTCCTTCATGCCGATATGTAACCCACTTTCTTAATAATCACAGTTGAGAATAATAATAAATGAACAAAAAATTGTGAAAGTCGGTTCCAAACACATAGAATAATTATTTTAAGAGAGTCAAATAATTATGTGGTCTAATATTATATATGGGTGGAATTTTTCACATATCACCATGTCACCTGGAAGCATACGTTTATTTGAACTGTATTATATACATGAAACTGAGATTAACTAATAATTAACTGATGGTTTAAATAAAAGAACGTGAAAGATGGGAGAGTTTTGTTTGATATTTAAATGGAAGTCGAGGAAAGTTCCAAGTGTGGAATCAAATTCACGTGTTGGAGAAGGGGGAAATAAAGGAGAAACGGTCCCCAGAGTGGGCCCATAAACGGCCCAAATCTAGTTTTACATTAAAATTTAAAAGAAAAATAGGAAAAGAGGAAATAAGATGTGGGCCCGGCGGTGCGATGTGGATGTTGTTTGTGTAATGTTTTAATGTTTAAAAGAGTATTTAAATGCTGTGTTTGGCTTTCCTGTCCTTTTCCTTGTGGACTCCACTTTTAAGATTTGTTCCCTAAATAAAATAGCTTCTTTTTCTACCGACAATGTCCTTTCACCATTTGTCCTCCTTCAGTTACTAATTCGTAAGTTTACTTTGGTACACACAAAATCGTGTACTATTTTAGTACTTTATTATTAATAATTATTTTTGTTTCTGAAAAGAAAAAGAGAAAACAACTGGTGCGTAGTTGCGTACTGCGTAGGTGTCGCATACACAGCCCAACCAGAACTTAATGTGATCTTTTGGCATCTCTAGAATGCGTTAAATTACTCATTATTGTACTTCGTTTAGCGTTGTAGATATGTTCAAAGTAATCGAAACTTTTAAGATTTTAAATGTTTAAAAGAAGAGATCGAGGAGTAATTGTTTGACGTGACTTGATGACCACAATTGCAACGTCCGTATCTTATTAATAATTGTGTTAATAGCACAAAATTACAAAAATAGCGTGAAGAGACGGCAATAATAATGTGAATGTTGATGATTCAGCCGGGACCATTCCACATATATAAGTTTCAGACTTCAGAGTCGTGCTCGAATTATTTGTACTATATATACGACATAATCAATGATAAAGTGCTATTCTAGCGGTGAATTTTATACGATCTCTTTACACCGATATAAATGTTTCAGCATTTGTTTTTATATATCAAGAACTCTGCATGCATTCAAAAAGATATAAAAAGACAAATCATACAAAAACTATTTAAAAAAGTGGCGTGAAAGAAGACGTGAGCCAACTACATTTCACATGCTCCAAAAAACCAAAATCGGTCCCTGGTTTGGTTCCTCGAAGTCTCACGCTCTACTTTTTATATCTATACATCTACTAATTACCTTAGCTTAGTATTAAATTGCCACAATATCATTATCTAGTCAAGCTTCCTTCAAATTCAGAATCCCTTTTAATAACCGTGGGAACTTAATGATGCCGTGGTTGATTGCATATCTGCATGATACAATATATAAACACGGGGCATTGAACGATTAACAATAAATATTGACATAGCAATATTCTTATACATAACCAAAGAAGAGTATATATATTTAAATACGAAGAGGATCATGTAGTGATTGTGTTGGGTAATGGGTGGAATGGAGGCAGTCAAATACTTAAATATTGAAATTTGAAAATTAAAATTTTTGAGTTTCTTTGATACGAAAGGGACAACACATGCGTGGTCTTCACGCGCTTTTATTCTCTAATTCCATTCTTACTCCTTAAGCCAATCTATCAGTTCATGGCTTCTAATACGTGTATCTATGACTATGTTTAAATCCAAACCTATCAATTCTCAGTTTTTTCACAAAACTACGAAACTATATATATCTCAATTATATACATTTTTTTCTCCTTGTCTCGAGTATTTCGAATTTCTTGGGTCCAGAGAGAAAATATGCTTTTATTTCGAATCTATACATGAAATAATACCACAACACTAATAATAAAACTCTTACTAAATAACTCGGTAACAAAGCGTAAAAACGCCGGAAGAAGAGGAACAGACAAAACTGAAATACGAGATTTTGGTGGACTCGATCTTTGCCTTTTACGAGTTAACAATTCTCATTTTCTTTTTTCCCTCTCGATAAATAGAATAAGGGTAATTTTGGAAACTCCCATAATAGAACCCACTCTTTTGCCCAGCGACATTTGCGCGCGCCCTCCACGTCAGCCATTACCATTTACCGCCACCGTTACTTTCCCACGCGCCATTCCTAACGGCTAGTCAAACATTGGTCTCTCTACTCTAATTTACGCTTAAAATCTGCTTCTGGCTAACTTGCACTGACCCACTCCTCAAGTCTTTTAGCATCGCTTCTCTCGGATATAGAGGAAAAGTGTAATTTGCTTTTGGTTTAAATGGTCTGTCACGCATAACCCACGATTTCGACCACTTACTCTTTTTATCTTTCTTTTGTATCGAATATAAAATTTATAGAAAACACAAAAACATAACAAGAATTCAACAAAAAGTATCTGTTAGTGAAAACCCATCTCGTGAAAAAGTGACGTTGATATATGGAGAAAGACTAGTAGTTGAACCACAAAACTTTCCCCTTCTTTTGGTGCAATTTTCATTCAAAGATGGGAAGTGACATTGGAAGTGGGTATAAACCTAACCCACGATTTCTAGCAACAGAGGACCCTCGTGAACCCCTTTGAAATTAAAAGATCTGACACATAATGTCAAAGATTCGTGTTCCATCATCATCATCATCATTATCATCATCAAAACAAACAAAACAAAAAGTAAATAAAGAATGAACAGTTTTAACCAAAAGGTTGATAGTAGATACTATTTCAAACTATTTACTATTTTAAGGACATTTACAATTACTGGTACTGGTTAGTCTAAGAGGAAAGATTAACATGTAGACTAGCGTTCTTTGAAGATTTACAGATGGGACAAGTGTTCAGTGAAGATCCGCACACAGTGCATAGACACATGTGTCTGCACGGTAACAGTAACACACTCGCTTCTCCTTTTCCACAGTTTCTACACATCGTTTCCCTACGCATCCTTTTCTTATCCTGCGCCTCTCCCGCTAACCTCCACCGCTCTCCTTCCTCGCTGTCACACTCGTCGTTGCTCCCGCAACATGACTGCGCGTCGTCAGCCACCGTCGGCTCCTCCCACCGGTTACGTTCCACGGCGGCGAGGACTTGTTGCAAGTTGGAACGGAGGGCGTTTACGGTGGCTTCATTAGACTGTGCCACGTCACGCCAAATCTGATTCTCTACGGAAAGAGACTTAACCTTCTCTTCTAGAAAGAGGTTTAGTTTTCCGATGTGATTAATCTCTTCGTCTTTGGCTCGTAGTGTCTTCATCAAACCTTGTTCGATGGCTTCCATTATCCTCCTCCCTTGCGTTTTTCTCTTCTCTTCAATCTCCATTCTCATTCTCTCAACCTGATGATATCCAAGAAACCGTCAATAAATGTGAAACCGGAAAAGAAATAAATATGTTTTAAATATATCCGATGAAAAGAAACTTACGTGATTAGAGATCAGGTGATCGATGTCGTAGTGATGTTGTTGGACGTTATAAGACAAGTCTTGGCCGAGGAACATGAGAGGATCGGTGGAAATTTTCTGGTTTTGCATATAAGACGGAGGAGTAACAACGCCGGACTCTTCTCTAGAACGTTTTCTAAGAGACGAAGATGACATGGGACGAAGAAACTCGACGTTGTTGGCATTATTCTCGCTGTTAAATGTGACGGAACTGTCAACGGATTGGATCGTCGGTTTAACAGACTGATGAGCCAAACAATCAACCGGTGAGACGTTGTAGATGGGATTCAACAAAGAAGCTTGGCATTCCACGGTGGGGTTAAACGGTGGCGGAGCGGTGGCGTATCGGTACTGAGTGTTGTAGAGTAAGCCGTTTGCTTCAACGGGATGCATCATTTCTCTGAAAAAAAAAAGAATTAACTCGCGACGTTAAAGATTGTTGAAAATTCAGAGGAAAAGAAAAAAAAGATTGAAGAAGGTTAAGAAAAAAGTACCTGTTAGAAGAAAAGAGAGGATTTAGATGGTGAGCTTCAACAGCCATATGTGTGTTATTGACTAGTGAAACTGGTTTCAAAGGTATTTAATGGGGGAGATTCAGAGAACCTCTAGAAACGTGAATGCAACGAAAGGTGGTGGAGGAGGAAGAAGTAATGGGAGGTTTTTAATTACGGTTTCGCTGCAGAGAGGGGAAAAAACTAAAAAACAAATATCAAAGCAGAACCCAACACACCTTTGTCTGCCAATTTATAGAGAACAGAGAGGAAGATGTGATGTTTTTTATTTAGTTCTTTTTTTTATATTACAGTTTTGTTTTTTTCTATGTTTTTTTAAAAATAATTTAAATAAAGAAAACATTAAGCATGAGGATTCTTCGGTTATCTGGCTGACCAGTGACCATTAAAGAAATTGCCTTTTCAGCGTTTCTTCATGAGAAAGAACTTTGACAATGACAGATGTAAAATCTTTGGCTCAGAATCACGGTCAAATTCATCATTTCTATATCTGCCTCTTTTTACCTCCTTTGGGTTATTTTTTACTTTCAAATTTAAATTTACTAACTCCTCTCTTTTTTCTTCGTCTTTAATTCTACTGGTCAAAACTGACTATTCATAAAGGCAGATAACAAAAATGTTTGGTGGTGTAACTGTGTAAGTAACCGTGGAAGATTCATTATATTATATTGAATGTATACAAACGTAACTGCGAATGTGTGTATATGATAAAGTCCAAAAATTATGATGTTACAAAAGAGGTGGCTCATGTGACAAAGAGTTGTGCGTCTTGTGACTATCTTAAAATTATTAATTGTCGTATCTTTTTCTAACCAAAATTAACACGTAAAACAAAATCAAAATCTGAAATTTTTATTATAAAATATGCCGGTATTCAAGTCTCTGAATCCCTGATTTATCTGTTTCAACAACTCCGAATTAATTACTTTGCATGCATGAACTTGAGACTTATTTAGGCTCAGAGATTTTCTGAAATCAATTAAAATTATTTTACTCAGTTGAACAAAAAATAGAAAAATAAAATAAAATGAGGAGAGTGCCTTATCCGTTGGGACAGACGAGGACAGGCCCGTAAGATTCCAACGGGGGGAATCCGTAAATGAGGCAGAGGACTAGATATAACAGACGGTCACTGACACTGCCACGTGTCTAACAAGACAAAATCCAAAGGCGTGGGACCTATGGTCCACGTGTGATGGAGTTGCCGGGATACGAGGGTCGCATGGGCACGTGTGAAGTGCCAGCTTGGCATTATTTTAATTGTATAAGAAAAGGAAATCGACATTTTTAAGTTTAATTCAAACAGAAAACTTGAAAGTAACCAAAAGAAAAAAAATGAAAAAAAATATGGCAGCCGTTGAGAAAGGTACGGTGTACCCACCGCTGCATCTTTACCTCTTTCCAAAGATTGTTATAAAAATAATAACTTAATTATGTTTTGTCTGTTACTTTCATGGTTCTCGTTGCCACGTCTGTTGACCTAACATCGCACCACGTGTCCCACAAACCTCTCTTCCTTATTACGACTAGTGTCATAATACTGTCATTGCCACATTAATAGAAAACTAATTAGTCTCTTGTTTAGTTTGGCGTATACTCTCACAAACGCCCTAATAAACAATTGATTGCTGACTTTGTGTTTTATTTTTTTTTGTTTTAAACTTATTTTGTCAACATTTTCTTCATACGCTTGTTTTATGAATGTTTTCTCTATCTTTGTTCTGATGGAAGGAAATGGTTGCGTTGTCCAACAGTTCGTCTAGGTGGAGAATTAAATGGGTGTTGGGTTCTCTAATACTTTCTGTGTTCCATAATCAAAATCTGTATACAGTATATGTTATAAAAAGGTACTCTGTTACATTTGTACTAAAAATATAATTAGTCTCAGTTTACCTGTCTCAACTCTTTAACATAATTTATCAGTGAAAATGAATGTAGTTGATTTATACGTAAACGTGATATTTTAATAAGAAGAATATACGTAATATAGACATTATAATAGTAATGCTTGCACCGCATGTCAGAGTTTTCTTATGTGTCAACCAACATATTTGCTTTTTCATATGATTCAATTGCTTAGCTCAAAATACGTTTTTTAATTCAGTAGTTAGCCTTTTTGTCTTCTTATTAGCATTATGTGTATAGTTTGCTATCGCGCGCGACTGACTATTTAAGAATTTAAGATTTTATCTGCCAAAAAGAATCTAGCATACCCAATTCAGATAAATTATCGCGTTTGAAAATCTATGATCAAATAGGTAATGTGGAATAGATGAACACAAGATGTATGCATAGTTTCGCTCGTATAATTTTAATGCATAGTGTTGTTTTTTCATTTGTACGAACTTACGGCTATTCTCTTTGTTAGTGCGGGTGTACATGTTTCTTTCTTTTTTTGGCGATCGAATATAATCAATGAAGAATAAGCTTATGTCGAATTATACGAGTTTGTGATTAAATTATTTTTAGTTGCACACTAACTCTTTTTATATACTTAAAAGCCACCGGCAAATAAATTAAGTTATCTTGGGAATGCTAGAGCATGAAGAGAGGCATAGAATCACGAGGTTAGCATAGCAAACGCATTAAGATGGGCATGCCTTTTGCATCATCTCTGCTTTTCAGAACATTATCTTTTACCATTATATTACCATTTAGTCGTATCAGGCATTTTCTTATTATTTGGGTCGATCTGACATCGTACAAATTTTATTTTATTTTCTCCCTGACAACTCAATATCAGGAAAACAAAGAAGATACAGGTTGCCTAATAGCAAAAGTTGAGGGCTCATAACTTATTAAAGAGTCATATGTAATTAGTCGAGACATATTCTCATGGGTTTTAAAATATAAAACTTGCATACGCATCGGAAAATAAAAGGATCATTTGAATGAGTCTCAACTCTCACGTCTAAACTAATTTAGTTTTAAACTTGTTTTAATGGTATCCACATGCTCATCATTTCAAGGTCGGTATAGATTTAAGGTTCAAGTTTCTTTCTGAAATAATTCATTACTGATATCTATATAGGTTATTAGGTTTAAGGCTTTTTCTATAGAAATTTAAATGAAATGTATCATAGGCTTTCTTGAGTAATCATAACTTTATCTTATTTTGTCTATAGGTGTACAAATGTACTTACGTGAATATTTCAACGTATGATTCAATTTCCTTGCCTTGCCAGTTGCCAGGAGGTGTGCAACGAGGAAATCATGAACGAAATATCGGATGGTAGTAAAGTTAATTTGGGTTTGTATAAAAATAAACGTAGACACAAGAATATAAATGTAGGTCAGTGGTTTTGGCGTGCCTGCTTTTGATGGCAAAGGCATGACTCCATTGAGTTGATAAAAGTAGTCTCTTTTAATTTTATTCTTTCCTTTTCTTTGTTTTGAACTTTAAAAGTCGTTGATCTATTATTTCGCACACATCATCTCAACCGCTCACCACAATGAGAATCTCAATGTCACACAAACACATAATCGCACCTCTAATTTTGTATATATAACCAACTTTATTATTCCTTTCTCGAGGGAATCTCGTTTTCATCATCCCTTTATGCATAATATATCTTGTAGTGTTCGTTAGCTCCTCTACCATATATTCTAGATGGACGTCATATCATTTAGCAAAAAAAAAGATGGACGTCGTATATGCCATTACCATACATAGAGGGATATTAATATGTTGTGTACTTGTACGTATAAGAAAAGGTAAAGAATATGGACATATATGTATGGCATGTATAGATATTGATAAACACAAAATACGTGAAAGCAATGCATCAGAAAAGTTGGTTGAGCAAGGAATTGGATACGGCTCGAGATGGCATCACATGTATTGGAAAAAGTGGAGCAGTGTGTCATTATAATACATAACCTCAATAATGTGTATCCACTTTCTTACTACCTCCATCGACACACAAAATTCAAATGTGTTTTCTATTCTTGCAATAGGAAAATGGATTCATTTCACGATTGTAGATATCATTATACATCTTTTTAAAAAAATGAAACTTCGGTGGATATGATTCATCGTAGATATTCTGCAAATTGAAGTATATCTGTTGTTTAGGAAGAAAAGCCAATTCAAACATGTGCTAACAACCAATGTAATTTGACAAACAACCACTTGATATATTGATAATCATTTTTGTCAAGGATATATTATAAGAAGTAAAAGCAAAGGTGGTATAAAAATAAAACAAAATTATGCAAGATATAGGATGATGAACCGAGCCCATTATCAACATCTTACTTCTATCGGAAACACACTAGGACCTTAATTTCCACTTACTGTCTCTTTTTTTTGTTCCTTTTCTAAGAAAATATTCCACTTCTTCACACACCCCTTTACAAGTTACGATTGTTGTTTTCATTTTCGTTTTTTTCTAAAGTCTTCTCTCCATAATTTTCAATTATAAATTCCACATTTGTTATTTTTGACCGTTGCACTTGATTTTATGCACCCATGTGGACCCACCTAATCTATCTGATAAAGTGATAATTGAGTAGAGCAGCAAAAACTCAATACGAAGTTTCAAGTCTTTACACGTTACGTGGATCCAAGGCAATTTGTAGATCGAGACGAGGCCGTAATTATCGAGGACGCATATAATGTTGTATAAAATAAAAGAAAGACCTCTATTATCAATTTATCACTCATCCTTTCACCTAATCCGTGATGACCCATCCCCACGTTAACGTTCCATTTCAGAATCAGATGCCCACAACTAATCTCACTTTCCATGTTAGATATGAATCATGATATTATATCCCCTGTCGATGGCTCTCCAATTTGACTAAACCCTCGTATTTTATTAATTAACTAACGTGTTAATTAGCTGCCAAGATTGATTATCATATATACGGCTGAATGATTTATAAAAAAATAAAATCATTGGGCGAAGATAAGGAATAACCTCCTCACCCTCCCACCCACTACACATATGAACAGAAATAAATTTAAATTTTTTGATATAGAAAGTGTGAGACCAAGAGAAGACGTGAATTCTCTGTCAACTTTAAGAGAGTGCATGAAAATGTGTAGAGAGAATAAAGGGGTCGGCAAGAAAAAAACGAATGGATCTCTTCCCTTCCAATTCCATTGCACCACATTTCTCCGTTGATTTTATGTCAAATATCTTTGAAAAATTATGCGTTTCGTATGAGTAGATGTGATACAAATTTGTCAGAAATGTAATGAACAAAGAAATAAATGGTACCCCAAAAAGAAAAAGAAGAAAAAAACATTGAGATATTAATAAGGAAAATGTTGACAGGAAGGAAGGTAGATGATATGCGTTTGTATTATCTGGAATGTCCCTCTCTTGCTCTATAATTACATTAACTTGTCCAATACATCACACTTCCCCAACCAAACTTGTTTGCTCAATATTTATATACAAGTAAATATACATTGATATTATGCACAGGCAGAGACATGTGTGTGTCTGTCTAGTCTCTAGTAGCTACCTTTTTTTTTTTTTTTTTCATTAATAATATCGATTGATTCCGTGGGATATGACCTATGTGAGACTGTGACATTTGAGGTTTTTGGCCCTCTTCGTTATGTACGCATCATAGAATGCGACATTTTTTTTTTTTTTATATGTATGTGTGATTAATGATCTATTCCAATTTGGGAACTCTAGTAAGTATGCTTTTAGTGGTCCACCCCCATTTTTCAAGTCTTATCTTTTCGATAATTTCATTATTCAATTCTCAACAAGCTCGCCTGGAATCCAACCAATCAAGTTAGCTTCATCCTTTAATATTTTATTTTCTTCTACAAATAAAAAAGAAGATTGGTTTCACTTTCACACAATGAAAGAGATTAAGAGAACATTCGGCTGGAGAAATATAAGTTTTGGGACTTGCATGCATATCCTTCTTGAAAACAGGCTCATTCTAAAAAGGCCCAATTTGAAATTAAGGCCCAGTTTTGTTTCACTGAATAAGCCCATGTCACGGTGTGTGTGTAATTGATATCTTATCCGCTTCTCAACGGCGAAGAGTTTTCGAAAGAAACTGTCTGCTTACCAGCGATTGATGGCATCTTCCACCGGTCTCTCCGTCGCCGGAGCTCTGCTTGCTGGAGATTTTCGATTACCAGCTCTGTCGTCTCAAGTACCTAGAAAGAGTTCTTCTTCATTGTCTTGTCTCAACAGCAAAGTTCTCTCGCCACCATATAATTGCTGTTGGCGACTATCCAAAGTCAAAATTTTGACACCTCTCAGTGACTCGCGGATATGCGCTGTGGGAAATGAAGCTGAAGATGGCTTCCTCTCGGTACAATCAAACTCTCTTAATTCTGTTTGCTATATCAAGTAATTTGGTGCGAGTTACCTTACTTTGTGCTGCTAATTTGAAATCAAATTTAGGTTTCTTATGATTTCTTTCACGGTCACTTGGAAGATAGTTTCCAGTTTTTGTTTGATTGCCAAGAAATTCGGTGAAAAATTGGAACTTTCATGGCTGGAGTTTCAAAGTTTGAATTTTTCACATCCTTAGAATTGCTACAAATGCCGAGCTCCTTTCATTACTCATTGATTTCTGACTTGAGTTGGTTATGGAATATGAAAGTAACACTACCTTGTGCAGAATATAAGTGAAGATAGTGATGAGATGTTCGACGACTTGTTCAACAAATACGGCAAGGTTGTTTACAAGAGCGACGATCAAAAGTCTCCAACCGCCGAAGTAGATGATGACGCAGAAAGTTTAGCATGTAAGCGAAAAACCTTTATTCAAATATGTTTCCACTTAAACTTGGCTTTTTACAAGCAATGGAGATTAGGAGTATTGATATCTTTATTGTTGCAGTTGCGGTTGAAATGGCCAAAGTTGCGAGTGAGGTGAAAGCTGGAGACATTAAGGTCCTCTTTGTGAAGCCTCTCGTCTACTGGACTCGCTTTTTCATCATAGCCACTGCGTTTTCCCGCCCTCAGATCGATGCAATCGGGTAGAGATCTCTGTTGTTAGACTTGCTCACTCATTTCTCTATCCAACTTGCAAAAACATCACAAACTGACTTTTTTTTTATCATGAACTGTCAATGCAGATCCAGGATGAGAGACCTGGCTGAAAAGAAGTTTGGGAAAGTTGCTAATGGAGATGTAAAGCCTAATGCATGGACATTGTTGGATTTCGGTGAGTTTCTTCTGTCGTTGTTGTCCTGCCTCTGGTCGATATGTCTTGCAAGGATAGGAAATATGACAGTTTATGTTGATTGTATGGTTTCAGGCGATGTGGTGATCCATATTTTCTTGCCTCCGCAGAGAACGTTCTATAACTTGGAAGATTTTTACGGAAACGCGATGTCAATTCCCCTTCCCTTTGAAGATCAGTCACCACCACGACGCTGATGCTGATACCGTCTGCTCTAAGAAAAGAAAATGCAAGCAGTGATTTTCTTCACAGGCTCCATGGTGCATGAGTCATGACCAAGAAGGCCTTCATTTTGTTTGTCCAGCGCATTGCTCTGATGCTTTGCATAGCTCTCGATGGGTTTTATTGGCAAAGATGGTCCAACAACACTCTGGAGATGTCGGACATGTTTCTAATTTCTTTGTAGAATAGAGTTAGAACTTAGACATGTCCTCTGCTTTAAGGCTGGTTCTTCCTACTGTTATGTAATTCAGTAAAGTGCCTTTCACAGAAACAAGATTTCTTGTATTTTAGCCAATGAGAATAGATTCATTCGAAAAGAACTCAATCTTATTTACCAAAACAGCTGGACGATCCTAAATGAAGATGGTTATTTGTGCATAGATTAATAATATCCCAGAACATGCTATATACTGATATATATCATACAAAGAGACAATGTACAAAGAGTCAAACAATAAGAAAGCCATTCACACAGCTTTAAATCATCGTCTCTGGTGTTCCATAGCCCAATACACAGCATGTGCAACCACTGACATGAACAATCAAGGCAAAGGAGAGACCAAAACTGGAACTCTCATCTTCTCATCTCCTGCAATCAAAGCAATAAGCTGCTAACCTTGGAAATTTAAGTTCAAGCAAAAGGAAAAGAAGTTAATAGGTAAAAGAGTGGTTACAGTTAATCACGTGTTGGTTTCCCTGAGCAGTTTCAGAGAGACTAAGCTCCATGTCATGTGTTTCAGACCATCCTGGCTCATACGTCTCAAGAAACCCGATCTTAGCTTTGTTTGGGAGGTCGTGAGGATGAACAAATGGAACTCCGTGTGGCCACCCAATCTCTCTTCTCATATTCTCGCAAGGGCTGTTCATCACATTGTGGTTGTTCTCACACTCCTTGAGGTTGCAGAACCTGAGCTTGATTCCTTTCTTATCCGCAATCTCCTGAACTCGTTCCTTGAGAACTCTCTGCGCTTCTAACCTCAGCCGCTTCGATGGTGGTAACGGTTTCAATCTCGAATCGCTCTTCCTCCTCTTCTTCAGCTGTTTCATAGATCCTGTAGCGTCCATCAAAGGAATCAAAACATCTCACTAAGGAGTAACTTAACCAAAGATGGAAACTAAGTGTCAAGACTGAAAAGAGTAAACTAGTGTACCATCATGGGATTGAGGGACGGTGAAGCTTTGCAAAGTCTGTCTATTAAAGAGCTCATCATTAGAGTGAGATCTCTGCATGAAGTCATCAACTGAAACCGGGAGCTGAAACTGAGCTTCAACACCATGACCTGCTGCTCTCATCTCCGAGCTACTCAGATTAGTCATTGACTTAGGCATGAGTTTGAAAGCCAAGGAGAATCTCCCTTCTATACTTCCTTGCATACTGTTCAAATCGGTTCTGTGCACAGCAGGACTCACGTAACCAGCTGTAGCCTGGTAAAGAGCTAGCCCCGGATACACAACAGCCTCTTGAGGACCAAGATCCACATCCACCAAAACCCATTGTCCATGCATGTCCCTGATATGCAGCCCTGCTTTATCAGATTTCACAAACGAGATCAGACTCTTGTCAAGATGGTGATCATGGTCTGCATACATCATAAGCTGCTCTTCTTCAGTCAAGGTATGATGCTGTGCTCCATGAAACGACGGCCTCGCGTAACAGCAAACAGATAACACAGAGGAAGATATCTCATTGTTCCTCAAAGGGACATTATCAAGAATCTCAGTAAACGGACAGCTTCTCAGATTCAAATAGAAACCAATTGCATCAAGAACTACACGAGCGGCTTTGCCTAGCAAAGCAAATATATCAGGCAAACCAGAAGGAGGAAACTCCATAGAGTTCGTTGGCTCTGTGAGGGTTAAGCCAGGTCTATACTCGTAGCTCTCTTGCCAAGACTGAGGATCTGAATAGTAGCCAGAGGTCTTGCACCATTCTCTTGAATCATTTGTGTGGATCATGTTGTTTGCGGCTGGATATGAGTCCCTCTGGTGGAAATAGAGCCTAGCGGAATCGAGACCGGATCTAAGGAGGGCTCCATCGCTGGAAGGAAACTGGATGATGGCAGCAGAGTACTGTGCCAGAGATTGCGATAATGTAGTCACGGCTAACTTGTAAGAATCAGAAGGTAGACCTTCGTTGGGAGCTAAATCACAGACCTTGACACGACCTAATGTATGCATCCCATTTCCTGCCATCAAACTATACACCTAAAGCAACCAGCAGATTGGCACAAGCTTAAAGGTCAAACATTGTTGAAGATTTCTCAATCCCTTGTTTTTGATAAAAAAACTCAAAATGGAGAAGAACCCATCTGATGCTTTTTAAGGTAAGATTCGTCGAATAGAGAAACTGATCATCTCTATGGGAGCGATGTAGCTTCAATGAGATGCAGTGAAGAAGGAAATGTGGAATCAAATCACTATTTGCTACCCAGAGACCAAAAAGATGAAAACTTTCGAAGGTAAGAGAGGAACCCTAGAGGCGAATTCGAAGAAAAGCCATGAAAACGAATCTACAAGGTATGAAAGAGGAATCAGAATTGACCGTCGCTAAAGAGACCAGGGGAGAGTGACTCCTTTAGGACAAGTAAGCTTTCACCAGATTTGAGCGCAGGGGAACGACAAAAGTAAGACCAAAAGATCAAAGCTTCAACCAATCTCTCTGGTGGAATTTGATTTGTCTAGTTCCCAAGAGAAAAAAAAATCAAAGCTTTTTATGAATATGCGACTCTGTTCTTCAATTTCAAAAAGTACTTAGATCTGTTTTTCAACTTGAAAAGGTTCGATTTTTTCTTTTACCATAACTTGTCAATTTTGGGACTTTAATGAGTGATGGAAAATGGCATTGGACAAAAAGAAGAAAAGAGAATGGTAACCAAATTCAATTCCGACATAAGATTACAGAGTATTGACAACAAATCCAATACAACCATTTTCAAGATCACCAAAGTTCGTTAGCTTTTTTTCCTTTTTCTTATCTATTCGGCTGGTCTCATTCTATCCTTGGTTACTTCAAAGCGTCTGCGTTTGGCTTCATCGTCTCCTAAACGCAGCCCAACACCTAAATCCCCATCGCAGCCACCATTTGTGAGCCCTGTAACAAGATCCTCCCTAGCTCTCTCAGGCCAAGCCGACGCCGAACTTCGTCCAGTGAAGGTCGGCATGAACTGGTGTTCCACACTTGGAGCACCTCCTTCTGTTTCTATCCTCTCTTCAAGATCGATGTGTTGGACCTGGAGAGGTCCTAACGATGCCTCTACCTTCTCTTCCGGGCTTCTCTTCTCTTTCTTGAGATTCACACACGGAGGTGATGATGAGTCTGCAACCATTGAGCTCATCCCCGTTGTCGAAGCCGCTCGTTGTTCTTGCACTGCCGCTGAAACAAGTAACAACAACAACAACAAACAGATCTTATTACTTCTATATGCTAAAAGAAGTGAAAGAAAACGGAAGAAAGAGTTCTTTACCTTTTAACCCTTCATCGGTGGTGATGAGATCAAGCTGGAGATGTGTAAGAAGCCTTCCAAGATCAACTCCAGTGGTCCAGCTCTCCGGAGACTCACCAACTTTCAGTTTCAGCCTCCCACGGCTTCCAGTGCCTCCCCATATGATCCCAATAGGTCTCGCCTTCTCTTCTCCTTTCATCACTATAAGGCTTCCACTATCTCCTTCAAGATCAAACGGGCTGCGATGGTTCTCCCCAACAACAAGGAAGTCAGTGAGGAAGCAGACTCCTCTCTCGTCATTGTACTCCAACGCGTAAGCCAGCACCGTTCCTGTAGTCAAGCCAGAGCTTCTCCCGACTTTCACCACCTGTTTCCCTACTAAACTGCCAACTGGTGACTGCAGCTCTATGGCTTTGACCTCTCCAATCTCTCCTACTCCACCTTTTACAGACGTGGTAACACGTGACAGGTCATAGTCGTCTGCAAACGGGATAAACGCACCGTCTGCTCTCACAAACGTCTCTGCAAAACAAGTTACAAGTTATTTCCAGAGGTTGCTGCAAGCTTCATTGATGCTAAAACTCAAGAACATCTCATGTTTCTAAACCTGGATTGGTGCCAGCGAATATGCCAAACCAAAGATCATCCGTGATGAAGGAAGTGGCTCTCTCGACCGCTCCAAGGTAAACCCCAGGGCCTAGAGCAGGAGGGAGAGGATGAAACATCTTCTGGCTCGGGTAGTCTAAGTTAACAGCAACATGGCGGTTAGTCACAAACCCAACTTGCCTTCCTCCGGTTTGACTCCTCACTATTGCCCCTAAAGTCCCACAAGTCTCCTGACTTGCCACCTGATTGAAATCAACAAAAAGTTATCGACTTTGCCATCATTTCCATAAGAGTGAGTGAGTCTACCTGAGAGCCTGATCCAATGAAGGGATCAGATCCTTGGAGATGATCAACAATGTCAGTGGTGAATGTTTGTTTAGGAGTGGGGTGATGATCAGGTTCTCCAAAATACGAAAACTCCACCACATCCACATCACACCATATCCCTCCAGCTCCCTGATTCAATCAATCCCCAAATCACACAACTCACCAATCACAGCTTCCATTTCCAACGCAATTATCAAACTTTGGAATTGAACATACCTCAAGAGCAGTAGGAAGGCACTGAAGAGGGCTTAGCCATTGCTTATGAACTTTCCGAGACACAAACACAATGATCGCCGGGATATCCGTGAGAACCCCTCTTCGAATCCGGAACCCAATGGCGGTTCCAAGACTGTAGCAACGTAAGATCTTGCTGTGGAAGGCTCTGATGGTCATGAGTTCTAGTAAAGTGGTGGCTCGTTGCCCTTTAGGCTCTGTGGAGACTGGTTCAGGAGAAACCTCGTCCTCCTCCTCTTCTTCCTCCTTCTGCAAGTTTGAGAAATAGTTGGCTCTTTCCTCCGCCGCGTTGCTCAGCCTGCTTGAAGTCGGCCAGGAGAAGTAAGACGCCGCCGTGAAGTCGCAGTGTTGCCCGGCGGACCCTAACGGATGCATTGTTGCTCCCTCAGTAATCACAAAAATCACGCCTTTCTTCGTGCTGATGGACAATCACATCTACACAAGTAATTAGAGAAAGTAAGGAGGAGTAATTGGGAAAATCCCAATCTGGGCACTTCCATCGGAAGCATTTGGAGATGATGATCAACGAAAAAACGATTTTTTTTTTTTTAATTTGAAGGCTATTGATGCAAAACAACACGCAAACTGAGCAGACGAAAAAAAAGTATCTTCAGAGGATTACCTGGATATGTATAAAACCCAAATTACTCGATGCTCAAAAGTCAAAACTTTGGTTTCCGTGAATTTGATGGAAGTTGTGATTTTTCTGCAACTGTGGAAATCGTAGTTGAAGCAGGTAAACGAGCCATAAGTCCACTCGAAAGCCAGTTTGTTGAAACTTGTTAAGTTCAATCGCTCGAGGAAGAGTAAAGTTACGACCTTTATCTTTCTTTTTTAGCTTAGAAAAATCAAATTTCTGTTCGATGAAAAGCTTTAAAAAGTTGGAACAAAGCGCTTTTGTTCGTATTTAATTATCGGTTAGTGGATTGATGTCAGAAACCTTATACTCCATATTTTCTGATTATGATTTAGATTTTGTTGATTGCCAACTTTAGTCTTTGATTGAAAATGAATATTCCTGGTTTTGGGCTTAGGCCCATAAATCATAATTCATTTGCCTTGTAGAAGAACTTTGTTGTTCTGATGGAAATAAAAGAAAAGCTTACTGATCTCACAGACTCACACAACAACATAAATAAAAGCTTAGTGTTCAATTAGTTATCCTGATCATGTCTTATTCAGAAGAAATTATCCAAAAATAGTATTAAGTAGACAATAAAAGTATATGTATAGAAAAGGAGTGAAATTAAATAAATCGGTTGGGATTAGTGGCGGGAATAAAGCACTTTGGTAGGATGTCTTGTTAACCATCAGCACTCACTCACCTATCATTAAAGCCATATATTTCATGGAAAAAAAAACTAAAGATTTAAAGTTTAAACGTTGCTTAAACAAAAAAGAACATGTGAAACCAAATTAAGGAGAGAGATAGAGATGAGCAAAGTCATCTAGAGACTCCAATATGTGACTCTGGTCTCCGTTTTCAAGCATCCACAACAAGTGGTCGAACAAAACGACTTCACACTTCACCGTAATCACACAGCTTCCATCATCATTATCGTCGTCTTCGTATCTCTGTTGCTTCTCTACGAGAGCGTTGAGCAGAGGGTGCTTCAGGCGTTGCTTACTGATCAAGTAAGGTTTCTTGGTACGTCCAACAAGCACTGTCTGGTACAAAGACGGTGTAGAGCTTTGGTCGACGTCATGGAGATGGTCTTCTGGATCTCTTCTGGCGGATTGGGACCTGAGACTGGTGTAAGAATATGAACGACCCAATTGTGTGGAAACGCTCTTGCATCTCCTGAGTATCATCATCAGCCTCATCTTCTTCATCATTGATTCAGTTCCCTCTCTCTCTCTATTTTATTTTGCTGTTTGAAGAAGATACTTGAGACATGCTCAGAAAGAGATAAAAGGGTATTAAAAGAGGACCGAGAAGGTAGGTGCTATGTCTCAATTCATATAATTAGGGTTTTGCAACTAATTTCTTAACTTAATTCATAAACTTCAAGACTACTTTTCATTCAGCTGAGAATAGATAAACCTCCAGGTATTATTACTTTCTAATAGAATTTGTCATCTTAATCCAAAAAAAGGATATACTTGAATACAATGATTAATGCAATGCAACCTAGAGAGAACGTGTCAAGAAAAGAGAACTGAAGAATCAGAAATAAGAGCCAACACGAAAGTCCGGAGCAGGGCACGTCAAACCTTGTTTCCCCCTTATAAATTGTCTCATGTCTACTTGTGATCCCTTCAAAGTTAAAACACTAAAGATGGCGAAGAACAAGGATGACATAGAGTACGCAACAGCTCAAGCAAAGCTATCAGAAGACGAGCCAATTCGAGTACGATACAAACACGGGACACCACTAGAAGGAGGCAAGATCGCAGAGTCAGAGCCTGTAGATCTCTTATCAAGCGCTAAAGGTGTCGAAAAGGGTAAAGAACAATCAACTTCTGCAGCCACTGGAGATCAGACGCAAATGCATCGCGACGTGAAAGACATCAAAGGAACGCGTACAGACGACAGTCCCCGTTAAATATACAGTTCGAGTCGGTTATATCATATATGTAGATGTGGTATGTTGCTTTCTAAATAAAATGGCCTAAGAGTACGTTTTGTTGGTTCATGATCATTGATCAAGCCACTTAAAACCATTACTTCAATGTTCAATCAACTAACATTTCAATAATCAAAGAGCATATTCAAAACCTGTATAAATAACAGCTGCGAAGTGACAAATCTCTGCTATTTAGATATAAAAGGGAGTGAACAAAACATGTTCTACACACGATTGTTCCGACTTAAAGGCAAAATAAACATAAACATAAAGGTTCAAAAGTTGATGCTTAGACTGGAGAAACTAGATAAAAGGAACACACAGAGATTTGGGATAAGGGTGGTGACACAGACTACTTGGATCGCTGTCTCATCTTTCTGCGCTTCCTCTTTAGTCTCCTCATGCGCTTCTTCTTCCACTGTCAAATGATCAAATCACAACCTTTACATTAGTCTAACCATTTTACGTCCGTTCGATCAAAACAAAGATTTGACATAACCCAAAACAAGCAGTAATTTATCATCGAAGCTTTCTACAAAGTGGAATTTATGAAAATATCATGAAATCTTAACTAAGCGCAACGCAAATGAGGAATTGGGGGGAGATCAATTTGTAGGCGAATGCAAAATAGATAAGCCAAGGATAAAACTAGAGATCAACGTTAAACCCTAATCCTATTTTGCATCTAACAAGCAATAAAACTAATTTATCCGTTCAAGTTCTCCTACCAGTTCTAAGGCGTAAAAGAGAATCTCAGAATTCAATCCATTGTATAATCTCTATATGTTAGAGAGCCAATGCAAACAGAAGGCGTATTGAAACAAAACCAAGATCGCAATCTGTAAACGAAGCGAAAATGGGGGATTAGAGAAGAAATTATCGTACCTTCGCTCTCATGGTGAAATCGCCGAATTCAGATGCTCTCGCTAGCCTCTGCTCACTGAGAGCACCACTGGATGTATATATAGCTAGGGTTTTCTGTTTCGCTTGCTTAAAAATTGGATAAGCACACTTAGATTTAAATGGGCCTTGAAACTGTTGGGCCTAGTTAAGGATTTGAAAATATAAGCTGGTGAGAGAGGTAATATAAATGGGAGAGGACGAACAAGAACAAGTACGATATGTAATGTACAGCGAGAAACACGAGAAGAAGACAAGACAAACAAGGTGCTGCTTCTTACCCAACCCATCAACACATACTTCCAATTTTGACTTTAACAGTAATAACTCCATTGATATCTTCCTCATTGCCAACTGCAATCACATAATACATATTTGATATTTTTGTCACTTCTTTCTTCTTTTCACTTTTTTTTTGTATTTTTTTTGTATTTGATAGCCTCACTATTAAATGTCGCATTTGGTTCACTGTGACGTACAGCTAAGAACCCAGCTCAAGCTGCCCTCTTTTTTTTCTGCAGCCAACATATAATATGTCCCCTTGTTTCTATTCACTCATATTCACTACTTGTATATACACACATATAAATCTTCCATGCTCACAACCAGGATATAGGTCTATATATATATAAGATATTCGAAGTCGGCCCTCAGATATATTTAAAATTTTGGAGAAATTTTGTAGGCTTTTTTTTGTACATAAACAATAAAAACATATGAGAACACACATTTAAAACAAAAAAAAATGTTAGACCGGCCTTGCTCAGTGCTTATAAGAAAACCAATAATAGTATCTAGTATCGGTCAAACGAGAGGGGCTACCACCAACCTGATTTAATGCAGTGGAGTTATTATTATGTTCTGCATTATATGTATGTTGCATCCTAGCTGTGTCTCTGTCACACGACTCACAGATCACCCTAACCATCTACAGTATGACATTTGTTGCCAAATTAGGATTAGGACTTGCATTGTATCAGTTCATAGAGTGTGCGTAGTGTACCCGAGCATAATAAATGCATAACGTATATTTCCATCACATAGCAGAATTTTAATCCGTTAATCAACCTCGCATAGGGAAAAAGAAGTAGCTTCTGCTTACCTAGGTTTATAGGGTTTACTTTTTAAAAGTTTTAACTTTTGATTATTTTATAGATTGTGATATTTGTCTCTTTTTCCTGTGGAACTATAACATGTTAATGTCCATTTGACACACTACTAAACTAGGTATTTCTAACTAATCCCTCCTTTCTTGTCGGCCTTTTCTGCTTAAGCTACTTGTCGCGACTCTGTGTCCCAATATATAATGCAGACATATGAATAAACATAGATGTAGATTTATATATAAAAAGAGCAAAGCGACATCTGAATAAAAGCGTCATGAGAATCAAATAGGAGATAGAGAATCTAACAGAGGGCGCAAAGACTGGGAACCATCACGTTCTCTCTTTCATTTCCCTACTTTGTTTTTATTTTTTTTAATCCTTATGGTTATCACTACTTTTTGGATATATATTCTTGTTCAAAATGATGTACATTTTATTTATTTTCTACCTTTTCCCCTTGATACAAATAAGATCCGTAAGTATTAGGGTATAGTCTTTTGTAATTCAGTATGTTTAATTAAGCTAGTATGAAATCCATATATTCATGTTGATTTTTTACATATATTTGTGCGACTGGTTAGAACACCCCTTGAATTCGTGAGTACAATACAGTGTGGTACTAATTAGTGGTTGATTTTCCGTGTAGTAGTCAGTGATTAACACTGTAGTTACATTGTACGTACGCTCCAATTTTTGTTCGAATATAGCAGCCAAAATCCAAATAACCAGCCAGAGGACGATGGGTCCACATAAACTCAAAAGCTAGTCAAAAGACCGTAGCAGAATTTTGTTTGGGGCTCTGCTTTGTTCGTATTGAAATTTAAAATCAAACGACATGCTTATACTATGTAAACTAGTAGTAGTATTTTTAGTGAAAAGAAATAAGCTCAAAGGGTTACCTGTTTTGTAATGTTTAAAAAAAAAAAAATGTACATACGTTCATTCTTTAAAAAATAGCATTAGTTTTTCAAAATATATATACAGACGTTCATTCTTAAGAAATTAGCATTAGTCCAAGTATACTTCTGAGTCTAAGACTATAACTTTAACAAAAAACTAATGTGCTTTTCTGTTGTTAGCTATGTCAAATTTGTTTAAATCATACTCTAATGGTGGAAAGTTAGAACATCGAATTCTTATAATGAAATTTAAGACATTTCTGTCAGTTGATTTACATGAATTCCAATAGATTTCTTCTTGCATCGTAGCTATATCACCAACTAATAATAGCAATATTTGACAAAAAGTAGATTTATGATTACTTTCTACTTTCAAAGTATAGAGTGATATATATATATATATATATATATATATATATATATTTTTAACGAACAATGATAGAAGGAAACATTTAGGACATTTATATGATAGACCCTTTTTCTATGATATGCATTGTTGTCACTAAATTGAGGTGGGGGATAAAGAAAAATCAAACGGATGGGACTGAAAACACGGTGTTCGAGAATTACGAACAACATTTATTTGTGATGTATATTTATATTTTGAAAGGACAAAATTATTGGAACCAACTTTATGTACTCGAAAAAAATGCAGCTCATACGACTGACATCTTTGTTCACGCTTTGACCATTACCTAATTTGCCCTTCAGTTTCGTTTTTTTTGTTTTACACTTTTACTGCTTTGATATTACTCTCTCCGTTTCAAATTAGTTGTCGTTTTGGCAAAATATATCTGCAAATATTTGGACGTATCTACAATGCAAAACACGTCCAGATACGTCCAAATATTTGCAGATACATTTTGCCAAAACGACAACTAATTTGAAACGGAGGGAGTATCAAACAAGTTCAATAATTTTCAACTATAAACATGAACATCAGTCATGGCTTGGAGAGTTGAAGTTTCATATGATTCCAGACGACCAGTATCCGTACATATATATTTGTACATCTCGATAACACATCTACTCTCAAACTATGTCATGCATGGTTTACATATATTGGTCTGGACCAATTACAGTTAAAGGCTTAAAGCTGTCTCTTTATCCTTAAATTATTTATCACACTATGTTGTCGACACTGATTAAATAAAATAACTAAACGGGTGCAGTAGATGAACTAAGCCGATACGGAGAGGATTTGCATTTTGGACTGTCTCTAACATGCAAAATCATTTTTTTCTTGCTAATAGAAAATTAAAAGAGAATAAAAAGGAACAAAAGCTGTCGCTCCCTAAAGTATAAATCCAAATATCTCAAATCTCATGATAAAAGTACATTGTTAATGAGTCAAAACTTTTAAAATATTATCTAAACATGTGGTAATATCTTCGGAATCGATCTCTGAACATGGGAGGCACTTCTCACTCTCGATACACTAGTAATTAATGAGACTGACTGGTATCGAACAACTCGCTCTAATGAAGTTTTAAAACTTCAAAAAAAAAGAGATTATGAAGAAAAATCAAATATTTCACCTTATTTACATTCTGAACCCAAACCTAACCTCAGCTGATGAAATGGCGCTGAGAAAACTAATGCGACAAAGACCACCCACTAAATCGGACCCGTTGCCTAACAAAGTCGGTACAATTAGAATCCGGTTCGGTTCTCAGAGTTCGTTTTTCGGTTCAAGCCTGGTTCGATTGGTATGGTTCTTGGTGTTGTTGCTCTGCAACTGAGCTCTGTTTCCAGATAATGAAGATGAAGAGGAAGAAGAAGAAGAAGAAGAGAAAAGCTGGCCAAAGAAGAGACCCGACTTGGGTCCGCCACGGAGAGAGGAGACGGGAACATTAAGAACAGGACTGATTCTGACGTTGGCCGAGTGAGATCTCGGCATTCCATGGTGCTGCTTCATCCTTGGACCGCCGGTGAAGTTACCGGGACTGCTTGAGCTTCTCTCGAGTCCATGAAACACGATCTTCCCCGAAGCATTCAGCCTCGGACTATCCGCCGTTACCGTTAAGCCTCTCGACTCACTCTCCGTCGATTCATCAGCCGGTGAATGACGTCGTGGCTTCCTCGGCTGGTTCGGGTTTCGCAAGTGGTGGTGAGCACGTGGCCGAGCGAACGGGTTTGGAGCGGTTGGTTTGTCGAGATCTAGAGATAATCTTGGAAGATCGTCGAGCTCGTGACCGGAGGAAGACGACGACGAGAGGGAGAGACGGGAAGAGGAGATCGACGTTGACGACTCGGAGATGTCTGAGTCCTTTATCAACGGCGGAGGAGACGGAGCTGCGGCGTTGGATTTGGAACTCCGGTTTAGAAAATGTCTAAACGATGCCGTTTTGGGGTTTGGGGAAGAAGAAGACAACCTCGAAGAGGACGCTTCTTCTTGAGTCTTGGCGAGTCTCTTGAGGCCTAGAAGCTCACGCCATCTCACAGTGCAACGAGGTGCTCTCGGAGAGAAGAGGTAAGGATCGGCGCCGGAGATCTCCATCTCCAGTCTTCGCCGTGGTTTCGCCACCGTGTTAACCGCCGTTACTATAGGCTTCTCCTCCGTAGTAGTTGCGCCGGAAAACTTTAGTGGGACCAGCTTTCCGTTGGAGAAAAGCTCGTCGGCTGTTGTTAACATTGTGACGGGATCTTCGAGAAGAAACTCAAAGTCAACAGAATCTTCTTCGTTTTCCAGCTGCGGATCCAACGTCGGAGATTCCCGGCTCATCGCTGCCGTCTTAGACCTCATCCAAGAGTAACTCGCCGTTGATAGCTTCTCCGGAGAAGTACCAACATTTTTAACGCAAGCCGACGCCATTTACCGTCGATATCGAGAGAGAGAGAGAGAGAGAGAGAGAGAGGGAACGAGAGTTTTGTTTTGGCGGTCTCTTATTTAGGGTTTGTAGAGAAGTGGCAATGAAAGAGACAAGCAATTATATACAGCTCAGCTTTAGATTCTCCATACACAGCACACACGTGTCTTCTTTTACTAGATCCACTCGCCCCGGGTAAAAATTTCGGGTTTAAAAGGCCCAAATTGATTGATATTTTTACCAGAGTTAAATCTTAGATACTCAAAAAGATATCGACCATTTTTGTTTTACAATGTGAACGTTTTTTAGATGAGAAATTTGGGAATAGTAGATTGCATTTAGTTTTTGTCCTCTTAGAAAGATATATTTTACTTGATTCAGTCCATCTCTGTCTGTTGTCACTACCATATATACAGTACTATAGTACCAAAAGATCAAGTCTGATAATTAGTACACTCACGTTGGAATCTGTTACATCTATTACGAGATATTTGGTAATTAAGAAATTACCAAGAACAACTGTTTCAGTTATGAAACCAACTTTACATCACACGTAATTGTGATTTATTCTCGGCTTTTGTTTGTCTATCGCTCTATCTTTCATTTTTTTTTTGGTTTTCATTGATGGTAATGGTTCTGCTATCGTAAAAGATAAACTTATAAAGTGAAGATACAAGCATCTTTATGATGAAACAGAGCAGAAGCTGCTGCTATAGCCACATACTTCAAATCTGTGGCGAATCCACTTTAGTGCATACGGTGTTAGTTGACACCCTTCAATTGTTATAAAAGCCAAAATTATACCTAAAATATCAAAAATTCACTAGCAAAAAATGGTAAAAGTTAACTATTGACACTTTATAACCGAAGTTTTGATATTGTAACCAAAAGACTGTTTATCCGTATATACTTGATATTTTTTTTTATTATCAATTTATAGGTTTTGTTTGATATTGTAGCATATGTATGAACTTGTACTTCACACCCATTCTGCAAAGATTTATGTTACATCCAATCCAATAGAATAGATGACAAATTTCTATCAAAGTACATTAAAACGAAACGAAATAAGTAGATTTTATTGTTTTGTCTCACCTAACATATATATAAAAGTAGCATTGAAATGTTGACAAGTCAAATATGAGGTTTCTTTGTCTCCCATAATTTAGTTGGTACGATCATCGCGCGCTTCCATAGATTTACCGTTTTACCTTAATCTATAAACGACGACACAAGTTAACTCGATGCCACAACGAAACGTGACTTTTAGTCTCAAAACTATAAATGTTCCGACTTGTCATTACTTCTGTACTCTTGCTTGTTCAGAAACATATTTACCTTTTTTTTTGTGTGTGGCAACATGTACAGATATTTTTCCTACAACATGTTAACAAATGATCCAATCCAATCCTCGCAAAACCGAACAACACCACTGGACCAACATCATTTACTTATATCAAATTACTGGTTATAAAGAGATCGGTTATAAAAATGGTTAGATTATAGTAACATAGAGAAATACTGTATATTGAAGTTGACTTTACGGCTTTTTAATTATTTATACCACCGTTCTTCTTTCCTCTCGTGCTCAGAATTCCCGATATTCCTCTACATCTCTCTCTCTCCCCTCTGCACACGATTATATTAACCTATCATCAGATGATAACAAACACTAAACAAAAAGGTCTTTAGATATCAAAAGAAATGGAGAATAAAGAAGAAAAGAAGGGCAGTATAAGTATGGTTGAGGCTAACCTGCCTCCTGGGTTTAGATTCCACCCGAGAGACGACGAGCTCGTCTGCGACTACTTGTTGAAACGAACTGTTCGTAACCTCTATCAACCAATTGTCTTGATCGAAGTCGATCTCAACAAGTGCGAGCCTTGGGATATTCCTCGTAAGCTACTCCTTTCCTTTTTGATTGATTCTATGATCTCTCTTTTAATTTACTTATAGATTTTAGATTATTTAGAAAAATTACGTAGCTCATACCTGTGTGCACAAGTTTTCTCAACTCATCAAACAATCATCCCTAGTATATTAAAAGAGGAAACACTAACTAAATAACCTTTGTCCAATGTATTATTAACAATAGTGCCATTGGTTAGATGTCATCACAAGTTTCACTCTTAAAACAATTTATAATTAAAACAAACTTTACTAGAGAAATTACAATATATGCCATTACATACTATATCTTTAATTACATATAGTTAATTGTCAATAACTCATTTTTCTAACATTTCGTAAACCGATTTTTTTGCATATTCGGTTCAAGAATCTTTACCTTTCTGACGGTATGGCCAACAACGAGTCACACTAGAGAAATGTAAACCGGAAAGCAGAATCTATATAAACATTCTTCTATATAATATTTAACACATGTATTGTGTTTTTTATGTTGAAAGAGAAAGAATCCAAAATATACACATAGTTTAACGTGACAATTTTATACATAGATGTGCTCAAAGATTTATTTTTTTATAATATGTACTATGTACACATAGTGTTACATTTACAAGCACATTTTTTTTAGTCATTTATCTACCAATCATATAATCCAAGCCTCAATAGAATTCGTGAATAAACCAGGGAAAAAGCAATTAAACACACAAGTAGTGAATTCAAACCGGATTGCAATTCAAATAACGGAAACAGTGTTTAAAACCATAATTTTGCTAATTGAAATATATTCCAGTGTTTAAAATTATTTATTTTATGGGAACCTAATAAGGTGAACCTATTATATGAGACGTAGAGATCGGAGTCAATATCGCAATATTATATGCAATTTTCCTTAAGAAACTACATCTATGGAAACCCATTAACTAACTTGCTATGTTATGGTTCATCATTAAAAATATTGATCATCAAATTATTCTGAATTTCAAATTAATGGTAAAATAATATTCCAAGGTTTCCATATACATAATATACATAATGTGGTTTAAACATATATTAAGCTTATTAGTAATCGGTATAATTGGGGATCCACATTGTATGCAATTACTTTAAAATCGTGATCTCAAATATGATACAGTGCAGTTATTGTTGTTTTATGCGCTCAAAAACCATCGAAGCTTCTCTCTTTTCTATAAAAAGTCTTCTCATGTAATGTCAGTAAAATCATACTCGCTTCCGATCATTTTTACCCATCGAAAAACCCATATAATATAGTTAACTCATATTTCTTTTCCAAGAAAATAACTAAGAATGTGCATGTATAAACCATCGAAAATTAACAGCATATGGAAGTAATTAACAAAACATTTTTATAAAGAACATTACCCCGCGCAAGGTGCGGGTCAATCTCTAGTATAATTTAACCATTTGATCGCAATTGAATTAAGCATGTTTCCATATTTCTGGTTGTCAACATGATCCGTTTATTGTTTATATGTCGTATTAGAGTATAAATCACCACTTGTTAATAAACCAAGAACCAAAGTTCAACTCGGGAGCCACCTGCAAATTGGTATTTTTCTTACTATTTTTCTCGTGAAAAAGACTATTTAACTGCACACCTAGGCGTATATACGTATTTGTTTTTAGGTATATCAATTTTGTATATTTTAAAAACAAATCAACATAATCATGCACACGTGTTGGATGCCTATTCGATGTTTAATATTTGGGAACCTGGTAGTTAAGATATGATGTGGATCGATAGAATCATTTGGATATTATTGTATATCATTTGGAGTATGTCAATAAGATTAAGACAATTCTGAATAGAATTCTCATAATCTTATCATCCAAGATTAAAAATAGTATCCAATACACACATTGGAGAAAATAAAAATATCCGTTTCAATTAAAAACTGTTATCCATTAAAATGTATGTGAAATGCAAAAGAAAAAACATTCAATTCAACATTATTAACAGCAAAAAAAAAATCAAACGCCTAACTGATTGACAATATATATGTTCGATAAGTATATAAACGAATGTCTTTATCAAATGCAGAAACGGCGAGTGTGGGAGGAAAAGAGTGGTATTTTTACAGCCAAAAAGATCGAAAATACGCATCAGGACACAGAACAAACCGGGCTACGGCCACCGGTTATTGGAAAGCCACCGGTAAAGATAGATCAATCCAAAGAAATGGTAGCCTTGTGGGTATGAGAAAAACACTTGTGTTTTACAAGGGTCGAGCCCCAAAAGGTCGTAAAACCGATTGGGTCATGCACGAGTTTCGTCTCCAAGGAACACTTCTTCGCCACTCACCTAATTCTCTCAAGGTAATTGCTACTCTATTTACCCATCCTATATTTTTTTGAGATCCATATAATACAACATCATGACTCACTCAAAGGTTAAACATTTTTTTTGTTTGGTTTGCTAATTTGTATATTCTTTTCTATGTATATAGTATATGTTTCTTGAAAGTAAATATCAAATTAAGCATGAATCAAGCGCCCGGGGATGTCGCAATTATATTATCCCATGAATTATGGCAAAAGTTTTGACTTTTATCTTTGTTTCACATTCAACACGAATGCTATTTATCTTTTAAGAGATTTTGCTGACGATGGTTGTTTTTGCGGCTTACCTAAGATGATCTTGGACTTGGCACAAAAATCTACTCTCTTAACGATACTTTGACATAGTTGTTTTTGTTGACTTTTTTTGGTTGGACAAAAAAAAAACAGGAAGAGTGGGTATTGTGTAGAGTTTTCCACAAGAACAGCAACGAAATGGACAGAGACAACAACACGAGAAGCTGCTCCGATGAAACATCCTCTGCACTGATGGACTCTTACATCAACTTCGATCATCATCACATCATCAACCAGCAAGTGCCCTGCTTCTCCAATTTGTCACAGAACCAAACCAACCAATCCGGTTTAGTTTCCAAGAATCCCAACCCGTTGTTAATTACTGCTTCCTCTGATCAGATGGTTCTCAGAGCTTTGCTAAGTCAGCTCACCAAGAGTGCCGCAAAATCGCAAAGCTACGGAGAAGGAAGCTCGGAGAGCCAATTAACCGACATTGGCATCCCAAACCATGCTTGGAACTACTGATCATTACCATCAGAGATATATACTTATGTATATGAATCATATCCATGATTGGAAACATATATTGATCCTCCCTCTCTTGTGTAAACTGTTGTATTTATGGATTACATATAATAACATTAAATTTAAAGTTAAAATAAATCTAGTGATACAAACCAACATTTTCAAATTAAAAACAATTAAATTTTACGTTGTAACAAGAAATATTCGGTTATCAACTCTATTTCAAATTTTCAACCAAGGGCATATACAAGAAGAGTGATTGATCGCGTTTACTGTTTTGGCTATGCAACTGCGTCCCGTTATGGAGTCCAAAGAACGGCAGGGCGTCTCTAAGCAAATAATCGAGTATTACTAAATTAGTCATATCATTCTTGAATAGAAATGGAAAAGAATTGGTAATTTCCCCTTGAATGAAACCAATACCATAATAAGAAATGTCCACTTGGGGGCTTTTCTACTTTATTGATTGACTTGTGGATGAGAGAGAGAGAGAGAGAGAGAACCATTCTGGGCTCGTCGATTGGGTAAAAATCTCCGGGTGTTGTGTTCTGTCCGTTGAGTCTTTGATTGAAAGATTTATTTTTTAATTTTCTCCTCCTTTATTTTTGTTTTGTGAAAATAATTATTATCTGTTAATTTTCCAAAAAATCATGAACTTATGACTTTGGTCGGTAAAAATAATGACGCCTTTTTGCCCAAAAAGGGATAACACTCAATTTGATTGCCCCCGTCATTATCCTACGCGCACCGACCTTTCTTCTCCGTCGTCCTCCCTTCGTCTCTCGCCGTTTCTTTCCTAATTCGGCATCCATTTCCGGGCTTCGATCCTTCGTCTTCGTCGTTGTAATCGCCAATTGGATTTTCGGATTGGAATTGCTGATTTCCCCCAACAATTTCAGGTTTAGGGTTTTTTTTTCTTCCGCTCCTCGCCCAATTACAAGGTTTGTAATCTTCACCCAATTTCGATTTTGAGCTAGGGTTGGTGCTGGAATTTACAATTTCCCCCCAATTTGATAATTCTGTCATCTGTGAATCCGTTAATGGATATTTCGAATTGAAGTTTCCATTTCTAACTTTGCGTAATTCACGAGCTGTGTGTGTCAACGCGTTTCGCTACTGATAGTTAGCTGTATATAGATTCTCTTTTACATTGCATTGGCGAGCTCAATCTGATTTTATTATACAGACTGACTCGTGAGGATGATCGTGTGTCTTTGGTGGGGCAGAGTGTTTTCTCGGATCTGCATTCTTCGAAAGAGAGATTATTAAGATGAAAAAGTGATTGGTTTCTCCGTTGATTCACTCCTTTGGGATCGTGTTGAGAATGGCTCAGGGTCAGAATAGGAATGTTCCTCTGCCAGGACAGATGCAGAATTCTGCTGCCAGTGTTTCTTCTCAGTCTAATATGGCCAATGCCATGTCTCGTGAATCGATGAGAATGCGGCAGGAGATGCTGAACAGAATGTAAGAATGTTTCTCTTTTGACATTTTTCTTTACTTGCCTATGCTGTGTTGTTTCTTGGCTCTTGATTGCTACTATGTGGTCACTCTATAGTGCATATATGTTGGACTTTCTGTTTACTGCTTCAAACGCTTTTGTGTTTTGCTTTGAGTGTCAAAGACCCATCTAAGTCTTATGGTCTTAACCTTTAAGGAAAATGGTAATGCAACTGCATTAAACAACAAATTTGTGTTGAAGTGATGTTTGATTTTGTAAAGTTTACGTAAACGGAGAATACTCTTTATTCACTTGAGTTGTACATGATTTTCTTATTTTTGTTCTCCAGCTACGGTTGGTTACAACAGAGGCAGCCTACAAAGAATGATGATGCCTCCAAGACAAAGTTATTCGAGGTTTCAAAACGGTTAGAAAGTGCAATGCACAGGACGGCTAAGTCAAAGGTTTGTCCAGATTTTGATCTTCTCATTGTCACAGTTTGTTTATAGATAGTCACAAATAGTATTTGGATTTCAGAAATGGAATCATGTTATACAGGTGGTCAATGTTCTTGATGGTATTTTTTTCGATTCGCAGGAGGACTATTTAGATTTCCGGAGTTTTGAAGTTCGCATAGAATCTACTCTGAAACAAATCTTTAGCCAGCGCGGCCGTCCTAATCCTTCAAGCTCCGGCACTATGATGGTTCAGACACCTGGAGTTTCGCATGGATGGGGTCAAAGTTATCCGGCCACTCCTATGATGAATATGAGCAACTTCAATAATAGTAATAACTTATCAGATGCAAGTAATCGCATGAATGGAGGTAATATCAGTCAGAGATCTGATATAAGCTTCTACTGTATACTTGTAAGTTTGACCGTACAAAGGATCTGTCCTGACTCTCTTATACTTGCATTTGATTTTGATAGGTGCAATAATTAATGGTCGCCAGCAATTATCCGCGGGGTTCTCAGTTAGTTCTGATGACACTGGCCAGATGATTCCGACTCCTGGATTTAACAACGGTGCTAATGTTGATGTATATCAGTCTCACCGATATGAAGATAATTCTAGAGATGGTGGTGGCAAGCTTCTGGCTGGTGTGTCAGACTTTGGAAATCCATCTCAGACGCAGAGGCAACGTCCTGCTGGTTCAAATGACCGTATGCTTAGCAATGTTGACCAGTTGGGAGGTGGTTTCAGGTCAAATATTCACCAGAATGCACCTGGGATGACCAATGTTCCTCTAAATGCTGGTGTAGGGATGAGTGGGAACAATGTACAGTTTGCTAATGGGCCTAGGAGTTCTGAAGGGGTCCTTAATTCTACGCATTTTTCAACTTTATCCCAACCTTTGCAGCAGCCTGTCGATCAGTCACAGGTGTCACATATGCACAGTAAATCTCTCTAATTTTCCTTTAATCTTTTGCTATTTGAATTTCAATGCCCTCTTGATCGTCTCCCCTTCTCATGAGTATGTCACTCATAGTGCTAATCGCAAGTTGCTTTCGTCATGTGAAGGATACTCAACGAGCAACTCTGGTGCTTTTGGGTCTGGGGATCTTTATGGAGTTCTAACATCATCTGGCTCAATGGAACCTGCTGTGGATATGAATTCAATGAGCATGAATCCTATGCGGAGAGTTGATGCGTCCTTCGGTAGTAATCAGTCGAGCATGCAAGCAGTGGAAAAAACCTCATTGCTAAAACCTCATCTACATCATCAGTTTGAGAATGGGAATTTCCAGTCTTCTTCCAGTTCCAAAGAAAATTTGGCTCAGGTGAGCCATCAGCCAGTAGAACATCAATTCAACCAACAAGCTCATCTTGGTCAATTCCCGAAACAAGAGTACTTACTGAACAACAATGCTTATCGTCAATCTCAGCCAGCTTCAAATTTAGGTAGTCAAGTTAAGCTTGAACCTCGCGTGGAATACTACAATGAATCTTTTCAGGTGCAGGCTATAAATAAAGTAGAGCCATCCAAGTCGCAGAACCTTTACAAGCAGAACGCTGTCAAAGATAACTTTGTTGGTGCTCAGAGTTTACCTGTTTCTAGTAGCCAGCTAAATGTTTCTCCATCTTTCCCATCACAAACTCATCAGACGCAGCAAGTATCACAATGGAAAGATGCGAGTAACCTCTCAGCTGGAGTGCAGCCAGTATCAGGTGTGGGTCAGTGGCATTCATCTTCGCAGGCCTTGACACACGTATCAAAAAATTCTAATGGAGAAAGAGAACATTTTGGGGTAAATGCAGGTCAAAGATTTCCTATGCACCAGGAAGCTACTAATGATTATTCTTCTGTAAGAGAGTCTATAAACTACCAAAGTGTTGCTCCTGGAAGTACCTTGGACGCTCCACATCTCGCCGAAGGAAGCAACACCTTGAGTAAACAGCTGAATGAAGATTATATAAATCAGCGGCGGTGGCTTTTGTTCCTGCTACATGTACGGAAATGCAATGCGGGGGAAGATGACTGTGAAAGCAAGTATTGTTTTGCTGCCAAAACGCTGTTGAAACATATGCATTACTGCAAGGCCCCTGCTTGCAAGTATCAATACTGTCTTCAAACCCGGAAATTGATTCATCATAACAAGCACTGCGAGGATGAAGCATGCCCAGTCTGTGTCTTTGTCAAAAACTTCAAGGAGAAACAAAAAGAAAAAATTGCTCTCCTCCGAAGAACTGAGTCTAGCTCAGCTAGTTTGAACCATGGACACAGGGATCCCTTTGAGTCTATGCGTGCTTCTAGCGAAAGAGACTCTGAAGCTCCATCTGTTGTTGATGATCTGCAACCGTCTCCGAAGCGTGTGAAAGTTGAGAAACCCTGCCAGTTTGCTTATCCTGACACACAGAGTATCCCAGCGAAAATATCTTCTACTGGTGTCGGTAAAACTCATTTTTCAATGGGTTTGCAAAAGAAAGATAGTCTACAAAGTGATGTTTGCAAAACTGTCAGATCGGATATGCCTATTAAGGCAGATAGTTCTGATTCTTCGAGGATAAATGTTCCAGTTTCCCGTAAGCTGGAGAAGCCTGTTTGCAAAGATACCTCCATGGGAGGACATGGTGGAAAATCTGCATTGGATGGTGAAACTGTTTCTTTACAAGAGCAAGAAAAACCAAAATTCACGAAAGAAATGAGTGCACCCAAAGAAGAGCATGTGGAACAGTCTGCGGGCGTTGTATCGGGGTCTAGTAACGGAAAATCAAAGATCAAGGGAGTCTCACTGATTGAGCTGTTCACTCCAGAGCAAGTAGAGGAGCATATCCGCGGTCTTCGTCAGTGGGTAGGCCAGGTAAGCTAACAAACTTATTTTAGATGCAAAGCTTGTATGATATGAAAGATTGGGTATGACCAAGAAAGGTTTTCAGTTTATTCTTTACTTTCTTTACGTCTCTTAATGTTTTTCTTTGTTTGTCATTTTATTTCAGAGTAAAACCAAGGCAGAAAAAAACAAAGCAATGGGACTCTCCATGTCTGAGAATTCTTGCCAGTTATGTGCTGTCGAGAGGCTTGCATTTGAGCCAACACCTATTTATTGCACACCTTGTGGTGCACGTGTCAAGAGAAATGCTATGCACTATACTGTTGTGGCTGGTGAGTCACGGCATTATGTCTGCATTCCTTGCTACAATGAAGCGCGGTCGAACACTGTTTCTGTTGATGGAACTCCTGTCCCGAAGTCAAGGTTTGAGAAAAAGAAAAATGATGAAGAGGTTGAAGAATCGGTAAGCCTTTTCAATTCCTGAACTTCTGGAATTATTGTCTTTATACCTACCTGCTTTACTCTGGTCTTTTTCCTGACAAATGATTCCATGCAGTGGGTGCAATGTGATAAATGTCAAGCATGGCAGCATCAAATTTGTGCTTTATTCAACGGCCGTAGGAATCATGGGCAAGCCGAGTACACTTGCCCTAACTGTTATATACAAGAGGTGGAACAAGGAGAAAGGAAGCCAGTGTCACAAAGTGTTATTCTGGGGGCAAAAAGTTTGCCAGCCAGTACTCTTAGCAACCATTTAGAACAGCGGTTGTTCAAGAAATTGAAGCAGGAAAGACAGGAGAGAGCTAGACTTCAAGGAAAAAGCTACGAGGAGGTAATTTTTTAACTTTTCAGATTAAGATTGTGCTTATTTTTCTCTACTTATCTCCCTCGTGACCACTTGGCTTGAGTTTCTGCCACATTTAACCATATGATGACGATGATTTATAGAGAAACATATCAAGTTGTGCTTACACAAGAATGACATACAGAAAGATACAAAATAGCTAGTTTGTGGCCGTTTGTTTTCACCTATATGTTTTAAGGCCTTATTTCTTATAATGGGTTTTCCTACCAGGTCCCCGGAGCTGACTCACTTGTTATCAGAGTTGTTGCATCTGTCGACAAAATATTAGAAGTAAAGCCACGCTTCCTTGACATTTTCCGAGAAGAGAATTACTCATCAGAATTTCCTTATAAGTCTAAGGTACAGATCGTATATGCTCGGTTCTTATTTTATTTTTAATACACAATGCCAGTTGACTATCAGCTTCCATGCTAACCAATGTATTTTTCTTTCTTTCAGGCCATTCTGTTGTTTCAGAAGATTGAAGGTGTTGAAGTATGCTTGTTTGGCATGTACGTCCAGGAATTTGGAACAGATTCAGCGTCTCCCAATCAGCGGCGGGTATACCTATCCTATCTGGATTCGGTTAAGTACTTCAGACCTGACGTTAAAACAGTGACTGGAGAGGCCCTCCGTACTTTTGTATACCATGAAATTTTGGTAAGCCGCTTTTCTTCTGATCCCTGTTGCTTTCAGACTCTCCTGTGTTGGTTTCACAAGTTTATAACAACAACGGCCTTTTTGGATTTGCAGATTGGTTATCTTGATTACTGTAAGAAACGTGGTTTTTCAAGCTGCTATATATGGGCATGCCCCCCTCTCAAGGGTGAAGATTATATATTATATTGTCATCCTGAAATTCAGAAAACGCCAAAGACTGACAAGCTAAGGGAATGGTATAGAGTTACATTTTCTTGTACATACTTGTTTTTCACGTGCTGTAGAGAAATTGAATCCTGATGCATTATGCTCCTTCCCTTTCAGGTATTTGGCAATGCTAAGGAAAGCCTCCAAGGAAAAAGTGGTTGTTGAATGTACAAACTTCTATGATCATTTTTTCGTCCAGTCTGGTGAATGTAAAGCTAAGGTAACAGCAGCAAGGTTGCCATATTTCGATGGCGACTACTGGCCAGGTGCCGCCGAGGATTTAATAGATCAAATGAGCCAAGAAGAAGATGGCAAAAAGTCGAATAGAAAAGTGATGCCGAAAAAGGTCATATCGAAAAGGGCTCTAAAAGCAGTAGGTCAGTTGGACCTTTCTGTTAATGCCTCAAAGGATCTTCTGCTAATGCATAAAGTAAGTTTTTTTCTCTCTTGTTTTTCACTGTTAATCTAGCTCTGCCTAGTTTTTTTTTTCCTTTCTGTTATGGTTTTGTTGAAGAAAGAGATGATAATCATCGCCCCTTAACTTGTCAATGTTCTTTCTTCTCTGTAGCTGGGTGAGATCATCCTCCCAATGAAGGAAGATTTCATCATGGTTCATTTACAACATTGTTGCAAGCATTGTTGCACTCTCATGGTATCTGGAAATCGGTGGGTGTGCAAGCAGTGCAAGAATTTTCAGATTTGTGACAAGTAAGTTCTACCTGTTGACTCACTTTATTATTTATTGATGATACTTAATAAGTATTACTTATACAGTTATGTCATCTTCAAATTTTCCAAAAAACTGTAGAAATATCCAGCCATTACACTTCTCTTCACTTAACTAAAAAAATAAATACTACGATGTATGCTCGAGGGTATGTCTAGTTTTAAAATGGGAGCCAGACGATTTAGATTTATTAGGTTAGTTTTGACAGTTGTAGCATGTGAAGTGGTGGAGAGTATATACGTTGGATCATTCTAAGATATATACATTCTTCGGCTGCATCTAACGAGCTTTCTTCTACCACAGGTGTCATGAAGTGGAAGAGAACCGTTTGGAAAAGGAGAAACATCCCGTCAATCAGAAGGAGAAGCATTTACTATATCCTGTAAGTTTCTAAGATGTTGGTGCTTTAAGAGAACTGTTATTTCTTCATTAGTGGGTTTGAAAAATGACAAGAATTTTTGGTCTCTGCAGGTTGCCGTTGAGGACATTCCTACTGAAATTAAGGACAATGACGGGATCCTCGAGAGCGAATTCTTTGATACAAGGCAAGCTTTCCTGAGTCTCTGCCAAGGGAATCACTATCAGTACGACACGCTAAGACGGGCAAAACACTCTTCTATGATGATTCTCTATCATCTTCACAACCCAACCGTCCCTGCATTTGCAACGGCATGTGCCATCTGCCAGCAAGAACTAGAAACTGCTCAAGGTTGGCGCTGCGACGTTTGTCCTGACTATGATGTTTGCAGTGCTTGCTACTCAAAAGGCATCAACCATCCACATAGCCTTATTTGTCGTCCATCTGCGACAGATTCTGTTGTACAGACAACACAAACTAATCAAATCCAGACTGCACAGGTATTATTATGTCTTACAAAATTCTCTGGCTAATAGTTTACTGTTTCAGATTTGATAATGCACATAGGCACATTCTTGTTTATAATTATTCACTAAAACAAGTTGAAAAGATAGATAACTTGAGCTTCTCGTAGGATCTTGATATTAAAAAACGTATTTTGTATACTGAGTTTGCTTCTCTTTTCCTTAATCGCTAATACATTGTTTGCTTGTTGGTACTGCAGTTAAGAGAACTGCTGCTACACGTGATTGCATGCTGCACTGCACAGTGCCAGTATCCAAGGTGTCGCATGATTAAGATTCTTTTCAGGCATGGTGTTGCATGCAAGACCAGAGGCTGCGTCCATTGTAAGAGAATGTGGGCCCTCTTCCGAATGCACGCCCGAAACTGCAGAGATCCTCAATGCAGAGTACCCAAGTGCAGGTACGTTATCTAACTAAGTTTGAACTTTAAAGGATTTTTCTTCAAGGAAGTTGGTGTTTACTAATTGGATCTGACATGTGGTTTTAACAGAGACTTGAGAGCTCATTTTAGTAGAAAGCAACAACAGGCAGATTCAAGACGCAGAGCAGCTGTGATGGAGATGGTGCGGCAGAGAACCACAGATGCAGAAACCTCCACTCCTGACTGATCAACAGAGACATCTTATCTTTGTATCTATGGGGCTCAAGGTTCGTGCCTCGTGCTCATGTCTAAACGGGGAGGCGAGTCAAGAAAGAATTGCGAGGAAGCCAGTTTAGGAGCAAATGAACCAGAAGCGACTCTTCCACAGCTACTAATTTAGGTTCCACAAGGAGGTACATAACCTTTATCTAAATGTATTCTTAAGGTATAGACAATGTGTATATGTGAACTGTGACTTTGATTGAAATTTTGGTACTTCTTTTAACTTGAATCCTATTGGGTTACTGAATTGGATCTAAATTCACTCTTTGATCCCTTCGTTTTGTAAATGTAGCATTTTTGGCTATAAGCTAATAAATTTTCTTGATCTCGGTTATATGAGCAGTGTTTCTATTACAAAGCCTAAACTCGATTCAGAATAACACCGAAGTCTATTTCTTTTCTCATATCATTATTTTGGAGAATGTACACTGATAAAACTCCAAAGCTATGTTGGGAATAATAATGATGATGATGACGACGCTTTTTACAAACAAAAGAGAGCTTAAGAAGGTTTATTACACAGAGTTGTTGTCGTCAGGGATAAACAGATATCTGAAACGAGAATCAAAGGGGAGTATCCCGCAGTTTCGTGAGGCGAGAAGGCTTTGTTTTCTCTGAGAAATGCATTGTTCTACAAAAGCTGCTTGATGTGGCGGAAGGTACTTCGATATCCAGACCCCTAAGTTCGAATCCTCCACCAGACTCTTGGTGTAACAATGGAGCATTTTGGGTACCAAGAGCTTCCCTTTGCTGCTCAGCCCGACCGATGCTTGTATAAAGTCCCTTTGAGCTTCTAGTAACTCTTCCTTCACTCCTTTTGCTGTGTAGATCCTCACCTGCAACAAGAAACAAAGTCATCCAATTCTTTAGACTTCACCATTCCATACTTTATGCCAGACAAAAAGGAGAAAGATGTCGTTAGTTACCGCAGGGGAAGAGTACATTCCACAGCTTAGGGCAAAGGCGAGAAGAGGCTCATGTGTATCGATGCTTGCCTTGCGTTGTTCTTCTGATACTTTCAGCTTGTGGATGGCAAGAAGCAGAGCCTACATGAGAGAACAGAGTAAATGTTAATTGATACTGAGAAAGGCGAACAGAAGAACACTGAAGATGAAGATGGGTAAAAAGCTTATGTACAATTTGTGGCCTGTGCATAGGCGGTTTCATCTTCAGTATCACATACTCCATTGTCGCCGCAGTATATGAGTGCCCTCCAACCGTATAGGCAGCCTGTGGAGCAAACATAAAGGAATAAGATAAGGCAAGAAAGAAAGGAGAACGACGAGAAGAACAAAACAGAGCTCATTTCAAGTGATATAACCTTTTGCATCAGCGAGAAGAGCTTCAAGTCGCTTCTTGGGACACCATAAGCCAAATAAGCCTACATATAAAAAGACCACCAACTCTCATAAACATTCATTTCAATTCAGAATGGTTCTTGATAAGTAGAAGGGATAAAGGAACTTACATGCATGATCAACGCGTTGTAAAGGTTAATCCAGAAAGCTAGCTTCTCGTTGCAGCTCAAATGAATTGGGTTTACTCTAGCCAGTTGCTCCACCAGATTCCTGTTCACAGAATCAGCCATGCTTGAGTGTTACAGTTAAGTTAGATTGACAAAACCTTGAAAGAAAAGGGTTAAGGAAACTACATTACCTAAACTTCTTCAGTGCCCCGGAAGCATACTCCAGCTGTTTCTTCCCAACAGACATCCAAGAAACCTCGGATGCCAAACTGTAGTTTCCAATCTCTGCCCAGCTTAGCTTTCCACGAACTCTATAAGGATCAAACACATTTCCTGTGGCCATGACATCAGTGTTGTTTTGGATATCTATTTGAGGGCTTTGCACCCATGAAGAGATCATTGACCGTTCTGTTGAAGGCCACCAAGACGATGAGCTTGATAGATGCCCCCGGGGTGATATCGGCGAGAGGTTGCTGCTCTCGTTTGAGGATGCTTTTGAAGATACTGTCGGATCCGCAAGAGACATGAAGATGTTCTTCATACATCTAACCATCTCTTCAGACAAGAGATTAGGGTGGTCCCACAGGAACTTAGGTGCCATTCCTCGAGGTAGCTTCCTTGCATTAGTCTTTCTCATTAGCTTCTTCTCCAGAAACTGATCACTTGTGTCCAATGTTTTTGATTCTGCCGGAGATGATTCAGATGAAGATTCTTGGTTTTGGACTGTTTGGTCTTGACATGGACTGTTTTCTGCTGATTGATGTAACTCAGAATCCGTATGATTCAAATATGTCAAGGAAGAAGAAGAATTCTGCATAACTAAGACATAGTTATACACTGATATAAATCACAAAAGATAAACAAAATGATGAATTATAAAAGAGATACATACTGGTGGAGAAGCCATATGTGTCAAATGGTATTCAGCGAGTCTTCTTTCGTTTCGTTCTTGGCTAAGTTGGAAATTCAGTGACATCATTTCTTGCTCGAGCTTCGTGACTGTAGTCTCTAGCGTGGCTATATTCGAAAGAAGTTCCTGAGCCTGTCCAATTATCATCAGAATCATCAGCGATAGTTTATAATGAAATCACAATACCATGAGTTGAGGAGAACATACAGGATGTGGAACACTAGAAGAATGAGATATCTCCCAAGGATCTTTCTCTAAGACGCTCTCTAAGAAGGAATGCAACTCTATTTCTTCTTGGAGTTGCAGTTGCAATCTTTTCACCTGCAACATAAAAATTGTTTCAGAACTATAAACAATCCCTCATAATTGAGAAAGTGCAGGCTGTTCTTGAGTTCAGAAGCTTACATCCTCTTCAAGTTGAAATCTGTATGGAAAAGAGTCACCACTTGTAGATTCCAGACAACTTTCTGTGTCCTATAACAAATTAAGCAAGCAAGCTCTTATTTTTTTTTTCAAGAACTGCAGAAACTCATTCAACAAGTGAACATTTGGAGTTAGTTTCTGAACTGAAAACAGATTGAGTGTATGTTCATACCTCTGACTTGGATTCTGAGCCCCAGAACTTCTTTCCGGAATACGAACATTGGAGAAATGGATTGGATCTGATGAAACATTCAAGTCAATTAGTATGGAGAATTGAAAACACAATTAAGAAGTTGAAGAGACAGAGAAGAAATGGTGATCCTTACTTAGACTTCAAAACTTGAGAGTCATACATCCTCTGGAGTTTGGCAGTTATTACCATAAAACCAAATGATGAACCTTCTCCAACAAATGTACTTCAGCTTCTTCTCTCAAGTACAAAAGAGTTAAGTTACATAAGCCCTGCACAAATCAGATTCACTCAATAAATGAGATAGGATAGCAACATTTTAGAGGAAAAGACCAATGCAGTTTGTCCACTAAGCACAAGATATTTATCAAATAATGGAGATTGATAATGGCATTTTTCTTGGCACATGTAGTCTAAGTACAAGATGAAGAGGCAAGAAAAGACACTGTTACACCTGTGAACATCTAATAAGGACAAATCTAATTATCAATAAGCGCAAGCAACATGTCCTTTTCAAAAACGACCAAACAGCGAAACCAGTCACATGGTCAAAAATTCACATTGGCCATGGAAGATTTTGACAGGTTAATCGGTTATTATAACTCAAAAACCAGCTGAAAAACAAAGATGCAATCTCTGAACATGCAATTCTAGATTTGGTGGAGTTTTAAAGAATTTGTGTAATGGAAAGTTTGACTTCTTTTTTCCTTTTCTTCTGGTAATTTGAATAAAAAGATAAGATTTTTGAGCTTGGAATGTAGCTGTCTCATAAAGAAGATGTAAATGAAACTTTGATGAAAAGAGAAGTCAGAAATAAAAAGAAGAATCTAAAGAACTTATCCCTAAAAGACAGAACAAGTGGTCTGTGAAAGAACAAATCTTTCTAATTGACTTCAACAAAAGGCAAAACATCCAATTCCAAACATTTTCAACAATTATACCAAAATCAATGGTCAGAAGTCAGAACAATATAAATAGAGACCGTAACCAAATTCCTGCAACAAAAAAAACTCAAGGAGAAGTAAAAGGAAGAGTGGGAACAAAAACAAAATCGAACCTTTTTTCCGAAGCTAAGGAGAGAGAAGAAGAGCAATGTGAATCGAGAAACAAAACCCTAATCTCTCTCTCAGACAATCTCTCTAAGCTTCTTCTGAAAGTGCTCCTAGATTCTCCCAGATTAACTTTTCTTTCTCTCTTTCTCGCTTTAGGGTACTTAGGTGTCACAGTACGAGCTCTGACCTTGTATATATTTTCCAAGATACGAAAAAAGTTCCCCAATTTGAAATTCAAAAATTAATGTCAACAATTAAATGCTTGACTAAGAAAAGGTCTATTTTTTGTAATTATTATCCAATAATGAATGAAATAAATAAAGAGTTAGGAATTGGGCAGAGTAGAAGACAAAGAAACAGTTGAAGTGAACAGAGGAGAATCTGTAACAATTTACACGGGCACTTGGAATTGAACGTCCTTTTCTCAATAATTTTGAAAGAAAAAGTTATTTAAAGTTGCAAACTAAAAAGAAGAGAAGTAAAAAACAAACTTGAGAAACCCCAAGAAAAAAAAACCAGACTCGAAGCATTACCACATGCAATAACGCATGTTTGAACAACTAAGACTTTTTGTCGTTTTCTTGTCAGCGCTTAGTGAACTGAGAGCCTGATTCCCTTTTCTGTGTTTTGTTTTATGTGTTGACAATTTATAATGGGAATACCACAGATTTGTTCAGAATTTTATATTTGAAATTTGAAAACCAACAAGTAAAGAACAATTTCCCGGAAAATCATGGTGCTCTTTGTGTTGAAATATTTGTGATTTTTCTTGTCTTAATTCTCTTAGATTCTTGCGTATACAAATTTCTCCAGATCTTCACACTTTAAAATTTAGCACTTAGATAAGCTAGATTAAAGGTTTTTTTTTTTATATAAAAAAAGATAGATTAAAGGAGAAAGATAATCGATTAAATTAGTTGACCATTTGTTTTTGCGTAAGCGAGACCAATAATGCATTGAAATTTCAGAACGTGATCTAAAGATGAGATTTTAGTCGGAGTAGAAGAAGTGAGTTTGGTGTGAATTTGTGTACATGGAATCGACGAATTAGAGAAATCGTAGCAATTTTCATGGCAAAACTCAAGAAGAGACGTTGGCTTTCTGGTCTAATATAATATGTAGCCAAATTTGAAGCTGTTGACACCCTCACATGTCTCATACCAATCAAAGAGAAAGATACTAAACAAACCAAAAGCATCACTGTTTGGCGTGAGTGAGACTAATCAAATTAATCATGCCTATGTGCTACTCTATTTCACCAGCATTGAATCCATTGATTTTAAAAGATGAGCTTTGATTTTGAGGATATACAAACTACTAAAACTAAAACCTGCACATTGACAAAACAAGCTGACCATAAATATCTTTGCAGCACAATCTCTTTACTGCTTTCCACTTAGTTTGGCTTTGCAGCTTTGTAGATGAAGATTGTAATGAACAAACGCCAACTTTTCCAGTTGATGTTGTTCAAACTGGCTCCTTCCTTCAGTGAGCAGCAGCTTCTCTGCTAAGTTTCTCTTTAGCTTGTACCTTGAAGCACCTTCACATGTCTGGCTCAGAACCTTAATGGCGAAACTCTGCAGTTCCGGGTACTGGCTCGCCTTTTGACCCCACCACTCAGCTACAAACAGAGAGATTCATTCAGAAAATTTAACAAAGACCCTTTGCCCAACTACATCAAAACAATACAACTATATCAAAAAGTTAAGAATCTCACAAACCTGGAGAGACTTCAGATATCTCATCAGCTTCACTGGCTTCGTTAAAGCAACCTTTACCGAGTCTGTACATTTCAAGCTGTGTAGAGACTTTAACTAAAATGTGACTTTCTTTAACCATACGAGCTAGAGAGGAGATAAAACCGGTGGTAACTTCTGGATCACAATGGAAATCACCGGAGTAGAAAGCACCGGGGTTTAGAAAGTAACCGGTAACATGCAGAGGACTGTGAAGGTGTGTGTTCCACACATCGTCAATCACATCCCATGACGGCTTGTAACATTTTTCCTTGTGATTGAATTCCTTAGCTATACTCTCCTTTATGCCATCCATAATGTCATAGATATATCCAACATGCTGATTGTTGGCAGAAGTAAACAAGAGCAGACCGCGAATGAGAGGAGATGTACATTTCACAACTCTCTCAACAGTTTCCCAAAAAGAGAAATCATTCATCAATTTGGTCATTGTTTTGCCTTCTTCTTTGCTCCAATCAGATGAAGCAAACATGGCTGCCAAGTCGTTCTTCGCCATGAAAATACTCTCTAGAGATAGATACGGCTTAACAAACTCAAACTCGGAGGAGGAAACTGTCTTGTCTATTCCATGACTCTGATCTCTGACAAGCTTCGAAACCAAGGGATTGCTGTTGATGAACTCTGTAATCTTATTGACCTTATCAACTATGTCTTCAAAGGAATACATTTCCACAATTCTCACCAGCATTAGTTCGAAGCAGTGGGATACACTCACAGACCAGAAAACGTTTACGTTGTTGCTCACAAAAGACTTTCCTAACTCACCAACCCAGCCAGAGGTTGAATAAGCAATGATCTGAACAACGTTATGCACTCCAACTTCCTCAACAAGCCCATCTACTAGCGACATTAACGCAGTGTCATTGCTTTTTATATGAGAAACATCAAAGGACTTCAGATACACCGGACCTGCAGGACAATCTGCAACGAAAGCAACAAGATCACGGCCTTTCTCGTCAACCCAAGCATCCAACAAAATGCTGCAACCTGTGACCTTCCACAAATCTTTGATCTTCTTGACATTGTCTTCCACTTCTTGTAATGCTTCTTGAAGCATCCACCCATTCAAGTCCTGAGAACTAGGGAACTTAACCCCCATCTGAACACCGCTTAGAGTCATCATCTCTCTGAAAATCGGACAGTCCACAGTTGAAAAGTCGACGCAATTCTCATAGAAGAAGCGAGCAATGCTCTTTTGGGACAACAACTCCTTCTTATTAGCATCCATACCGCTTGTATCCTCCTTCTCAGGAGAAGAAACACTTTTGCTGGACGAATCTTCTCTGCTTCCACGCTTATGACGATTACCCATTTGGACTTTCCCAACTCTCCTAGCCTTGGAAGCAGTAAGACCAGGCTTCTCCTTCATAAGCATATCTCGGAACATGTTTCTAACAGTAAATGTAACTTTGTCACAGTAAGATACATCTTTACCAACACCACCCAAGTGAATCCTCAGACGAGGATACTGCATTTCTTTTCCACAATAATTGCATTTAATCCGAAGTTTCTTCTTGTCCACAAAAACTCCATGCTCACGAATATCCATTAAGGTATCGGCCATTCAAAGATTCGTTCAATTCAGAAAACACAGAGAAAGATTCAAACTTTGAAGCATTTAACGAGTCTCACAACCCAGGTTCCAGCCTTTACCTGCATTGCAACGCAAAGTATGTCAGTTTGCTTGAAATAAACAGGAACAGGCATCAAAAACCAAATTTTGAACGGATTTGATTTGACACGAAAGTCCCCAACTTTATCTCAGAATGATTGAAGTCCTTCATGTTTATGGAGACAGAGAGCAGAAAAAACGAAACTTTAAACCTTACAGTGACGAAAAAGCCCAGCCATAATGCTTAAGCAACCAACAAAGGAAAGGTGGACCGATAAAGTATCGAAATTATTCATCAACAGTTAGAAAAATCGACCCTATGGTGACACAGTAGGTCAAAAAGCAAACAAATTTTCCACTGACGAACTCATTTTTTCTGACTGAGTTGAGAGAATACCTTAGTTGCTGGGTCTAAGCGAGTCAACAGCGTCGAGTCGGTTAACAGGAGACGACGAAGCCCTTGTTTTCCACAAGAGAGAGAGAGGGAGAGGGAAAGTGAAGAAGTTGTTCTTCGCTCTATGTAAACAGGAATGCCCAAAAAGAGTGGGCATTTGGTTAATCGGTTTGTTTCGGTTCGGTTTACGTTTTTTCAGGTTTTAAAAACAGATTACATTTCAAATCAAATTATAGTTCGGTTCGGTTCAAATTGTTCCTGCTTTTGAATTCTAGAAAATAAATTTCATTCAAATCAAACTGTAGTTTTTTAAAATCTTGGACAAATCCTTAACTGATTTAGTTAAGATTGTAGTTTTTTTAAATTATTTTCAACGAATTCCGGTTTGTTTGATTCGGTTTACATAGTTTGGTTTGGAATTGAAAATGTCGGTATGAGATCCCATCCAGATTATTTTACAATTCGGTTCAGGATCAGGTTAGCGATTGAGTTTGTAAACTGTGGCATGCTTTGGAATTATTGGCTTAGTCCTGCCAAAAATGGAAAACGCAACGAGATTTCTTGGAAATAAAAAGGAAATTTTGTTCAATACTGCATTGCTTAATGGATACCAATAATGCATAAATGGATATCTCTGCTCCACTCGAATCATTCACCAGAAATTGATTCAAAAGATGATCCTTGATGAATATACAAACTCAAATCTGCACATTGGCTTAAAAAAAAATCTGTCCACATCTTGCAGCACAATCACTTCACTGCTTTTCACTTAGTTTGGTTTTGCAACTTTGTAGATGAAGATTGTAATGAACAAACGCCAACTCTTCCAGATGCTGTTGTTCACTACGGCTCATTCCTTCAGTAAGCAGCAGCTTCTCTGCTAAGCTTCTCTTCATCTTATACCTTGAAGCACCTTCACATGTCTGGCTCAGAACCTTAACGGCGAAACTCTGCAGTTCCGGGTGTTCGCTCGCCTTTTGAGCCCACCACTCAGCTGCAAACACAGATCCATTCAATAAAAAATGACAAAACAATACAAGTGTATCGAGAGTTAAAGAAGGTCACACACACCTGGAGCCAATCCAGAGATCTGATCAGCTTGACTTGCCTCGTTAAAGCAATCTTGACCGAGTCTGTACATATGAAGCTGTGTGGCAATTTTAGCTTGAATGCTACGTTCTTTCTCCGTATGAAGCAGAGTGGAGATAAGACCCGTGGCAACTTCTTGATCAAGATGGAAACCGTTAAAGTAGAAAGCAGTCGGGTTTAGAAAGTAACCAGCAGCATGAAGAGGACTGTGAAGGTGCGTGTTCCACACTTCATCTATCACTTCCCATAACGGCTCGTAACATAGCTTCTTGTCATTGAACTCCTTCGCTATACTCTCCTTAATCCCATCCATAGCGTCATATATATAACCAACTTGCTGATTGTTGGCAGCTGAGAGAAAGAGCAGACCGCGGATGAGAGGAGACGCGCATTTCACAACTATCTCTACAGTTTCCCAAAAGGAGGAATCATTCATCAGTTTTGATATTTCTATGTCTTCTTCTTTGTTCCAATCAGATAAAGCAAACATGTCTCCCAAAGCTTTCTTCGCCTTGAAAATGCTCTCTAGAGTTAGATACGGTATGAAAAACTCAAACTCAAAGGAAGAGGAAGAGGCAGTCATGTCTACTCCATCGCTGTGGTCTCTAACAAGCTTCAGAACCAAAGGATTGTTGTTGATGAACTGTGTGATTTTATTCACCTTGTCAACTATGTAACCAAGGGTATACATTTTCCCAATCTTCACCAGCATAAGCTCGAAGCAGTGAGATACACTCACAGACCAGAAAACCTTTTCGTCGTTACTAGCAGCAAAAGACTTGCCTAGTTCACCAACCCAACCACAAGTTGAAGATGCAACAATCTGGATCACGTTATGCCTTCCAACTTCATCAACAAGCTCATCTACTAGCGAAACTAACGCAGTGGCGTTGCTTTTGATAAGAGAAACATCAAAGGACTTGAGATACACCGGACCTGCAGGACAATCTGCGACGAAAGCAACAAGATCACGGCCTTTCTCGTCAATCCAAGCATCCAACAAGAGGCTGCAACCTGTGACCGTCCAAGAATCTTTGATCTTCTTCACATGAACTTCCACTTCCTTTAATGTTTCTTGCAGCATCCATCCTTTTAAGTCATGAGAATCAGGGAGCTTAAGCTCCGTCTGACCACAGCTTGCAGTCATCATCTTCCAGAAACTTGGAGAATCTACAGCTGAAAGTTCGACGTGGTTCTCATAGAAGAAGCGAGCAATGGACTTTTGGGACAAGAAAGCCTGTTTGTTAGCATCCTTACCACCTGTCTTTTCTTTCTCAGGAGGAGAAACACTTTTGCTGGACGAATCTTCTCTTCTTCCACGTTTATGACCAGATCTTTCGTTTGTCACCATCTCCAGAAAGGGAGCTACTTCTCCACGTATACAAGCCAAAAGTGAAATCTCAGACGAGTGAAGCTTTTAATTTCTTTCCCAACAAACTTTCTTCTTGTTCACACAAAATCCATGCTCACGAGTACAAGCCATTCACAGATTCATCTAATTCAGAAAACAGAGAGAATGAATCAGACTGCAGACTTGGAAAGAAACATTTTTTTCGATTCTCACAATTCTCACAACAGTTTGCAAAACAAACAGGAACTTTTCTATAAATTATCACAGAATTTCCTAACTTCAGCTCAGAAAAATTGATTTCATTCATTCATGTTCATGGATAGAGAGCTTAGAAAAGAAAAAAATCGAAACTTTAAAACATACCATAAAGCCATAAACAACGGAGTCAAACGAAATGTAGACCATTGTCGACATTAGTCAGAAGATTCGACCCTACAACTTGAAAGCAAACAACTTTAATGTTGTTTACTGCTTGGAACGCAATGAGAGAATACCTGAGTCAAATCGTCGGGTCGGGTAAGAGGAGACGGCCAAACCCGGAAGAGAAACAACGTTCCCGTACAAAAACCCTTGTTTTTTCTCTCTTTTCCAAGAGGGAAGGAGAGAAAAAGTGGAGAACTTGTTTTGACTCCGGTCAATAATTGTATACATGTAGGTCCATCTTCTTATCCTAGTCTCTCTCTTTCTCTTTCTCTTTCTCTTTAACCATAACGCATTAATGAGGCTTCTAATGAAACATTTTTACTTTCATTTTTTTGATATGTAAATGTTTGTCGTTAAAAAGAGAGGAAATTTGAACCAATATTACATAAATTAATCATATTTTGAAAACTAATCCATTTTTTAAAATGTTGGGTAAACTAATTTTTCTAGGGTTTTCTGCAAATTAGCCCTTCAAATGGTTTTTGTTTACAAACTTACCCTAGATTCTATAAAAATGCATATCAACCCATCAAGTCCGAGATCAAAACTGTGTTTTCAAACCGATTAATATTTCTTCCGTTTCATGGGGTTGTTTCTCATCTTCCTCCAAAACTAATATTTCATTTGGTGTCATCTGTCATTAACTGCTCCTACTTACTAATCTCGTTCTGTTTGCTACTTTGCTTATGGTAATAATCTTTTCGAGTGATTCATGAGATGAATCTTGTAGCTAGTCAGACAGAGAGTAAAAGGCAAAGTTTACTTTTATCATCTCATTGCCATAAAAATCGTTTGCATTTTTCTTGAAGCTATTTCCTGATATTCGACCAATTATAAGTTGTTATGAGAAGACTAAATAAAGCAAAATGTTGGAAAAAACAAAACACAACACAACAAAAGAAAGAAAAAGAAGTAACAGACTTTGATAGACATTACCATAGTCAATCTGACTTAGTCATATCCAAAATTCCACAAACTTTCGATCAGACATGAGCAAATAATCAGAACTCGAATAGCACAATTCAGAATGTAAACAACATCGTGAATAGCTGAATGGTTTACACTAAATCTGCAGTCCATCATCAGCACAAAATTGTGAGATCTATTCCAGAAACTCATCAAACCAAACACGATGGCATAGAATCAGACTACCTCGAAGAACCTTGGGAGAGAACACAAAAAAAGCCTCTAGAAAGAATTTCGCGGAATAAGTTTTTGTCTAGCCACGTGGTCTATTATTTATAAAGTTGATTAGTGTGTGACCCACTATCTCTCTGTTTGTTTAGCCGTTCATTGGTTACAATGGAAGAATCACAATAGCGTAACGACCATGAACAAGCTCCTATCGCTTTGCTCTCAACGATTACATTACAAAATCCATAAAATCTTTAAACAAAACAAGTAAAGTAGTCACGGCTCCAAATTTTCAGTCTTTAACTGCAAACACTCTGTTTCTTCTCGAGTCTCCAATGGTTAATCCAGCTCAGCAAGCTGACTCTGTTTCAGCTGCTTGCGACGGACTCTGTGACTCCATTTCTTCTATATTTTGAGGTGAGATATAGAAAGGGGCATCATTTATACCACCCAAACTAGTGATGAACATGCTACCCAGATCGATAAATCCGACTTCATGGGTATCAATGGTGTAAACGTGGTTAGGAAGCAAACCGGGAAAGGAAGCAGCAGGGACACAGAAAGGTTCGCACTTTGATAGGAAAATGACGAGATCTCCTACATCTTGAGTGCAAACAGCGTTGCCTTCTTCGTCAAGCTTGAAAACCTGTACATACTCTGTTTTCATATGGGCAACACCGTCCTTGATCTCGTTGGTCTTCTTGTACCACTTGACCAAGAAAGTCTCACCGGTGGTTCTCGACTCCACCAGGTGTTCGCTCTTGGAGCACGAATCCAGACGCTGGCGAATGTCCGTTCTCGTCCTCAGCGCCGGAGGAAAGTTTTGAAACCGCAAGCTCTGCAGCTTCGGCTTGTCGCTTGGGTTGCACGGATCCCATGACCCGATGAGGTGTCCTCCAGATCCGGGGATGCGAAAGGTCTCGTCTTTCTTGGAAAACGAGACAGGGGACGAGAAGAAGCATTGGTTTTCGATTCTGATGTTGGTCCACTCCGGTTTACTTTTTTTTTTTTTTTTTTTTGGTTTTAAACTCCGGTTTACCTCCATGACCGGGTCTGCAAAAGCTCAGCTGAGGACCCAAGAACTTGACAGCCACAACACAGTCCTCATCCTCTGGAGAAGACGTGGACATGGCCACGTTTGTGACGACGTTGGTTTGGCAATGAGGCAGAGTCACAAGAGGAGGCAGCGGGATGCGTTTCGGTTCGATGTCCGATGCAGCTGGGTTTAGATCATCTTGGAGACACAGAGTCCCCTCCTCGTTCAAAGTAGCTACCCAGCCATGTGATGCACCGATCGTTGCCACTTTCGGAGTATTATACACCAAATCCATAGGCGCCTTCTTGTCGATATCAATGACTCTCAGTTCGTTAGCATTGCAAATGGAGAGTGTTCCGAGATTGAATCCACAAGGTATAGCGCCGTGGATGTAACAGGGAGGGGTTTGCTTTTGCATCAAGGAAGATGAGAAGTCGTTGGAGATAAGAAGAAGAAGATTAGAGGATCTTCTTCCCACCAAAGCAGGTTTCCCAAGGCCGAGCCTCGAGAGCCGGCTGAGAATCATCAGAGACATGACTGATCTTAAAAGAGAAAGGGAGACAGAGAGATGAACGAAAATCTAATTGAATAATTCTCCACCTAAAACCCCTCCTCCATTAAAACACAGGAATAGCCTTGGCCAGCAAGTTTATTTTAATTTTTTTGCTCTCACAGAATCTTTTTAGATATTTTGGATATTTGCGATTCAGTTTTTTTAAATGTCTTGGATCAGTGAACGAATCCTGAAGCAACTTGGATTTCAGCAAGCAAATGGAACTATGAAAGGTACACATGTCTCAAGATCTTTAATAAGTTTACACGTGTCCGAAAAAATCTAACATTACAAACATCTCTACCACAAAACGTACAATATTTACACGCTTGGTTGCTTGAAGGCCTTGAAGAATCTGCTACCTCTTAGGATCTTCAGATTCAGCTCCGTTGTCAAGCTTGCGACGTTTCTGAGGGGATTCACATTTATCGTCTTCAGTTTCAGATTCAGCTTTCTTCTTTGCAGATAATGACGGCTGAGGTGATAGCAATGCCTGACAAGAAGAAGAAGAAGAAAAAATCAACTGTCCGGCTTTGCGTTGGTCCTCCAACATCTTTTCCAAGTATTTAGCGTGCTCTTCTATTCGTAGCTGAAGCACACGTTGCACCTGCACGTTGATTGGTGGTTACAGTAGCAAAGCGTGAGTGTTATAGTACAAAAGTGTAATCGGTTTTATACCTCGAGCTGTTCATGCAATTGCTTCTGAACTTCCATCTGCATACGCAGAGCTTCGGTTAATTGTATTGCCCTGTCCATGATAAATAGAGAGTCGCTTTAGGGTTAATGTTGAAGCAGAAACCAAGCAAGAAACACACAACACAACACCTCACCCTTTCTTTTTCTCATCAGCTTCATTACTCAAAGCCGTTTTCTTTTCTTCCGAGTTATCATTCTTTCTCTCTGTCAAATAAAAGAGGAAAAATAAAGCCAAGGTCAATAGTTATGAAGGAAGAGAGAGAATCTGTGTAATCACAATACCAAGTTGGAAGCTTTACCTTCTTTTTTCTCTGGCATGTACTTGGCTAGTCTATACTTCTGCAAATTCATGATTTTCAGAGATATTCAGCTAATGTGGTATTATTATCTACTTTTGGTCAAACTCAAGCTCATTTAGTACCTGTAAGTGGCTTTTTACATGATAGATCGTCAAGCCTTCAACATTCATGAGCTTCAGAACAGCCTTTGGAGTGGCCTCTACATGTTTTAAAAAGCAACACAGAGTTAAAAGAAGAAAAGAAAACAAAGAATATCTAACCAGTGGCAATCACAAGAATAGCTTCTGTTCTAGTTCTGTTAAGTGCCTATGTAGTAACTCATAATACTAAAACTCACTTTCAGGCCCTTCAAGTTCGGCCACCGACTTTACAAAGCGCTCGTGGAGCTCAGGAGTCCATCTCATTCTCGGCTTGTGATTGGCTGCTGATCCAGGAGAAGGGTGAGATGAAACTGCTTCGATAGACATTGCTCCAGCAACGCAGTTTTGACTTGGACTCGTTCTGGTCACTGGATTTAAAGCCAATGGCGTTTCATAAATCTCCTGCATCAACCAAAAAGCTAAGTGTTAAAAGAGAGTCTAGTCTCACTATTCACATCATCTAAGTGTTAAAGTAACTGATGCAAACTAATGAGAGATGGAGAGACTTAGATTAACTTACATCAAGCCTGGGAGTTTCAGCGCGGTCTGTGATGGCCAGCTCAAGTTCATCAGACAAGAACTGCAATTCCATCTGGTCTGATAAGCAGTAGCTGTCATTCGAACAGTCAAGATCAAGAAAACCGCCATCGGAACAAGCTTCCCCAGAGAGATTAAGGAAATCTTTGACAAGTGAACCGGAGCTGTCTCCATCAAAAGGATTTGCGAAATCCTCACTGAAAATAGGTGGAGATCTCGCAGACTCCGCTTTAGAAGCTGAGTGGGTACTACAAGCTGAGGGATCAGGGAGGAAGGGAAGACTGTTTCCTAGATGTTTCTGAGCCTCAGAGCTCGAAGACGACGACACGTAGAGGTTTGTGCAGAAGGTGGAAGACCGTGAGAACGTGCCCTGAGAACTGTTCTTTGGCCATAGCTGACCAGGTGAATCCGGAGACTGTGATCGTATGAATGGAGATTTCCGGTTATCTGGCTGGACATTTAGAAAGTTATGGGCCGGTGATATAGAAGACGAGCAAGCTTGACGGATTCCTTTGTTGCATTCTTCTTGTGCCGTCGTTGACAAGAGCCTTTGTTTGTTCATGATTTCTTGATCAACTTTGCCAAAATCGGTTTCTTTAAAATCAATCAAGATTGTTGTCTCTTTGCAAGATCCGCCATAGTTTTACCAGCTTGCACTGAGTTATAAATGGCCTACAAGCAGCTGAGAACCAAATATTAATGGAGGAAGATTAGTAGGGATCAACAGATGAACAGATGTATTAGAATAGTGACAAGGATTAACTCAGTTGTGTTATTAACTTCCACAACAAGGCATACAGAATCATTCAATGTTCCATCTTGACTGAATCGCAAAACCGGATCTAAAAATCCAAGCAAACTTAACATGTTTCAGTGTTCCTTGAGAACCAAAATTGTAGAACTAAATCAACAAAAGTACATGCCTTTTGAGTTTTAAATCTACAGAATATTAGAATGTGAAAAAAATCAGATTTTGAGATATTGAGAGGAACAGCGATTAAATGCTGGTTAATTCGCTGTTTTAAGAAATGCTAAACGTGGACCGACATATGAAACTTTGAAAAAGTTACACAAAATGACACGATTAGAAGACGGAAATGAAAGAGAGAAGCTAGGTGAAACCTGAATTTAGAACTCAAAATGAAGATTTTCGAGAAAAAAAAAAGGTATGAATATGAAAGAAGCCTAAGAAGTAGATATGAGTCACAGAGAGAAAATCAAAAGCAATTCTTTAACAGAGGACAGGGGAATAGAAACGGACCTGAGAGGATGATAAAGTCTTCTACTTTTTATACTTCCTGCATATAAAAAAACTCAACACTTTCGAGGAATTATCCCCTCGAGAATCACCAAATGTGACATCAGAAGCGGAAATTTTGAAACTTTCTCTGGGATTACAGAAAACTCGTGTCTCTAAAGAGGAACAAGAGATAAAGTTTATCCAAATCAGAAAGCAAAAGGAGAAGACATAATGGTGATAATTTGGGTTAAAAGGAAGGAGGCGAAGAAGATTTGGCTACGGAGGCTCACGAATCGCCGTCGAGAAAGAGTAGAGAAGTGTTACTGTTCTGTGTTGCCTTTCCTTGATTGGTCTCCGCCTCGCTGGACCGTCTTTTCTTCTACCACGCGCTCTTGCATCGCGTGTGAGTCACGTACTAATGGAATCCATTAGCTCATCTGCCACGTAGGAGCCAAGTGGTTGTGCGGCTTACCACACGCTTGTTATTTCATTTTATCTTTTCCTTTTTTAATTTGATCCAAAATATCAGTTCGGGTTAATGATTGACAACATAAATCATGGAGGTAAAAATTATTAACATCCTGTTTTTTTTTTTTAATTGAGTTGTATAAAATTATTTAGGAAGAAAATTTTGGCGTCAATTATCTCTGTAAGCAGTTTTATTTCAATTTTCAACCAATGCGGGTACTATTGTAGAACATACATTATCTCTGTTATCTTTCGATTGGTATTTATTTCTTTATCATGTAATAATTGAAGATAATTATGTATGTGTATATATAAAGAGGAGATGTACCTTACGTTTGTAATTGGTAAATATTCAACGCAACTTCTTTTGCAAGAGATTGGAGTTCTCTAGTAGTACAAGGAAGCTGGGAATTTGTAAAATGTCAACTACACTTTTATATTACGGCTAACGAAAAAATAGTTGATGCGAATGAGTCTTTGTGTATAATTTAATCACAAACGAAATTTTTTTACCAACTGATTCAATAGTAGGGATTAATTGATAGAGAACGATTAATGAGTATGAAATGGGAAAATGGTTGCCCAAAAATGATAGTGACGGATCTGTGTGGTGCATCATAGTAATCGTGTGAGTATGATTTCTTCTAATGGAAAATTATTAATCATTAAACTTCCAAAAGGAAAGACAAACTATAGTACCATCATCCCTTAAGTTGTATCGATGGGGGCCATTTCTAAAGCCTCAACCACACATATCGGTCCACTTTTTTTTTTGTCTTCTAGTCTCTCTAGTCTTCACCACATAACTAAGATAATGTTAATTTTAATTTCTTGCTCATCATAGAGTATGAGCTCAGCATATGCTTTTATCTTGAAATTATGTACTCTATTACTTTATTAATAAACGAAACGAGTGAATTTACTGAGGCCTACGTATGATTCACCAAAGATATAACCCAATTTCAAATGGTCTCTTGTATTTCTACTTAACCAACAAAAAAGGCTAACATGAAGCTGAGTATATTATAATAGTCCATCATTTTGCTGGAAAATTGAGTACAGAAGTAGAGATGATCTAAGAATGAGAGTGAAGCTCGTTAAACTAATTTAGAAAGATCCGTGATTAGAATTGGTTTAGAATGGGAAGTGAAGAAAGTTTGAGGCACCAAGTGGTAGAATGTCTCGATCCCTAAACAATTTATGGTATTGATTAAAAATGGTTCCAAGTAATAATTGGGTGGTGGGGTATCATCCTTCAATCACTTTAGCCCATTTTGTATCGCTTTCCTAATTCTCAAATCTCATCATACTTATATTCTTTCATATATATAAGAAGAATAAATGTATATTTTCACTAAAGGTTTGACAAATCAAATCTCATTTCTCAGTTTGCATATGCCAATACAATATACCTCAATCTATAGTCCCACAAAAGGTGACCTCTTTTGTCATATGTTTTGTTTTCGACTAGTTTAAGCGTTGGGTCCACTCATTGCTCAATTATTTAGCTTCCAAATGACAACATTGTATTGTTAACACATTTAATAACAAGAAATATAAAATGGGCCTTGTAAAAGGTAATATATTGGGCTAATGAGAAAAAGCCCAAATATAAAAAAGTCCGGTCAAGAGAATCATCAACGGAAAGTCTTGGTGGCGCGTCGTCAAACGTTTTAGCTGAGCGTGCGTACATATACAAAGACCAGAAATATTGAAAATTTTCACATCTTATTTTATAGGCCAGTGACCTCCATTAATGCTCCATTTTTCGTCTCTTATGGGCGTTGACTTTATGAAATCTCTGACAATTTGTATTTCACTCTCCTGAAAACGTGGAGAAAAGGATCTGCATTTGCTTCAAGTTCAACGTCGCCGAGGTTCGTTTTCTTTGCCTTCCGTCAATTCCCAGATTTTGATTTCTTTTACCAGTTTCATGGCTTTTGATCTATACCCAGTAATTGCCCAATGTGATTAGAGTTAGAGAATCCATAATATGGGGTTCCCTGTTCAAATTGGGATTTGCTTACCAAATCCTCTTGCAATTTGGTGGAGTGCGTCGTTACATTTGAGCATTTTGCAGCTTAATTCGATTAAGAAAATCCGATCATTATTCTTGAAATTTTGATGAATGAAGTTGACCGATTTTTGTTTTTGCTTCTTGTTCCCCAGAATTTTGAGAGATGGAAGATGGAAACCCTAGTTTCACAGTGGATGAAGCTCTTGTGGCGATGGGATTTGGAAAGTTCCAACTGTGCGTGCTAGCTTACGCTGGAATGGGTTGGGTTGCAGAGGCCATGGAGATGATGCTCCTCTCTTTCGTGGGACCTGCTGTTCAATCGCTCTGGAATCTCTCTGCACGAGAGGAAAGCTTAATAACCAGCGTCGTTTTTGCTGGCATGCTCGTTGGAGCCTACTCTTGGGGCATTGTTGCTGACAAATATGGCCGCAGGTAACTTTTCTGCAGCTTATTGGGTTTTGTTAGGGGTCTTTTGATCATATATTAGATTCTTTTGGCTTGGTACCTTGTGAATGTTTCCTCAATGAGAAAGGTGTTAAGTTGATTTCTTGATACAACTCTTGAATTGAATGATCTCTGAAGTTATATGTTCAGTCTCTGATCGATCCATCTTGTCAATGTTCTTCAATGTCAAAATTTTGACTTTCTTTGGCTATACTCCTCTGTTTATGGCATCATTTGGATTGATGTTTGTGCTTTATCTTCTTCAGGAAAGGGTTTATCATAACTGCTGTGGTAACTTTCGTAGCTGGTTTCTTGAGCGCATTTGCACCAAACTACACGTGGTTGATCATTCTCCGCTGTTTCGTTGGTCTCGGGTTGGGAGGAGGTCCTGTTCTTGCTTCGTGGTATCTTGAATTCATCCCTGCGCCAAGCCGAGGGACTTGGATGGTTGTTTTCTCATCTTTTTGGACGGTTGGAACCATATTTGAGGCTTCCCTCGCTTGGGTACAGTTTATGCCTTTCTTTACTCAACTTTCATCACAATTTGGAGGCTAGCTTTTTCACATGATAGTGATTATGTAATCTTTTGCAGTTAATCATGCCAAGTTTGGGTTGGAGGTGGTTACTTGCATTCTCTTCTGTGCCTACATCGTTGCTTCTTCTGTTCTATAGGTGGACACCTGAGTCTCCTCGGTACTTAATCCTACAAGGCCGGAAAGCTGAAGCTCTTGCCATTTTGGAGAAGGTTGCGAAGATGAACAAAACGCAGCTACCTAAGGGTGTTCTCATCTCAGAGATGGAGACCGAGCTCGAAGAGAACAAAAGCCTTCCAACGGAAAACACTCATCTTCTCAAGCCTGGTGAAACCGGAGAAGCTGCTCCTGTGTCCATTATAGTACCAAAATCTGACAAGGGGTCAGGTTTTCCGTTACTAACTCTTCTATCTCCAGAGCTAATCAAACGGACTTTGCTACTGTGGGTTGTATTCTTTGGAAATGCTTTTGCTTACTACGGCGTTGTGCTTCTCACCACTGAGCTGAACAATTCCCAAAACAATTGCTATCCCACCGATACAAGGTTGAGTCATTCTTCAAACGATGTTAACTACAGAGACGTCTTCATCGCCAGTTTCGCAGGTACATCGATACATTTCTGTTGTCATCACAAGAAAGCCAAATCGGTTAAAGAAAAGTCTAATCCTTTTGTTTCTTGATCTGTGGCTTGCTCAGAGTTTCCAGGGCTACTGATATCAGCAGCAATGGTGGACAGATTTGGACGAAAAGTGTCCATGTCCTCGATGTTATTCATCTGTTGCATTTTCCTTCTTCCTCTGTTAACTCATCAATCTCCATCCTTAACCACCGTTCTTCTCTTCGGCGCCCGGATCTGCATCTCTGCGGCTTTCACAGTGGTCTACATATATGCTCCGGAGATATATCCGACGGCGGTGAGAACGACCGGAGTAGGAGTTGGGAGCTCAGTGGGGAGGATAGGAGGAGTACTGTGTCCACTCGTGGCCGTTGGATTAGTTCATGGATGCCATCAGACGATCGCTGTTCTTCTCTTCGAGATTGTGATTCTTGTGTCAGGAATCTGCGTTTGTCTGTTCCCCTTCGAGACCAGTGGCCGTGAGCTGACAGATACTATCTCTGCGTCTAAAGAGCCTCCTTCTTCCTCCGTATAGCCAATTCTTTGACCATTTTTTATGGTTGTTTAGTTGTTGAAGCAAACAAAAAATAGAAAAACAGAGTGACTGCAAAAAGAAAAGTTATACATGACAGAGTAGTTAATACTTAATACAGTATAATATCTCATGTAAGATCGAATGAATATATACACTTGTAATTTTGTTAAACTAGTTCCTGAAAGGTTAAAAAGATACTCTTATCCACATGGTAACATGTGTTTTTGCTGTTGATGCGCTTTATAAGTTGATAATTTGGTTTATTGAAGGTTATAAAAGATAGTTTCTATCAGCTTGTGCATTTCGGTTTCCGGATTTTGAAAAAACAGTTTTGAATTAGAATTAAAACCGATTTTTATAACTACTAAGTTTTATATTCTTGCTAGTTATGTATCAAAATGATATAGTAAGTTGGCAAAGAAAAACAAATCTGTATAAATAAGAAATAGTCGTTGGTGGGCATAAATGTAAATTGAGGGTCTTTAGACTGATTAAAATACTCTTTGGTCACGCGATCGACTATAGTATTTAGTATTTACAATTTAGGATCACAGAAATGCAGAAAAGTTGAAGCACTTGATCTATATTATTTCTTTATTAAGCGATGTAGAAAAATGGAATTTACGAAAGAAAAGAAAAAAGATTCTCGGAGTCCCCAAGGGAACGATCTCATCGTAATTTCCATTTTCCACAAAGGGAAGTCACTAAAAAGACAAGGCCAAAGGAAGCAATGCGCATTTGTTTCTCTCTCTCGTAGTAAAAAAGCTTTCCGATTATAAGACGACATTAAATAAAGGTAAGCTCTCACTTTGCTTACATCATTAATGGCAACAAAGTTCTTCTTGGTTCTTACAAAATCATAAAAACAACAAGAAACTAAAACGACACACACACAGACAAACTTTGAAAATTACTGTAAATCTAAATCTACCTACGTATTGGCCTCTTCTTGCTACGTATTTTTACATATATAGAAAGATCCTCTGTCCTTCCCTACATATAAAAGATTCTGTTTTTTTTTCTTTCTTTCTCTCCAGTTTTTTTTTTTTTGAATCAGATCCTTATTCTTGGCCTTTCGATCAGATTCATGGCAACGACTCAATCACACGCCACAGATCTTACTTCAGGTAACGTCACTTACCAACCCATCTTCCAAATTATCCTCAATTGTTTCAGATTCCCGTCTAAATTTGATTCCTTTAACAATTTGATCTCTGCCTTTCCTCTTTCTTGTTTTTAGTCGGTTCGATGTCGTTATCCGTGACATCGCAGCTGATTCATGTTTTGTTTTGTTTGATGTGTTAGGGTTAGTTGATTTTGGATTTAGAATTACGAGCTTCTTTCTTGAAAATTCTGGTAGTGGTCTCATGAATCCACTGTTTACTAAGTAGAGCATAATTCTTTTGGAAGTGTAAAGTTAAAAGAGAATTCGATTTTCTTTTTGCTAAGATCTGGGATGGATCCATACACTTTCTATCTTTAGCTTGGAAACTTGATTTTTGTGTTTGCTAGCTCAAATTCTGAATAACTGTCACTAGGATCTGCTTTTGTTTGCCGATCTCATGCAAATATTCCACCGATTAATTTGAGTTTACCGGTTATGATGAATGAACACAGAGGAGCAACCTGCTAATCTGGACATCATGAAGGAGCAGGTAGTTAATCTGGTTATTTCGAATGAAGATTCTCAGAGACAATAACTTCAAGTCTTTGAATCTGTTCTTTTTTTTTTTGATTTGCAGGCTGTGCCGGCAAACAACGAGACATCAGGCTCTTTTAAGTCCTCCCATGAACCTGCAGTGGTAGTCCATCCAGCTAAAGTTGCTCCATTGACTGGACCGTACGGTTTAGCTGGTGATTTTGCTGCTCACTTACCTAGCAGCATCCTCTCTCCTCAAGCTCAAGGCTTTTACTACAGAGGTTGGTTTCTGATTCATGTGTATAAATATATGAATCACACTGTATCTTCTGAGATCATGGAGTTTGTATTATATCTTTCATATCATTGCTGTTGTTCAAGTGTAATACTACTAGTGGCAATCAAATGTTTTACTTCTCTAGTACTTGAACTAATTAAGGAAGCTAATATGGATTCCTTTGAATGTTGGGGATACAGGTTATGAAAACCCCACAGGCGAGTGGGACGAATACTCTTCATATGTCAATGTTGAAGGATTAGACATCACATCTCCTGTGTGTACTCACTACACTACACCTTCTCTTTTGAGATCTCTTCTTTAAAAATGTTTCCAAGTTGTTTACATTCTTGTTTATCAATTAAAACCAGGTTGGGTTCAATGAGAATGCTTCTCTTGTCTACCAAACCGGATATGGATACAACCCTCAAATGCCATACGGACCATACTCCCCTGCTGCAACTCCTTTACCTTCTGAGGGACAGTTGTATTCGCCGCAGCAGTTTCCGTTTTCAGGTGGATCACCTTACTACCAGCAGGTAGTTCCTCCTAGCATGCAATATATTACTTCTCCAACTCAGCCAGAGCTCACCAGCCTTGTCGGTGTTGACCATCAAGGTGACAACATCGGACCACGCCCTTCCTACCATCCTCATCCTATCGGACCGTTTAATGGAAACCAGCCAAACCTCGGTTTCCCTGAGTGGCAGCAAGGTTTTGATGGAGGGATATGGTCGGATTGGTCCAAGTCTTCTGATATGCACAGACATTCCTCTCCTATTTCACCGGCTTTATCTCCTCAGCCTCTCAGCTCATATGGATCATATGGCCAAAACATTCCTATGGTGTGTTCTCTTATCTAACGCATTAATTGTTGTTTATTCAACTATATATTGATAGTGGATCCCATTCTTTGATTTGTTAGGGATCACAGAGACAGAGATCGTTTTACGGATTTGGATCTGGTTCGAACTCGTATAGCAGAGGCTATATGCATGGTGGTGGTCGTGGCCAGGGCTCTAACTATGGAAGTAGGCTAGTTTCTAACGTTGGAATGGGAAACCAAGGCTGGATAGGGGTTGACAACACTCGAGGGCGTGGAAGGGTTACTGATCCATCATCTCTAGGTGGCGGTTATAACGGTAGTTTTGATATCCTCAACGAGCAAAACAGAGGACCAAGAGCTTCAAAGCCCAAGACTCAGATATTAGCAGAGGATCTTGATTCTTCTGCTGATATTAAGAAAAACAGCAAAGGCAGTGCAAAGGAGCTAGAGGAATCCAACAACAACAATGGTACGGAGTTTGTCACTGACTACGATAACGCTAAGCTCTTCATCATCAAGTCTTACAGCGAAGACAATGTTCACAAGAGCATCAAGTACAATGTGTGGGCTAGCACTCCTAATGGCAACAAGAAGCTTGACGCTGCTTATCGCGAGGCCATGGACGAGAAAGAACCCTGCCCTGTGTTTCTACTCTTCTCTGTACGAGTCTCTTCCTCCTGGATTCATTTTTCTTCTGTATGTATGTATTGCTTACGAGGTTGTGATTGTCATTGCAGGTAAACGCGAGTTCTCAGTTCTGTGGTGTAGCGGAGATGGTTGGACCTGTGGATTTTGAGAAGAGCGTTGATTACTGGCAACAGGACAAATGGAATGGACAGTTCCCATTGAAGTGGCACATCATCAAAGATGTTCCAAACAGTCAGTTCCGCCACATAATATTGGAAAACAACGACAATAAGCCCGTAACTAATAGTCGAGACACCCAAGAAGTAAGTGTCTCTCAAGCTTTCTTGTCCATTAAAAAAAAAACACTTTGTAATCAGAAGCTCACAACCGGAAACTACAGGTGAAGTTGGAACAGGGTATTGAGATGCTTAAGATTTTCAAGAACTACGATGCTGACACGTCGATCTTGGATGATTTTGGGTTTTATGAGGAGCGAGAGAAAATCATTCAAGAACGGAAGTCAAGACGACAGCCTGGCTTGCCATCTGGAGTAGTAGTAGGAGGAGAGAACGAACACAAAGTTGCTTCTGCTGCATTGCCCACAGACTTCATCAAGAACATGTCCAAAAGTTTTGCGCAAGTTGTCCGCTTGGACGATGGCAGCAAAGAAGCAGGCAAAGCTAGCTCATCTCCAGATGGAATCACAACAGCAGTAGCAGTCGTTTCTTCCGGTTAATCCAACTAGTAAGTAAAAGACAAAATCAATTAGCAAAAAGACTATGTTTTTCAAATTCCATAATGATGTTTTGTTTGTTTTAAAAGAAGGGTATTCAAATGAAATTTTTACTGTCTGACCGGGTCTGGTTTTCTTTTTGTGCGTGTGTGTAAAGTAAAGCCTCTTTTCATCACCCTTTTGTGCTTCCCGGGTAAATTAGCAAAATTTGTTTCGTTTTCCCTTCTTTGCAATGTTCTAAAGCCCTCTCTCTTCTCTGGGTTGATAGAAGAAGAAGAAGATGAAGATGATGTATGAAAGACAAATATCATGTTGCTCCTTGTAAAGTTGCTTCATATATCTTTGCAGGCAGTATTTAATAAATTATGTAGATTATTACAACCATCAATTAAAGCTTTCAGCTTTCCACATCTCCAAGTTTTGTTTCTTTGTTGGTTTTTTTTTCTTCTCCACATTATTTGAAAGCTTTGCGAGTCTGATTGTGAAGGAGACAAGAAAGTCCATCAATGCCTATCCATATTTCTTTAATGGATAGAAAAATAAAAGTGAGATTGTTATTTTAAAAAAGGAGTGGATTGTGTGGTAGAGAAGCATGATTCATGACCTTTTCTACAAGCAAAGACAGATCCTGATTTGTAAGATGTTATGAATCACCAACATAAATGTGGATAAGGGCTCGCTCTCTTGTTTTTGGTACTATCCATTTATGAGAAACAAACATGTTGAAAAATGCTTTTATATCAATCTTACTAACGTCAACGAGTAATGTTAGAGCAGAAATTAGCACAATTTCCCTGAGCCCGTCACAATTAATAATACTATGTAAGTCCGGCCCTTCCACTTCCACCTCCTCAAAGAAAAGGAAGTACTTGGAGAAAAAGACTACATCTAAGAAAAATAGAAGGAGATCAACGCCAAAGAAGAATATTTCCAAAAGAAATATGGAAGAATATCTTGAGGAAGCCAACCTCCTCTCCATATAAATAGAAGACCCCCTATTCCTTGAAGACCATTCAGAATCATCACAAGCATCCAGAAATTCTCCACAATCACTGAGAGCAAAGAGGCAAAACCCTAGTTATAATTCGTCCTTTGTTCTTAGCTTCTCTATTCTTTTCGTATTCGTCTCGTCAAGCCTTATCGTCGAGACGAATCACCCCTTGTATCATCTTTGTCTTTGGTTGATCTAATAAAGAGTCTCTCCTAAACCTCACATCTCTTATCTTACTATTACTGTGTGATTTTGAGATCTAACAATTGGCGCCCACCGTGGGGCTGGAGAAAAAACTCTGAAAAAAGTCAATCAAGGTTCAAAGATGGCACCTCCAGCTGATGATCCCAGCACCAGACTGCAAAGTCAACTCGGCGCAGATGGAAACCCCATCGTCCATCCCGTCGAAGTCGACGCGACCAACGGTCACGTCAACCCTCCGCCGCCACCGGTTCCTGACGTAGAAGCTCCCGTCACGACCGCCGCGTTAACCGCCGCCATGCAAGGCTTTGCTGCTCAAATTGCCGCCGAGATGCAAGCTCAGCAGCAAAAGTACAACGACAAGATCGACTCCCTCCACGTCACCAGCGACGGACGAACAGCGACAAGACAAGTGGCCAAGCTGCGCCGCAACCTCGACGCAATCAACTCCAAAGTGCACAGCGCTACCAGCTCGACACCCGACAATACCGGAATCCTTACCGAGACGCAAAAGATTGGTGACAGCAAAACCGTCACCTCCATCTCGTCGTTGGCAGAAACGCCACCTCCATAATCGTCACCAACTTAAGGTCAGCTCAATAACTTTACTTTTCAAATACATATAATAATCTCGTCGAACAACGACGACGACGCCAAGAAGAACGCACCTTAATCACTCTGTCATCCGGATGATATGCTTGCACTTCCATCTCGTCGTTGCCTTCAACCACTCCGTCATTCGGATGATTTGTATGCACCGCCGAAACGGCAAGTCTATAAATAGACTCCGCACAAAAACCGAGCTCGTCGAAGAGCGGGCTCGAGAAGCAAAGCAAAACAGATCTCGTCGAAGAGCGAGGTCGAGACAAAAGAAAAACCGAGCTCGTCGAAGAGAGGGCTCGAGAAGCAAAGCAAAGTCGATCTCGTCGAAGAGCGAGGTCGAGACACAATAAAAACTGAGCTCGGCAAAGAGACTCGAGAAGCAAAAAAACTGAGCTCGTCAAAGAGTGAGCTCGTCGAAGGGTGGAGTAGTACTCCCTACTCGTCGCAACGAACTACGAATGGCTTGATCCCATCATGGGTACGTAGGCAGCCTTTCCAAAGGTTCAGCTATACCTCCAATAAAATTCTATAATCCGTCTGACGAGATGAGCGTTGTAAAATTTTATTCACCTTCAAAGGTACACGTCAACGTTCTGGCCAAACCTCTCGACAACACCGATCTCGTCATCACACAAGATCGAGCGGTCTCGTCATCACACGAGCCCGATAAGACACCGATCTCGTCATCATATACGAAATCGAGCGGTCTCGTCATCACACGAGCCTGAGAAGACACCGATCTCGTCATCATATACGAAATCGAGCGGTCTCGTCATCACACGAGCCCGAGAAGACACCGATCTCGTCATCATATACGAAATCGAGCGGTCTCGTCATCACACGAGCCCGAGAAGACACCGATCTCGTCATCATATACGAGATCGAGCGGTCTCGTCATCACACGAGCCCGATAAAACCAATATCGTCGAAACTCAAATCCGAGAAAAATTGTCACAGCAATCTATTCTCCTTGACGAGACAAAAGAGTCATCTCGTCAAGTCCGAGAGAAATTATCAAAAGCATATTCTATTTGCGGACAAGATTACGTCACTGTACTCTTTTCCCTTCTTATGGTTTTTATCCCATAGGGTTTTTCCATATCAAGGTTTTAACGAGGCAGTACGGATCTAAAGTCAATAACGCAACGCAGCATCACGTCAGCGCAGCATCGCGAGCATCGGCATCGCGTCGGCATCACATAATTATTATTAATTGCTCTTGAGCTCCTCTTTTATACATGAAGTTCGCCGAGATTAAATTGCATTTATCTCGCCAAACTGGGGGGACTTATTGTTAGAGCAGAAATTAGCACAATTTCCCTGAGCCCGTCACAATTAATAATACTATGTAAGCCCGGCCCGCTTCCACTTCCACCTCCTCAAAGAAAAGGAAGTACTTGGAGAAAAAGACTACATCCAAGAAAAATAGAAGGAGATCAACGCCAAAGAAGAATATTTCCAAAAGAAATATGGAAGAATATCTTGAGGAAGCCAACCTCCTCTCCATATAAATAGAAGACCCCTATTCCTTGAAGACCATTCAGAATCATTCACAAGCATCAGAAATTCTCCACAATCACTGAGAGCAAAGAGGCAAAACCCTAGTTATAATTCGTCCTTTGTTTTTAGCTTCTCTATTCTTTTCGTATTCGTCTCGTCAAGCCTTATCGTCGAGACGAATCACCCCTTATATCATCACATCTCTTATCTTATTATTACTGTGTGATTTTGAGATGATTTCTAAAGACTTTATTTCGAAATTATGCAACTCCTTAGTCTATGTAAATATTTGCTACATTTCTAGATCAGATCGGGTCTGACCTCTGTTTATCATGTAGACTGATCTGATCCAAGCTGGTGTATTCTTCAAAACTGTTTTTGTATGTAAAAATGGTGTAAAAGTAACCATTTGTAGCAACAAAAAACAAAAGGGGGCAAATTGTAAAAATAAAAAATAAAAGGGCCAAAAAAGAAGAAAAAGAGGTAGAGAAAACAATAGGCACACAAAATAAGAAGAGAGTCCCAAGGTCAAAAGAATTCTGGAGCCATTGTTGCTGCCTTTGTCACTCTGCAACCTGAACGAACCAGACTAGCCCACGCCACACGCGAATATAGAACCGCAGTGAATGCGTCATATAGCCATTCGATCTCCAAGGTAAACGGAGAGCGATTTGAGATTCGATGAACAGTGGCGATACCGTATCGAAGTCAGCTCAATATTTCTCCTCTTCCGAGGTGTTTTTCCGGCGAGCTGACGGTGATGGATTCTTTTGTTATTTCTCGGCCACCGTATTCGCACTTGTCTTCCTTCTTCTCTACCAAATATTCCGGAAATTTCGATTCTTCAGCCATGCTTCTTCTTCTTCGTCCCCTGCCGTCTCGGTTTCTCCATCTCTGAGCACTCAATCAAGGTAAATGGTTTCGAAATTCCTTTTCATCTCCTGTTCTGTGTTAAAGACTTTCAATTTTGTTCCTTTTTCTCTCTTTGCTGCTTAAATCAATGGAGGATTCTGCAACCATTTTGCTCAACTGTGTTGCTTTCAAATGATCAAATCTATAAACTTTAGCTCTCATGCTTGTAGGATTTCAGTTATAATCGTCTGAGGCTTCATCTAAAGACTTGTTATACGTTTTGCAGAATATCTACACTTGTTTCTGATGAAGATCTGAAAGGCCTGATTGAAAATTTGGAGGAAAGAAATGAGAATGCTGAGATCTGGGAAAATGTTATTCAGAAAAGCAGCCCTCGTGTCTCATACACTGCTAAATCCTGCAAACCGAAAGTAATAGCAAGCTTTAACCTTTCGATCGTCTCTAGTAAGATCTTGTTTTACTTCTCCGTTTAACTGAGAGTTTATTTATGCTTTGGTTGCTTGTAGGATGGTGGTCCTATGAAGTACTTAAGTACTACGGTATTTGAGGACTGCTCGCCAGAGGTTTTGAGGGACTTTTACATGGACAATGAATACAGGAAGCAGTGGGATAAGACTGTGGTTGACCATGAGCAATTGCAGGTTGATAATGCTAGTGGAATCGAGATTGGTCGCACCATAAAGAAGTTTCCTTTGTTGACACCAAGGGAGTATGTATTAGCTTGGAGATTGTGGGAGGGGAAGGACAAGTTTTATTGTTTCATCAAGGTAAAGTTGTGCTACCAAACAAGCAAAAATATGCATATGCTTACCTGAACTTGGAGATCGTTATAGAGCTTGCCTCTCAGCTTATTTTTTTTGCTCTTTGGTTAATATCAGGAATGTGATCACAGTATGGTGCCGCAGCAGAGGAAGTACGTACGTGTGAGTTATTTCAGATCTGGTTGGCGAATCAAGAAAGGCAAGTGTTTGTTTTCAGTTACGTTTGATCCATATTTCTGTTGCATGAATACCAAATACCACAAGTCCGTTTAATGAGAGATTACTCATGGTGAATAAGGTCCCAAGTTGTCTTTGGCTGTGCGAAATTTGTTGGATTCGTTCACACACCCTCTATTCATAATGCTAAGTTTAAACTTGGTGCAGTTCCGGGCAGGAATGCGTGTGAGATCCACATGTTTCACCAGGAAGATGCTGGACTAAACGTTGAGATGGCAAAGCTTGCTTTCTCAAAAGGCATATGGAGTTACGTTTGTAAGATGGAAACTGCACTTCGTAAATACATTGCAACCAGTCATAGACCCCAAGGGCCTGCTTTATCTGCTGTCAGCTTAATGAAAAAGGTGAGAGAGTTTAGTGTGTTTTAATCTGATCTGAGTTTGAATATGCCTTTTCTCTGACATCACACTTGTGTTATCCACGCAGATTCCAACAGAGTTAGAAACTCAGACGGATGACATTACAAACTCCTCGGGAACTACTACTATTGGTCTGCAGACAGGGGAAGGAGCCCAACGGAAGAAACTGTTTAGAACGCCTTCAAAGAAACTGATAGCAAACGGTTTGCTACTTGTGGGCGGTGCAGTCTGCTTGTCTCGTGGTCACTCTGCGTTAGGTGCGAAGGTTGCGTTGGCTTACTTATTGACGAAGCTGAGAAAGCGTGGAGCTCCTCTGAGTCAGACCTCCCAAGAAGCTGGTATTTAAGTCAAAAAGTAAATAGATTTTGTTTGATGAATCATATGCGATTTCTAAACTTATATTAAGCTTGTGTACAGGGGAATGTCTGTTTAAGTGATGAAATGTGTGAATACCTCAATACTCTCATAGAAAAGTTTTGTTTTTGCAATGGCTCTGCGTCTTCAAAGTTTTGTAACCTCTCATAGAAGACTTTTACATTATTGTGTTAATGTGAATGTTAAAATATTGCACTTTACAGAGTCAAGCCTTGAGGATATGGCCAAGAAACAAAAATCCAGACAATCTTAATGTTATTTCTTTCTGTTTCTGCGGTAAACAAATTGTTGTTGTTTTGATGATTCACACGTGTGGTTGAACATACGTTGAAACAAGTGTGGTGGTATCATTGTTTGTGTTTTGCAGTTAGATCGGAGTTGGGGACAACAGTTGTGGTCTCTCTCCTAATGTTTCGGTGTCTGCTTCATTTTTAGCTGTACATTTCTCTATTCACACGTCCAGATTTATTCGCCTTTTCACTCAATAACGTCATTTCTCAAAAAAAAAAACAACAGAAAAAAGAAAAGAAAAACAACAGAAGAAACTAAATTTGCCATTTTTGGTTACTGCCACACCGTTTCGAAAAAATTGTTTTCTTTCATGACCTATCAAGCTTCCTCTCCTCTGGTTTTCGTGTGTTTCCTTCATCCCCAAGGAAACCCGGAATCAACCCTGGGTTTCTCTTTGGATCATCTCTTTTGTTTATTTCACAGATTTTAATCTCCAAGCTTGAAAAGTGTCAACCATGGCACCCAATCTGCAGCCGTCAATACTCTTCATCGCATGTTTTGGAATATTCACCTCCGTTGTTCTTGCAAAAACCGATAGCCAAGACGGTAAGTCTTCTTCCTATTGAATAATCACTTTGAAATGTTGTGATCCGATCTTTTCGGTGGTTATTCAATATCATCTTTGGTAAGAGAAACAAGTTTCCACATCTTATAATTCCTGTTGATCATACCGTATATGGATTATGTTTTGTAGTGTCGGCTCTTAATGACGCATATAAAAGCATGAACTCTCCATCGAAACTCAATGGATGGAGTTCCAGCGGAGGAGATCCTTGCGGTGACTCATGGGATGGCATTACTTGCAAGGGCTCTTCTGTTACTGAAATGTTTGTTTACTTCCTCTCTCATATGCTCAATGATTTTCGCTTCATCGATTTTCATCGTCTTCTTTCGTTTTCTGCTTTTGTAGAAAAGTATCTGGACGTGGACTCAGTGGATCTTTAGGTTACCAGCTTGGAAACTTGAAATCACTGACTTACCTGTGAGAATTTTCTTCCAACTTTTTCGATACCACATCTTTTTTAATCTCTACTTCTTGATCAGGTTCAGGTTGAGTTACATGTTCTGTTTTTGTCATTGTAACAGTGATGTAAGCAAGAACAATCTTAATGGAAACTTACCCTACCAGCTTCCTGAGAGTCTTGTTTATCTGTAAGTATCTTGGAAGCCATTTAGCAATTTATTGAACTTCACTACACAATTTCAATGTCTTAAGCTTAAGTACTTAATAATGCAGAGATGGTTCTGAGAATGACTTCAACGGTAATGTGCCATACTCGGTATCTCTCATGAACGACCTCAGTTACTTGTAAGCCAAAGACACTTAAACTGAATCATTTTAACATATTTTTTTCCCAAGTATCACCATTTTCTTCATACACATTCTTGTCCTTTTTTGTTTTGCTTAGAAACCTTGGTCGTAACAACCTTAATGGTGAACTCAGCGACATGTTTCAGAAACTTCCAAAACTTGAAACAATGTAAGTCACATATATATACACACACACACATGCTAATTGTGCTAGACTACATAAAGTTAACAGAGTCTGTGCTTTTGCAGTGATCTGTCTTCTAATCAACTCACAGGAAAACTACCCCAGAGTTTTGCCAATCTAACAGGCCTTAAAACAGTGTAAGACAAGAAGACACTTTAAACTAGTTTATTTGTACTGTTTCTCACATTGCCATCTTTATAAATTGATAAAATTTTCCTTCCTTTTCAGGCATTTGCAAGACAACCAATTCAAAGGCTCTATAAATTCACTCAGAGACCTCCCTCAAATCGATGATGTGTAAGTATTTTTCAGGCTCCAACACAGTGTCTCTATCCTTTCTTTCATTAATGTTCTTATGAATCTTGCGATGACAGAAACGTTGCCAACAATCAATTCACTGGCTGGATCCCAAATGAGCTGAAGAACATTGGAAACCTTGAGTAAGTCTTATCACTCAGGAACAAAAAAAAACTAAAATATGCAAAAGCATTGATTTTGTTTTTCTTGAACTTTTCTTGGTCAGAACTGGAGGAAACAAGTGGTCCAACAGTAAAGCTCCGTCACCACCTCCGGGGACACGTCATATAGACAGAGACTCATCGGGAGGCGGTGGAGGAAGCAGCAAGGCCCTGATCACCGGAATCATAGTAGCGGTGGCTACTATAGGTGGACTCATTTTCTTTGCAGGACTGATCGCTTTGCTTTGTCGAAGAAGAAACACTCATCATTCTTCTCACTTCTTCGACGAAGAGAAACCAACCGAAGAAACCAAAGGCAAGCCACTCTTCACACCACAATCCTCTCAGATGCTTCAGTTCGACTCTATGGATGACTTCAGAGGGCAAAAGACGGTTGATTCTAATACTTCCGTTGAGACAAGGCCTTCTGTGAAAAGAACATCTTCAGTTAGTTTCAAGAACACTCCTACTTTTCATCTCATACCTTCCTCACCAGTGGTTGCAACCCCTGATCGTTTCGCAAGCCCTGACTCTCCTGATACGCATGGTGTGAAAGTGTTTGCGCTAGCGGATCTGCAGAACTCTGCGGCTGGTTTCTCTCCGAGTCGACTTATTGGTGAAGGAACCATTGGACGTGTTTACAAGGCTAAATATCAAGATGGAAGGGTTTGTATTCTTTCTTTCTTTCATTTTCACTTTTTTATCTGTTCTTGTCAATAAACTTTGTTTAGATATCTTTCTTGTGAACAGAAATTTGCAGTGAAAGAGATCGATTCGTCGCTGTTAGGAAAAGGAAATCCAGAAGAGTTTTCACACATAGTGTCGAACATCTCAAGCATTCACCATCCGAATATGGCGGAGCTTGTTGGTTATTGTTCAGAACAAGGAAGGAACTTGCTTGTTTATGAATATTTCACAAGTGGATCACTCAACAGGTTTCTTCACCAGTCTGATGATTTCAGCAAACCGTTAACTTGGAACACAAGAATCCGTATCGCTCTTGGAACTGCTCAAGCTATAGAGTGAGAATCATCTATCTATAGCTGCTCTTTTGTTTTTTTTCACTTCCCTTTTTCGCTTTTGACATGTAACTTTGTTTTGTCAGGTATCTTCATGACGTTTGCTCGCCTCCATTAGTTCACAAAAACGTCAAATCCTCAAACATATTACTCGACAATGAGCTAACTCCACATCTCTCAGACTATGGCATGGCAAACTTTCACCATGTGAGCTTCTTTCAATATTAGTGCTTCTGAGATACAAAGGTTGATTCCATTTTTGTAACTAATGTCTTCTTTCTTGAAATTTGCAGCGCACAAGTCAGAATCTTGGAGTTGGATACAATGCCCCAGAATGCACAGATCCCTCTGCTTACACACTAAAGAGCGATGTTTACAGCTTTGGTGTGGTGATGTTGGAGCTGCTAACCGGTCGAATGCCTTATGACAGGTTCAATCTCTTGAATATAATCTCCCATAATATGTTATATATATATATATATATATATAGTTATTTCAAGTATCTGAAAATGTTATTGCTTGCCTCTAATCTACAGTGATAGGCCAAAAGGAGAGCAGTCTCTTGTTCGTTGGGCAAAGCCGCAGCTTAAAGACATGGAGACTCTGGAGGCAATGGCTGATCCCGCATTGTGTGGACTCTACTCACCAGAATCTGTATCAGCATTTGCGGATATAGTTTCAATCTGCGTAATGGTACGTATGCTCATTCTTGATTCTCTTATATTGTGTTCTTAAAACATTTTTTTAAATGGTTTGTGAGAATGGATTGCTATTATTTGTTTTGCAGTCGGAGCCTGGTCTTCGGCCTCCAGTGTCAAATGTGGTGGAAGCACTGAAGAAGCTAGTGTAGTCTAGTGCCTCGAGTTGCGTTGATGTGCTTAAAAAGAAAGAAAGAAAGAAAGAAGAAGAAGAAGAAGAAGAAGAAGAAGAATAACCTCTTTTGAAGATTGAGGCTAAAACCTGAGAAACTTCTGATCGAACTCGAGTAGGAACTCAAAAGCTATTGGATACAGGTTTGTATAGAGACATAGGTTAAGGTAAAGAGACAGAGGTTCTGTTATTTATTTGTGTTTTTGTTTCAGATCATACATATCTTAACGTTTAGATTAATCTTTTTATACATTGAGAAAATGGAAAAGAGACTCGTAGTGTCTTAGAACAATACAAAGACATACATTGCTGTCTCTTATAATCCATCATCTACAAGCACACAAATCAAACTGCCGGACAAAATCCAAACATCTGATATTTGCGTAAGAATATCAACAATTAAACAGAATGCTCTTTCTTCTGGTGACTTGTAAACACATTATGGGTTATCAACAATTCAAACGATTTGTTTCTTGTTTAGCATTTACCTAACACGCTTATCTTAATTAAGCCATTCTGATTATTACATTGAAGCTAAGATGAAAGATTCTTGTAGTTGTGAGCTTACTTCATATTATGGGTTAAAGAGCTTTGACAGTCCTAATGCCCATTGTTGTTCCTCTTTCCTTTACAAAGAAAAATTGAAAAATGTAACAACAAAACAAAACAAAGAACTGACAATGTTTTTTCAGTGTCATTGTTGTTTCTTGCTATTATCGACCAATACATGTTCATCTGAGACAGCATTCTCGGAATTGTCTTGGTACGAAGAGTTCCCATCATCCTCTTCGCTGCTCCATTTCCTTATGAACTTAGGAACCATGCTTTTTACATCTTTTGCCTCCGATACTTGATCCATGTCGTTGACTCTTTCAAACCGGACAGCACTCACTTTTCTTGCATTCCCTGCTAGTATCTGTACACCATAAAGACCTCATCAGTTCGAAACAATGAAGATGCTTTTGCTGAAGCACTGGAAAATGTGAATTTGAGCCCATTTACTACCTCTACTCTATAGATTTGATGCTTTTCCTTCTGCTCTTGCCTCTCCTGCTTACCCTCCTCTTCTTCACCGTCTTCTTCCCAGTTTTCCTTCTCAAGAACAACCTTTACACTTTCTCCAGTTTTGGGGATATAGCCAAAGGCCTCACATACAAAACCCGAGACTGTCTCGTATTGAATACCCTGCTTCCCAAATGAACAAACATTTGTGGGTTCATTTTTCACAGAGTAGCTTCATGAGCCATATATCATGTTTCAAGGGCTTAAAAGCTTCTCTGCCTACAAGTGATTTGTTCTTGAGGATGCACTAGAGAGGTGTCAAAGCCAGAGATACAATTACATTACCTCAGGCATCTTCATATTCAGTTCTTCAGATAGCTGGTCAATCGATGTATTAGCATCAACATCATATATACCTTCATCTCTCATCACAATATACCCTGTTTTCTTCTGAATCTCCTCCTATTGAGCCAGAAAATCAGGGAGGCCAGAAATTAATAAGTAATGGAAATAGACCCTTGCTATTAGGCATATAAGTTATACAAGATAGGTTTTATCATATCAGCAGAGAGTTTCTATCTTTCATGTATGATATTCCAAAAGAGATGAAGGTAGGAGATTTACTTTTGAATCGTTTTCATCAAATATTTCACCAACAATCTCTTCGACCACATCTTCAAGAGTTACTAACTGCAGATACAAATTAGATAGGAGAGATATCAGGTAATCGTGGAAGAGAGTGCAGAGAAGCATCAGAGAAGAGCAGCACATACTCCAATGGTTCCACCATATTCATTAAGGACAACCGCCATGTGAACCTTCCTTATTCGGAATTCTCTAAGAAGATTCCAAACAGACATTGAATCTGCAATTCATGACATAGCATTAGATTATCTTCCGTTGAAATAATTCAGTGTGATGAAAATATTTTGTGTTCTGTAACAGAGCACATATCAATTAACACAGCAAATTGATCAAAATGCAGTATGGGTTGGACATCGGTTCTAGATGCAAATACATAGATGATTACCGGGGACAAAGTAAGCAGGTTTATGCGCCATGTCCCCCACAGAAGTACTTTCTAGCAGATCACCCTTCAAAATCAAACACGACATCTTTCATTCTACACAACACGATTAACACCCTAAGAATTACTGGAAGCAATAAAAATAGTCAATGAATCCGTCAAACCTTCTGAACATAATCTAAGAGATCCATAGCATATGCAATTCCCACTATGTTATCTATACGCTGCTCAAATACAGGCACCCTGAAAATAAAGAATTTGAGGATGATCAATAATCCCAAAGAAGGAAAAGCTATTCAAAAGAAAGCATTTGAAAGAAAAAAATTACCTCGAGTACTGATGAGTCACCCACATACTATGGAAATCAACTAGAGTGCCGCTGGCATCAATTGCAACTACATCCACAAGAGGAGTCATCACCTCTCTAACATGCGTATCTTTTATCTCCAGCACATTTTCAATCATATCCTGCAGAGAAATCATTCAAATAACTACACGGTAAAGATTTTAAACGGAAAAAATAAGATGTAACAAAACTCAAACCTGCTCCTCTTCTTCAATAGCGCCACTTAATTCTGCACCTCGTAGCATCAGTTTCAGCTCATCTTCAGTAACATATGGTTCGCTGACACACACACAAAAACAAAACAAAAGGATTATAATTTGAATAGCTATAGGTTAATTTTTTTTTCTTAATCCTGTCAGAGACTATAAGAGATACTATAACAAGTCAAGGCTGATGCATACCTCCGTCCTTTTAAACCAAGAATTTTCAGTATTCCCATTGACAGATATGTGACAACTCTTCCGACAGGATATAATACTAAGGAAAGCCACGCCACTGGCCTGACCTAAATGCACAGTCAGACAACATAACTCATGTATTCCTTTAATGAGATATCTGAACATTTAAGCTACTTCCTATTCAAAATATTCAAATGAACAAACCCAATAGGTGCCAACATAAAGTTTGTTAAAGTGAACCAATGCAAACTTACCACAAGCCTTGCAACTTCTTGAGCATTGTGGACAGCGACACTTTTTGGAGTGATCTCAGTCAGGAGTAATATAGCCACCTATATAGTCATTCAAGTATGAAAACTTAGGAAGCAATGATGTTGATCAAAGAATATCCACACAGAAACAGAAACGGATTGGTACTAACCAACTTCAACGATTTATAAGTTTTTTTATATGACAAACTATTGAATAATCATACGTACTGTCATCAATCCAGTGGCTGCACTAACACCAGCTTCCCCAAATATAGCTGTTGCTGCTTCGGTGACCAGAGCAGTCGCCGCAATATTCACAACTCTACGATCAACCACAAGACCTCAGATAAGAGACAAATTCTCAAGCAATCCTATAAAGACAAATTGCATATAGGTAAAAAGCAGTACGTTGTTCCAATAAGTATAGTCGTCAAGAATCTGGTAACATCACTCCGGAGCATTCTGAATACACCATTCTCTGGCTCTTTATCAGCCAACTCACGCACCTAAGATGAACCACACAAACAGAAATATCTCAAAACCAGTCAGATCAAAGTATCTAAAAACTAGTCCATGGAAGTTACATATATTCTAAGTTAAGCAATGTCTTCTTGCCAATAAGAAATCTCGTTGTTTTACAATCATTTTTTTCTTCCCCATTGAAGAGAATATAAAGATCAAACAAACCCATCAGCCTTCTACATATTTTCAGTATTGACGCTACTCAATAACAAAAAAATGGAATTCTCAAATTCAAACAAGGACATGAATTTACCTTCCACGGCCACAGAGTGGTGATGGACGTCTCTGCCATAGAGAAGAATGCAGAGAGGCTGAGTAGAGCAGCCAATATTAGACCTTGCTCTCTAAGAACCTTAAGAACCTGGTAAATTTTTGGCAATGCATTCTTGAACAACACAAGGCTCTGAGCAAACACTTCATTGCCTGCTTCCACCACACCTGCTGTTGCCAACACTTTCTTGCATCCACACAAGAATACTCCACACACTACTGCTCCTATAACAACTCCACGTTTCAGCAAAACCTTAATCGACTCCAGCTCTTTCTCGCCGGAATCGGAATTTTGTTGACTACCCTCGTGATATTGACTCGAGCTAAACAGCGTAAAGCTACTTCTGTAGCTAACTTCACATCTTCGCCGCAATCTAAAACTCAAATTGGAGTTTTTAGTATAATTGAATGCCACAGGGAGTGAGTGCAGCTCAGTTCTCGGAAGAAGTCTCCCTGAAAGCTTCGATTTTTGACCATAACTCTTCAAATTTGAGGCTTTTGTGCCAATGACAGATCGACCCAGAACCGATAGTTCAAGTGCCATACCCGTCATAAGAATCTGATAACAGAAGACCCTAGAGAAAATACCCAAAAAGAAACAGAACCACCAAGAGAGCTCGATTAAAAAATTCCACCGGTAAGTAAAGCGTGGGAAGAGCCAAAGTTTGAAGACGGCTCCTCCTCCTTATTCAGTCAACTATCTAAATGCTCAAAAGCGTGTAAAATTGGTACACCAAAAGGGTAGTTATCTGTTTAATCAAAGCAAAATGAGAAGTTAGGGTGCATAGCTGAAAAAGGGAGAACCCCTCCGGCAGCGAAAAGCCGAAAATGGTCTTGTTGCGGAGAAAAAAGGCGCAGCCTTTCCTCCGTCAAAGACCAAAGTCGTGAGCAAGTGGCAGAGACGGTTAAATGACACTAATAGCCTTCTCGTTCCCACCAACCAGCCAACCACGCAAAACGGGATTATTAAACCGGCCCGGTTTGTTCGTAGATCATAAAAAGATGATGCCATGCTTCTGTACTAAAGAACATGCATGATACATGCTTCTGTAGCCGATCGGCATATTATATATACATATCCTGAGCTTGCGTGATACATTCTGAGCTTTAAACTCTGTTTATCAAATATTCATATTTTAAAATCAATATTAAGGAACATTCTGTGAAAAGGTTCACATGTCAGAAGAATGAACATCTTTTATTGCATTACATAGAAGTAGCGTTACAGAATCATCGGTTACTTGGCTTAAACATTACAATGCTATAACTAAAAACAAAAGCTTTTAACAAAACTATATGATAACTTCATAAGTGTTTCTTTCTTGTGAATTATAATCCAGCTACTGTTGTTGCAGTTAAATTAAATTCAGGCTCAGAAACTCATGCCTCCCTAAATTGTTTTCTTTTTCATCGTCATCACTAAGAAAACAGAGGATTAATCAAAAACTGGAACTTGATCTTGCGGTGTATTCAGCCACCAGTTTAGCAAAAGATGAAGATTTGTCCTCCAGCAATCTCACTGGCGAATCATACTCCTCAATGATCCCTGCACAGGCAAAAAAACAAGACACTCCTCCTCAATGATTCATCATGTGCACACATGTTTCTGCAGAATAAATTCGAGTTTCAGACGAACCATTGCTTAGAAGCAGAACCATGTCGCTGTCAATAACCGAAGATATCCTGTGTGCAATGGTTATCACTGTACAATCTGCGAAGTGTTCCCTTAACGTTTTCTGAATAAGATTGTCAGTTGCAGTGTCAACAGAAGCCGTGGCTTCATCGAGCACCAAGATCTTGCTTCTCTTGAGAAGCACTCTCCCAAGACACACAAGTTGCCTCTGTCCCATACTCCAATTCTCTCCATTCTCACTCACAGATGAGTCTAGTTTTTGCTCCTTTCTCCTCACCTCATCTCCTAGCTGACACTTGTCAAGAGCCTAAAACACATTGTAAATCATTAGTCAAGAAGTGAACATTCTTTTTTTTCCTAGTTAAGGAAAGACAGAAACTAAACCAACCCACCTCCCATATTTGATCATCTGTGTACTCTTCAAGAGGGTCCAAGTTACTTCTCACTGTTCCTTCAAACATGGTTGGATCTTGGGGAATTATACTTAGCCTTAGACGCAAGTCATGCAGCCCAATGGTCAATATATTCACTCCATCTATCCTGATTTCTCCAGCTGATGGCTCTACAATGCGGAAAAGGGTCTGAATCAAAGTCGACTTCCCGCTTCCTGTCCTTCCTACAATTCCTGTTCTTAAACCTCCTTTGAATGTGCATGTTATTCCCCGCAACACAAGTGGCATATGTGGAGCATATCGGACCTAAAAATGTGTCAATTTTTTCCAAATGGTTAAGATTTAAAATAAAACAAGTGGTGGATCTTGATGGATACCTGAAGATCACGGATGTCCACTTCTCCACGTGAAGGCCATGATTTCTCAGGTCGATTTGACTCTATCACAAGAGGTGGCTCACTGGGAACACTTGCATACTGAAGAATCCTCTCCACCGATATGATTTTGTTCTCAAGATTACAGAGAGTCCAGATCAGCCAAGCTTGCAGAGTATTCAAACTGAGTCCATAAGTCACGGCTAATCCCGCGAGGCTTGGATCAATCACTCCAGTAGGTATGGAGATCAGGAAAACAAGTGAAAAGGCAAATGTAACCGAAGATAACATACTAAGGCGAAGCAAAGCCATTCCATTGCTCCAGCTGAATAGAATTTGGGCCTAGAGTAACCATCATTTAGCCTCATGTTGTCACAACGGAATCTAGATTCTTGACTGAAACTCCTGATGGTTGTTGACCTGAGATCGTTTCAGCAAAATGCTGAATCAGAGGGGCTTTGCCTACTCCAACTAACCGCGAAAGTTCTCGTGCTGCAGCTATGTAATATCGCTGCAAAGTAGAAAACTTTTTGTCACAACTTCGTCACTTAAATAAACTTGGCAATTTTTTTGACAGAATCAACTGTTATGGAAGACTAAGATTGTAAAGAGTAAACTAGACCGTACCTGATACCATATGGAGGCAGCAACCACAGGGATGAAGACAAGAAAAACCAGCCAAGAAACCTGAGACATAACTCCAATTATTCCTATAACCTGAATGCCTGTGATAGCAACGCCTCCAAACTGATACGGTATGTCCAAATCCACCGCAGATTGGTCCGTAGAAGCCTAAAGCAAGAAAAAGAAAAAAATAAACATTGATCACAAAATAGATATACATATGGAAATGCAAAAATAACTGTAGTGGCCAGCGACATACTCTATTCATAATTCTTCCACTTGGAGTGGAATCAAAGAAAGACATCGGCGAACGGAAAATGCAGTGATGCATTCTATGAAACAGTTCAGTGGCAGTCTTGTAACAAGCGGTGACAAGAAGTGTGGCTCTAAAAAGAATGCAGAGGGAACTTCCAACGGCCAAAGCAACATACACAATCATTAACGTAGAAAGATTCACAGGAGCTTTCACATCTTTAGAAACAGGAGTAGCCCAAGCCATCTAGTAGTTGCTTCCAATCTGTAGAAGCTGAAACAGAACTTGTGCCAACAATATGAAAGGCACAAGAGCTCCTCCGTACGCCAGTGTGATGTATTTCCAGTATACACTCAAAGCGACGCTACCTTTCTCCCTCTCTTCCTCTTGCACAAGTTGTCTTTGAGGCTCCCCAGAGTCTGGTTTGTCGTTCTTCAAATCTTGACTTTCTTGTTTCCCGTCAATCCCAATACCATCATCTCTCACAACACCCTTTGCTTCACCTAAAGCTGATTTCTCAGAGACAGAGTTGGTATCAACCGAACTAACTACCGCCAGAGCCTCCTGATGCGCACCTATAAGCTCCATGAAATCTGTTCCAGAGTTGAGGATATCATTGTATTTTCCAGCTTGGCTGATCCTTCCATCTTTCATGACCTGAGACAGAAGACAGATGATTCCCTTTTATCCTCTCCTTTCTGGTAATTTTTGATAATAGAAAGTAAAACATTCACATACCAGGATAAGATCAGCAGCAGGTAAGAACTCAACTTGATGAGTTACATATATAACAGATTTGGAACAGAGAAGCCCCAACAAAACTTCCTGAAAGAAGCATGAGAAACAAAACTCATTTGATACTTGTTTTTCACACAAGGAAAAATCACAATCACACAAGGAAGACAATAAAAGACAGAAGAATGTTACCTTAAAGAGATGTGACCCTGTGTGTGCATCCACAGCACTAAAAGGATCATCAAACATGTAGATATCTGCATCTTGGTAGAGAGCTCGTGCAATCTGTATCCTCTGCTTTTGTCCACCACTCAAATTGATGCCGCGTTCTCCAATCACAGTCTGATCCCCGAACGAGAGTATCTCCAGATCTTTCTTCAAAGAACATGCTTCAAGAACCTTTTCATATCTTTCCCTTTCCATAGGCTTACCAAACAAGATGTTGTCCTCAATTTTACCGCTCTGAATCCAAGGAGATTGTGCAACGTACGCTTTTGTCCCACAAACCTTAAGACTTCCAGATATCTTTGGTACTTCTCCTAGTATAGACGAAAGCAAGCTTGATTTTCCAGAGCCAACAGTACCACAAACTGCAACCTTCATCCCAGGAAAGACCTTGAAGTTGATGTCTTTGAGAGTTGGGTTAGCAGATGAAACATCCCATGATAAAGTGCTGTTTGTCACCTCCACAGCTATGTCTGAACTTCCCTGAGGAAGCCTCTCTACAACATCAGGTTGTAAATTGTCTAGACAAAGATAGGATGCAATTCTATCAAGAGAGACTTTTGTTTGCACAAGCATGGAGATAGTGTCTGGAAGATTGTAGATCGGCACTTGTAGAATCCTGAAGGTTGCAATCGCTGAGAGTATCTTTCCAGATTCAAGGGGAATGCCAAGAAGTATACAAGCACCAAAAGTGGAGACTGAAACCAAAGTAGGAGCCACCCAGAAAACAAAGCTTATGATAGCCGAGTTATACACATACTTTTTTAGCCACCCCTCTTCAGATTTCCTAAGATCGAAAATCTTTGACAGAAACTTCATTTCCCATCCCTGGAGTTTGAGGATCCTCATGTTTCTTAAGATCTCAGATGATGATTTCATCCGGTTATCCTTAGCTTCCATTAACTTCTCCTGAAACCTCTCTTGCATTCTCCCAAAAGGAACATTCAGCAGCATAACTAGAATGGTAGCAATTAAAGCCGCTAGTGATGCTAATCCAAGATTTCTATACAAGATCCACAGAGCTAGACCGACTTGTAACAAAACTAACCATGGATCATGCATATACCAACTAAAACTATCAATCCTCTCGGCATCCACAGTCATGAAATTTATAATCTCCCCACTTGTGCGTCCTTGCTTTGACTGGCATGAAAGGGTTAGACCCTTTTCGTATATCATTGCAACCAAGGAAGATCTCATCCTAATACCAACCTTCTGCAACCTAAAGAACCAATGTCTCTGTGCGAGGCACTCCACGAGCTTAGCAACAAAGAAAGTAATGACTAGCACATACCCCTCGTTGTTGTACTGTCTACGTCCATTAAGGTACTGAACGAATGTATCAATGAGTGCCGGCCCAACATATGACGAAACCGTGTAGATGAAAGCTAAGAATGCAGTCACCATAATCTCCCACTGAGCCGAAAAGAACAACGCTTTTATGAGCTTGAATGTGGTCACACCACTTCTCTCACCACCATCTGATGACTCGAGCATAGTCCTAAACTTCCGAGCTAACCCGACCACGCTGTCATTCTCATGAAGCTGCGGAACATCTTCTAGATCAAGAGCTTTCATGTTTCCAAGGTTTATCAATGGACTCATCCAAGAGAAAGTCAGAAGACCGAGAATGCCAGATCTAGAGTAGGGAGTAGCCTCATCACTCCCATTGGCCTTATTCAACTCTACACTAGAATCTCCATTCAACAGTGGTTCTTTCAAAACTCCATTGCAGTTGTCTCTAGCTTTTTTGAAGAAAGCCACATAACCAAGAAACAAAACAGCACTAAAAGAAACTATATCGTACACCAGAAGATGAACAGTCACGGTTTCGTGTCTCTTGTACATAACCATATCTACTAAAAGAGAGTAGCAAGAAACCGCGAGATACAAAACCAACCAAAGCTTTATAAAAAAGGGGAACTTTTTATGCTCATAATCACTGCAGCGATGCAGGCAAATCGACAAAACCCCCCAAGAAACCATTCCCAATAGAAACCCGACGAGAGAAACTAGCTGTTCTTCATCTGACCAACCACTCTCGTACCAATGGAAACCACTCAACGACATCAACACGAGATTAAGCATAGAGAGAGCTAGACTACAAAACAGAGCCGACTTAAACCCGAAATCCCTCCTAAATTTCAAACTCTCCGTAAGAACAACATAACCATTATTTCTCCATATTTTGTCATGCACCCATGAGCAAAACAGCACAAGTAACAAAACCGCGTGTAAGAAACCAGAAACCCATCTTAGGAAAAGAGGTTCCAGAAGCAAAGACCTAGAATCTGGAGGCAAAATAGATTCCGAAAACGAGAACAAGACTGTTAACATACCGTTATCCTTCGTGGAACCAAGAAAGTCCATGGCTTTGCACTTCTCTCTTCTCTCTAAGTCTCTCTGTTTTCGAATGATTTCAGAAAAAGGTTCGTAGTTAATTATTTATGATGAGTTTTCAACGAATGAGAAGTACTTATAAAACGAGAGTGGAATGAGCTGACGAGATGATGTAGACAGTATACCTTGGAGAGCAAGCCCAAGAAACTACGAAGAAAGAAGACAAAACAGTCCTCTCTCTCTCTATCTCTCTCAAACCCCACCAAGAGGAGGCTATGGCCACTTTGGTGGCCAAAAGGCTTGTTTCTTCCTTTCTTTTTTCGCCTTTCCCGAATCTTTTACAAGGTGAGCCTGATTTGTTGCCAAAGTATTATTATTGATATGAATCTTCAAGGGAAAAAAGTAACAAAATGGGTTTTATGATTTTACATAGTGCTTATTAATTATCTTTCTTCTGTATAAACTATCTTTTTTATACACCTCTACTTTTTGTAAATCTGTTTCAGTCTCTGCTTTTAGAGCCATACAATAGAATTTATAGAAAACTTTTAATAATTTTTATTTTTTCCCTTATTTATAAGTCTCATTGCAAAAAGAGCATATAGAGCCAAGTTTTTACCAAAGCAATTCTAGTTGACTTGTCAACTACTGTATGTACTGCTGTATGTCTGATGGTAGGGTTTTCCTTACTTAAATGAAGATGTCTTATTTACCTCGAGTACTGATGAGTCATCCACAAGAGGAGTCATCACCTCTCGAACACGAGAATCCTTTATCTCCAGCACATTTTCAATCAAATCCTGCAGAGCAATCATTCGAATAACTATAGGGTCAATATTTTAAACGAAAAAAACTATGATGTTACAAAACTCATACATACCTGCTCCTCTTCTTCAATAGCGCCACTTAATTCTGCACCTCGTAGCATCAGTTTCAACTCATCTTCAGTAACATATGGTTCGCTGAGACACACACAAAACAAAACAAAAAAAAAAAGATTATAACTAGGATCAGCTAACTTTCAACAAGGAGAAAGGCGTAAAAATAATGCAGCAAAACCAATCAAATATTTTTTTCTTTAGCCTGTCAAAAACTATGAGATACTAAAACAGGTCAAGTCCTTTTAAACCAAGAATTTTCAGTATTCCCATTGACAGATATGTGACAATTCTTCAGACAGGATATAATATCGAGGAAAGCCACGCCACTGGCCTGACCTAGATGCATAGTCAGACAATATAAGTCATGTATTCCTTTAATGGGATTATTTGAACAGTTAAAGTTATTTCCTATCCGAAGATTCCAAATTGAGCAAAGCGAATATGTAGGTATCCACATAAAGTTTGTTAAATTGAGCCATTGCCAGTTGATTCAAACTTACCACAAGCCATTGCAACTTCTTGGGCATTGTGGACAGCCACACTTTTTGGAGTAATCTCAGCCAGGACTCCAAAAAGTCTTAATGATCTTTATATCATTGAAGAGAATATAGAAAGATCAAACAAACCCAACAGCCTTCTACATATTATCAGCATTGGCACTACTCAATAACAAAAAAAAAAAAGGAATTCCCAATCAAAACAATGACGTGATTGTACCTAGCACGGCCACAGAGTGGTAACTGACGTCTCTGCCATAGAGAAGAATGCTGAGAGGCTGAGTAGCGCAGCCAGTATTAGACCATGCTCTCTAAGCTCTGACCAAACATTTTTGAACAACACTAAGCTCTGACCAACAAAATCCCGATTCCGGCGAAAAAGATTAAGATTTTGTTGACTACCATCGTGATATTGACTCGAGCTAAACAGCATAAAGCTACTTCTGTAGCTAAATTCACATCTTCGTCGCAATCTTAAAACCAAATTGGAGTTTGTAGAAGAATTCAATGCCATAGTGAATGAGTGCAGCTCAGTTCTCGGGAAATTTCTCCTCGAAAGCTTCGATTTGTTGACCATAACTCAACAAATTTGAGGTTTTTGTGCCAATGAAAGATCGACCCAGAACCGATAATTCAAGAGCCATAAATGTCATAGAGAATCTGATTACAGAAAACTCTGGAGAAAAACCCAAAAAGAAACAGAAGAAAAACAGAACCACCGAGAGAGCTCGAGAAAAATTCAATCGGTAAAGTATGAAGAAAGATAAGGCGGCTCCTCCTTATTCAGTCAATTCTCTAAATGCCCAGAAGCGTGAAAATTTCAAAACGAAACGGTGAGATGGAAACTGAGAAGTAGGGGTTCATAGCTCGGAAGAGGCCTCCGGCAGCGAAAAGCCGATAAAGACTGCGCCGTTTCCTCCGTCGAATTGTTTTTTCAGACTAAACCGGCGCGGTTTGTTTCATCGACCGTGATTTTTTTATTTTTTTAAAAACCAATTCGGTTTGCTCTTCAAAGAAGGTGTTAACGTAACATGGAGACGCACAATAGTCTTTTTTTTTTTTTTTTTTTTTTTTTAACCCATATTTGGGTAACTTTTATTTATGAGTAACGAAAAACGTTACAAGCCATGACACCAGGTCACACAGTTTTTTAAAAGTAGAAACAAGTACTGAAAAAGCTTATGGGTACATTTGATACCATTACACAATCGAGTCTTCCGCATCGATTGACTTCTAGGATAATGAGGGTGAAAAGCATCTAGCCACGTCCACCTCTCTTTCCACGACCTCGATTACATCTTCCACCACCTGCAACTTGCCAAATCATCTCTTTAGCTTTTGTTGACGGCTTCACTGGTCTTTCTCGAAGGATTCTTTGACCCAAAGGTGTCATAAGGTCCGTCAAGTCAGACTCTTTGTCTAAATCTAACGGCACTTCTTCTTCCTCCGGAGAAACCAAAGACACATCTTCCTCCTCAAAAGAAATCAAAGATGCGAACTGGTTAGAACCAAGAGAAAGCTCAGCTTGCTTACTTTCCTGAACAGTGGCACGAGTAGAAGGAGTGGAGGCTGGTAACAAGGTAGCTGTCTTTGGTGAAAGACACTCAATGGGATCAACTATCTTTTCTGGATGTACTAAACTTACATTCTCTGTTGGCAAAGTAGCTGAATCTTCGTAACTGTTTGTGTGACTTCTTTTCTGGAGACACACAATAGTCAAATACAATGGGATTTTATTCTTCGTAACTGTTTCGATTAGAACAACAAAGTGTATGTAAATGAAAAAGAAAAACAAACAAACAAACAAACAGGTCGAGTTAGCAAACAAAAAGTTCACCATTCGTCTCCTTGAGGTGATATTCTCCTCATGGCAATATGCATACACCAGAAAGAACATAGAGCCTTATCAAGCCACTCGTACTCATCAAGGAGTGTGTAACATACTGGATACGTGCAACGATCCTCACACATAGCGCATATCAGTCGAGTGCTGCTATTGTTTGGAATAGTTTTCACTTGAAAACCATGGCGACTAAATGTTGAACCAACCTTCATATAATAGGAGGACCCGAATAGGCATAGACGATGGACCGTTGTGCAGCATTCGTCGCACGTGTAGAACCATTTCTCCGGATCTATTTTTGTTTCGCATACTTCACACCAGTAAATGCCATCATCATCATCAACGCCTTCTCCTCCATAGCAGAGAGTGAGAGGATGCTCATCATGTTTGTAGTGTATCTCAGTAGGAATGGTGGCACATCGGTAGCACATAACAAACTCGCATTCCATACAATGCAGACGAAAATATCCTACCTTTTCCTCGCAAGCCGGGCATCTTTCCATAGCCTCACCGCCATAAGATACAAAGTTGTAGAGTAGATGTTGATGACTTTTGTGGGTGAATAAATGAGGCATTAAAGTGCATCGAATCTCTATGTGAAACTCTCTTCTAAGGCAAGCTTTGTCAAGGCATTTGTACCTAAAACCGTTGGAGTTTCGGGTACAAGCTGAACAGGTCATGGCATTGTAGTCCTCAAGAGGACTCGTGTCAAGAACAAGACTATGTTTATGCAACACATGGTCCAGTTTTCGAGGGAGGCCAGCACATACCTCATGGAGAGAGTAACTGCATTGGTTGCAATCGTAGAAAGGATGGACATTGATAGGAACGACGCACGCCTGGCATTGCTTTGTTGCGTCTCGAGCACCGTCGTACTTGTCGAGCCTTAGATGATGCTCATGATCGAAGTACTCGATCAGATCATGGCCTACTTTCTTGAATGATGCAACATCTTCATCAGGTTCGTTTTGGTCTTCTGGGTCCTCCCATTCCAGCTCTCTTCCATCCCAAACTGTATCATGTGTTGCACATTTGGAATGAAGTACATAAGAGCAGTCGTCATGATGGCATGAATACTGGCCGTATCTGGTATCAACTGCCTTGTAACAAACTTGACATGACAAAACTTCACGTGGGAGGTAAGGAGCGAGAAAAAGACGATGATGATGGCGTGTGAGCTTAATGACGCGTGGTAAGTCCATGCAACTCTCATGGACCATGTAGTTACATTGAAAACAAGTGTAACTTGTTTCCCATGCTCTAACCAAGCCACACGCATCACATGGAACTAAGAGTGGTCGTGGGAGGAAGTAAAGTGGATGGTGATGGCTTTTTGGGTTGTGTATCGTAAGAAGTGGGGTCTTTTCGGAGCAAGGTAGACACAAGCGAAAGCTGCAAATAGAACAAGCATAAACCCATGTGTCGGGCTTGTTTACACACCAACCGCATAAATCAAAGTTGATACGGGATCGGGATCGAGTTTGAACAACGTTGTTGTTTTGAGGGATCTCGTCTAGCCGAGTGAAGGTGAGAGGATGTTGGAGGTGATATGGGTGTGTTATTTGCTTGGAACGCAAGTGACAACCATCGTGAAAATCCACATCGCATGTGGTGCAGTGGTAATGGAAACGGGGCCGCAGAAATTGTTTTTGCTCACCGCACGCAAAGCAACCGGCCTGAATGGATCCACGGGTTCGGGTTCGAATAAAGAGGGTGTGAGGGAGAGTTGGATGAGATACAGGGCATTTGATCTCGCAACTCTGATCTACTTCTTTCTCCTCTCTTTCTTTTTTCTCTCTTTCTTTTTTCTCTCTCTCTTTTCTCTCTCTTTTTATTTGTTTTCTCATTTGCTTACTGTTCATGATTGTTGTTGTGTTGTGTGTCTGAAAAATTATATTGTTACTTTCTTTTATAAAGATCGATGTGGAGTTTGAATGAGTGAATGAATGGAAAAAACAAAAAAGGGTTAAATTAATTAACTAGCTGCCCCATACTTCTATGCTAAGCAATTAATAATCAGCCTGTATATTATATACTATTGAGAAATTACAAACCTAGAGAATAACGCTGTTTGCCTAAACACAAGGACACTCTGACATGTGAGAAGTATAGTTTTACAACCAAGGAGTTAATACATGCAGCATTTTCGATACACTGTACGTTTAAGCATAAAAAACGGATAAAAGACTTTTTTTTTTTTTTTTGGTGTCGATGGTTAGTGGAGAATTTGTTTACCACGTCCTGTCTCCAGTGCAGCTTCCAGGCTGTCCCAGTTGAGTTTACCTCATAAAAAACGGATAAAAGACTTCTTTTTTTGTGTGTCGATGGCTAGTGGAGTATATGTTTAGTTGTTTACCAAGTCCTGTCTCCAGTGCAGCCTCCAGGCTGTCCCATTTGAGTTTACCTCATAAAAAACGGAAAAGAGACTTATTTTTTTGGTGTCGATGGCTAGTGGAGTATTTGCTTACCAAGTGTGCAGCCTCCAGGCTGTCCCAGTTGAGTTGACCTCAGTTTTAAATTAGAGTCTCTTTAAAATACAAGTGCAAGGACACTCTGACGTAATAAGAAGGTGTTATAGTAAGACCAAGGACAGTTAATGGCTTAACGCATGCAGCATCTTCAATACAAGTTTAACCACTTCATTGACCATTGGCGTTTCCTACTTCATTAACCAATCTAGAACCCAACCAGTAATCCGGTTTCGATTTGGTTCGTTTACCATTCTCTTCTCCAATATTCTTGACCGGTTTTATGAAGTTGTTGGAGTTGAGCTGAGACTCAAGTCAAGTGAATCTAGACACTCTTATAATATATAACTGTAATAGTTTGTTTATTTAATTAACTTTAAGTAGCGATGTCACTAGGAACAAAAACTGCAATAGGTGCTTCTTTCTTGTGAATCTACAGTGAATAAAATTCAGGCTCGGAAACTCATGCTTCCCTACGTTTTTTCTTTTTCATTGTCATCACTAAGAAAATAGAGGTTTATTCAAATTGGAGCTTGATCTTGCGGTGTATTCTGACACGAGATTGGAGAAAGATGAAGACTTGTCCTCCAGCAATCTCACTGGCGAATCATACTCCTCAATGATCCCTGCACAGAGAAAAAAAACAAGACATTCCTCAATGATTCATCATGCGCACACATGTTTCTGTAGAAGGAATTCGAGTTTCAGACAAACCATTGCTTAGAAGCAGAACCATGTCACTGTCAATAACCGAAGATATCCTGTGTGCAATGGTTATCACTGTACAATCTGCGAAGTGTTCCCTTAACGTTTTCTGAATAAGATTGTCAGTTGCAGTGTCAACAGAAGCCGTGGCTTCATCGAGCACCAAGATCTTGCTTCTCTTGAGAAGCACTCTCCCAAGATACACAAGTTGCCTCTGTCCCATACTCCAATTCTATCCATTCTCACTCACAGATGAGTCTAGTTTTTGCTCCTTTCTCCTCACCTCATCTCCTAACTGGCACTTGTCAAGAGCCTAAAACACAGAGTAAATCATTAATCAAGAAGTGAACATTTTTTTTTACTAGTTAAAGAAAGACAGAAACTAAACGAACCCACCTCCCATATTTGATCATCTGAGTACTCTTCAAGAGGGTCCAAGTTACTTCTCACTGTTCCTTCAAACATGGTTGGATCTTGGGGTATTATACTTAGCCTTAGACGCAAGTCATGCAGCCCAATGGTCAATATATTCACTCCATCTATCCTGATTTCTCCAGCTGATGGCTCTACAATGCGGAAAAGGGTCTGTATCAAAGTCGACTTCCCGCTTCCTGTCCTTCCTACAATTCCTGTTCTTAACCCTCCTTTAAATGTGCATGTTATTCCTCTCAACACAAGTGGCATATGTGGAGCATACCGGACTTGAAGATCACGGATGTCCACTTCTCCACGTGAAGGCCATGATTGCTCAGGTCGGTTTGACTCGATCACAAGAGGTGGCTCACTGGGAACACTTGCATACTGAAGAATCCTCTCCACCGATATGATTTTGTTCTCAAGATTACAGAGAGTCCAGATCAGCCAAGCTTGCAGAGTATTCAAACTGAGTCCATAAGTCACGGCTAATCCCGCTAGGCTTGGATCAATCACTCCAGTGGGTATGGAGATCAAGAAAACAAGTGAAAAGGCAAATGTAAGCGAAGATAGCACATCAAGGCGGAAGCAAAGCCACTCCATTGCTCCAGCTGAATAGAATTTGGGCCTAGAGTAACCATCACTTAGCCTCATGTTGTCATTGCGGAATCTAGATTCTTGACTGAAACTCCTGATGGTTGTTGATCCTGAAATCGTTTCAGCAAAATGCTGAATCAGAGGGGCTTTGCATACTCCAACTAACCGCGAAAGTTCTCGTGCTGCAGCTATGTAATATCGCTGCAAAGTTGAAAACTTTTTGTCACAACTTCTCACTTAAATAAACTTGGCTAAACATTGACAGAATCAACTGTTATGGAAGACTAGATTGTAAATTCTACTAAACCGTACCTGATACCATATGGAGGCAGCAACCACAGGGATGAAGACAAGAAAAACCAGCCAAGAAACCTGAGACATAACTCCAATTATTCCAAAGCTGAATGACTGTGATAGCAACTGATTCCAAATTGATATGGGATGTCCAAATCCACCGCAGATTGGTCTGTAGAAGCCTATAGCAAAAAAAAAAAAAAAAAATTGATAACAACATAGATAGATGGAAATCGTCATAATACTACTGTGGCCAGAGACATACTCTGTTCATGATTCTTCCGCTTGGAGTAGAATCAAAGAAAGACATTGGCGAACGGAAAATGCAGTGATGCATTCTATGAAACAGCTCAGTGGCAGTCCTGTAACCAGCGGTGACAAGAAGTGTGGCTCTAAAAAGAATGCAGAGAGAACTTCCAACGGCCAAAGCAACATACACAATCATCAACGTGGAAAGATTTACAGGAGCTTCCACATCCTTAGAAACAGGAGTAGCCCAAGCCATCCAGTAGTTGCTTCCAATCTGTAGAAGCTGAAACAGAACTTGTGCCAACAATATGAAAGGCACAAGAGCTCCTCCGTACGCCAGTGTAATATACTTCCAGTACACACTCAAAGAGACGCTACCTTTCTCCCTCTCTTCCTCTTGCACAAGTTGTCTTTGAGGCTCCCCAGAGTCTGGCTTGTCGTTCTTCAAATCTTGACCTTCTTGTTTCCCGTCAAACCCAATAGCATTATTTCTCACAGCACCGTTTTCTTCACCTAAGGCTGATGTCTCAGAGACAGAATTAGTATCAACCGAATTAACAACCGCCAGAGCCTCCTGATGTGCACCTATAAGCTCCATGAAATCTGTTCCAGAGTTGAGGATATCATTGTATTTTCCAGCTTGGCTGATCCTTCCATCTTTCATGACCTGAGACACAAGACAGATGATTCCCTTTTATCCTCTGGAACCAAGTTAATAAAAATGATAATAGAAAGTAAAACATTCACATACCAGGATAAGATCAGCAGCAGGTAAGAACTCAACTTGATGAGTTACATATATAACAGATTTGGAACAGAGAAGCCCCAACAAAACTTCCTGAAAGAAGCATGAGAAACAAAACTCATTTGATACTTGTTTTTCACACAAGGAAAAATCACAATCACACAAGGAAGACAATAAAAGACAGAAGAATGTTACCTTAAAGAGATGTGACCCTGTGTGTGCATCCACAGCACTAAAAGGATCATCAAACATGTAGATATCTGCATCTTGGTAGAGAGCTCGTGCAATCTGTATCCTCTGCTTTTGTCCACCACTCAAATTGATGCCGCGTTCTCCAATCACAGTCTGATCCCCGAATGAGAGTATCTCTAGATCCTTTTTCAAAGAACAAGCTTCAAGCACCCTCTCATATCTTTCCCTTTCCATAGGCTTACCAAACAAGATGTTGTCCTCAATTTTACCGCTCTGAATCCAAGGAGACTGTGCAACGTACGCTTTAGTCCCACAAACCTTAAGACTTCCAGATATCTTTGGTACTTCTCCTAGTATAGATGAAAGCAAGCTTGATTTACCAGAGCCAACAGTACCACAAACTGCAACCTTCATCCCAGGAAAGACCTTGAAGTTGATGTCTTTGAGAGTTGGGTTAGCAGATGAAACATCCCATGATAAAGTGCTGTTTGTCACCTCCACAGCTATGTCTGAACTTCCCTGAGGAAGCCTCTCTACAACATCTGGCTGTAAGTTGTCTAGACAAAGATAGGATGCAATTCTGTCAAGAGAGACTTTTGTTTGCACAAGCATGGAGATAGTGTCCGGAAGATTGTAGATCGGCTCTTGTAGAATCCTGAAGGTTGCAAGAGCTGAGAGTATCTTTCCAGATTCAAGGGGAATGCCAAGAAGTATACAAGCACCAAAAGTGGAGACTGACACCAAAGTAGGAGCCCCCCAGAAAACAAAGCTTATAACAGCAGAGTTATACACATACTTTTTCAGCCACCCTTTCTCAGATTTCCTAAGATCGAAAATCTTTGACAGAAACTTCATCTCCCATCCCTGAAGTTTGAGGATCCTCATGTTTCTCAAGATCTCAGACGTTGATTTCATCCGGTTATCCTTAGCTTCCATTAACTTCTCCTGAAACCTCTCTTGCATTCTCCCGAATGGGAAGTTCACAAGCATTACAAGAATGGTAGCAATCAAAGCCGCTAGTGATGCTAATCCAAGATTTCTATACAAGATCCACAAGAGCTAGACCGACTTGTAACAAAACCATCCATGGATCATGCATATACCAACTAAAGTACCAATCCTCTCAGCATCCACAGTCATGAAATTTATAATCTCCCCACTTGTGCGTCCTTGCTTTGAATGGCATGAAAGGGTCAGACCCTTTTCGTATATCATAGCGACCAAGGAAGACCTCATCCTAATACCAACCTTCTGCAACCTAAAGAACCAATGTCTCTGCGAGGCACTCCACGAGCTTAGCAACAAAGAAAGTAATGACTAGCACATACCCCTCGTTGTTGTACTGTCTACGTCCATTAAGGTACTGAACGAATGTATCAATGAGTGCCGGCCCAACATATGACGCAACCGTGTAGATGAAAGCTAAGAATGCAGTCACTATAATCTCCCACTGAGCCGAGAAGAACAACGCTTTTATGAGCTTGAATGTTGTCACGCCACTTCTCTCACCACCATCTGATGACTCAAGCATAATCCTAAACTTCGGGCTAACGAGACCACGCTGTCGTTATCATGAAGCTGCGGAACATCTTCTAGATCAAGAGCTTTCATGTTTCCAAGGTTTATCAATGGACTCATCCAAGAGAAAGTCAAAAGACCGAGAATGCCAGATCTAGAGTACGGAGTAGCCTCATCACTCCCATTGGCCTTATTCAACTCTACACTGGAATCTCCATTCAACAGTGGCTCTTCCAAAACTCCATTGCTGTTGTTGCCTCTAGCTTTCTTGAAGAAAGCCACATAACCAAGAAACAAAGCAGCACTAAAAGAAACTATATTGTACACCAGAAGAGAACAGTCACGGTTTCGTGTCTCTTGTACAACGATGTCTACCACAAGAGAGTAGCAAGAAACCGCGAGATAGAAAACCAACCAAAGCCTAAGCAAAAAGGGAGACTTTTTATGCTCATAATCACTGCAGCGATGCAGGCAAATCGACAAAACCCCCCAAGAAACCATTCCCAATAGAAACCCGACGAGAGAAACTAGCTGTTCTCCATCTGACCAACCACTCTCGTACCAATGGAAACCACTCAACGACATCAACACGAGATTCAGCAGAGACAAGCTAGACTACAAAACAGAGCCGACTTAAACCCGAAATCCCTCCTATATTTCAAACTCTCCGTAACAACATAACCATTATTTCTCCTAATTTTGTCACGCACCCATGAGCAAAACAGCACCAGCAACAAAACCGCGTGTAAGAAACCAGAAACCCATCTTAGGAAAAGAGGTTCCAGAAGCAAAGACCTAGAATCTGGAGGCAAAATAGATTCCGAAAACGAGAACAAGACTGATAACATACCGTTATCCTTCGTGGAACCAAGAAAGTCCATGGCTTTGCACTTCTCTCTCTCTCTCCTCTCTTTTCAAATGATTTCAGAAAAAGGTTGGTTTTTTAATTATTGGTGATGAGTTTTCAACGAATGAGAAATACTTATAGAGCGAGAGTGGAGTGAGATGACGAGATGATGTAGACAGCATCCCTTGGAGAGCACGCCCAAGAAACTACGAAGAAGGAAGACAAAACGGTCCTCTCTCTCAAGCCCCCGCCATGAGGAGGCTATGGCCAAAAGGCTTCTTTCTTCCTTTCTTTCTTTCTTCGCCTTTCACGGATCTTTACAAATCACTTCACATTATTTTATTTCAAGTCATCAACAATTTAACATGTTCAAAAATCCAACTTTGTTGGAATTGTAGCAAAAAAAAAAAGGAATATTCTGTTCACATCTCTCTCTCTCTATTTTTTCTCGCAATTTCTTCTTTTTACTATTATGTAATTATGTTAAGGTGAGGCTGATTTGTTGCCCAAATATTGATATGAATCTTAAAGAAGAGAAAAAAAGGAAATAAACAAAATGGGTTTATGTGTTAATTATGGAAACTCTTGTTTTTTCCTTCCGTTTAAACATTTTCTTTTACACCTCTTCGTGTAAATCTGTTTGTATATATGCTTCTAGAGACTAAGGGTCTGATTGGTTTAAACGCTGAGGTTGCGGGAGTTTGCTGAAGTGGACGATTGCACTTTAAGAGCATTATTAAGCAGTTTGTACGATTGGCATAGCGATTGAAAACGGATTGGGTAGAGAATATTTACAAACTGAAATCTTATATAGTCAAATATTTTATAAATGTGCAAAGTAACAAAAATAAAAAGAAGAAGATTGGGTAGAGAATCAATTTCAATGATAAATACGGTAAATGAAAATATTGAGTTAAAAAAAAATTGTTTCGATGAATATGAGAGAAAAATCTCTGATGCACCCCAAATATATATTGCTGATGAAATTTGGTAAAATAAAAATAATCAATTGATTAAAAATTAAAAGTTATTTATTTCTTAATTTGTTTTTTTTTAATTAAGTAAAACTAATTTATTATTGTTCAAATTAAATAAATATTTATGTGTAATTTACAAAAACGAAATTAAAGACATAATTATAGTTAAAAGGATAAAACTGGAATCATACACCACTATTTAAATGATTAATAGGTTATATGAGTAATAAAAGTCTAATATGTGGTTAGACTTCATTGCGAAGTCTAATACTTGGTAGACTTATGATTGAACTTTAATGGTCAACGCTTATTGGAGTAGACTTTGCGGTGAAGTATATTTTCTAAATTCAAAAATTCGATCAATTGCAAAACTAGTCTCCATAAAGTCTAATTATTGTTGTAGACTTCACAAGTAGACTTTATTTTTGAGTTATACTTCATTTTGAAACCTATAAACGATAATGAAGTATAATAAAAAAAATCAAAGTTTGGTCAATTGGAAAACGAGTCTTTTTTTCTTAGTAGACTTCATGGGTAGACTTCATAAAAATGTTGTCGTTTGGTCAATTGCAAAACTAGTCTATTAGACTATACCGCGACTTCCTTGTGAAGTCTACAATATAATGTTTTATTTGAAAACGTTTTTTTGGAAAATCTATAACGAATTTTAAAGATTTTCTTGAACAATTAGTTGCTTTTGTGTGGGTTTGACATGCTTATTCGTTATACAGAAAGTGAAAACGGTTTTCTTGTTTGGTTATCATATTATACATTACCAATCTACCTGTGAAGTCTACTCAAGAAGTCTACCATATTTTCTTTTTAAAACGCATTTTTCGAAAATGTATAACCTATTTTTAAGATTTTCTGGAAACATTAGTTGTATTAGTTTGTTTAAATGCTTGTTTGATATGTTTATTCGTTATATACAAAGTGAACATGGTTTTTTTGTTTGATTAGCACATTTAATCAATATCAAGTATACTTCTGTGTAAAGTTTATCGGTGAAATATACTCATGAAGTCTAATTATTTGTTTGAATTTGGTCCGTTTTAGTTAGGTAATACATCAAAAATATAAAAAATGCTTGTATCTGATTTCATTTTAAAAACTATAAATTCTACCAGTGAAGTCTATCTGTATAGCCTATACTCAGTGAAATCTAATTTGTTATCTACCACTAATTCCTTACTAGATGTCTTGGTTAAACTTACAATATATTCAGAAGTTCAAGAAGTTTTTGATGTCTACTTATAAAATATGTTATATGGGTGTGTAAATTTTGATACTTGGCTAATTTTTTGAGGATATGGTCTAATGTTTTGTAGCTATTTTTACTACTATCAGTTATAGTTATAGCACATTTGAAGCCAAATTTTGTAGTATATAATCGATTAAATTTATATAAAAATAACTATATATGAAATTTGGTTCAAAAAATTGCTTCATTGTTCACCGAAAACATGTCTTACACAAATATCATACCTAAATAAGTGTTACAAATCGTCAAATTCTATACTAAATCTTGGATTTCATCTTGTTCAAGTTCCATATGCATGAGGACATTCATGATCACGGCTAAACTGTGAGTAGCTCTTCTAATGCCACTTGTACATCAATGAACTCTTTCCTCTTTCATGATCACGGCTAAAGTGTAAGACACAACGATAAAAGTTTAGAATATTTGGGAAGTTGTCCCCATCATCGTGCACAAATTTATTGGGAATATAAGAATAGATTGGGCTGCAAGTAGAAAGTCTCTGTTCTTGTCAGTCAATGACTGACTAGTAGTCTCTGTCTCACAATATTATAATCCACCATCAAATCTTAAGTTTTTTATTGCATTAATTTTAAGTAGCGATGCAGAATCATCGCTTTTGTTGGCTTCAACATTACAGTTTATACATGTCACTAGGAACAAAAACTACAATAATTGCTTCTTTGTTGTGAATCTACTGTTACAGTGAACAAAATTCAGGCTCGGAAACTCAAGCTTCCCTAAGTTCTTTTTCGTTTTCATCGTCATCACTAAGAAAACAGAGGTTTAATCAAAACTGGAACTTGATCTTGCGGTGTATTCTGACACGAGTTTAGAGAAAGATGAAGACTTGTCCTCCAGCAATCTCACTGGCGAATCATACTCCTCAATGATCCCTGCACAGAAAAAAAACACAAGACATTCCTCAATGATTCATCATGCGCACACATGTTTCTGTAGAAGGAATTCGAGTTTCAGACAAACCATTGCTTAGAAGCAGAACCATGTCGCTGTCAATAACCGAAGATATCCTGTGTGCAATGGTTATCACTGTACAATCTGCGAAGTGTTCCCTTAACGTTTTCTGAATAAGATTGTCAGTTGCAGTGTCAACAGAAGCCGTGGCTTCATCGAGCACCAAGATCTTGCTTCTCTTGAGAAGCACTCTCCCAAGACACACAAGTTGCCTCTGTCCCATACTCCAATTCTCTCCATTCTCACTCACAGATGAGTCTAGCTTTTGCTCCTTTTTCCTCACCTCATCTCCTAACTGGCACTTGTCAAGAGCCTAAAACACAGAGTAAATCATTAGTCAAGAAGTGAACATCTTTTTTTCTAAGTTAAAGAAAGACAGAAACTATGCCAACAAACCTCCCATATTTGATCATCTGTGTACTCTTCAAGAGGGTCCAGGTTACTTCTCACTGTTCCTTCAAACATGGTTGGATCTTGGGGTATAATACTTAGCCTTAGACGCAAGTCATGCAGCCCAATGGTCAATATATTCACTCCATCTATCATGATTTCTCCAGCTGATGGCTCTACAATGCGGAAAAGGGTCTGAATCAAAGTCGATTTCCCGCTTCCTGTCCTTCCTACAATTCCTGTTCTTAACCCTCCTTTGAATGTGCATGTTATTCCCCGCAACACAAGTGGCATATGTGGAGCATATCGGACCTGAAGATCACGGATGTCCACTTCTCCACGTGAAGGCCATGATTGCTCAGGTCGGTTTGACTCGATCACAAGAGGTGGCTCACTGGGAACACTTGCATACTGAAGAATCCTCTCCACCGATATGATTTTGTTCTCAAGATTACAGAGAGTCCATATCAGCCAAGCTTGCAGAGTATTCAAACTGAGTCCATAAGTCACGGCTAGTCCCGCTAGGCTTGGATCAATCACTCCAGTGGGTATGGAGATCAAGAAAACAAGTGAAAAGGCAAATGTAAGCGAAGATAGCACATCAAGGCGGAAGCAAAGCCATTCCATTGCTCCAGCTGAATAGAATTTGGGCCTAGAGTAACCATCACTTAGCCTCATGTTGTCATTGCGGAATCTAGATTCTTGACTGAAACTCCTGATGGTTGTTGATCCTGAAATCGTTTCAGCAAAATGCTGAATCAGAGGGGCTTTGCATACTCCAACTAACCGTGAAAGTTCTCGTGCTGCAGCTATGTAATATCGCTGCAAAATTGAAAACTTTTTGTCAACAACTTCATCACTTAAATAGACTTGGCCAAAAAAATTCACAGAATCAACTGTTATGGAAGACTATAAGATTGTAAATAGTTAACTAGAACGAACCTGCAACCATATGGAGGCAGCAACCACAGGGATGAAGACAAGAAAAACCAGCCAAGAAACCTGAGACATAACTCCAATTATTCCAGTAAGCTGAATGACTGTGATAGCAACTGATCCAAATTGAGATGGTATTTCCAAATCCACCGCAGATTGGTCTGTAGAAGCCTATTACCAGGGAAAGAGAGAAAAAACACATTGAATAAAAGATAGATATACATGGAAATCCTTCAGTAAATAGAGTGGCCAGAGACATACTCTGTTCATGATTCTTCCGCTTGGAGTAGAATCAAAGAAAGACATTGGCGAACGGAAAATGCAGTGATGCATTCTATGAAACAGCTCAGTGGCAGTCCTGTAACCAGCGGTGACAAGAAGTGTGGCTCTAAAAAGAATGCAGAGAGAACTTCCAACGGCCAAAGCAACATACACAATCATCAACGTGGAAAGATTTACAGGAGCTTCCACATCCTTAGAAACAGGAGTAGCCCAAGCCATCCAGTAGTTGCTTCCAATCTGTAGAAGCTGAAACAGAACTTGTGCCAACAATATGAAAGGCACAAGAGCTCCTCCGTACGCCAGTGTAATATACTTCCAGTACACACTCAAAGAGACGCTACCTTTCTCCCTCTCTTCCTCTTGCACAAGTTGTCTTTGAGGCTCCCCAGAGTCTGGCTTGTCGTTCTTCAAATCTTGACCTTCTTGTTTCCCGTCAAACCCAATAGCATTATTTCTCACAGCACCGTTTTCTTCACCTAAGGCTGATGTCTCAGAGACAGAATTAGTATCAACCGAATTAACAACCGCCAGAGCCTCCTGATGTGCACCTATAAGCTCCATGAAATCTGTTCCAGAGTTGAGGATATCATTGTATTTTCCAGCTTGGCTGATCCTTCCATCTTTCATGACCTGAGACACAAGACAGATGATTCCCTTTTATCCTCTGGAACCAAGTTAATAAAAATGATAATAGAAAGTAAAACATTCACATACCAGGATAAGATCAGCAGCAGGTAAGAACTCAACTTGATGAGTTACATATATAACAGATTTGGAACAGAGAAGCCCCAACAAAACTTCCTGAAAGAAGCATGAGAAACAAAACTCATTTGATACTTGTTTTTCACACAAGGAAAAATCACAATCACACAAGGAAGACAATAAAAGACAGAAGAATGTTACCTTAAAGAGATGTGACCCTGTGTGTGCATCCACAGCACTAAAAGGATCATCAAACATGTAGATATCTGCATCTTGGTAGAGAGCTCGTGCAATCTGTATCCTCTGCTTTTGTCCACCACTCAAATTGATGCCGCGTTCTCCAATCACAGTCTGATCCCCGAATGAGAGTATCTCTAGATCCTTTTTCAAAGAACAAGCTTCAAGCACCCTCTCATATCTTTCCCTTTCCATAGGCTTACCAAACAAGATGTTGTCCTCAATTTTACCGCTCTGAATCCAAGGAGACTGTGCAACGTACGCTTTAGTCCCACAAACCTTAAGACTTCCAGATATCTTTGGTACTTCTCCTAGTATAGATGAAAGCAAGCTTGATTTACCAGAGCCAACAGTACCACAAACTGCAACCTTCATCCCAGGAAAGACCTTGAAGTTGATGTCTTTGAGAGTTGGGTTAGCAGATGAAACATCCCATGATAAAGTGCTGTTTGTCACCTCCACAGCTATGTCTGAACTTCCCTGAGGAAGCCTCTCTACAACATCTGGCTGTAAGTTGTCTAGACAAAGATAGGATGCAATTCTGTCAAGAGAGACTTTTGTTTGCACAAGCATTGGAGATAGTGTCCGGAAGATTGTAGATCGGCTCTTGTAGAATCCTGAAGGTTGCAGAGCTGAGAGTATCTTTCCAGATTCAAGGGGAATGCCAAGAAGTATACAAGCACCAAAAGTGGAGACTGACACCAAAGTAGGAGCCCCCCAGAAAACAAAGCTTATAACAGCAGAGTTATACACATACTTTTCAACCACCCTTCTTCAGATTTCCTAAGATCGAAAATCTTTGACAGAAACTTCATCTCCCATCCCTGAAGTTTGAGGATCCTCATGTTTCTCAAGATCTCAGACGTTGATTTCATCCGGTTATCCTTAGCTTCCATTAACTTCTCCTGAAACCTCTCTTGCATTCTCCCGAATGGGAAGTTCACAAGCATTACAAGAATGGTAGCAATCAAAGCCGCTAGTGATGCTAATCCAAGATTTCTATACAAGATCCACAAAGCTAGACCGACTTGTAACAAAACCATCCATGGATCATGCATGTACCAACTAAAGTTACCAATCCTCTCAGCATCCACAGTCATGAAATTTATAATCTCCCCACTTGTGCGTCCTTGCTTTGATGGCATGAAAGGGTCAGACCCTTTTCGTATATCATAGCGACCAAGGAAGACCTCATCCTAATACCAACCTTCTGCAACCTAAAGAACCAATGTCTCTGCGAAAGGCACTCCACGAGCTTAGCAACAAAGAAAGTAATGACTAGCACATACCCTTCGTTGTTGTACTGTCTGCGTCCATTAAGGTACTGAACGAATGTATCAATGAGTGCCGGCCCAACATATGACGCGACCGTGTAGATGAAAGCTAAGAATGCAGTCACTATAATCTCCCACTGAGCCGAGAAGAACAACGCTTTTATGAGCTTGAATGTTGTCACGCCACTTCTCTCACCACCATCTGATGAATCAAGCATAACTCTAAACTTCGGAGCTAACAAGACCACGCTGTCGTTATCATGAAGCTGCGGAACATCTTCTAGATCAAGAGCTTTCATGTTTCCAAGGTTTATCAATGGACTCATCCAAGAGAAAGTCAAAAGACCGAGAATGCCAGATCTAGAGTACGGAGTAGCCTCATCACTCCCATTGGCCTTATTCAACTCTACACTGGAATCTCCATTCAACAGTGGCTCTTCCAAAACTCCATTGCTGTTGTTGCCTCTAGCTTTAACTTTCTTGAAGAAAGCCACATAACCAAGAAACAAAGCAGCACTAAAAGAAACTATATTGTACACCACAAGTGAACAGTCACGGTTTCGTGTCTCTTGTACCTAACGATGTCTACCACAAGAGAGTAGCAAGAAACCGCGAGATAGAAAACCAACCAAAGCCTAAGTAAAAACGGAGACTTTTTATGCTCATAATCACTGCAGCGATGCAGGCAAATCGACAAAACCCCCCAAGAAACCATTCCCAATAGAAACCCGACGAGAGAAACTAGCTGTTCTCCATCTGACCAACCACTCTCGTACCAATGGAAACCACTCAACGACATCAACACGAGATTCAGCAGAGACAGAGCTAGACTACAAAACAGAGCCGACTTAAACCCGAAATCCCTCCTATGTTTCAAACTCTCCGTAACAACAACATAACCATTATTTCTCCTAATTTTGTCACGCACCCATGAGCAAAACAGCACCAGCAACAAAACCGCGTGTAAGAAACCAGAAACCCATCTTAGGAAAAGAGGTTCCAGAAGCAAAGACCTAGAATCTGGAGGCAAAATAGATTCCGAAAACGAGAACAAGACTGATAACATACCGTTATCCTTCGTGGAACCAAGAAAGTCCATGGCTTTGCACTTCTCTCTCTCTCTCTCTCTCTCTGTTTTCGAATGATTTCAGAAAAAGGTTGGTTTTTTAATTATTTGGTGATGAGTTTTCAACGAATGAGAGAAGTACTTATAGAGCGAGAGTGGAGTGAGCTGACGAGATGATGTAGACAGTATCCCTTGGAGAGCACGCCCAAGAAACTACGAAGAAGGAAGACAAAACTGTCCTCTCTCTCTCTATCTCTAACCCCACCAAGAGGAGGCTATGGCCACTTTGTGGCGAAAGGCTTCTTTCTTCCTTTCTTTTTTCGCCTTTCACGGATCTTTTACAAACCTTCACATTATTTTATTGCAAGTCATTAACATGTTGAAAAATCCAACTTTGTTACAATTTGTTAGCAAAAAAAAGGACTATTCTGTTCATATCTCTCTCTCTTTTTCTTGCAATTTCTTCTTTTTGCTATTTTTATAAATCTTAAGTTGAGCCTGATTTGTTGCCAAAGTATTGATATGAATCTTAAAGAAGACAAAAAAATGAAATTACCTAGTGTTGTTAATTATGGAAACTCTTGTTTTACTACTTCCTGTAAATCTGCCTCGATCTCGCTTCTAGAGCAATTAAATTCGATTTAATGGAAACTTTAATAATTTAATTTTGTCGCAGAAAAAAAGCATATAGAGCCAATTTTTTACCAAAGCGATTCTAGTTGACTTTTCAACTACTGTCCAAGTATGTCAGATGGTAAGGTTTTCTTTATTTAAATTAAAGTTATCCTCCTTCTGTGGGTTGTGGCTGTGATCTTTTTGATATTACATATTCATTTATCTTCTTCGGTTACGTACTTTGTTTGGTCTGCCTTCTTCTGTTGCATTATTAATATATAGTGTTTGTTCAAGATATGACACACTAGTAATATTACATAGACGAACCTTACCACACATTTTCGTAACTAGTGGAATTTTGATGTACTATTGAATTTGTTCATAGAACAGAAATTTACTTGATAGTTCAAAACCATAATATGTTACCTATAACAACATTTCGCATGTATACTTTTGCTTCCCTAATTAACAAAACTCATATTTTCACGTGTAACGAATTTAGATTTTCTTATAAGGTGATACTCCTCCACAAAAGAAAAAATGAAACAGCTTTAACAATAGTATACTTGTTAGGAAAAACGCTATTCCTGTCATTTAAGCAAAATGTTTTTATGACAATAATTGGATGTATATGGATAATAATAAGTGTTATTTTGTCCAGATATATTGAATTCTCATTTTGCTTAAATGATATTTATTATAAAATGGAGGAAGTATTACTTTATTGTACGCATAACCTGATCAGGCGTCATCTACCATATTTTTGGGGTTAATACATTTGACAAGTCAAAATAATAATAAATTTATTAAAATTTAGAATATTTGGGAAGTTGTCCTCATCATAGTGCACAAATTTCTTGGGAAGAAAAACAACAAGATAAGTAAAGACTAATAGATTGGGCTGCAAGTAAGTGGAAAGTCTCTCGTTTTGTCAGTCAATGAATGATTACTATACTAGTGTCTGCCTCACAATATCATCTCATAACAATATAGTAATAATTATCAATCCCAACAAATCGATATTGTTTAGTACTTTCTTGCCAAAGTTTCAAAGATACCACAAAATCCATAATCTAATCATGTTACCGGTCCATGACCCTTTTAGTTTACCACGATATGGAGCCATGTGGTTCACAGCCACTAGACCATAACTTCATGTCTACTTTTTTTTTTCTTTTTCTTTTAACGAGTCTTTATCCAAACTTTTCTTTGACCCACTTTAATTATGCCATCTTCATGGAATTTTCATAAAATAAAAAGTCAAACGCAAATGCTGGTTTACACATTACAGAACAAGTTTTTATTTGCCCCTTTTTACTATCGATCTTTGACACTAACAGCTTCTTTTGGATTTGGAATCCGATCTAGATGTGTACTCTGCCACAAGCTTTGAGAAAGATGAGGACTTGTCTTCAAGCAATCTCGCCGGTGAATCATGTTCTTTGATAAGCCCTGCGATTGGTATACACAGATAATTTTAGTACAATTAATCTGAGAAGACAACGTAACACACAAATGCATGATCATGAATCTAGGACCTTGGTCTAGGAGCAGGACCATATCGCTGTCTATAACAGAGGATATTCTGTGTGCAATCGTTATCACTGTACAATCCGAGAAATGTTGTCTCAATGTCTCCTGTATCAGATTATCAGTAGCGGTATCGATAGAAGCAGTGGCTTCATCAAGAACCAATACTTTGCTTCTCTTGAGCAAGACTCGTCCCAGACACACCAATTGTCTCTGACCAACACTCCAGTTCTGTCCATTCTCACTAACTGAAATACATAAACGCTCATGTTCCATTATTTAATATTTTTTTCAAAGATTCAAGATGATTCTTTGTGACAGTAGTTTTATACTAACCAGTGGAATCTAGCTTCAGTTCTTTCTTCCTTACTTCATCCCCGAGTTGACACTTGTCAAGTGCCTGAAACAAGAAACATAGGGTGAGAAGCTTCGTTTTTCTCTCTGCAGAAACACAGAAAGAAACAAGAGTCAGCCGACGAACCTCCCAGATTTGGTTATCAGTGTATTCCTCAAGAGGATCTAAGTTACTCCGAACCGTGCCTTCGAACATGGTTGGATCTTGAGGTATGATACTTAGCTTGGAGCGCAAGTCATGCAGCCCAATGGTCAATATATTCACTCCATCTATCCTGATTTCTCCGGCTGTAGGTTCCACAATCCGGAAAAGGGTTTGAATTAGAGTGGATTTGCCACATCCTGTTCTTCCAACGATTCCGGTTTTCAGGCCACCAGGAAACGTGCATGTCAATCCATGCAGCACCATAGGCAAATGTGGCCCATACCGCACCTGCAGATTACAAATAGTGATCTCTCCACGACAAGGCCAAGATTTCTCAGGCCGAGTTGACTCAATCACGAGAGGTGGTTCACTGGGGATGTTTGTGTATTGAAGCATTCTCTCCACAGATATCATTTTGTTCTCAAGATCGCAAAGTGTCCATATTAACGTTGACTGCAAGCTATTTAGATTGAGTGCATATGTAACAGCCAATCCTGCAAAGCCTTTTAAATAAACCAAAACAAAAAGATTTTTAGTTGCGAATCTGAATCACCAAAACAAAGATCAATAATAAAAGTGGCATTGACTTACTTGGATTAATGACTCCTTCAGGAGCAGAAACTAAGATAACAAGTGAAATAGCAAAAGCCATAGTGGATAACAGTTCCATGCGGAAGCAGAGCCATTCCATTGCACCAACGGAATGGAACCTCAGCCGAGAGAGACAATCGCTCAGTCTCATGATGTCGCCGCGGAATCTTGGTTCTTGATCAAAGCTTCTGATAGTTGTTATCCCTGAAAGCGTTTCAGAGAAATGATGTACCAAAGGCGATCTGCTTATTCCAGCTAATCTGGCGAGCTCTCTAGCCGCAGATATGTAATATTGCTGTGTACATTGAAAACCAACACAAGTACCTTAGTATGCTTTGATATCAATGAGCAAGAAGCTAAATGTTGGTTTAGGACTTTCAAGATTATGAAGAATATACCCGGTACCAGGCACATGCAGCGACCACAGGGATGAAGATGAAAAGGACTTGCCAAGCAACCTGTACCATCACTCCTATAATCCCCAAAATGTTGATAGAAGCAATAGCAACATATGCAAATTGGCCCGGTAATCTCAAATCGGCAACACTTTGGTCTGTAGAAGCCTGAAACCAAGAAAACAGAGTAATCAGGTGAGAATGAGTTGGTTGGATCTTGTTTTGGTATTGTCATTACTTACTCTGTTCAAGATTCTCCCCATTGGTGTGGCATCAAAGAATGACATGGAAGCACGGAAAATGCGGAGATGCATTTGCGTGAAGAGTTCAGTAGCCATCTTCAAACCAGTCATCGCAACCAGCACTGCTCTGATGAGTATGCACAAGGAGCTAGCGATGGCAAGAGCTACATAGACTAGAATCAACGTAAAGCCGCTCACTGGAGGCTCTATATCTTTGGAAACAGGAGTCACCCAAGTCATCCAGTAGTTGCTCCCAATGCTTAGGACCTGAAACAGAATCTGTACAAGCAATATCAAAGGAATCACTGCTCCTCCGTACGCTAGTGCCATGTACTTTTGGTACACAGTGAACCCAACTTTTCCCTTCTCTCTTTCCTCTTCTTGAACTAGCTGTCCTCTTGGCTTAACTGAATCTTTCTCTGGCTTGTCTTCATCATTGGCTACTTCTTTTTCTTGATTCGTTGTTGGTTTTGCGGACGAAGCACTGCCTGTTTTTTCATATGAATCAACATTTGCTAAGGCATCAGTGTGAGCTCCTACAAGTTCCATGAAATCTGTTCCTGAATCAAGAATGTCATTGTATTTCCCTGCTTGTGTGATCTTTCCATCTTTCATAACCTACCAAAATTATTATTTTGATTTCATAAATATGTGGTAAGAATCATAATGCGTATGCAAGATAGTGTTTAGCAAGCAAGTCACAAACCAGTATAAGATCAGCTTCAGGCAGAAATTCAACTTGATGAGTGACGTATATGACTGTCTTGTCTCTCAGAATCCCCAACAGCACTTCCTATTAGAAAGAACAATAAGCGAGAGAGATCATATCAAATTACATAGCAGAAGCCAGCAAAAAGTTGATGGTAAGAGTCTATGTAAGTACTTTAAAGCCAACTATTATTACCTTGAAGAGATGTGATCCAGTATGAGCATCTACAGCACTAAAAGGGTCATCAAACAGATAAATATCTGCGTTTTGGTAGAGAGCACGAGCGATTTGTATACGTTGCTTCTGTCCACCACTTAGATTGATACCTCTTTCACCAATAACCGTCTGGTCATGGAACGGAAGAAGCTCCAAGTCCTTATTCAAAGAACATGCTTCAAGGACTCTCTCGTACCATTCTCTTTCCATTGGCTTACCAAACAGAATATTATCTTCGACTTTGCCGCTTTGTATCCAAGGAGATTGTTCAATGTATGCTTTACTTCCACAAACCTTAACATTTCCAGATATTTTAGGAACTTCACCAAGTATTGATGAGAGTAAGCTTGACTTACCAGAGCCAACTGTACCACATATAGCTACATTCATCCCCTGAGATACTTTGAAACTCAAGTCTCTCAATGTTGGGATTGGAGAAGAGTCATCCCAAGAGAAAGAACCATTGCTGACTTCCACAGCCATTTCTGAGCTTCTACTAGTAAGCCTCTCCACAACATCTTTCTGTAGATCATCTAGGCAGAGAAAAGATGAAATCCTGGCAAGAGATACCTTCGTCTGAACAAACATCGTGATCGTTTCCGGGAGTTTGTAGATTGGGCTCTGCAGAATCCGAAAAGTTGCTAGGGCTGCAAGTATCTTCCCTGATTCAAGTGGAATCTTGAGCAGTATACAAGCGCCAAAAGTTGTTGCAGATATGATAGAAGGTGAAGTCCACAAAACAGAGCTCATAGCGGCTGCGTTGTACACAAACTTCTTAAGCCAGCCTGCTTCAATATGTCTGAGGTCAAGAATCTTAGAAAGGAACTTCATCTCCCATCCCTGAAGCTTGAGAATCCTCATGTTCAGTAACACCTCCGATGTTTTCTTCATCCTGTTGTCTTTGGACTTCATCAAACTGCTCTGAAACTTCTCTTCCAACTTTGCAAATGGGAAGTTTGCAAGCATAACTAAAACAGTTGCAGGCAAAGCTACAACTGATCCAAGTCCGAGGCTTTTGTACAAGATCCACAAGGCCAAACTAACTTGTAATACAAGTATCCATGGATCATGCATATACCAAGTAAAAGAGTTTATTCTGTCAGCATCTACTGCCATGAGGTTGATAATCTCGCCGCTGGTGTGTTGTCCTTGCTTCGAATGGCACGGAAGGGTCAAGCCCTTTTCGTAGACCATCGAAACCAGGACGGCTCTCATCCCAAGCCCACATTTTGCCACCCTGAAGAACCAGTGCCTCCGTGTCTGGCACTCCACAAGCTTAGCAACAAAGAAAGTTGTCACTAAAACATACCCTTGGTTTTTATATTGTCTGTGACCGTTCAGGTACTGAACGAAACTATCCATGAGGTACGGAGAAACATAGCAAGATAACGTGTAGACAAAAGCAAACAGAGTTGACAAAGCAATATCTCGCCACGTTGTGAGGAAGAGTGCCTTGATAAGCTTGAACATGGTGATCCTTCTACCATCGTCCCATTCAAGCCTACTCTTGAATATCCGAAACAGGTTCTCAGCTTTGTCACTACTGTCAACTTGAGGAACATCTTTGCTGTCTATGATTTTTTCATTTCCTAAGGTAACCAAAGGACTCATCCATGAGAAACTCATGAGGCTTAGAAACCCAGCTTTTGAGAAAGGAGGTGTAGTGGCCTCATCATAGCCTTCGTTCTCACTAGATTGAGCACTACGCAAGAGTGGTTCTTCGACAAGGTTGGTCCTTTCTCCACCTTCTCCTTTCTTCCACAACCACGAACAACAGAGAAACAAGCCAGCGCAGACCCCCACCAAATCAGACATTACAATGTGAAGTGACACCTGTTCTTGCTTCTTGTGTAGAACCAAGTCTACCACAAGACGGTAGCAAGAAACCACTAAATAGAAAACCCACCAGACTCTAAGCAAAATTGGTAATTTCTGCTCATGAGAATTAGTGTATACACGCAGGTAAATGGAGATAGTACCCCAAGTAAGAGCAGCCAACATAAGATCTAAGAGAGGCCAACCATTTGTATGCCAGTAAACGCAACTTAGCAACGAAAACACAGAATAAAACAGAGAAAGTGACACACAACACACAGCAACCAGTTTATTACACGTAAAAGACGCCCTTTTATTCATGAAACCATCACTGTTTTCACAAGCTACCCTCTTCTTGCATACACAAGAACCAAAAAGAAATAGCAACAACACCAGATTCAAGAAAAAGGAGAACTCTGAGAAGTAGATGGGCTGAAGGAGAAGGAATTTGATAGGATTTTCCATCAGGGAATATGAGTATTGACCAAAATGATTACTCTTGTGGCTCTGGATATTTATAGGCTGCTGAGTCAATAAATAATACTACTTTTGAAGACCAAGACGAGCACAAACAAAGATATATTATTATATATAAAACCATGACACAACAACCATCAAACACACATGAATTTTTATAATGTTAAAAGCCTTGCACCACCTTCGCCGAAACTCCCGTGTGATTATTCTCTGGAAAAAAATTAATAACAATACAGAACTGTGAAGCTTTATCGATACAAACGAAGAAGGACTATTTGTGCACATCAACAGATGAACAAGCAGACCCAACGACACATCACTTTCTGAAACATCTTAATCTTAGCAACATGTTTTGACAGAAACAGATGATACTTACATCGGTTTTTATTGATTGTAGCAGCAAGTACTTAGGACGTCATCGGATTTTCCATCGCCGTCGTACGCGGCAGCTTCGATCAAAACTCCGTCACCGTACTGTTTCCCAATGGCTTAGATGATACCTTAAGAGATGGGAGGAGGTAAAGAGTTTCATTGCTAAGATCAGTGATTTCAAGTTTTCAACAACGGTGGAATAAACCACAATCTATGTTGGAAAATCCAAAAGAAAGATTGTGGAAACAAACAAATTATATTCACCTTTCACAAGTAAAGTTAACAATAATTGAGCACAAAATAATACAGTATTAATAATGTATTGTTTCCACCGGAAGAAAGCAAAACTTTGTTTACTTTTATAATTATTCTTTTTTACAGATTACAGTTCAATTTTTGGTAGACACACGACAAGGCAAGCAACTAATAACTGGATATGATTTCTCTCGTTTCCATGGATCTTTGGTTCAACTAGCTTCTTTTGAATCTAGAGTCCGAACTTGATGTGTACTCTGCCACAAGCTTTGAGAATGACGAGGACTTGTCTTCCAGCAATCGAGCCGGTGAATCGTGTTCTTCAATAAGCCCTGCAGTTAGATAGAGAACCAATCTTAATATATGTCTTCAGATGAAATAAATAAACGTAATACAAGTGTCTGGTCACGAGTTCACGACCTTGGTCTAGGAGTAGGACCATATCGCTGTCTATAACAGAGGATATTCTGTGTGCAATCGTTATTACTGTACAATCCGAGAAATGTTGTCTCAGGGTCTCCTGTATCAGATTATCAGTCGCAGTATCTACAGAAGCGGTGGCTTCGTCAAGAACCAATACTTTGCTTCTCTTGAGCAAGACTCGTCCCAGACACACCAATTGTCTCTGGCCAACACTCCAGTTCTGCCCATTCTCACTAACTGAAATACAAAACAATCATGTTCCATTCATCAATATATATTTCAAAGATTCAAGATGATTCACTGTGACAGTAGTTTTATACTAACCAGTGGAATCCAGCTTTAGTTCTTTCTTCCTTACTTCATCCCCCAGTTGACACTTGTCAAGTGCCTGAAACAAGAAACCAAAACAATAGTGTGAGGAGCTTCCTATTGCTATCTGCAGAAACAGAGAAAGAAACAAGAGCCAGTCAACGAACCTCCCAGATTTGGTCATCAGTGTATTCCTCAAGAGGGTCTAAGTTACTCCGAACCGTGCCTTCGAACATGGTTGGATCTTGAGGTATGATACTTAGTCTGGAACGCAAGTCGTGCAGTCCAATGGTCAAAATGTTTATTCCGTCAATCCTGATTTCTCCGGCTGTAGGTTCCACAATCCTAAAAAGAGTTTGAATTAGAGTGGATTTGCCACATCCTGTTCTTCCTACGATTCCGGTTTTCAGGCCTCCTGGAAAAGTGCATGTCAGTCCACGCAACACCATAGGCAAATGTGCCCCATATCTTACCTGCGTAGATTATTCATATTACATTAGTCACAAGAACTTCCAAGTCATTAGAACGAAAGAAGAAGTACAGAGTTCAGTTACCTGCAGATTACAAATAGTAATCTCCCCATGACTAGGCCATGATTTCTCAGGACGAGTTGATTCAATCACGAGAGACGGTTCACTGGGGATGTCTATGTATTGAAGCATTCTCTCCACAGATATCATTTTGTTCTCAAGATCGCAAAGTGTCCATATTAGCGTGGCTTGCAGGCTATTTAGAGTGAGTGCATATGTAACGGCTAATCCTGCAAAGCCTTTAAGAAGAAGAATACAGAGAAAGACAATGAAGATTTAGTTGTGAATAGAAACAAACAAAAAAACTGATAAGAGGGTGGAAACTTTACTTGGATTAATGACTCCTTCAGGGATAGAAACTAAGATAACAAGTGAAAGCGCAAATGCAGCAGCAGATAAGAGATCAAGACGGAAGCAAAGCCACTCCATTGCAGAAATGGCATGGAACCTCAGCCGAGAATAGCAATCATTGAGTCTCATGATGTCACTGCGGAATCTTGGTTCTTGATCAAAGCTCCTGATAGTTGTTATTCCTGAAAGTGTTTCAGAAAAATGCTGTACTATAGGCGATCTGCTTATTCCAGCTAGTCTTGCGAGCTCTCGAGCCGCAGATATGTAATATTCCTGCACACATGTGTGAATTAGTATCAAGACTTAGGTGAGACCCTCAGGAAAGTTAGTATGAATCGTATCAAATCAATGATCACACTAAGTCCCCTTGATTCCATGAACAACAAGCCAAAGTATGGAGATACACTTTGATCCAAGTTTGCGAGTGTTATGAAAAGTACCCGATACCAAAAGCATGCAGCGATCACAGGGATGAAGACAATAAGGACCTGCCAAGCAACCACTCCCATCACTCCGATAATCCCCAAAATGTTTACAGCAGTAACAGCAAGATTTGAAAATTGACTTGGTAATCTCAAATCCACAGCACTTTGGTCTGTAGAAGCCTAAATCAGGATTGAAACCACAGTGATCAGAAAAGGAGTTCCCAGGATCAGTTTTTGGTATTGTCATTAAACATTGAGTAAGTAAGCAAGTATAGATAGTTCTTACTCTATTCAAAATTCTCCCAATTGGAGTGGCATCAAAGAATGACATGGAGGCACGGAAAACACGGAGATGCATCTGATTGAATAGCTCAGTGGCTATCTTGAAACCAGTCATCGCAGCCAGCATTGCTCTGACAAGTATGCAGAAGGAGCTTGCAGTGGCTAGAACTACATAGACTAGAATCAGTGTAGAGCCACTCACTGGAGGTTTCACATCCTTAGTGACAGGAGTTACCCAAGCCATCCAATAGTTGCTCCCGATGTTTAGGACCTGAAAGAGAATCTGTACGACTAATATAATAGGCACAAGTGCTCCTCCATACGCCAGTGCCATATACTTTTGGTATACAGCGAACCCAACTTTGCCTTTCTCCCTCTCTTCATCTTGAACTAGTTGTCCTCTTGGGGTAGCCAAATCCTCCTCTTCTTTTTCTTCACCATTGGACTTTTTGCTTTCTTTGCTTGTAGTTGCTTGTTCCGAAACAGATCCTTTTTCATATGAATCAACTGCTGCTAAGGCATCAGTTTGAGCTCCTACAAGTTCCATAAAATCGGTTCCTGAGTCAAGAATTTCATTGTACTTTCCCGCTTGCGTGATCTTCCCATCTTTCATAACCTACCAAAATGTTTATTTGATTTCATAATTATGTGGTAAGAATCATAATGTACATGCAAAATGGTGTATAGCAAACAAGTCACAAACCAGTATAACATCAGCTTCAGGCAGGAATTCAAGTTGATGAGTGACGTATATGACTGTCTTGTCTCTCAGAAGCCCAAGCAGGACTTCCTGCAACAGAGAAAAATAAGCATGAGATATCACAATGTGTAGCACAAGACAAAGCAACGGTAGATGGTAAGAGGTTATATTCAAGTAAGATAATCAGAAAGAAAAGAAAACAATATCTACCTTGAAGAGATGTGATCCAGTATGAGCGTCTACAGCACTAAAAGGGTCATCGAACAGATAGATATCTGCGTTTTGGTAAAGAGCACGTGCCATCTGTATTCGTTGCTTCTGACCACCGCTTAGATTGATACCTCTTTCACCAATAACCGTCTGGTCACGGAACGGAAGTACCTCCAAGTCCTTATTCAAAGAACATGCTTCAAGCACCCTCTCATACCATTCTCTTTGCATTGGCTTACCAAAAAGAATGTTCTCTTCGACTTTGCCGCTCTGGATCCAAGGCGACTGTGCAATGTATGCCTTCCTTCCACAAACCTTAAGATTTCCAGATATTATGGGAACTTCACCAAGTATGGATGAGAGTAAGCTAGATTTACCAGAGCCAACGGTACCACAGATGGCTACATTCATCCCCTGAGGGATTTTAAAACTTATGTCTCTCAGCGTCGGGATGGGAGAAGAGTCATCCCAAGAGAAAGCACCATTGCTGACTTCCACAGCCATTTCTGAACTTCCATTAGGAACTCTCTCCACACCATCTTGCTGCAAATCATCAAGACAAAGAAAAGATGTAATCCTATCAAGGGATACCTTTGTCTGAACAATCATCGAGATTGTGTCGGGAAGTTTGTAGATAGGATTTTGCAGAATTCGAAAAGTTGCAAGAGCCGCTAGTATCTTTCCCGATTCAAGAGGAATCTTGAGAAGCATACAAGCGCCAAAAGCTGTTGCGGACACAAAAGAAGGCGCAGCCCACAGAACAGAGCTGATAGCCGCTGAGTTATACACGAATTTCTTGAGCCAGCTTGCTTCAATGCCTCTAAGGTCAAGAATCTTATGAAGGAAGTTCATCTCCCATCCCTGAAGTTTGAGAATCCTCATGTTCAGTAACACCTCCGATGTTTTCTTCATCCTGTTATCTTTAGACTCCATCAAATTCCCCTGAAACTTCTCTTCCAACTTTGCCAAGGGAAAATTTCCCAGCATAACTAAAAAGGTTGCAGCAAAAGCTACAATCGACCCTAGCCCAAGGCTTCTGTACAAGATCAACAAGGCTAAACTGATTTGTAAGACAAGTATCCATGGATCATGCATATACCAGCTAAAAGCACTGATTCTCTCAGCATCTACCGTCATGAGATTTATGATCTCACCACTACTTTGTCCTTGCTTGGAGTGACATGGAAGGGTCAAGCCCTTTTCGTAGATCATCGAAACCAGGACCGATCTCATTCCAATACCAGCTTTTTGCAACCTGAAGTACCAATTCCTCCGGGCTTGGCATTCTACAAGCTTTGCAACAAAGAAAGTTGTCACTAAAACAAACCCTTCGTTAGAATACTGTTTGTTACCGTTCAAGTACTGGACGAAAGTATCCATTAGATACGGCGCAACATAGCAAGACAACGTGTAGAGAAAAGCGAACAGAGTTGACAAGACAATATCCCACCACACGGAAAAGAAGAGTGCCTTGATAAGCTTAAACGTGGTGATCCTTCTTTCACCATCGTCCCAATCAAGCTTGCTCCTAAATATCCAAAATAGTTTCTCAGCTCTGTCACTACTGTCAACTTGAGGAACATCCTCGCTGTCTAAGATCTTCTCGTTTCCCAAGGCAATCAAAGGACCCATCCAAGAGAAACTTATATGGCTTAGAATCCCAGCGTTGGAAAAAGGTGTAACAACCTCATCATCATCTCCTTCCACCTTATCCAACCGCACACTAGATTCAGCTCCATTCAAGAGGGGCTCTTCGAGTAGGCTGGTCCTTTCACATTCCCCTTGCTTCTGCAAAGACGAATAACAGAGAAACAACCCCACGCTAACGGCGACTACATCAGACATTAACAGATGAACCGACTCCAGTTTTTGCTTCTTGTATAGAGCAATGTCTACCAAAAGACGGTAGCAAGAAAACATGAAATAGAAAACCCACCAGACTCTAAGCAAAAAAGGAAACTTTTGACCTTGAGAATCCGTGGATAGACCGCGCAGGTAGAGAGAGATGGCACCCCAAGAAAGAGCTGCAAACAGAAGATCTAAAAGAATCACCAGTTCCCTGAGATCCCAACCATTTGTATGCAGGTGGAAGCAACTTCGCAGCAACAACACAGAATTCAAGGCAAACAACGTCTCACAACATACAACGACCAGATAATTGTACGTTAAAGACATATTCTTAAACCTTTCATCCGTGAAACCATCACTGTTTTCACAAGCCACTCTCTTTTTGTAAACCCATGAAACAAACATAAACAGCAACAAAAGCAGATTGAAGAAAACGGAGAACATTGGAAAGTAGATGGACTCAAGAAGGAGAAAATTGAGAGAACTCTCCATTGCATAACTCTGTTTCATTATGCAATGGGTACGATGAAAAATGTTTAAGTCTCTCACCGTGGACAATATATATATAGACAACTGCGTCAATATATATTATTTCAAAGACGAAATCATCCAAAAGCAAATATAATATAATTCCATGACGTCTCAACGTCCACCATGAACCACTTTTTTATGCTTAAACCCTCGTTCCCAGAAATTCCTATGTATTTTCTATGGAAAACACAACCATACTGTGTAACTTCGCCGAAACAAACCAAAAAGACCAAGTATCTTAACTTATATAGCTGCTTTTTTCTACAACAGAAAAAGATGACACTTACAGAAGAATAGGTAAGTTCTAATTGATTGTAGCTAGCAAATCCAGAATCCTGATTCCTGACTGGTCTCGTTGCCATCTCCAAGAAAACTGTAGTACGCAAAATAATTCCATGATGATGAATATTCGGCTCATTTGCAAAAGTCTGATCACATTACCAAATAAAACTTACATACTAAACATTTCTTACGCCTCTGCTAATCAGAAACCAACCACAGGAAACTCCACTAAACAGTAATCAGAGTTTCCGAGTTTTTACTTCAGATCCCATCTTAATCAGACTATCTTACAGAGATAAATTATCTGATTATAGAAACAGGGTTGCACTAGCCACCGCATATTCATATGTTCTACAGCTTCGATTACAGGAGAAGCCGAGAGCTATGAGAAGCAATTAAACAACAAAAACGAAGACTTTTTTTTCAAATTACATAATCCGACCACTCGGATATATGCGACGTCTGGTCCATGGTGAGGCCAGGATCCTTGTCGTGCTTTTTCGGATTATCTTTGCCACCGAGCAATCTCGCCGGATTTCCCACAGCCGTCGTACGCGGCGGCACGTCCTTCAACACCACCGAGCCGGCCCCGATCTTGGCTCCCTCTCCAATCGTTATATTCCCCAGGATACAAGTCCCAGCTCCGATCAACACCCCGTCGCCGATCTTCGGGTGCCTGTCTCCGCACTGTTTCCCCGTTCCTCCGAGCGTTACGTTGTGGAGAATAGAGACGTTGTTCCCCACCACCGCCGTCTCGCCGATGACGATGGCCGTAGCGTGGTCGAGCAAAATCCCGGTTCCGATTTTGGCCCCGGGGTGGAAATCAACGGCGAAGGCCTCCGATACTCTGTTCTGGATCAACAGAGCGAGGATTTTCCGGTCCTGCGTCCATAGCTCGTGAGCAATTCGATGCGCTTGGCAGGCGAGGAAGCCCTTGAAGTGTAGGAAACAATGGACGTAGCTGATGCAAGCTGGGTCTCTCTCCTTGACCGCAATCAGATCTTGCTTCACCGATTCAACGATCTCTGGGTGTTCCTCGAGAACGCCGTTGAACAAATCGAAGAGCGTGTTGCTGGGGAGGTTTAAGTTGCTGAGTTTAACGGAGAGAGTGTTGGCCAACGCCGCCTCCAAGGATCGCTGGGAGACGATCGATGCGTGGTAATAGCCGGAGACAATAGGTTCTCTCTGGATATCGGATTTGGCTTCTTCGCGAATCTTCTCCCAGACATCGTCGATCTCGGCGTCTCGATCGAGATCTTCAACGAGCGGGCGGGTGTGGAGGGTTTTGGTCTGGGTCACGTTGATCGGAGCTCGCGAAACTCGGTCCGGGTAACCGGTACGGTAGTAATTCAGGTAACGGAAACCGGATTCGTCGTCGTGAGACCTGGTGGAGTCGCGAGAAGAAATCTGAGGTTTCCCGGTTCGGCACGTGTCGATACACGCCGCCATTGGAGGGGATGAGGATTTTCGGTAATCTTTGGTTGCAGAGGACCTGGATGAGGCAAAAGAAGGGAGGAAAGAGGAGGAAGAGTAGAGAACATGGTTGTGTGGAGAAGATGAACGGAGCATATATAGGGAGAAAGAGAAATGGCGGCGACTAGTGACCGGGAACATTGGAAATTTTCTCGGGAAAACTCTTTTTTTTTCTTTTTTTTCTTTAACCAAAACGAAAGGATGTAAAGAATTTATATTTTGGAGTTTCTTGCTGCTCTATCTCCCTCCCCAGATTTGTTTCCTTTAATTTCTTTTGTTAAAAATGTTTTTACAGTACAGTGCACACTGGCCACTGTCACTAGGTGGCAAAAAGTTAGTTTAAATTTATGAGATTGGGTAAATTTAATTAGCAAGAGTTAACAAAAACAAGCTCCGAAAACCCATAGTTAAGCTAAAACCCCAAAAAACAGAGCCTCTACATCTCATCTGTTTCTTCTAGTTCAACCATTTCATTTCATGCAACAGAATGTAAATTTGGTCATTTTTTGTTGTTAAAGATGTAGATTTGGTCATCAGTAAGTAATTTAACAGTTTTACTTATTTATACAAAACCAATAAGTCAACTTTTCCTTCTTTCTTGACATTCTTGTGCAATTGAATCTATCAAAAATTCATGAACACATACCTATGTCGACAGTCGTGGTCCGAATTCTTATTTTAATATTTTTTGTTGGAGAAAGGGTTAAAGATATCTTGTGGTCAGAGTTTTTCTCTGTATACTGAGTGAGTGCACATGTTCTTTTGTGACACCTACTTTTGAGTTTTGTCTACCGTCGTCGACCCTCTTCTTTGTTGTTAACTTGTTATATTTAAAAGAGAGAAACTATTTCAATGAAAAATCGATTATCTGGGTGTGTAAATGTGAATACATGCAAGCACTGCACAATGCCATGAGAAGAAATGTAAAGTTACACGGTATAAACTAACAATACTATAATAGCTCGAATATAACCATCATTGAAATAAAATAAAAATAAATAAGAAGAAATGTAACACTATACAGTATATGAAAAAATGTGACGTAAGTAATGACATGTTTGTCTGTAGATCCGTGAAGCCATCGTCCTCTTTACAAACTTGGAGACTCTCTTTTTTAAGCCAGTGTCCGCTGAAATTAAATCATCTCTCCTTCTAATCATATCATTAGCATATATGTACATGTATTAATTAACGTTATCTTCTATGACTTGAAAATGACATTCGCAGCTTATATGTTTAACTAATATATTAGTGACTAGCTAAATAATATAACAAAATCCATGCTTATGTTGTTCGAATCATTTCTTCGTCGATGGGTTAGGAAAAATATCGTAGTTTAGTAACTGTCACTGAAAATAACAAGGAGAAAAACACAAAAATGTGTTAAGAATATAAAAATAAAAATAAAAAAAACTGGTAACTACAAAACGAAAAGCAATTAAAGGGCACATCAATGAGGACCCCTCCAATTAGTTTTGGACACTTATGAATTATGAATCTGCTAAAACTAAAATAAATAAATGGAACTTGTGTGGTTTTTGTCTTAGGAGTTGGGACTTAGGAGTATAATTTTGTTACCTTTCAATTTCAGCCATTGAAAAGATTGTCTCTTCGAGTGTTGAAAACAGACTCCACAACCCTATTTGTTTGATGCTTCCACTTTAGCGGTTGGTTTTCGATTGCGATTAGTTCCCAACGACAAGACTCGCAACTCGTATAAAGTTCGTATCATCCTAAAATCACATAACCACATGTATTCAATCCGAGTTGTGTGTCCTGGTACGTGAATTGTAGAAACAAAACTTTAACGATATTTTTGTCCAAAAAAGAATTATTTATTAGGTAAATAACTATAACAACCTTTTATTATGCTCTTATTACTATAACAACACCAAGTTTTTTTAATTACTATAAATAGTTTCATGCCTTTTTTACCCCTTTTTCTTTGTATACAAAAAACGGTATTTACGAGATTGCCATTAATGAAATTTTATCAAAACTCTACCGTGAAAAATTAACTCTACCACGGACGATATGGTAGATTTCGTATTGTCCGGTAGATATATTTCATTACACAGTAGATTTGAATGATATAACGAGATAGGATAGATTTATTTCATATTTCATAGATTTATTAAGTGTACCGTAGACTTATTGTTTGCCCTAAAATATATAGTTGTGATAGAGTTATAGTCTACGGTAGAGTTATTAAACATATAGTAGATTTATATTGTTTGGTAGAGTTGTTTAGACGTGGTAGAGTTTCGCTACGGGTGGCAGATTTATTTAGCGCTCGGTAGAGTTATTAGTCGATTGTTGTAGATTTATTTTTCTTACTGGTAGAGTTTTAATAATCCTGTAGATTTATTAGATGTGACGATAGACATCTAGTGCTGGTAGATTTGTACGTAATTATGGTAGATATATGGCCTTGTGGTAGATATATTTTACTTGATGGTAGATTAGATGAAACGCGGTAGATTTACTTGTTATAGTGGTAGAGTAAGTAAGATGTTGATACTTGAAAAACCGTTTTTCAAGTATTGCAATAACGAACAATTGATGGTAGATTTACGTTCATATGGTAGAGTTATAGTGGAAAAGGTAGACTTATTATAGAAATTGAAAAACGGATTCCGGATTTAGGGTTTAGGGATTTGATGTGAAATGCCATAATACAGTTGAGTGTAATAGCATTTGGGTGTTGTAATGCAGTAACTATTTAACAGTAAAGATTACAATTTTGACTTAAAAGTTTGGGGTTTAGTATTGAGAACCCTTTAGTATTTGATAGAGTTTAGGGTTTACGGTTGAGGGTTTGCAAAGCAAATATGCTAGAGTACTCCAACATAAGGCATATTTGCAACATTTCAAAAACATCAAAACTCCAAATGTGTTACTGTTTAACATACACCTGAGGTTTAGTGTTTGAAGTTTGAACACACATTCGAACTTGCATACCCTAAAGTGGCAGAAGCAGTTTATATTTGCTGTTTACGGTTTATGCTTTAGGGTTTGCAAAGCAAACCTGTTACAATACTCTAATGAATTCAATACACTTAGGGTTTAGACATTCAATATGCGTTTAGGGTTTTGGGTTTAGAGGTTTTTTAGGGTAAAAAAAACGAATGACTTGAAAAGCACATAAAATGAAGACATTACACATAAACGAGTTCAAAAGTACATAACAGTAGAATATCTTTGTGTGTGTGTGATGAAGACATAACACATCTACTTCATCAAACACATTTAAACACACATAATTCATCTTACACTTCAAACATAGCATAAAAACCACTTAGTTGTAGACATGCATAAAAGCGAGATAGATAGTTGTCCTTGCACGGCTGACACCCGCAGCTTAGGGACAGGACCGAGTCCCACAGCTGTCTAACCTCGGTAATTGTCTTTTCCTGTTGAGCAGTGAGGTCACGAATCTGGTTTGCCTGCTCTGCATTCTCCTCCTTGAGCTTCGCAACCTCCTCTCCAACCTCCCTTGTAGCCTTCCTTTTAGCAATGTCAAGCTCCCCATTAAGTTGACGAATCTTCGTGGTCTGCGCTTCATTTGAATCCCTTAGCCTAAGAACCTCCTCTTCAATAGCCAGATCCCACCTCTTCCGAACGTGAAGGACGCTGTCGTACTACACGATTCACCACATGTCATCAATTCGAATACTATGTAATGTAATGTTTTAAAACAAACAAACAATGTGCAATCATACCTTGTACTGCTCGCATGTGTAGTATCTTGTCCCGTCAACAACTTCTTGGATCAAACCCTCACCGCAAGGACACCATGTCATAATGCCGTAGTTACCATCGGCCCAAAAACCAAGCATCTGGATGTGGTCCTTCGTTTTCTTCCATTCATAGACGTTAGGATCGTTGGGGTCCATGGGATCTGCAAAACCACTAACTAGGGATTAAATCTACCATCATAAATCTACTGCCAATGAAAAATAAGTCTCCCTCATTGCAAATAAGTCTACTAGTGCAAGTCTACCATTACTAAATAAACATGTAAACTAATCACCATCAAACAAATTCACGACAATCGTATCTACAACGGGAGGAGCAGAAGATATCTCCTCCTTAGGCGCAATCAGGTAATTGTAGTTCGCAAAACAAAAATTAGGGTTTAATGGACGAGAGACGACTATGAATCCCGAAATCTATGAAACATGCTTAAATAATTGACATATGCGAACTCATATAACAAGATTCAACATATATATGTTTGATCTGACCTTGAACCAATCACGATTTGAAGAAACGTTGTAATCGCCTCTGAACTGTCTCTGCCGTCGAAGAAAGAGGTGAACACTCGTTGAAGATGAGTGATTTAGGGTTAAAAAGGTCCCGGTTTATACCGGTTTAAGTTGATTTTAAGTTTATTGTCCCGTTTAAATCTATACCGATTACCCATTCGTAGATTTATTTTCCTGATATATGTGGTGATAGACTTATTTACGGGTGAAAGTTTCGTTGGAAGACGATTTAGCCCCCCAACTCGGGGATATTTCAAGAAAACCAGTCATCATCATCAACAATTAGGGTTGCCGTCTTCCATGGCAGTTCTCTGTTCGATCTATATTCGTAGAAGAGATATCATCAATAATTCTCCACAGAGAAAATTGTGCAGCATCTTCAATGGAGCAGGTGGTACTCGTTTGTGGGTCATCGATGGTTTTTCCTTTCAGACAAGTCTAGAAGATCTTCACGTGTTGGAGCTGATCTTCGAACCTCATATGCTGATTTCCATCAGATGGTGCTCGAAGAGTTTGGAGTCGATCAGCAGATCTACCAATTAAAATTCAGCTACATGATTACCAAAAGCGTCGCTGCTACACCTCCTGTGATAGTGACGAATTCAAAAGAATTTTGTCGTTTCTCAAGGTTTTTGCGAACCATACGGCTCGTCTATGTGTGGAGATCGTCGAGAAAACGGTATGTCATGAAGGTGTTCGAGATACAAGACGAAATAATTTATTGCCTGATAGCGATACGGACGAGGAGGATGACGAGGGCATGAGATACGACTGCTGCGATGATCCAGACGGTGCAAGCTCCGGCGATGAAGAATATGGAACCACGAAAGGAAGATTTGCACAAGAAGAGGAAGAAATGTTTTATCTGCCACCGCAGAAAAGAGGAGAAAGCTCGATGCCTGATTTTTTGCAAATCGAGCGTGGTTCTGTTGAATTGGCCGTCGGCCAACGTTATCCAACGAAAAAGAATTTGGAGCTCAGATTGAAGATGCTCTCTGTTGCGCTGAAGTTCGATTATAATGTCGGTTACTCAACGCCTACTTTGTTGACAGTACATTGCTGGATCGAAGGGTGTTCATGGAGAGCGAGGGCGCCTACGCTTGGGTCTGCTCCCGAGTTTTTCATCAAGAGTTATGTCAAAGATCACTCGTGTTCTGTTACAGAGCGTTCTTCTCGTTCTAGACAAGCGAAACCTGATCTGCTTGGGAGGCTATACAGTGAATTTGTAGGTTGTGTTGGACCGACCGTGCTGCCTTGCCATGTTGCAGATGCGTTGAACAAACGCTATGGTGTTAAGGTACATGTTCTTGACGGCACACTTCATTCGTTGTTATGATAGACTTGTTACGGTAGACTTGGCATGCTATATTAGTTATAGTAGAGTTATTCTATTAGACTTATTTGATAGAATTCGCACGATATACTCGCAGTAGACTTATTATGGTAGAGTAGTTCAGGTATACTTATTTGATAGACTTGCAATGTTTTGCAGATGGATTATTGGAAGGCGCACCACACACTACGGTTTGCGCGCCAGCTAGTAGCCGGCAGTTCAGAGAGTGGATACGAGGATCTGCCGGCTTACTTGTACATGATTAGACGGGCAAATCTTGGGACACTCATTATGCTAGACGTTGATGAGGAAGACATGTTTAAGTTCCTTTTCATAGATTTTGCTGCAAGCATACACGGATTCCCACATATGCGGAAAGTTGTCGTAGTTGATGCCACCTATTTGCAAGGAAAATATAAGGGAACACTACTAACAGCGTCTACACAAGACGGAAATTTCAACATCTTTCCGATTGCGTTTGGCGTTGTTGACACTGAGAACCATGAATCATGGGAGTGGTTCTTTAGACAGCTAAACCGTGTTATCCCAGACGATGAAGACCTAGCCATATCTCGGATAGACATAAGTCGATTAAATACGCGATAAAGAAGGTATATCCTTTGGCTTCAAGGGGAATCTGCACATACCATTTGCATAAGAATATTATACTCAGATTCAGGACACGAGAGTGTTACGGACTTGTGAAGAAGGCCGCATCCGCATATAGGCTTCTGGAGTTTAACCAGCTCTTTGCGCAAATACAAGCTTTAGATCCAGCTCTTCATAAGTACTTAGTGGAAGCTGATGTTCGGCTATGGACTCGGGTGTATTTTCCTGGAAATAGGTACAACTTCACGACAAGCAATATAGCAGAGTCGTTGAACAACGTCCTATCTCCTTTTAGAGGTTCACCAATTGTACAACTTCTCGATGCTGCGAGGGCTTTGTTAACGAGATGGTTTGCGGCGAGGAGAAAAAACGCTAGCCTAATGAAAACAACATTGACGAGAGGTGTGGAGAAGCTGCTAGAGGTATGTCACTTTATTGATGAGCAGTTGTTCTTTCTTTTTTCTTCTTTGTTATTTTCTTATCTAATGCAAATTTGCCATACTTGATGAGCAGTCTCGTGTGGAAGACGCAAAGCTGGGGACAGCGCAGGAGATTGACGGTCATCAATCACAAGTTACATGTGGAGGGGTGTTGCATGTCGTCAATTTGACAGAGAAAAAATGCACATGTCGTAGGTTTGATTTGGATAAATTACCTTGCGTCCATGCAATTGCAGCAGCAGAAGCTAAAGGTATGTCACAGATTGCTCTTGCCCACACATACTTTAGGCGCACATCTCTATACAATTCATACGCAAAAAACGTTATGCCGAGAGATGTATCATTCCCCGTGCCGGAAAATGTGATTGCCAAACTTTGCAAACCTCCAGTTGTACATCAACCACCCGGAAGACCAAAGAACTCCAGAATGAAAAGTGCATTAGAGGTGGCTATGGAGAATAAGCGTCCGCGGAAAGAAAATACTTGTGGAAAATGTAACAAGATTGGCCATAATCGTGCGACATGCAAGACTTAAGTTTCTCATTTGTAATCTTCCTTGCATATGAACATTTTGCATTTTCCTGTTTATGTACAACATGTGTTTGTACAACACTTTGCATTTTCATTTGAATTGAAGTGAAAAATTGTCTTTGAGAATAAGTCTACGGCAATAAGTCTACGCCAACGTGAATAAGTCTGCCAAAAAGTCTACGGTGTCAACAAAATAAGTCTGCCATAATTGAATAAGTCTGCCACAAAAATAAAAGAGTATTCTCTAACAAAATAAGTCTGTCACGAAGTTAGACAGAATGCAAAAACAGAGTATCTCAAACAAAATAAATCCGAGTTATTTAGTCCGGTCTCAAAAGATTTATCTTGAACGTGATTACTGCAAAGAGTAAGTCTGGAGTGGAAATTTGTCACCACCGTTAGTTCCCCTAGGTAGCGGGCACGATAACTGCATGCACTCCTCAGGCGGCAACTCGTTCAATACCTCCGCCGCATATTTAACCCGCATGGCACCAACATTGACATCGCTTAGCTCGTGTACGTTCCATCCAAGAGCCAGACACTCGATATATTTCAACGTGTACACTCCACAGTCGCCTTGTTGTTTATTTTGAGGGAAAGTAGTTACCCTGTAGAAGGTGTACGCCGCCTCAGTCATTTTCTTCCTCTTCTCCGGTGGTGCCATGTGTTTGAACAACATAGGAATCATCCTCATGTACGGTTTGCATTCCTCTCTGATTCTACTTTCTGGGTACAAGCTGTTAATGCAATCATAGGCCTTTACCCTTTTCTTCTCTAGATCAACTTCGACCGCAATCCAATGATTGTCTTCGATGTTGTGGACAATGTACAATATATCCACATCCGCACCCCATATACCTCTAAAGGTACTTTTGAAGCCTTCACGAAATATGTAAGACTTGTGCCTGCCGTCGAAGTCGTTCTTATACACAGAACACCACAAATTTCAGAAGGTAGGGTCAAGAAAAGCAATTCTATCACTGTGATAGGGAGAGGGGTTGGCTAAAAACCGTTGTCGGAACAAATCCATAACAGCAGCCATGTGCTGCAAAATATATGAGCAAAACATGTAAGTGTGTCAAGTAAATAATCAAAGCATGATCGTGTGTGAACTAAACAAGTAAATAAGAGGTATTGACAATACCGGATCACGCAGCCACCCAAATTTTTGATTATTCTTCGGCCATAGTTGTTTAGGCGTCTTCAGTTGAACGTAGAACTGTACCAACCTAAGGCTGTCGTCCAGTGGATTGTCTCTGCAATTATGGAAGTCAACTGCAATTACGATTCAATTCTCTTGTTAAAACGAAAGACAAAAGCGTCTTACAGAGTAACTTACATGTCTGTCCGAACGAACTCCACTAACGCATCCAATTTTGCGCCATCAACCTTCTGAAAAGGATCATACACAGCAGAAGAAGGTTTCACACTAAGGATAATCCGCCGAACCGCTGAGCTTCCAATGTAAGGGTCCTTTTGATTGGGTGCCAAAGACATGTTGCGTGGAAGGTTCACATCGACTTCACCGCCATTGTTCCCATAGAAGTCATCTCTATTGATAAAATGGAGAAATTTATCTAGAGGGTCGACTTCTGGGTCGTCAGAATCAAATTCATCCCTGAGCTGTGGGATCACGAATTCAGTCTTTCCGTTCGGCTTCTCCTTCTCCTTCTTCTTTCCCTTGTTTCAGTTTGCCTTTTTCTCCTTCTTTGGATCAGCTGGTTCTTCCTTCACCCTCTTGAACTTATCCGCAGTAGTTCCCTTAACGTTCGGGTTTCTGATGGTTCTTACGTGCGTAACCCCTGCCTGAGATGTTGCCTCGTCTTGAAGTAACCAAGACTGCCAGAAATTTGAGAACTGTAACAGTTAGAAATCTGAGAAGCAATAAGTCTACCACAATAAGTCTACCACAACAAGTCAACATAGTAAGTCTACCATATAAGTCTACCACAATGACACATAAGTCTACCATATCTATCTATCATACGTCAACAAGTCTACCACTTCTTTATCGGATCCTTCTAAGTTCTCTAGAACAAGTCTACCATTACTATAATACGTTGTACACAAGTCTACCATTATAATCTAACAATATGTATTACCATCACTATAGGTGATTGTTGTCTATTAATGGTACAATGAACCACCAGCCACCAGAAAGCACACTATTACACAGACCATAAGTTTGAAATTACACCGTTTATAACATCCAAATCAACCACTCTCACGAAAGAGAGCCCTACATACCGGATCCGGACTCACGTCTTCTCCGGGTTTGCCTTGAACACCACCCCCGGCATTGGAGTTTACATCTGTCAACGGCTCTGTTGGACCACCTTGTCTAGACACCTCTATCGTAAGACCCTTGCATCTATCGCATTCACTTTCTCAAGTACTGCTTTCAACATTACGGCGAGCTCACTGTGCCTACTTGCTTCATCTTCCCGTCTCTTTGATGCTGTCTTTCTGTCAACTTCCTCTTGCAAACTCGAATCATCAACATCAGTAGACATGGAACATTTCGTTGCATCGTTGCTTTTTTCCTTCCTTCGTGTTGCCTTCTCTCTTGGCTCTTCAGTCGTCGTACTATCCTTCTTGCTCGCCGCATCAGATGTCTTCTTTGTTCTTTGCTCTTCCTTTCTCTTTGTTCTCAGCTCTTCCTCGTGCCCGAGAGGTTTCTTCGACGACTTTCGTCCAGGCTTGTCAACAAAATCGTCGTCGCTTTCATCGGCTTTGCTCTTTCCCTTTTTTCTGGGACCGTCCTCGCTTTCACCCGCTTTGCTCTTCCTCTTCTTCTTCGCAGCAGCCTCAGTTTCCCAAAACGATTCATCCAAACAGCCGTCAAGGATATCGCGAATCATATTATCAAGCTTCTTGTCGCAATCAGGATTTTCACCAGCCCATTGTGGATATATCTCAGCAGGAGGCACATCAACTAAGTGTCTAACGCGAGCCTGCATCCACAAAGCAAATATGATACCAATCAGATTCAGTTAAACAAGGTTATAGGAATAAATCTACCGTAACAATTTTAAATGAGGACATACCTTCTTGTCGACGCTATTCTGTTTATCCTCCTCCATAAGGGCCTCCAAATTGTACCTTGTACGAGATGATTGCCACCGTAGTAGAGGGATTGGACCATCACGTCTCCTCCCAAATCTTTCTCCGATAATTTCAACAGATTCATATCCCCATATCAGAAGCGGATGCACAAATCCAGGGATTGTGTAGGAAGGCACGTCAAATTTTGCTATTTTTATCGATTGCACTAGCTTCTGAAATGCAACTCTACCCCATGGATACCTCTCAAACGCCTCTTCATCCAAAACTCTTTTTGCAGCCACAAAAGGTATTCTACATGTTCGAGCAAGGCCATATACTCCAACGTGCAGCACAAACAACAAAGCAAGCTTCCTCTTCTGCTGATAATTCCACATACTGCATGTTTCAAACGCCTTGACCAACTCATCCCAGCTAGGACCTTCCCCTGATTTGATGCCCGCTAATTCCCAAAACTCAGTGTGGTTAACTTTCAATTCTCCTTCATCTTCAAACGGGTCACAGTTTAGCCTCGTAATATCACGAAACTCATGGAGGCTAAACCTTATGGGTCGGCCCCCAATTAAAGACCATATCTCATAATTGCGCTCAATTGCCAACTGATTTCTTAGAAGGTTATGGCATGTCTTCGCACACCATACGTAGCTCAATGATGCAAGCTTCAGAATCACTCCCACTTGCGAATTATTCATCACGTCGTTGTAAATGGTGTCCCCAACGGCGGAGTTGAGCTCTCCAAAACCACTGAAGACACAATTATGATGCATACTTCGGTTTTTCTCAGGAGATTTCAGGACCGGATACAATCTCGGTGGATATTCTTTTCTCGTCTTTTTTCCAGATGCCATTCTGCACAAATATGCAATTGCATTAAGCTCCTACGAAGATGAACAAATTACCAACAACTAAACGCTACTATTAACAAACAAGTCTACCACATACAAGTCTACCACTACTACATACAAGTCTACCACAACTACGTACAAGTCTACCACAACACATCGAAAAATTAATCCCAATATAAAGTCTACCATCACTTTTACATCTATCCCTAACAAATCTACCATTACGCTTAATTATCAATTACGAAACCCTATACCCTAAACCGCAATCAAAACCTCAAACCGCAACCCTACCATATCGAATTTCAAAATTAGGGTTCTAGATTGCGAAATTTCTGGTTTATATCTCTCATTTACAGAGGCGAAGTCGAGAGTTTTGATTTTTGGAAAGAGAAGCCTCTCGGAAATTAGGGTTTCTAAGTTTCGCAGTGTTAGAAATTGATACCTTCGAAACGCCGCCGCTGCTCTCGTTGAAACGCCGCCGCTGCTCTAGTCGAAACGCCGCCGCTACTCTCGTCGAAACTCCGCCGCTGCGGAAGTGAACAGATGGAACGGAGGAAGAAGAAGAATTTGCAATCGCCGATGTTTAGAGGCGATTTTAGGGTTAATGAATTTTTGGTGTTTTTTTCGAAGAAATGTAAAAGTGATTTCTTTTCACTATTTTTTGAAGAAATGTAAAAGAGAAAAAAGCAATTTCTTTTCACTATTTTTTTTAAAAATGTAATGGCAAAGTAGTAATAAAAACGAAAATGAAACAAGAAAATTTTTCTCCACAATGCACAGCCGTAAATAACTCTAACCCTCCAGAATAAATGGACTTTTCACTCTTTTTTTTGAGATTCAATCTCTCAAAACATCATTCTAGTCATTACACTAGAATAAGAGGTTGTTATAGTCATTATCTCTATTTCATATGGAAATATGATTTGACTAGTTAGCAAATGTTACGCAGCAACACAAATGACAATACTTTGTGTGTTTTTTGTTAAAACAATACTTTGTGTGTTATTATAAAATCTATCTATCTCGTAGAATCTAAAAAATATTGAAGCAGAGGTATTGTGTATGATTTCAGTAATACTGTTTCAAAAGTTATGTTCCATTATTCGAACATCTTTTTCAAAAACTCTATCATAAAAATAAAATTTAAATAAAAAATGGACGGTCCGTGTTAGTATATCGCGGGAATATGCCTCTTAACTTTGGCGACTATTATAAACATCTCCATCATTGTCTCCTCCACTTCATTATTTTCATTTCAATTTTGGCGACCATTCTTTTCTTTTTCCTTTTGGTCAAGAGATGATCCTACAATAATGAAATGGATCACTTACTACAGGATTAAACTAATTATATCGATGTATGTATGATTAATCGTACGTTGGGAACAATATTCTAAGAGTTTTTCTTCTTCTTTGGATCGGATATCTACGAGTTAAATACAGTTGAATATTTAAGCTTAATGCCAAATTAGCAAGGCATTGAAAACCCCATTAGGTTTGTGGATAAAATTGCACATCTATAATACCTTCGACGTCCCTTTCAAGATTCCAACCTCCTGATTTTAAATAGCTCAAGTTGTGTATATTTTTTTTGTTCCACACTCATATTAAAATAAAGATTCCAATCAAATTAATTTTACAAGAAAATGCTTAATTATAATAGCGACTGCAAAAACAATTAGTAAAACAAATTCCTTTGAATTTGCGGATTTGTTCATTAACCAAGAACCAAGGATGGCTAAAGATTCCAACTTTGCTAGGACCAGAGAATACACTTACATTTTTCATTACAGAAGCTCTCAAAAAGAAGAAATTAAGGGTTTACCAGAACTAAGAACAGTCTGAATATGCAGTGCAAGTGCCCATCACCTCTGAGGAAGAAAAAAAAATTGGTTAAGAACAAGCATGAAGTTCTTGATGGTCAAAGAGGAATATTAAAGTTTGAAACAGATTTTGTGTGGATAAGTAAGTATCCACAAGACTCAAATTGGAGCTTATGTGCAGAATCTAAAAAAGGAGGACTAACAAAGGAAGCAGTTTCACTAACTAGACACATCAGTTTTAGGATCCATTCAGAATACAAGAAGAGGAAAGAGCTTTTAATTTTTACCATTGTAGTTACGCTTGTTCATCAGAGCTTCACCTCCACATCAACACCAGCAGGAAGATCAAGTTGCATCAAGGAATCGATAGTTTGAGCAGTAGGGTAGAGAATATCAATCATACGCTGGTGTGTCCGGATCTCAAAGTGAAACCTAGCATCCTTGTGAACGTGAGGAGACTTGAGAACACAGTAGATACGCTTCTTGGTTGGCAATGGAACAGGACCCATCGTCTTTGCATTAGTATTTCTCGCAGCGTCGAGTATCTGCTTGCATGAATCCTCAATAAGTGGCACCCAGTATGATCTTAGCTTGATCCTAATCTTTTGCTTTGGCGCCATCTGCTTAGAAGAAAACAAAATTCAACTTCACCAAAAACAATGAATCTCCACAAAACCTCCAAAAACAAAACTCTGGTGTGGCACATATTTCAATCTCAGTAAGAATACATACATACACAACAGCATTATAAACACTAAAGATGATCACTTCACACTTCTCTTATCTAATTAATGGCATTCCTTACTAACCGAGCGTCGAGTGATGTAAAAACGTCCTAAGCCAAAATAAAGTCTATTGATTTGACAAAGATGGACACAAAAGACCAACTTTGAGAAAACCTTGGAAAAATCTAACTATCCGTGAATCAATTTCTTAGTGGTGAGCTATAACGGCAATAGAATGTACCTTATCCGCGTCGACAGTGATGGAGGAAGAGCTCGGAACCTGAATCACACATATACAAAATGGAGTGTATAAGATAATGTCCACCAGAACAAGCACTAACCAAGAAATGAGCAACTAAATCAAGTAGATAATGTAGAAAATTGATATCAATTGCTAATGATTCTGCGAAACAGGTGTTCCTTAAATTTCCGAATAGACTTTGCAAACAAATCGAAGAATCCGAGAAAGACAGGGAGAGGAGGGGCAAATTGTACCTCAGAGGCGGGTTCATCGAGAATTTCTGGAGGTGAATCTAGAGTTTCGGGAGCTGCGAAGACCTTCGTGAAGGAGATGGAGGGTTTATTAAGGACGGAGGAAGTAAGGCCGCCATGAGTAGAAGAAGATGGAAGCAATGAAAGCAGAGAGACTTTCTGTCGGGTGGGAGAAGCCGAAGAGGTTGGAATGGCGAATGAGGGTAACAGGAACGAAGATACACTAGAAACCGCCATTGAATTTCCGAACGAAGAATCGATTTCTCTTCTTTCTTCTTCGTCTTCCTCTTTAACGCTGGAAGGATGTAGTTTCCTCTTCCCCAGCTTCGTTTCCAGGGTTATCCATTATCCAAAACCTTTTTTTTGTCTTTTTTTTTTAATTGATGAGTTAATTATTTATTACAGCCCATGAATAAAACAAAAAGGCCCACTCTAATAAATACCCATTTGGCCCAATAAAAAATCCAGTAAAAGTTTTTATTCACACCGAAATAATTAATGTATTATAGTGTAAATTAAAATTAATAAACAAAAAGCTTCAGTAGCTCAGTTGGCTAGAGCGTGTGGCTGTTAACCACAAGGTCAGAGGTTCGACCCCTCTCTGGAGCGATTTATTATCTTTTTTCCTTTAATTTTACTACTTTTGAAATTTGCAGTTTATGTGTTTTTCTGTGATCCAATAAATATGGTTCTTTTAATCCCTAGTCTAGAGAACAAAACCAGCGTTCAAAATACACATGAAATCCTTACTATTTCAAAACACATGTGCTTTGAAGACTTGACTTTTATGGTGTCGTTACTTTGCTATGATAAATATCTTAAACCGATGATCGTCTATTTTTTTTTCTCTCGTTTGTTTGAGTATTTGTGTAGCATATAGAGTCGAATTACAGATTTGGAATTACATGATCGTCTACTTTATTCTTTTTGTATATAACCTGCATGGGATTATTACTATTAACATTTAAATTTAAGTTCACTGGAAATAAGAATATTCTCAAATTTCTGAGATGTTACATTGATACTTATTTGTTTGGAATCCATGAGACTAAGCAAATAGATGAAAATAATATACATATTTAGGAGTTCAGGACATCCGACGAAAAGCATACCTTTTATTGTCTGTTTTTTGGGACCCTGGTAATAAAATAATAATAGACCATTTCTCTTTCGGTATTTTCTTGTGGACTGTATGTAACCTTTAGAAGTTTCTTCTATTTTCCAAAAATATCTTCAGAATTTCAACTCGCAGAAACTTCGTGAAACAGAAGGAGAAAACAGTGAAAATTGTAATAGCTACTTGACAAACCCATATATTACGCAATGAGTGTGGAAAAAATTGGACAACGCAAACGTACGTGACGGTGAAGTCGTGGATGTAAATCAAATAAAACAATATTAAACCAAATAAAAACTCATACATAAATATAAATCCAAAAGAACAATAAGGAAAAATAATATCGATGTTATAATTTCTGATCTCTATGCTTGTGGACTTGGGTTTCCAGAGGTATACTAGCTATGATTACTATTTTTTTGATAAAATACTTAGTCTGATTACTTTTAAATATTCAGTTATCTTGTATCTTAGTATCTACATATATATGCTAGATTTGGAGACTAGATCCAATATTCACTTAGATTTCAATCACCTGCAGTGTTTTGACTTTTGAATGCAAGTTTCTAACCTGTAATGTGTATGAAACTACATAGTATCACATGGAAATATAAGGCATTGTTATTTTCTTACAAAGATAAATACAAATACAAGCCTAACAATAATGATATCGCCATGCAATTTAAAGACAATGACTTAAACCAAAGAAAACGAAAATACTTAAAAACAACAATGACATCTTCAAAAAATTATTGTCCATACGCTCTCTCACTATTGAAAGACCAATCAATCATCCCTTGCAATCGCTTTTATCCTACTCTCTCTAAACTTGTCTAAAAACATGATCATATATCAAATTATCAATATTATTAGTTACACTTTACGATTAGTTTTATATTAAGAAACAAAATCATTGTTACAAAAAAAAAAGGAAACAGATTTGAGAAAATCACCCTTAACACGTTGCATGCATCTTCAGAACATATGGGCAGTTTGGTAAAATAATCCCCAGATTAACTTGTATAAATACCAAAGCCGTTGAGTGCAAACCTTTGTACACTCACACTTAAAGCTGCTCATTTCTTCTTTCTTCTTCTTATCTTCATCTTTCACTCACAAAAGCAAACGAAAAACCAGAGAGATGGATCAAATAAAACCGGAGTTTCTGAGGAAACTGACCAAGTTCATAGTATTTTTCATATGGGTTTTATCTCTTCTAACCACTCACAACTTTTATTCGTATAGGTTCATAATTCAGCTCGTAACACACGCAATAGATAAGAAGTACATGTTCCTCCTCTGCAATGGTCTCTTAGTCTTTGTCGCTAAGTACTCTGGTCTCATCGCTTCACCCAAACCAATAGAGGAAAGTTGGAGCAAGACACATAAAACGTTTCATTACCGAGATTTCGATAGTTACGATCCGATATTGTGTCTAGAGTATTATTCTGTTCTTGAAAGAAAAACAGAGTCATTTCTTGCAAAGGAAGTTAACGAGTCCCAAGTAGTTTATGAAACGGTGCCACCTCATGTGGATTCCACGGAGGAGGAGGATGCAAAAGATGAAGAAATTGAAGAGAGAGACGAAGTAGAAGAATATGATGAGCCCTCAACAAATAATGCTGATCTAGAACAAGAGTGTGATGGATTAGAAGAAGAGGAAGAGAACGTGGGAGTGATAACTGAGGAAGAAATGAACAAGAAATTCGATGAGTTCATCAGAAAGATGAAGGAAGAGCTTAGAATCGAAGCTAAACGCCACTTAATCCTTGTGTAATTTCTAACTAGTTAGTTTTGTTTAAGTTAATCGCATGCAATTACTTTTCTCATATAGAGCAAGTTTTTCTAGCTTCTTCTTCATATGCAGTGGCGGACCTACATGCAAAGATACTGGTTCACTTGACACACCTAAAATAAGTAATATATTTATTTATAAGAAGAAAACACATAAATGCAACAGTTCATTTGGTAACATCCTTCTTGTTGACACCCCAAACGCAAGTTCGAATCTCGCCAATGACATCTAAGTTGAGTTTTGACTATGTTTCTAGGTCCGCCACTGTTCATATGTACTTTGAGTATCTCTTTTAATGGACTCTTTTTAAAACCTAATTCTCGCGTTAACATTTTTTCTTATTAACATCAGATTGTTTGCAAAGATAGACACAGTAACATTTTCCTAAATAAGTAGTGTAGTTGATCGCAATTTTTTTATACCAAGGTATTATCGAGTAACAAAAATGTGATATATTTAGAAAGCACACTCAAGATTCATATTATTAGTTTTCTATATATCACGAACAAGAGATAAATTACAATATTTATGAAAATGTCATCCACCAAATTTACAAAAAAAAGACCATGACAATTTGGTGGCAGTACTCTTTATATTATGCATAAACGAAGCTCATTAAAGAAATGCAAACTCGAGAACTATTTTAGTACAACTAATGATTAACATATGAGACTATGCACACAGGAATGATAAATACTCCATACACATATCATAGGCTCATAGCGATCTCCATTATTGAATAGTATAGCCTAGACTGATGTACCACTATACATTTGTAGAGATGTGTTGTCTGCACCCAATGGACTCGAGGAATAATGCTGTCTATGCACACGTGTACGCATATAATGAATTTTCTGATTCCTTTGGTCACTTTTTTCTAAAACGATTAAACTATTTGCACGACGTTCCACTAAATGTGATACTACTGTATGTTTTTTTCTCTAGTCCTTTCGAGAGGTTAGTATTAAGACCGAAAACATGTGATTTGAATAAAATTTAAATTAGTATGTACTTACCAAATATAAGAACGTAAAAGAGATGGTTAAGCGGTAAGTTTATTTCGTGTTATATATTGATATTAGGCTTTGATTGCAACATGTTTAGTTGGTGTGCAGTATTATAAACTAACGATTGTATGCATCTTTACTCCTGTATAAATTCATTCAGTATATATTGTGGATCAATAGTTTTATCTATCTTTAACTATGGTTTAGACACGGTTGACGATCTTACTATACACGACTATTTTTTTTTTTTTTTCCACAGATTTCATATGTTTGTTTGGGTTTTGAAATGGGATCTCTCCCGTTTATCAAAAAAGAAAAAGGTCTAAAGAAAAAAGCCACAAAAATACATAAGAGGAAATGAGCGATATTTGCATGTATAGATCAATCATGAAGCTATTACGCATACAAAAATCCAAATTAAAAGTAAAATAATACGAGATCGAAAGACATGGAGAAGGAACAGTGAACTCAATCAGTAGACAAGAGACAAAATAAAAGGAATCAAGTTATAATAATTAATAAAATAGTCCGGCTCTCTTGAGAATCAAGTGGGTTCAATTCCTATTGAGAGAAAAAAACAGATCAAATTAAACACATACGTGTATACAATCATATGCTCAACAATGTTCAAAGCTAAATCCAAAATTCACAACAGTACTGGAAGCTGCCGAAAAAAACAATATTCGTAAGAGCTGTTACAAGTCTCATAAAGTCTAAAACATAACAATATTTTTGGGAAAGATAATGAATCCAGATGTTATTGTTTGAGTTTATGTGGAATGGTTGAGTACAAAAGGATAATAGATGTAACTGTTTTCAAGCATGTAAAAGGAAACTATGGTGGTGCATAGCTCAATTTTTTATTTTGTTAAAAGGAAACTGTCTTCTTTTTGCTCTAAGATTTTTAAAATAAAAAGTTTTGGTGGAAGGGGTTTTAAGGCAGAGAAAATGGACGACCACAAAAGGCAAATGATGAGAGAATGAGAGGTCAAGTTTGAAGTAAGAAGTTATCAATACTTTGTTTGTGTCCTTGGGCCCTGTCGGTGTTTTGCACGAGGAGGTTGATGGAACAAATATTCAATCATTCATCACTAATCTTGGAAGGGTTTGTGTGTTAAAAGATATTTAGAGTTTATGTCTGACCAATACAAACTTTTCAGTTAGATATAATCAGATTGTAATATGACCTATTTCGCTTCGGTTTTACCAAATTGAATAGTCCTATAATCAGTAATCACCAGTTTCAAATTCTCAGTTTCAGCCATATGTTCCGGGTTTTGGATCAATTTCTAAGACTTATTTTTTGGTATATCCAAGAAAAAAATTCGCATTTTTAAAAGTATTCTTAGGCTGTAATTTGGGTGAATCCCAAACTTTTGTAAATAGAATTATTTTGCATTGATATAAGTTAAGACAATTGAACTTTCTATGAAAAATATCTTCCAATTCATGATAGCAGAGCTTGGAGATTCTGGATCATTCATGCATAAATAGACATTTGTTGCATAACAATAGATAGATCCGATCATGTACTAAAGAGTGCAAGACAGAATGGTATGTTGTCGGATCAGCTATATTGGTTATAAAATTATAACCCAATAATTCAATTGATCTCATAACTTGATATGTTTCGAGATAAATTGAATTCTTGGGTTATAACCACTAATGGATCCATTGTACTTTGTTGCATAACCAATAGCATAACTCTCTAAATAATCAATCAAGCATAACTAATCAAATAATAAAACTGTATTTCTCTCTAAAACTGTTGAAACCATAACCTGCTCAAATCGAGTAATCAGAACATTTTTTACTCCTCGACTGTTCTTCAAACAAATAAAAAAAAAAACCTAAACCAGAATCCACGTCTATAACGCAATCGCATTTTACAAAAACAGCGATCCGGAATATAACAAAAAAAATAAAAAAGCGGCTTGAAAGTTGAAACAAACTTCGTCAATACAGAGTCCACATCACATGATCACGCACCCTGCTCCACTCGACGAGCTCGTAGGCCAATACGGCGGTTCTATGTAAGTGTAACTATAAAACGGCCTTGGCGGCGGCGGCTGAATAGGCAAAGGCAGCGACTGTGTATGCTGGTTAATCGACGACATTGAGTAAGCACAGTTTCCGGCGAAATACTGCGGATGCGGCGGCGGATACGGAGAAGGGTATGGATAATTAGCGGCGGGGTTGGGAGGAAGGAAAACGCCAGAGTGACCGGAAAAACCGCCGCCGGGGAGAGGCGTCATAAGTTTGCCGTCGAGATGGATCTCGGAGACTTTGCCGTGATCGCCGTACCGTTCTATAACCATCAAAAGCAGACCAGGGTTGGCTCTCGCCTTAATCTTGACTGTGTTGTCGTCTCCGAGGAAATCCACAGAGTAAAGTTCTGTAAAAATTGGAAAAAATCATCAGATTAATACGGTAGTTTTCGGATTTGTTCATCAACAAGCAACAAAAAGAAAAGGAAGACGGTACCGTGGAGACATTGCATCATTTCTCCTACCTTTTGCCGGCAATAATCGCAGTTTCTGTTCACTTTCATCACAACACTCTGCAACAGTAATTTAACAACATCAGTAAACATACAACAAGAGAGAGACAATTTTATGGATGAAATCGAATTTTGTCTAACCATGTCGACTGCGTAATCCATTGGGGAGCTTTGCTTCTTCTCTTTTTTTTTTTTTTTTTTTTTTTTTTTTTTGGTTTTGTGTAACAAGAAAGGATTCAAAAAGATATATTGTTCTTGTTTAAGGCAAGTGTATATATTATGTTATTCGAAATTGATTATCTAAGAGGCAAGTAGGAGAAGGAAAGGAAAAAAAGATCATTTGATATATCTAATTAAATAACAGAATCTCACGGACCGACTATCGTAATTAAGGTAGCAATTAGCAAAGTGGCGTGACAGAGACACCAATCACCAAGATTGAATATGAAATATTCTGTTGCATATTTGTAGGGGTTTGATGCAAGTATTTGGTTTTCTTGCATCAAACCGTAAAGCTCGACTAAACCAATTCCGGTTTGTGATTTAAACCGACCAAAATTGTTTGGTTTCGTCGATATGTTTTGACACAAACACACACAGTGACTGAGAAAAACAAACGATTCAGCTCGAAATGGCGTTGATACGACGGAGATGGAGTGGTAAAGCTTTGAAACTTGGCCAGCCCCGTTTCCCTGAGACAGGTATTCTGAGAAATGCTTCATTCCATAACCCTTACGAGCTGTTGGATTTCATGGAAAGAGACTTTTCTGGTCTCAGCAGCGATAGGAATCTCTCTTACAGAGAAAGATTGAGAAGTGGGCTTGTCGACATCAAGGCGGATGATGCTGTTACTCTGTTCCAATCCATGCTTAGGTCTCGTCCCCTGCCCTCTGTCATAGATTTCAATAAATTGTTTAGTGGCATTGCCAAAACAAAAAGGTACGATTTCGTTTTAGATCTCAGCAAGCAAATGGAATCGAATGGGATTGCACATGACATCTACTCCCTGAGTAACGTATTACGATCAATTGCTTCTGCCGGCGCCGGAAACTATCTTCTGCTTTCTCTGGGAAAGATGTTGAAACTTGGGTAGAAGCGCCTAGACGAGGCCATTATATCTCCTGATACCATTACATATAATTCTTTGATAGATGGGTTGTGCATGGAGAAGCGCCTAGACGAGGCCAGTCAGATGTTGATCTGATGGTTAGCAAGGGATGCGATCCTGATATTGTGACTTATAGTATCCTTATAAACGGATATTGCAAGGCTAATCTAGTTGACAAGGTTTGGAAATCTTCCGCAAATTGTCTCTGAGAGGACTGGTAGCCGAAAAGTCACTTATAGCACTCTCATCCAAGGGTTTCTTCAATCGGGAAAACTTAATGTTGCCAAAGAACTCTTCCAAGAGATGGTTTCTCGTGGTGTGACCCAGTGTGTAACTTATGGTATTTTGTTGGATGGTTTGTGTGACAATGGAGAACTAGAAAATGCATTGGAGATATTTGAGAAAATGGAGAAGAGTAAATTGGATTTTGATATTGGTATCTACAATATCATCATCCATGGGATGTGCAATGGTAGTAAGGTCGATGATGCTTGGGATTTGTTCTGTAGCCTTCCTCCAAAGGAGTGAAGCCCAATGTGAAGACATACACCGTAATGATTGGAGGACTATGTAAGAAAGGCTCACTGTCCGAAGCTGACCTGTTGTTTAGAAAATGGGAGAGGATGGGATTGCACCGTGGTACATACAACACACTAATCCGAGCACATCTCGGGGGTAGTGGCCTAACCACTTCAGTTGAACTCATCGAAGAAATGAAGACATGTGGTTCTCTGCAGATGCTTCCACCATAAAGATGGTTATTGATATGTTATCGAGTAGATTGGACAAAAGCTTTCTAGATATGCTTTCTTGAATACCCTGAGCTTTTTGCATCACTTCCATCAGCAGATTACCTCTTACTCTTTCGTTGGCCAAGAGACGTTAGCTTTAAGGTTTCATTAGGTACAAGAAGGCATCGTGGAGAACCTAATAGTCAATTTCCATCTTTCCCCATATTTGGTTGCTTTTGCTTTTAACTTACTCTTTTACCATCAATGCAATAGAAACCACAGATACGAAGGAAAGAGCTAAGGTTATAAATACAAACATTAGAGAGCAAAAAATAGGTTAAAATTCCTCTGTTCTTGATCGCTCTGAGAGTTTTTAAATCTTGATTCAGTATGAGCTCTCCGGCAAAACCACCCACTAGGACGTTTTATGATCATTCGAATGATCCCTGGTTCAAGAACCAATCCATCGAATCCTCTGGTGTCACCGTAAAACCAGTACCTGATTACTTGAAGCAGAGGCAAGGTAAGCTTGGAGATAATAAGCCATCATCTAAAGATGAGAGGACTGAAAGGAAGTTGGAGATATCTTTAGATCCACTTGATCCAGCAAATTCGTCAGAAGCACATGCGAGGTCCAAAGGCTTTTGGTTCTCTTCCTGTTCCTGTCGTGTATTTGCCTAATGTTGCCGTCAAGAACCAAGAAAAAGACAGGACAATCCCTCCTTGTATCTCGAGTTGGGTAAAGCCGGAAGGTTGTCCAGCTACTCTTTGTAAATGACCTTTTTGTTTTATTTATACACTAAAAATGCAGTGCAAAATATTGTTTTTCCTTTTGATTATTTTTAGCAAAACTTACTAGTCGATAGTTGACCAAAAGAAAACACTTAGTGCAACTGCATAGTCTTAAAATATTCCACTTTCATTGTTCTGAAACCTAGACCTCCATTGGAGGTGCTCTTATTGAAGGACTAATAGAAAAAAGAGAAATTCATCTCTCTCTCTCTCTCTCTCTCTCTCTCTCTCTCTCTCTCTCTCTCTCTCTCTCTCTCTCTCTCTCTCTCTCTCTCTCTCTCTCTCTCTCTCTCTCTCTATCTCTATCTCTATCTAAAAAGCCTAAGCTCCAATGAACATTAAAGAAAAAGGAAAGCAAAATTCCAATACTATAAAATTGAAAAATAAATCACAAGAGAGACCAAAGTATAACCATTGTCCTTGCTAGTGGAGTCATTGGTTAAACAAATCTAAACGAGTGATAACAAGATAGGAGGACACCATTATAACGCATTCGTTAACACAACTGCTAAGCAGTAAGCACTGATCAATCATCACTCTCTTCATCCTCCAACAAGTCGGCTTCGACCGGACTTGAAGCGGCCGGACTCGAAGAGGTCTTCTCCTTACCAGCGGACAAGTCTGGTAGGTAGCTGCGAAAGTAACTCTGTAGCTTCCCATCCTTTACTATCTGCGTTGCTTTCTCAATCTTGCCTTCACTCACCAAACGCTCGATCACGGGTCTGAACATGTTCGGACGAGACAGGACCTTGCGTCTGATGGCTTCTTCCGATATCTCAACCGCTCTATCCAGCTCACCTTTCTTGCAGACAAGAGGGATCAACAAACAGTAAGTCACCGAATCAGGAATCAGACGCTTCTCCTTCATCTCATCGTACCATTTCAAAGCCTCCTCAAGATTCTCATCGCCGCGGTAACCAGTGATGAACGCATTGTACGTATGAGCATCCGGAGAGATCCCTTCCGTTCTCATGACATCCATCAGGTCAATCCCATCGGCAAACTTCTTGTTCCGAGTCAGACCTCTCACTCTCGAGTTATAACTCCTGATGTTAGGCACAAGGTTCTTGGATTTCATCAAATCCCAAATCCTATCTCCTTCTGCAAACAAATCCCTCCTGTAAAACTCTTCCAACAGTGTGTTGAAAGTGATCATGTCAGGCTCAATTCCATTCTTCTCAGTCTCTTCCAAGATGGATAATATTTCTTCCATAGAGCCTTTACGGCAAAGCGCCTTGATCATGGTGTTGTAAGTGACGATATCTGGAGTCATACCAAGCTTCTCCGGCAACTCCTTGAACACCTTCATCGCTTCATCAACCTTCCTTGAGTTAACATAAGCCGATAAGAGCGCGTTGAAGGACTTGATAGTTCGTTCGCAGTTTAGCTCAGGCATTTCGTCGAACAACTTGTGTGCATGCTCAGGCATTCCTGAGTACCCATAGAGAAGCATGATACGGATGACGAAATTCTCAGACTTGATGTCTTCGTACTTCTTCTGGTGCTGGAGAACCTCGTCGATCACTGAGAACTTCTTCGCCTCCCTGAGACGTCGGATAAACGCGCTGTAGAGTCCGTGCGTTTGCCGGAAACTCTCCGTCTCGCACGATCTCTTGAACTTCTCTACCTTCTTCGTCAAATCCGTGCTTTTTGTTTTCTCGGCGACATTCGAGGACTCCACTCCGTCGCCGACAGAGGCGGAGGAAGCTGAGGATTCTTTAGCTTTGTTAACGAGCTTTTTGGATTTGATTTGGCTTTTAAATTTCGGGGGCTTGACGGTGGCGATCGGAGCTGCTTTGAAGATTCCATGGAGGCGAGTGTACAGCGACGACCCCACCTTGCTCATAGCTTCGTGCCGGTAGAAATGTGAGATGTGAGGGTTTAGGGCTTTTGGTCCTCTCAGAAGAGTGGCTCCGGCTAGGTCTTATTCAAAAATGCAAAATGCGTGCCGTTCTGTTACGCAATGGCTCGCGCTCTCTCTCTCTTCTTAGCTACGCAGAAAAGAACAGCGTGCCGTTCTACAATGGATCCCTCTCTCTCTCTCTCCTCTCGGTGTACACTACGCAGCGTTTATTTTTGGTTGTATAGTATAACAATCGAGTGCACGCCGTTTTCAACCAGAAAAGGAAAAGGAAACATAACTTTTAAAGCCACACAAACACAAAACTACAGGTAGTTCAGTTATTCAATCACACTCACTCGCAGTTTCAGAGTTTGCAACGAAGACGCTAAAGAGAGAAAACATAAACTAGGAAATTGTTAATAAGCCTTGCAACTACTCCTCGGAAGAGAGACGTAGCTTGAACTGTAAATAGTCATTCTTGTTCGCGAGCTCAACAATCTCCTCAGCCTCCTTCTGCTTGGAACCTTTCACCAATTCATCAACCACCTCCTGCACGATGGCCTCGTCGACAAGCAGACGCTTGCTGAATATCTCCTTGCAGAGCTCAAACGCCGACTCTAAATCACCGGTCTTACACATCGCAGGAAGCAACGAGGTAAAGATATATTTCATCGGACGACAACCGTTCTTCTCCATTTCCTTGTACCACATCTTGGCCTCATCAACTTTCCCTTCACCGGCAAATCCTCTAACCATGGCAGTGAATGTGAACACATCAGGTTTGATCCCGTTACCCTTAAGTTCGTCAAAGAGAGTAACCATCTCTTCCGATTTCATCACCAAGGCTGATCCTAACAACTTAGCATTGTAACTACGAATGTCTCTCGGAACATTCTTCTCCACCATTCTTCCCCAAATCTCTTCACCTTTCTCAAAATGCCCTTTGGAATACGACTCATGTAAAAGTACGTTGTAGGTGAAATTATCAGGTTTCAGTCCCTTGCTCTCAATCTCATCAATCAACGCAACAGCTTCGGTTAAAGAACCATTCCCACACAATCCTTTAATCACAGTGTTGTAAGATGCAATGTCCGGTTCGATCGAGAGTTTACCTGACAGCTCCTTGAAGATGCCTTCAACCAAATCGAACTTCTTGGAGTTGATACACGCATTCAGCAGAGAGTTGAAAGACAGCACTGTTCTCTTGCAGTTTCTCTCAGGCATTTCGTCGAACACTTTCTGCGCGTGCTCAAACATGCCGGCTCGTCCGTAGAGGTTGATAATCCTCGCGACGAATCCTTCCTTTGACATGTTGTGGTACTTGTTCTGCTCCTCCAGGATCTCCTCGATCCACTCGAACTTCTTGGCCGCGGCGAGGCGTCGCACGGTTCTCTCGTAGACGGCTTTGTTCTTGCGGAACCACTCGGATTCGCAGGCCTTTTTGAACTTCTCCGTGATGTATTTGGGGTCGCGTTCGTCGTTTACGAGGGTGATTAGGGACGGTTTCCGTTCCGAGGTTGCGGCTGCAGCGGCGGAAACGGCGGAGAAGAAGCGGCCGTTCGTGGGGCTGCTGAAGCTGAAGGTGCCACGGAGGAGAATGCGAGAGAGAGACGACATCGTTTTTCTGGTGTGTGCAAATGTTCTTCTTCTGTTTTTTTGGATCGGAGTGTTCCAAGGTTTTAAGGGTTTCAGCCAGCGGAAGGCTTTTTATGACTTCAAATTAGGTTTGGAAGAACAAAAATACCTCAAATTATAAGCAAAATGAGCACTAAATTAATTTTCTCCTTTATTATGAGTGCTATCAAAGTAATTTTCTCTTGTATTATTCAAAATTAATCAAAATCAACTCGATGTGGTGTTTCTGTTTCTTTAAAGCACAACTCGATGTGGTGTTTCTGTCTTATGTTAATTTGTCCCTAAAATATTAAAATGTATCAATCGGGTGAAAGTGTCATGGAAGACCTTGCGTTGGAGACTCGTATGAAGCTCTAATTACCTCAGGGTGAATCTTAGAAGGAATATAAACCTCTGTCAAAAAGGACAGTGAGTGAACTGAGAGTGCCTCGATCTCAAACTTTACTCCTCTTTGCAGCATCGTTTCAAGTTCCAACCTTAGACGACCAAAGCGTTTTAATCAAAGACTAGTTTTTTTGTGTGCTTTTGGATGAAATGTGAAAAATACAAAAAAGACATGGAAGTGTAATGATACCTCCATTGTGGCATTTCACGCTTTAGGTAACATCTAAGTAACATTGCTTCAGTTCTTTTCTTATCTGTGAATGAATACTCTCCAGTCTCAAAAATAGAGCAGTGAAACAAGGAAAATAAGCAGGTGGTTAATGATCTTTTTACCTTCTTCTGTCAAAGGCAAAAGACACTGTTGGGGAACACCGTATGTCTCAGAGTCTGAAGGAAAAGCTCCCAACCATTTTATATCTGGTGCTCGTAATGATTCTATATCATAGGCCATTTGCTATCAGAAAGACGAAAAGAGAAACAAGGAAAATGGTTCAAAATGTGGATCATTGTCGAGTGTCAACTAAGAATGCAAGGTCTGAAATTTTTCGAATTCAGTCATCTATATTTTGCAACAGAATCTAACCATGGAGCCAAAACGGTATGTGGCTAAAATCTCAAAGCCATATGGATCACAGTCGACTAGACAATGCACAGGTAGATGCAACTTCTCCATGAGGAGTCGCAAGAATCTGGAAATAATCTATGTCATTTGCTGATATATTCGTCAATCGAGGAGAATGGGATTAAATTATGCTGGTATTCCAAGAACCTGGGATTAAATCATGTACCTTCTTGTCGAGACATCAGGATAGCCTCTTCCCTGCCAAAAACAGTCACACCTTTGATTTGAAACAAAAATTGGAAGGAACAGAAAGGGGATCTAGTAAAAAAAACGAACGAATAAACTGCAGTGCTTACTGTGATAACGATGCAGCGGTTCGTCTTGCAAAACATGTCATTTGCTAAACGCTGGAACACTATAAACCATAGATGAAGAGAACCATCAATTGGTAGTCATGAAGAAAGAAAAGCATCTTTTGGTAGATAGAGGGTTGACCTGTTTCTTTCTCCACCACCAATATGTACTCTGCTAAGCTAACAACATCTGCAAGCGGAAAGATGACATCCAATTATCATTCCTGACACAATATTGTCAGCTTAGATAAGGATATGAGTTCTCTAGAGAGCATAAAGCGTTGTGTAAAATGCTTTTCTAGTAGTGAAAAAGGAATATGCGTATCAGACCTTTCAAAGACAACAATCAACAGGCCAAAAAAACAGAAAAAGAAGAAAATATTCTTCAGTCACAAATGTATGATACCTTCGACTTCTTCTACAAGAACAGGAACCGGAAATGCCTGAAAATGAAGTCATTTGCAGAGTTATTCTTCCCTGATGCAAGCATGAAAAGTGAATCTTATTGTTTCAATCTTACAGTATTCAGGCTGTTTAAACAATCAAACTTCCTTCCGGCTTCTCTAAACTTTAACCAGCCCATCACCAACCTACACCACAAAAGAATGATGAGGCAAAACCCAAAACAAGGACATGCCTCATGACAGAGGCACTGTAAGGTCATCAAGAGTACCCACCCGTTTCCAACGGAAACCTGCACAATATCACATGAATACACACACTAATCACATCTTGAAACTCAATTGGGGTTTATATTTCTTCAGAAGGAAAAATGAAGGTGAAAGTATTCAAGGACTAACCACATTCAAGTTGTACCGACTACACTGAAAAAGGATGCATATATCAGCAATTGCACGGTCTACAACTGACTGCGCTGTGAAGCAGACGAAAACAACGTTATTGGAAGCCCAAGAACACCAAAAATGATGCAGAATCATATTCAAGCATACTAATCAGAGACATTGATAATTAAACACTGTATGTTCTTCCAAAATTTACCTTTAAAAGCTGATGGGTGCATGTAGTAGATATCTCTTTTCGATCCATGCCTATTTTCTTGAAGAAGTTGTTGGACTATCAACAATACTCTTAGCAACACATCTGAAGGTAAAAACACCGCAAGAAATTTCATACTGTGGTACTGATTTTTCTGACCAAAAGATAACACCTAAAGGGACTAATGAAAATTTATCCGAAACCGACTCACCGATTCTGTAGGTTTGGGATTCCTTCTTAAGGGTGATAATTTCCTGACCCTTGGGTTCATCAGAGCTGCAAAAGCTGCAAACGGCAGAAGCGAAATGGTTAACTAATGAGGTCATTCATGGTTACGCGATAAAGCCTTGAGAACTGAGATTCAAGAGAGACAAACCAATCCGCTTCTGGATTCATGCAATAGTTCCTAAATCGATTGATTGAAATCTTCGGAGATCGTCCCTCAGCCAGATCTTCAAGGATCGATCGAGTAAATTCTGCTCAAAATCGAATCATGGTGATGAACAACGAAAAGGCAGCGAAATCATCGACTATAAATTTCAACCTAAATGATAATTACTCTTACGAAATCGGAAATTTGGGAATCATTACTTTGAGATTTGTGTTACCTTTGATCCTTTGAAGCAAATTAGTCGTTTCTGAAATTTGAATTTTTCCCTCCATCTCATTCGTGTACATTTTCTCTCATACCGGGATTGTAATCGGCGACGAATTTTATATATGACGAGAGAATATTGAGAGAGGCAAGGAAAATCTTCCCGTTATAAGCTTAATATTAAAACATGCGTGTCGTTTTTCTACGTTGTCGGTTGTCGTCGATGCCCAATCTTTAACCGACGTGTCATTTTGAAAACGCATGTGCGCGAACTACGCAACGTTGATGAACTACATTTTAAATTTTTAATTATTTATTTTGTAAGGTAGACTCGATGGCTTGGATAATTTGATTTCAGTGGTCGAGGTTTATTCATGAGTTATATGCTCGGGCACGTGAGAAATGTACTACATTGTACAAATCTATGCAATACAATTGTTTTAGTGATCACATGATGAATTAACGGTCATAGGCAAATTGAAGGCTTAAAGCCAAAGCCAATAAACTAGTATTAGAGATTCGCTTGGTTGGGTCTAAAAATCATAAACAAAAGTTTTAAAATAAAAAGAGGCTTTCTGATCATGTATCAGTATCTCTAAACTAAAAATCTATATACAAAGATGATAACATTTACGGTAAATTAGTGAACAGATGAAAAGCTGCCGCGTCGGTGGTTGGACTTTATTCAGTAAGGTTTTAAAATTAAAGGCACGGATTTTAAGGTCATATTTAAAAAAATACTGTCAAAAAAAAAATTTTAAATATACTGTATGATATACATTTTGAAAGTAAACACTACCAGTGCAGTGTAAGTGTGTAACGTATAAAATAAGTGAGAGATGATGATTAAGAGCAAAAATAACAAGTAGCGCGCCTAAAAAAGATACATATGTAGATTAACGGAATCACAAAACCAGCATATATCAAGATTTATTCTTATTCCTCGTTATCTATTACATTTATATATGTAAATATTATTTTCTAGTCTAGTGGTAGTACTATAAAGAAAAATTAACGAAAATACTTAGGGAATTAAAACAGAGAGGTCTCATACTAGCTAGTCGAGTTTGGTGAAGCTATCAAAGAGAGTTTCTTCATGTTGTCCGCCGACGACATAGTCAAGGATCCCTTCTGCCGCCAGTTTCAAGCCGGAGCCATCGCCGGAGATGGTAGATGCCGTCGGGAGGTCGGAGGTCCGGGCGAAGAAGAAAACAGCAGCAAGAAAAAGGGCGGTGGAGAGAAACAGAGGCCAGAAGTAAGATAAAACGGTGAGGAGACCGGGAGAGTAAGTGACGAGAGCGACGGTGAGAGAAGATAAAACGAACGCGAAGACTATGTGGAACTTGAACTTTAAGAGTTTCTCCCGGAACTCCATCTCCGATCACCGATCAAGATCCGTGACTTTTGAATTCAAGAGAGATAGATAGAGAGACAAGAAATAGATATGTAAGAGAGAGAGAGAGTCTGAAAGAGAGGTATTCGCAATATTCATATGATACTTCTCTCTTTAGTGTCTGCAAACGTAAAGAAATAGGAAAGATTCTCTGCTGACAAGGAAAACGTCAAAATCTCAACTTTATTTTTTACATGTTACAGTAAGTATAATTATTTATTGAAACCCCATTTGAAAATCCACTTGTTTTATTTAAAACAAATTCTTTGTAATTTTCATTTTTGTTTTGTATACATCGTATATATAACTTGGTTTGGTGATTTTTGTTTTTGTTTTTGTTAAATGGTTTAGTGATTTCTATGATCGATATTTTTTTTATTTTTGAAATTATTGGCTAGAGTTTTGTTCTTTTATGTCATAGTTTACAGTTTTTAATCAAATAGTGGTGAATTGGTGATATTGTCGTAAAGCCAAAGAGTGCAACATTTTCTGACATAAATAGTAAATCGTACAAGATTTTTTTGTTTTGGTCATTATTATTGATCATCAGAAGATACAAAATAAAATAATGAAATATCAGTATTTCAATTCAATAGAATTTGTCCATTTTGGATGATTGATTGATTTTGAAATACAAATGTATAGCTTACAAACTTGGAAATACAAAATAAAATAAAATAAAATAAGGGAAATTGATGAATATGACCTTGGAAAGTTAGTTAATAACTACAATAACTCTTGTAAATTCAAGTGGCTTAAACAGATTTTTTTTTCCGATTTTACCCTTATTTCTTTGGTGACAAAAAAACGTATTTACGAAAGTGCTATTAATGAACCGGGATAATAAGTCTACAAAAGACATTTTCGAAAATAAGTTTACAAGAATAAATCTACAAACAATGACCATAGAGTTATTATGAAAATTGTAGACTAATTTTTCAATTTGTAGATTTATATCGTCTTGTAAATTTATCTTATTATATTCGTAAACTTTTAGTTGTAGATTTATTTTTACTTGCCGTAGACTTAACTAAGTTTGTAGAGTTATTTTGATTTTTTAGACTTATTTATATTGTTGTAGATTTATAGTTTTTAATTTAGTTTTTTGTTTTTTTATTAATTTTTTTTGTTTTTAATTTTAAAATTTAAAATTAGTTTTTAATTTTAATTTTATTTTTTTTCATAATTTTAGTTTTTATTTATTAGTTTTTTGTTTTTAATTTTAAATTTTAGATTTTATTTTTTAATTGCAAAATTAGGTAAAGTTTAATTTTTGGTTTATGTTTTGGTTAAGTTTGATTTTTGGTTTAGATTGAATTTTGGTATTGATTTGGGTTTAATAAATTGGTTTGATTTTGGTTTTGGTTTAGGAAGATGGAATGGCAATTCTGTAATACATGGTCTCCTGAAAATTTTACAAGTCCTTTTACACCTTTGTAAAATACAAAGATTATTGTAGTTATTTTTAAACTTTTGAAGGTTATGTTGATCCATTTTCTCATAAAATAATGAAATATCAGTACGTTAAAAGCATTATTATCGAGCAATGGAAACCCTAGTTTCTCTCGAGAGCGGCGGCGACCTTAAAGTCTCAATCGGCAGGAAATCTTGAAGCTTCCTTAAGCTAGATCCTCTACCGTAGTTACCACATCTCACCTCGACTACTAGATCCGCCACCTCTCTCTCTCGAAATCTACTCCTTCTCTCAAAATCTCACCAGATCTACGCTCTCCAAAGACAGATCTAGAGATCGGATAAACAACAACGGAGGCCACAACACAGCAAACGACCCTGCGAAGCTAAAAGTCTCACCTGAGACTGCTCAAGACTTCCACTTGGAAGGTCTTACGAAAGTTCAGTCTCCAATGGCGAACTACAAAGGAAAAAACATAGTTATGGAGGACGACGATGAACCGATTCAGCTACCAGAGCAAGACAATCTCAATCTCATCCAGGAGTATGGATTGTCGCTCATTGGAAGGGTTCTAAATCCCAAGAAACAAGATGTCGAAAAGCTGATTGGCTTTATGCCTCAACATTGGGGCTTAGAAGACAGAATCACCGCCATGGATCTGGGTAAAGGAACTTTCTTTTCAACTTTGAAACAGAGGAGGACTTACAGACAGTCCTAGAGCTAGGACCGTTCCACTACAATTTTTGGATGTTTGTCCTAGTCCGATGGGAACCTATAGTTCATGATGATTACCCATGGGAGATGACCTTCTGGACACAGCTCTCGGGTATTCCACTACATCTATGGACCGAGACCAACCTCAGGAGCATTGGAGACAAGCTGGGGCACATCCATGAAGTCAATGTGGATGAAGGCAAACTACTACTCTCCATTGACAGTAGAAAGCCCCTGAAATTCACAAGAAAGATCCGATGCCATAACGGAGACGAAGCTACAATACAGATCAAGTACGACAGGCTGTTCAAATTCTGCTCACATTGTGGATTCATGACACATGAGGTCCAGTCTTGTCCTATTAAGGAAGAAGAAATCAATGCTCAGAGACAGTCTACCCGCCAAGGAATTTTCTCTCGACTTCAAGCTGGACCGAGCCAGACCAATACACACAGCGAACGCCATCTGGAACGTCAAGAAGAACGCCACAGTGAACGCAACAAAGGAACGCCAAGGTCAAGCTACAATGAAGAGGAACGAATCCCTAACAGAAACATGTTGGTGCGACAGGCAAACCGAAGCTCCTCATACCCCAAGGACAATGGACGACGGGAGGAGTTAGTCCACAGATCGAGACACTCTTCAAGAGAGAATCGGGGAGGCACCTCTTACCATAGAGAGTCAAACCACAGGGGTACATATCCCAAGGATAACCGCTTGTCACACGGAGTTCCTTACCGTCGTAAGGAACAAGAAGACCATCGATCCTCGTGGATCAAACGCAATCAAACAAGACCAGAGGAAAACCGTGAAGGGATAATCAAGGAAGGACATCAGATCGAGGAAAAAAGGCCAGAACAGATAAGGAACCCCAAGGAGAAAAGGCACAACCTCTTAAGAGCCACCTTTCCAAAGCGCCACCCATCGTGAATGAACCAACCAGAAAAGATGGAATCTCAGAGGAAGTCCAATCTCACCTTTGTGAGGCAGGAAGAAACATAACCTTACAAACAGACAAAGAGGTCACCCACATCATACCACCTGATGAGAACCAGTTTCCTTCTCTTATGGAGGAAGACCAAAACCCAAAATCGTCAAATGATGACATCATGATTGGAGCTCTCCAAGATGAGGAAAATGACGAGCAAGGAGTGAACGAGGAAAATGGAGATAATGAAGACTTGTTGGATGATGATTTTCTAGGAGAAGACTTAGAGTGGATGGAATCTGAGAAGAGGCAATCTGAGGAAAAGCAATCATCCAACGCTCCGAGTGGCTCACATGAGGACAGCCTCAACGAGACCATCACAGCCTTCAAAGCCAAAGTAAAGTCTAAAGGGCAAAGGAACCAAGAGAGCACAAGGAATCTCAAAAAGCGGCAACCACAAAGAAGCTTCCTAGGAACCTATTCCCGTCAGGCAGCCTCGCGAAGAAGGCAGGAATCCTCCGTCGAGGGTCTCCACGTAAACGCAGCATCCCAAACAACACATCAACCTCAGCCCCCAAGGAGGTACCTCCCTTGAGTGTCCTCTACCCCTCTAGTAAGACGTCTAAAGCCCCCAAAAGCTCTATTGCTCAAGAAGTTGGTTTGGTGGTTTCCCAGAAACCACCCAGTCCACATCCATGAGGACGCTCAGTTGGAACTGTCGAGGGATTGGGAATGACCTCACAGTTCGACGCCTAGAGGAGATGCACAAAAAGTATCATCCTGGTTTAATATTCCTATCAGAGACGAAGAATAAGAAATCTGTGCTCCAAGGCATTCAAGTTGATTTAGGTTATGATAGTCTGTTTACCGTAGAGCCTCATGGCCTAAGCGGTGGTTTAGCTTTACTATGTATGGATGAATTCCAAGTTAATGTTATATTCTCAAACAATCGTATGATTGATGTAGAAGCAGTTATTGATGGAAATAAAGTGTTCATGACCTTTGTTTATGGTGACCCTGTCCAAGACCAAAGAGAACTCGTATGGGAACGTCTTACGCGTTTCGCAGTTAATCGCAATGGACCATGGTTCATGATAGGAGATTTCAATGAAATTTGTGGACACCATGAGAAACAAGGAGGTAGAACAAGACCCGACGCATCGTTCCTTCCTTTCAATCAAATGATACATGATTGCGGAATGTTAGAATTTCCTTGCTCAGGAAACCAACTCTCATGGGTTGGAAGAAGAGGACGCACACTTGTGCGATGCCGACTCGACCGGGCATTAGGAAACGAAGACTGGCACGAAAGTTTCCCGCATTCAAATGTTCAGTACTTAAGATTATGGGGCTCAGATCATCGGCCAGTACTTGCTAACATTCTCAGCAAACCTATACGACGGAGAAAATCTTTCCGGTTTGATAGGAGATGGCTGGACAGAGAAGAAATCTCAGCGGTGGTCCAAGATGGATGGTCGTCCTCTCTCCCACCTGACGCTAACTTAATGACCAGAATCTCAAGTGTAAGGAAAGCTCTCGGAAGGTGGCGGAGCCAAAATGATCTCAATGCAGAAAAGCATATAACAGAACTTAAGGATAAGCTTGATTCCTTGTACAGTGACGGGAATGCCACCACTGAAGAGATTTCAGAGGCAACGAAGGAGCTACATGAAGCTTTGAGATCAGAAGAACTATTCTGGAAACAGAAAAGCAGAGTGCTGTGGCTACGAGAAGGAGACCGAAACTCAAAATTTTTTCACGCCGCAACAAAACAAAGAAGAGCAAGAAACCGTATCACTAGTTTGATTGATGAACAAGGCCAGAGAGAAGAAAATGAAGAAGGAATTGTAGCCATTGCTACAAGATATTTCCGTGGTCTTTTCGAAACATCAAATCCAGTAGAGATCGAGGCAACACTTGACAAGGTTAAAATTGTCATCACCGACAACATGAACGAGACTCTTACAAAACCGGTGACAGAAAATGAAGTCAAGGATGCTCTCTTTGCAATGCATCCAGAGAAGGCACCGGGTCCAGACGGCATGACCGCACTGTTCTATCAGAAGTTCTGGGACATCCTTAAACAAGACATCACCCGTATGGTGAATGAGTTTTTGGCGGAAGGTACCATTGTACCGGGAATCAATGAGACGAACATTTGTCTCATACCCAAGAAGGAGAAACCTCAAGAAATGAGTCAATTTAGACCAATAAGCTTATGTAACGTAAGTTACAAGATCATATCGAAACTATTGTGCCAACGTCTAAAAAGGATACTCCCCAAGTTCATCTCAGAGACCCAATCGGCCTTCGTCGCGGGAAGACAAATTACAGATAATATCTTGATCGCACAAGAATTATTCCATGCACTGAGGACAAATCCCGGAGGAAGAAATAAGAGAATGGCAATAAAAACCGACATGAGTAAAGCTTATGATCGAGTTGAATGGGATTTCATTGAGGCTGTTATGAGGAAGATGGGATTTGCAGAGACATGGATTAGATGGATAATGAGATGCATTACATCAGTGTCGTATCATGTGCTCATCAACGGACAGCCCCGAGGTAACATTATACCAAAACGAGGACTGAGACAAGGAGATCCTCTGTCTCCTTTTATCTTCATTATATGCACGGAAGTACTCATAGCCCTGCTAAACGAGGCGGAAAACGGAAGTAAGATAACTGGAATGCGAGTGGCACGTGCCAGTCCACCGGTATCTCACCTTCTTTTCGCCGACGATAGCCTGTTCTTTTGCAAGGCGGAGCCCCGTGAATGCAGTGAAGTTCTCTCCATCCTACATAAGTATGGTAAAGCCTCAGGACAACGCATAAACTTTGAAAAATCCTCACTGCTCTTTGGCAAGAGGGTTCCCGGATCTACTAAAACACACATCAAATCTATAACCGGAATCCAAAACGAAGGGGGAATGGGGACCTATCTAGGAATCCCAGAAGACATTAGTGGATCAAAATGTAAACTCTTTGCGTATATCAAGGAGCGCCTCCAAAACAGAGTAAATGGATGGAGATCAAAATGGCTTTCTAAAGGAGGGAAGGAGATTTTGATAAAATCAGTAGCACTGGCACTTCCAACCTACGTCATGTCCAGCTTTCTACTCCCGTTGGAGGTATGCGATCAGCTCACAAGTGCGATAGCAAGATTCTGGTGGAGCTCTGACGCAGAAAGAAGAGGAATTCATTGGGCAACTTGGGATAAAATGTGCATATCAAAAGAGGAGGGTGGAACAGGTTTCAGAGACATCCATGACTTTAATCTAGCCCTGTTAGCAAAGCAATTATGGAGACTCTTACGGTTTCCGGACTCCTTGTTGGCAAGAGTCTTGCGAGGAAAATACTTCCCTTACAGCACACCACTTAGAGCTGGCCACACTGACTCTCCGTCGTACGGATGGAGAAGTATTCTAGCGGCTAGACCATTGCTAACAATGGGAATCCTGCAGAAAGTTCACTCTGGACTCAATACTAGAGCTTGGGAGGATCCTTGGATCCCAACTATCCCAGCTAGACATGCAAATCCAAGGATCCCAGTTGTCCATCCTAGAATGACCGTTAGCGACTTCATAAACAGAGAGATAAAGGCATGGAATGTAGAGATGTTAGAAGAATATATGGAGCCAGAGGACATTCCCCTGATACGAAGTATAGCCATCAACAAGACTTTCCACATGGATAGCTTTAGTTGGGGCTATACTAAGAGCGGTCTCTATACAGTAAAATCAGGGTATTGGGTGGCAAAAAATTTACTCAATCCAGCAGAAGAAACATGTTCGGAACCAAGTATCCGACCTTTACAAGTTCAAGCTTGGAAGAGCAAGGCCCCTTACAAGATTAAGCACCTCTTATGGCAAATCATTTCAGGTTACTTAGCGGTTACTAAAAACCTCAATCACAGAGGGATGAGATGTGATAATCACTGCCCTCGCTGCGGAGCTCCTGAAGAAACGATTAACCACGCCATATTTGAATGTCCACCAGCTCTTCAAACGTGGGCCCTTGCCCCCATTCTTACGCCACCAAGCTTATTTCCCTCGTCTGGGATATACACGAACATGGACTATCTATTCTGGAGAAGACCTAACATGGATAATGCTGAGGATGATTGTGATCCCTTTCCATGGATCATATGGTTCATATGGAAAGCCCGCAATGAGAAACTCTTCCGTGGAATCAACAGAGACCCATTAGGGACTGTTCGCCATGCAGTAGCTGAATGTCGAGCTTGGCACCAAGCCAATTCTAAAGCTCCACTTCTTTCAACGACGGGAACCCAAGCCATACGCTTGAGAGATGTATGTATTGTCGATGGCTCTTGGCACCGAGAACAAGCCCACAGCGGAGCTGGATGGATTTGGATAGATCCAGATGGAACTCAACGCTTACTAGGCATCCATAACCAACCACGACGCATCTCCCCTCTTCATGCAGAATTAGAAGCATTAATGTGGGCTATGGAATGTGCAGCGCAGTATACCAACGTTCAAGCCTTTGCAACTGACTGCCAAGACGTCTTAAAGATGATCGAGAAACCAGAGGACTGGCCAAAGTTCTCAACGGAGTTGCAGGAGTTCAGTAGTCTACGAAAACTTTTCTCCTCCTTCTCTATTTCGTATCTCCCTCGTGCTTCAACTAGTAAAGCTGATCATCTGGCTAAGCTTGCTAGGTTGTACCCTAGGTCCTTATCTTTTGTTGGTTATTCTGTTCCGGGGTGGGTAACCACACCAACTCGAGTTTGAGTAATAGAATAGCCGTTTGTCGTAAAAAAAAAAAAAAAAGCATTATTATCGACTTTATATTTAGGCCGACCAAACTGTGATATGAGCCTCTACAAGCTCAAACGGTGAAGCATTCTCTTTATATTTCTCGTAACAGCGTGATGTTTTCATATATTAACGAACAGGTTACAGAATCACATCACTGCAAAGTTTACAGATAAAAACGAACTCTACAAGTCACAGACACACGACACCTATTTAAGAAAAATGACTTTTCTTTTACCTTCTTCGTCTTACCAGGGACACAAATGGAACCCAAACTCTCTGCCATCAAGATGATTTGGAGGTTTTTTTATAGGAGGCAGAGAAAAGCTTGCTTTTACCAGTATTGCTTTTAACGTCATAAAGCTCGAACCAGACGAGCTGCAAATGCTCCATCCAAGGAGTGTTTCACTGGGTTGGATAAAAAGAAGCCTTGCGACGTTACAAAAGTCGATGGCACAAATCTGTCTACCGGATCTACGGAGAACTCCTGTGAAACCAGAGAGAGAGAGACAACTTGTTAATGTCGACATTTCAACAAACGCAAATGGACTATATATATGTTCTTACAGGATGTCTAAGGAGAAATGCTTCGACCCTTCCTTGATTTTCGTCGGGGTCTATAGAGCAAGTACTGTATATCAAGAACCCACCGGGCTTCACTAGTCTTTGGGATTCAGCTCATGACACAGAGCAAAGTATTAGATTTTTTTTCTCAGAATTAATAGAGTAAGCAGCCATTAAATAAATGTACAGAGTGTGCATACTTGGAGGCAGAATCAAGAAGTTCATCTTGTAGCTTTGTGAGTTCTTCCATGTCTTCAAGTTTACGGTTCCAGCGCAAATCCGCTCTCTACAAACACATAGAAAAGGAGAACAGGTTAAATAGATCAGGCAAGCAATTCAACTAGCCAAAGAAAAATCTTTCAGGCAAAAGAGTTAGATAAAATTGCTCATGTTAACCTTGGAGAGAACGCCAAGTCCAGAACAGGGGGCATCAAGCAATACTTTATCGTATTGCACCTCTTTGGTTTCCTAAAACACATTTGAGTTGGAAGGAATTAGCTTACAAACTTGGAAAAGTCCACTTACTCAAAACAGTATTAACTCACAGCAAAGACACGGAGATCGGAATGAATGGTTGTGATAAGTCCATCAACTTTGTGTGATTTTGCTGTCTCTCCAAGTATTCTTAGCCGTCCCTCATTCACATCCATAGCATATATCATACCTATCACCGACGAGTGTTTGCCAGTTTGAGGATGGAATCAATCAAATATAGCAGAAAACATACTAAAAAATAGATGGTTTTGTTCCACTGATGTACAATGAAGGGTGAGATAAAGGGACAGTGAGCCTTTGTAATATAGTACCTTGGCCTTTTAAGCAAGATGCCATGAAAAGAGTCTTCCCTCCAGGAGCAGCACATGCGTCCATTATCCTCTCGCCTGGCTGAGGTTCCACCACTGAGACTACTAGTCCTGAAAGCACCACAAGTGGGGAGATATTTAGATATCAAAAGAAGAACGGAATTTGAATAAAGTTATATATCTCTTTACAACATGGAGAATTTATGATTTCTCATGAGCAGTCCAAATAATAACGGAACCAAAACTAACCTGCACTTTCATCCTGAACAGAACAGATGCCCTTTTTGAGTAAGCCAGCTTGCACAACGATCTGTTTAAGAAAAAGCCACTGGTCAATTGCAAACCGAGACTCACAAGCTACTAGCAAAAGATGGAGCCGGAACAAACGAATATTTAAGAAACTTAAAAACAAGAGGACAATTCACTGTGACATTATAAGCACCTGCAAGCCTGTTTTGATGCGGACAAAGTCATCCATGTGTAAGGACAGCTCATGTGGAACCTGCAGCAAACGAAATGTATAGATGAAGTAAATAGCTAAGCATTTAAGAGTAACAATCGTCTGTCTGTTTTTACACTAACACAATGGTTCCAATTTGGATAAGAAATGGATGTGAAAAATTAAACGAAAGAAAAATACCTTTAAACTATTTAGACGCTCCACAAGGTCTGATCTTGAAATGTTCCTTCCCGTATTGGCCCTGACATCATAATAAAAAAAATCATCTGTTTGACAGTTGATAACTTTCCTTTTCTTCTGTGTAAGCAAAATATTATCTGGAGATAAACCTTAAGCTAAATCCAGGATCATTGTTGTTCCATATCATCAGCTTTGTGGCTTCCTCCAACCCAAGATACTTTACCCATCGCCTAACCATCCACTGGGTAAGGAAAGTAAAGAAAATTTCATTTTCATTTTCAGCATCAAACAGGAACGTGGCCTCATTGCGTTTGTTTTGCACTAAATAAATATTCTCACAGCTAAAGGACTAACTATCTAGAAGCCTCGCCATGACATAGCTCTAGCTTCATATTAAAAACGCAAGAAAATAAGGACTTACAACGGGATGTGAATGAAGTGTAGCAAGTGCACGTGCCTGTGCACGATCATCCCCTTCCACTTTAGGTAAAGGAAGGGCATCTATTTCCTACAGATCCCTACGTCAGAATTCATATAAGCTTAATGCTTTTGATTAAGCTCGACTTGAAGAGAAAACTGGAAAAAAGAGGTCTAAGAAAGAGAAACCTTAAGAGTGACTAGCTTACGAAGAATCCCATTGACAAGATCTCCAGCACCAGGTCTAAGGGCAACCTTTGCAAGCCTTACGTTCTGCAATTTAGACGAGTAAACAACAAAAGGGATAGAAGAAAGACTATCAGATCAAAAGGGAACAACCACAGCTGGAAATAAGAAAAGTCTAGGTGATAATACCTCATCAACAACAGCATAAGCCGGCATATCAAGCTTAATGATCTCATAGAAACCAATGCGGAGAATCTGCAACAGAGAATTTCAGAGGCCTGACAACATTGCTCGTAGTCTACAAACCTTGACTGCAACAAAAATATAATTGATACCTGCAGTAGAAGAGGTTCCATACTTCGAAATGTCCTTTCATTGTGGCAAAGGGAACCAATCAAATGATCGAGAAACCTCCTCCACCGTATAGTTCCTCCAACAACATCCGTCACCTAATTGTTCAAATTTTTTAGGAAACCAATCAAATGATCACTGAAGTTTTAGGAAATCACAGTTTTTTTCAAATTGTAAGAAGTATTTAGAGTGTATGTAACACTAACGAGTCTAAGATCACGGTCATCCAAATCTCGAGTCCGGAAACCGATTGTGCGTTCGACATAACTCATCTCATTGCTTCCAGAACCTTTTCCTTTCTCATTCAGAAGATCAGCAAACGCACCACCAAACTCAATTCTCATCAATCTGACTGCAGATACTGTATGAATTTCCACAAACAAAAACTATTGTTAGACAGAGGGAAAACACCATGTTTCAGCCTATAACTCCAGTGTTACAATATCACTCCTCCACATAGTGGCGTGCAAATCCATAACTAAAGGAATGGGTTTACTCTTACCTGCTCTATGTGGAGAAACCTCTAAATTAAGATTCTGGGGTTTCCTCGTTGGATTCAAGGGACCTGCACATTTAACAGTTTCCGAGTAAAGCACAGAGATGGAAGACGGAACTAAGCAAACAAAATAGAACCATTTTACCTCTGTTACCAGGAGAAATGGGTTTGCGAGTCTTTTGATTCCGCTTAAACGACTCTGGAGAAGCTTTCTGCGTTTCAGCAGAGAGATAAACTCGAAATGAGAGCAAATGCGCCATGGTTGCTCTGACTTCTACTGCTTGAGCCTGGAGAGAGAGATTTTGTATTATCGTTTCAGAACGAACCTTCTTGCCGGGAAAGAGTTTCTCTGGAGAGGTTATCGAAGAACTGATTAAGAGGCTTAAAGCCCATATACTTTACTTGGGCTGGGTCGGATTTTGAGTTCAAATTTGGTATTGTCATTTAATTAAAGGGCAAAACCGTAATTAGGATAGTGTTCGTCCCCAATTTTTCATTTCGTTAGTTGCAGGCGGCGGCTTCTGCTCGGAAGTCGGATCCCTTCTCCTTTTTTCCGATTAGTAAGTGATTATTCTACTGCTGATTCTAATGATAAGGCTAATTAACATATTGCTTTTTCATTTAAATGGTAAAGCGTTTACACTATTTTGCAACTTGATAATTAAAAGTCTACAACTCTCTCTGTCTGCGTTATGTTGAAGTTATGTGGTTTAGAGTAATCATTTCACGTGCAGCGCATAGATGATAAATTAAAAAAGGAAAAACAAAGTAAAAGAGACCCGTGACATATCTCTCCGCACGGACGTGACACGTACGCATGGTTGTGCATTATACAAAGCTGCCCTCTTTCCATTATTGAGTTACAGTGTGTGTATGTAAATGCACGGTTTATTGATATTCTTGGTGTTTTTTTTTCCTTTACATATTAAAGAAAAAGGTAGGGCATTGCTATGCTAGTTCTTAAAGCTTATCCCATTGACAAAATTTCAGCTAATACTTGTGGGATCAGTGTAGTAGATAGTCAAATCGCCTTCGTTAGTAAAGTATTGGTAGCGAGATGGGTACTTTTCATTCTGTTAAAGATGCGGTGAAGCTCTTTAACGCTGGTTTCTCTGGAGGCGGACATCTCAACCAGAGGCAAGAACAAATTGTATGTTTCTCTCTCTAGCAAAAAAAACATTTGTAATTTCTTTGGGTGATTATATATATTCTAGCAGAATATTTCTAAAGATTTGGCTGTGATTGCAGGGAGTGTTTGTGGAGGAGACAAATATCTGTTTCTGGGATACAGAGGTTAACAAGTTGAAGGAGAAGGTGAATAATGCTGAGACGGCCAAGATCGAGGCTTTGTTAGAGCTTGAAGAAGCCAAGAAAACGGTTGAGCATCTCAATCAAAAGCTGATAATTAGGCAGAACATGAGAAATGATGAGAAATCTTTAGATTTGAGTAGTAATGTGAGAGCTGTGACTTCGGAGCTAGGCCTTGCTAAGGAATTGCTTCAAAGAGTAGCTAAAGAGGAGAGTGAACTTGAATATAGGCAGAACATGAGAACTGATGAGAAAGGTTTAGATTTGAGTAGTAATGTGAGAGTTGTGACTTCTGAGTTAGGCTTTGCTAAGGAATCGCTTCACAGAGTAGCTGAAGAGGAGACTGAATTGTGTGTATTAATGGAGTCTCTTAAGCTCGAGCTTCAAAACGTGAAGAGAGAGCATTCACAGCATAGAGAAGTTGAGCAGAGAGAAAGGGATCAAGCAATTGAGGAGCTGAAGAAGGAAACCGATGATGCAAAGAAGGAGCTCTTGCTGCTCGAAGAAGAGCTCAAGATTGCTCTTTTCGAGGCTCAAGAAGCAAAAGATGCAGAGGAACACGCCAGACAACGGTTAAATGTTGCAGAGACGACTTTGGTTTTACAGTCTGAAGTCAGATTAGCTGAGGCGAAAGAAAGTGGCGCTACTGAAATAAGTGAGACGGAAGCTTTAAGAGCTTGCAGAGATGAAACACTCAAGAAACTAGCGATGAGTGAGAGAGAGATCGAAGATATAAAAGCTGCAACACTGGAGGCGATGAAGAAAGCAGAGCTGGCCGAAGAAGCTACAGTTGTTGTGGACGCAGAGCTTAAACGACGGCGTAAAGCAGCGAGTAGGGTCTTGGCAGAGTCCAAAATGTGTGCCAAATCATTACCCTCTGCAAAGGAAGTCCACAAGTCAAAACCGAGATCAGCGTCCAAAGATGGTTGTTTGGTCAAGTGTTAGATGTATCTGGTCTCTTTTGATAATTGTGAAAATCTGTAAACCTTAGCTTGAATAATAAGTGTCATTTTGTTGGTCGTGTTCAATGTTTGTACCGTTGATAAGGTTTGGTTTTGAAATATGTAAACATCATACATCAAGATTATTCTGAAATTACTTAACAAGAATTGGCATTTTGTTTTGACAGTGCAGAGAATTTTGTTTTTGTGAAAACTTGGTGATCGATTACAGAAAAAAAAAAAGTTAATTAAGGGTCAATTAGATAAACGAAAGGAAGAAAAAGTCAAAGTACTTAAGGGTCGGTTTAAATTTATAATTAACACGTGTGTATATAGTTGAAGGCTTGTTTTATTTTTTGTTCACTTCATCTCTTCCGTATCGCGCCAGAGTCCTCTCGACGCTCTCGTCCTTATCTCGATCTTGGTTGATTGTCTCTCTGATTGGAATTTAGGGCTTTTCTTTTCTGAGGATGACGACTGCTGCACGACCTACGTGGGCTCCAGCTAAGGGAGGTAACGAGCAGGGTGGTGCTCGGATCTTCGGCGCTTCTCAGAAGTATTCGTCCCGTGATGTCGCCGCTCACACCACTTTAAAGCCAAGGTGAGAATTCGAATAACTGGTTCTCTTCTTTGATTCGACGCGGATCCGATTACTTGTAAATTCAATCGAATTTCATCTTTAATTGATGAGATTCCCAGATATCTAGGGTTTACTGCAATATAGATTATTCATCTGCTTCAAAGACTGGACTTTTTAGTGCTTCTGGTTTCTATTTGCGTATGGAATATATCAATCTAACTTGTATCCTTCTTTTTGGGTTTGGCAGGAGGGAAGGGCAAAACACTCAAGAGGAACTTGAGAAGAAAGATCTTCGTGATGAGCTTGAAGAGCGTGAGAGGAAACATTTCTCATCCAAAGACAAATCTTACAGTGGTAAGTAACATTGATTTATATCGTTTCTAGCCTTTTTACTATGATTTTTGTTGAGCTTCCACCGTTTTTTTTAAACTGCATCTGGACTAATGAGGTATTGTTTGATCTTTAGATGATAGAGACCGCAGGAGAGGAAGTCAGCTATTACTGGAAGGTTAGAGAAAATCATGATCGTTATTTGTGTCACATAAGATAGTTTGATCATATGTTTTCTAACGTGGATGGCCTTTGTGTAGGTTCCAAAAGGGATCCTGAAGATCGGATTATTCCTCGCAGTGTAGATGCTGATGATTCTGATGTTGATGTCAAAAGTGATGATGATAGGTACCTATTCTTTATCTCTACCATTCTTGTCTTCCTCTTTGCAGTTCTTTATTTGTTGTGCTTTAAATTTTGGCTAAGAGTATCAAGGTTGGGGATGGTGGCCTAGCATTGCTTTTCATGTGGACATTGCTTTTCTGTATTAGATTTTGGGGAAAATGTTTTACTCCTGGTTGTCCTCTCTTGTCAAGTTTTTGATGACTCACAAATTCCTTCAAAATTATCTTACCATTTGTTTTATCTTTGTTAGTGATGAAGAAAGCGATGATGATGATGATGAGGACGACACTGAAGCTCTAATGGCTGAACTCGACCAGATAAAGAAAGAAAGAGTGGAGGAGAGGCTCAGGAAGGTATGTTTGCTCTTGCCTTTTTGATGTTTCTGCTCAGATTACTACTAAAAAGTGGAAGATTTGTCTTGTTACTGTTAATGTGATTTTTTGTTACTAATATCTGTTTCATGCATAATTCCAGGAAAAAGAGCAGCAGATGGAAGAGCTAAATGCTAAGGAAGAGGAACTTCTCAAAGGAAACCCATTGCTTAATGCTCCAACTTCGTTTAGTGTCAAAAGGAGGTTAGCATCTCTTGAAATCTTGTTTCTTTGTGAATCTTGGGATTATTTTAATCGTTAGAGGCTGATACTGAAAATTTATTTTGTTCTTTGCAGGTGGGATGATGATGTGGTATTCAAGAATCAGGCTCGTGGTGAAATGAAAGCACCTAAGCGCTTCATCAATGATACAATCAGGAATGACTTCCACAGAAAGTTTCTGCACAGATACATGAAGTGATTGGAGAACAAGAATGTTATTTGCTACTTGTCTGTATGATGAACGAATCAATGCTTTTTTATTCTGTCTGGGATTTACGATGTTCTCTTTGTACTAAAAAATTCTAAAACAGGAAAGCTTATGCGCTTGACCTTAATGCTATTTCCCAGATTCCTCTTGTGCTCTTTTATTCATCACATCAATGACAACACTTTGCAAAATTGGAAATAGATAGTCTCTCTGATATCTTGTATAAACTTTTTGTTAGTTGTCCTTTTCGGTTTCTCATAATTCAAAGATGGCAAATGCTGATTTTCTTGCGAAGGCAGAAGTATGCAGAGAGGCGGTAGCCAAATGCCATGGCAAGGAGAAACCACAGTTCTTGCAAGCCGCCATTCAAGTTCACTGTGTCGAAGGATGAGGAGCTCTGCAGTGTCCTGCAGCCTCCTTTGCTCTCACATTCGAAGAGTTGGTCCCCTGAGTATTGAACTTTCAGTAGCAGCCTGAAGCCGTAGTGCATGAAGGACAAGTACTTCAACCACTGCATGAATTTGGGTATGTGCTGCATCCATTTCGAGTTCAAAAAGCACATCACTTTTTGTTGAGCATAAAGCAATACAATTTTCAAAAGTATATATGAGCTGTACCTGAACATAGTAACCTCCTGTTAGAAGAAATAGCATTAGTACCAAAGACGCGATCATACCAGCTCTCTTAATGCTCAATACTGAAGCTCCTAAGAACTCTCCTGCACCCTGCAGTTACATTGAGAAAAAACTTAACTTTTTTAATTTCCACAGAGTAAGAGAAGTCTTCAAACTTTTCTGTGCTTACTTGGCTTGTTATGGCGATCAGTAGTATAGTCAACAAGGTGAAAATAAAGCAGGGGAGTGTCCTCTTGAAGCCAGCCATGAAGTAGACAATGATCATGAAGAATGTGGGATACAAAACGTGTGCCACCATATCACACAGTGTACTGCATACGTAATACACGCTTAGTCTGTACATGTCTGCTTTTCTTTCTTTCACCAGGTAGATCTTCTCGAAGGGGAACACATATACTGCTCCAAAGAGGGATGAAGATGTCCAGAAGATGCATATATAGAACATCAAACCAACCTGCAACACAAGCTACCAAGTTAACAAGGAGGCTTTTCATGACTTAAACTCATGTAGTTTCATTTACCTGGTCTCTAAGGTGCGCCTCTCTGTCTGTCTTTGATTTCCACCAGAGAAGACCCAACACAACGGCCACGCCAAGTGATTGAACAAGCCTTAGCTTGTCAAAGTAATCTCTACGCCGCTCTCTGAACGTTCTTCTGAAAATAATCAAGAACTGATCCCACCAGGAAAGCGTCCAGTCCTTCTTCACTTGGATTGCTATTTGAAGATGCTCTGGGGCCTTTCTGTTTCTATGGTTGTCTTCCTTCTCCTTTGGCTCCAAGTCTGACTTGTACTTTAGTTGCAGATACTGCATTCATAACACTAGGATTGAGTGCCATTAAATACACAAGTATATAGTCTACAACTTCATGTCACGGTCCTTACTTTCGCTATTACTTCCTCATAACCAGGTTGAGCGGTTTTGGAAGCCAATAGTTCGTCAGGGAGACTAATGTCTGACACCTGTCCGGTTGCCAAGTCTAGCAAGAACTCTGCTGGGTTCATTGCAATTTCAGGTAAGATATTCAATGATGAGAAATAGTCCATAGCTTCTCTGGCTCTGCCGTAGAAGGCAGGGTATCCTTCTGATATGAGTAGGAGCTTGTCGAACATGTGAAACATTCTGCTTGATGGTTGGTGAATTGTCGTGATGACAGTCCTTCCTCCCTGCAAAAGACAAATTGAAAACCTTATGCTTTTTTTTTCTCTAAGAACTTTGCTAGTAAAAAAAGAAAAATGATGTCACCTTAGCTACTCCTTGAAGAATTTGAAGAAGTTTAGTGGCAGAAGTGGAGTCAAGTCCAGAAGTTGGCTCGTCCAGAAGCAACAGAGAAGGATCTACGAGGATTTCATATGCAATGCTAGTTCTTTTTCTTTCTCCACCTGATATTCCCTTGACAAAACCTCCTCCAACTCTTGTGTGACGGCATCTTTTGTAAGGTTTTCCATGAAAATTAGTTTATACTATTATCAAGCACATGTTTGAAGAAAGTGTACAAGTTCTCATAATTTCAGGAAATATTAAAAATGGTGGTACCTTTCGAGGCCTAGCTCTTTAATGATCATCTCAACTTTAGCGTATTTTTGTTCCTTGCTCATGCTACTTGGGAGTCTCAAAAACGCAGCGAATGCCAATGTCTCTTCCACGGTAAGTTGTGGCAAGAGCACATCATCTTGTGTCACGAAACCAATTCTGCAAGATGGTGAAAGGATCAGAGCGTAATAATATATTCATGATCTACCTTTTATTACATTTTTATTTTTGGTAACATCTAACCTCCTCTTAACAGAGGGACTATAAGGAATGTCATTGTAGGTAAGCTTCCCTCTGACATTATCTGTCAATCTTCCTCCCATTATCTTCAAGAGAGTTGTTTTTCCACTACCCGAAGGACCCATCAGTGCAAGGATTTCCCCTGGACCCGTGCTTCCTGTTATGCCTTTCAAAATGTGCTTGTACCCATCTGGATCCGGATTCGTATGTGTAACCTTTGACACCATAGTTTTCACCAGGTTTGCTGAGCTAGCTTGGATGTTTCTCACCTTATACTCCACATCTTCAAACTGCAGATTAACAAAAGGTTTCAAACCAGTTATGAGTTTGTCTTGGAGAAGGAAACTGAAAGCGTGAGAGAAAGAGAGAAACCTTGAGAAAGATGGGAAGAGGTGCATCTTCTTGAGGATAAGAGGAAACGAATTCTTCGTGGATATCAATCTCGGATGAGTATTGGTTTCTGAGGTAAGCTTTTGACATGAACTCCATGTTGTGAACTATACCATTGCTTCCTGAAATCTGCATTACATGATTGTCTTCAACTTCTTCTGTTGATCGTTTGATCTCCATGTCTTTTTTTTTGAGTCTTGTAATGCAAGAAATTAATCTGAATATAGGGCTGTGTTATATAACGGAGAAACTAGTGTGGATCAACTGTGTCAAACCTGAAACTTTCTTGCTTTTTGTGTTCTCTTTTTCTTTCCTTTTATCAGGGTGTTGGTTTGGTAGACCACATTCTTTCAGTGTTTTTGTATTAAACGGAATTAAGTTCCTTTAATTATGCATGTGTTGACTTGCACAAGGGGATAATGAAATTAAAAAACTAGTTTCATTACTTCTTTACTTACGTTACGAATGAAAGATATACTGATCACTAGACTTACTGTTAGTGGGTGTCTTTGTGTAGAAATTACTTCTTTAAAAAAACTAATTTCTTGACTTGGTCAATCGCATTGCGTTACGAATGAAAGATATACTGATCACTAGTTCATACTCTGTAAAAGCTCGGAAGAATCACTAAAAAACGAGACATGGTCAATGTCTGAAACTATTACACATGGATCCTTTTAAAATTGTTTGGTTCTCACAGAAGAAAAAACAAGGCACCAATTCTCTCTTTCTCACTCTCTCTCTTGTCCCCTTTTCAAATTGACACATGCTAATTTCCTCTTGTGGGGTGATGTTTCCTAAGTATGTATGTACACACAAAAATATCACTCAAAAACCCAGACTTGAACATCTATTCTTACCATTCTGATATGTATGTATCTTTCTACTAACTCTCCTTGACCAAGAAGTTGTTCCCCATATTCGTTACCGCAGCTTGGGGTTGCTGATTGGTTGTTTGCGGGAGTCCTATGGGTGCAGTTATCGTTGGAGCCGGAAGTATGGGATGTGTTGGTTGGTATATTCCCGGGAACCCAGCCTGCACGGTCGGGAAACCTAATGGCTGGCCCTGAAAGGGTAAGTTGTACATGGGATTGGCCTGCAGGTTGTGCTGACTCTGCATACATCAAAACCTTGTTAATGCACTATAGCATAACATGCAATGACAGAGAGGGGAGAGGAAGAGTCAAACTAACCAATGGTCCAGTCGTATAAATGTTTTCCTTCAGTTCTTCTTTTTGGGTAGAGTTTATTGTGGCTGCTGATGGGATGTTATTAAAAGCAGCAACTGTGTATGGATCATATAGGGATGGGACTGTGGTAGGTGGAGAGTTCTCAACGTTGCTTTCTGATTTGATGTGAGGAGGAGGGAGTGTATCCCCTGTATGTGCTGGAAGACCATCTCCAGGTGGTAAGTAAGACTGTTGTTGGAATCCGTTTGGGCTCAAGAACTGGTTAATGTACGGTTGTGGCATGTAAAGGGGTGGATAATAAGGACCGAATGGGAAGAAGTTTAAAGGGTATTGTTGCCTGAAAAGGTGCATTGCCTGTTGGTAGGCTGCTATGGAATACTGATCTTGATATGAGATAGCTGGGGCATCACAATTTGCAGCCTGCAATTATCAACAAAATTACAAAAGACAGTGAGTATTTCAAATATACTGGCTAGAAAAACCATGCGATTGGCCTGATGCTGACAGTGAAGGCACAAAACAATATGTGGGGCTGCTTGAACATAACCCACCTGGTGAGTGTCTGTTATTGGTACAAAGTTCTCTTTCAGTTTATCTCCTTCCGGAAAAGTTTGATCAGACTGCAACGATACCTCCGTCTCAGGTGCTGCATCTGAAACGTCATGATCCTGATCTTGAGAAAAGGTTGATGACATATCTTCCCTGCAAACGAGAATACGGTGTTCAAACACGGAACATCAAATACAAACACGAGAGTTAAAAGACAAGCCAATCAAACAGACACTATCACAAAAGGAAAAATCCCATGTCATACAATGTTTCATTAAAGGATATCATATCTGACAGACTGACACTGAGACTGTAGAGCAATTCATAAAAACATGGAAGCAAGCAATTCAGTCACTAACCTCGCTGACGCCCCATGGGCCGCTGTCTCAGGAAAAGAGACGATGTTGGAGTTATCACACTCAATGCTACAATTGTCAGAAGATGCCTCTTTCACAAAACTGGAATCGAAGCTCCCAAACGTCAGACCATTTGCCAGCATTTTAGCATCCTGAAGGTGGACAGGAAACGTTACGTGGGGACGTTCAGAAACATCTGACTCGAGGAGCGATTGATTCTTGCTTTCATTGGCTGCAACCTCACTCCTAGTGACTGTTCCAAAACAAAATGCAGTAGGTCGAATCAAATAAGAGGCTGTAATCAAACTCAGGAATCAATCTTAATCATTCCCAACTCAATAAGAAGAATGCAGAATGCACTTAAAGCTACATAGATGAAGAGCAACTATACCTTGATCTTGCTGTGAGATCTGAGAAGTTCCTTCTGCATCATATTGAGAATCGGTTTGTACAACAGAATCTGATACAGATACAGCCACTGGTACAACACTGTCTTCAGACTTCTTCAGCTCAACAACATCCTCAGACGACGAAGTAGGCTTGGAGAGAGACTGATTTATTGAACAAGGAATGGTGTCGTTGATTGATTTGTTATGAGCAGAAGCAGTTCTGGAACCTCGTACTCTGTGATTAGCTCCACTCTGTCTTCTAAAAGCTGCATTTCTTCCACTATTGCCATCTAAAATCAACAAAGAGCTTGAATCAGAGAAGGAAACAAAATGCAGAAGTTTAGAAGTATGACATAAACTATAACGACCAGTGTAACCACCTGAAGCAAAGTCCCTCCGACCATTTCTGCCTCTTCCTTGTATAATTGGCACTAAATTCTGCAATAGGGGATAACAGAGGAAGCTATTAGAGAAACTGGTACACAAAAATCTAAGGGTCCCTAAGTGAATTCACAAATCATGCATCTAAAACAAATATAACTAAACAGAGAAACTTAAAACATACCTCTTTCTTTTTCTCCCGTTTGCCTCTCACCTCATGAAAGGTATCTGAAACATTCGAATAAAATTAATATTAAGAGTGCATGGCCAATAACTAACTAATGTGCCACAGAAACCAAACTAGGATGCAACAATTTCATGGAATTTAACTTTTTTCCAGAGTCGCATGAGGAATGTGGAATAATACATTGATCTTGAAAAAGTAAACATAGTCCAAACTTTCTAACACCCAGATCCCCAATCACAATCACAATCACAGCTAAAAAGATACTCTCTTTCCACAGTTCCATCATCTATAAAGCTAACTGGTTAAGATTCGACGTGTGACTGAGACGAATACGCCAATTGTAAGTGACGGTTCATGAATCCAAATTCTGCATATTCCACAACAGTATAAAGATTCTAGGCATATTTTACCAAATACTAGAAAGCTCTTACGAAATTTTACCCCGACATGATCTACCGAAACAGAAAGCAAAAAAAACACACCAAATTCTATCGAACAGCCAAAATCAACGCAAGTCGTTGGATGGGAAACATTGAAAACAAAAAGCAAAAATCAAAACCCTAAGAGAAGCGTGCTCATTAGTAAATCAAACACTAAGAGAAGAAAAAAAATGCAGAAACCTCAGTACCAACCTAAGTAGAGGAGCTTCTGAGCGGTCTCATGTGGATCATTGAAGCAATCCTTAAAGACGGTGAAGATATCCTCGTCGGAATGTTTTTTCCCCGTAACCTCGCTAATATTTTTAATGGTGTCGCGTAGATCGGCGGGGATCGAAACCCTAGAGCCGCCATCGCCGCCGCTGCTGCTCATGTTGGAGAGGGAAGCAGAGAGAGAGAGAGAGGAGAGAGAAAGAGAGAGGGTATGGGACTTGAACACAAGACTCGATATATATATAGTATTTCCGTATAAATTACCGCTAAATGTCTCTCTACCGTATTTTTATACGCTGATGTCACTAACTATTGTATGAAAATACATTTATGAAGGAACTTGTACATCAAAGTTGATATGGCCGAGTTGGTCTAAGGCGCCAGATTAAGGTTCTGGTCCGAAAGGGCGTGGGTTCAAATCCCACTGTCAACATTATCTTTTGTTTTTATTAATTTTTTTGGAAAAGTAAGTCGGCGGCCTTCACGAGTCGATAAGCCCAAACTTAAAAATATAAAAGAACTTGCGTTCTCTCCATCTCAGATCTTCGATCAATCAATCAAGTCCTCTCAAAAAGTTGCGAACCCTAGCTCTCGGTTTCTCTCTCCATCCTAAGCTCGGGGTTTTTTTCGGAGGATTCTCGATCGAATCGAAAGAGTCACTGGACTAAGAATTGCGATGGGGTCCAGATCTCGGAACGAAAATTTCCAGTCCGGCGATGGCGCCAGCCCAGGGTACGTTTCCTACTCTCTCTTTGCGTGTTTGGATCCAGCGGATCAATCGAACCATCACAGAAATATCTCGTGATTCGTTTCTCTTTTTTGTTGTTTGATTGTTAAACTCACGTTTCGCTTCGAATTTGTGTCGCAGGAAAATATTCATCGGAGGATTACACAAAGACACCACCAACAGTAAGTCTCTCTTATTTCTCCTCTGCTTAAGAAATCGTGTTTTTGGGTTTCATTATGGTATTTTTGTCGAGTTTCAATCATAATAATCTATGTGCTTCCTGGGTATCGAGGGTTTATAGTGTGTGTGTGTGTGTGTGTGTGTACGCGTATCTGTTTGCGATGTTGCTTGTTGGGATATTAATTGTTGTTGATGTCGCTGCAGCTGTGTTCAATAAGCATTTTGGCAAGTACGGAGAGATTACAGATTCAGTGATTATGAGAGATCGAAATACAGGACAACCTAGGGGATTTGGTTTCATCACCTATGCTGACGCTTCTGTAGTTGACAAAGTTATCGAAGATACTCATATCATCAATGGCAAACAGGTCTCTTACGCCGCTTCTCTTTTTCTTTTTAATCCTACACTGTGTTATAAGATTGACTTGATTAATTACGTTTTGGGAGTGATATTCATTTGTACATACTTCTGTAGGTTGAGATCAAAAGGACTATCCCGAAAGGTGCTGGTGGCAATCAGTCTAAGGATTTCAAGACGAAGAAGATCTTTGTTGGTGGTATACCCTCCGCTGTTACCGAAGGTATATCTTGGCACATATTTGAAGTTATCGCTTCTCATGAGAATATTGGTTTTATTTGATGTGCTTACTGTTGGTTGTTTTGTTGATCAGATGAACTGAAGGACTTCTTTGCCAAGCATGGGACTGTGGTGGAGCACCAGATTATCCGTGACCATGAAACAAACAGGTCCCGAGGTTTTGGTTTTGTGATTTTTGACAGCGAAGAGGTCGTAGACGAATTGTTGTCCAAGGGAAACATGATCGACTTGGCAGACACTCAGGTAAGCTTGTTTGAATACATGATAACATATCTCTCCTTGTTTCTGCTTGTTCCTTTCGCTATACACGTTTAGCTTAGTTAGTATAGCTTATGCCAAATGTAAGGAGGTTGTTGTGAGAGTAAGCTAGGAACTCCCTTGCTATAGCTAGGTTAATTAAGTTGCTTTGTTGTAGGTTGAAATCAAGAAAGCAGAACCAAAGAAATCTTCAAACCGTTCACCTCCTCCTTATGGTAGTCACCCTAGAGGTCGTTCGTTTAACGATAGTTATGGCAATTATGGTGGACCTTATGGAGGTTTTGAAGGGTATGCTCCTCCAGGAGGTCCCATTAGGTCACATGGAGGTCCTCCTAGTAGGTTTGCTGGGGCATATGGGTATGGTCGTGGTGTAGGTGCCGAATTCGGAGGGTATGGACCATATGGTAGCTTAGGAGGTTACCGTAATGAACCTCCCCACGGCTATTCTAGTCGTTTTGGACCCTATGGTGGTGGGTTTGGTGGTGAGGGTTACGGTGGAGGTTACGGCGCTGGTGGGTATGGTCGTGGTGGAGGGGAAGGCTATGGGGCATATGGTGGTCCAGGTTATGGTGGGGGCTTTGAGTCTGGTGGTCCAGGTGGCAGTTATGAAGGAGCAGGCGGTCCATATGGGAGGGGTTATAGTAGCAGTAGTCGATACCATCCATATGCAAGATAGGCTCCAGTCAGATCCTTTGGTAGACGCTATAGAAGCTTCTCTGACAGGTTTCTCTAGATTCGCGTAGTTGCATTCTAGAGGAGACTAGAGTTATCATGTAGCGCCCAACATCAGGAAGGATTTGCTAAGGACAGGAAGAGTATCAAAAGTTTTTTATCGCTATGTTAGACATCTTTCTAGTGTGTGTTTGTTTAATTTAAGTCTTATCTTATCTCTTGACTTAGAGTGTGTTATGTAGACTTTTAGCATATTTTGGTTTGGAGTTTGTTTTTTGCACTGCCATAAGAATGATCGTTAGATTAAAAACCTATTTACTATTTGGTAGTCTCGTTAGATGATGATCAAATCACTCACTTTTAGCCCTGCCTCTTCCTCTTGCTTAGTTTGCCATAATCATACGAATTAGCTTAAGAAACTCTGCAAAAAAGTGAAATTTATCTATTATTTCTCTTATGCGTGCGTGTAGATTATGTAATTTTTGCTGTTCCCAACTCTGGTTTGGAATTTTGAACAAAGGTTTAGAGTCCAATTAGTGCATGTGTGTAACTGTTTACGTAGGTTCTAGCTATATATTAGTGTATGTCGTATTATGTGGCTTAAAAGGATTTAAAAGTCGCTTTCAAATATTTCGTGTATTCAATTAGCAAGATTTATTGTACGGGAATGATGATAACTAACGGGAAATGAAAAATTATTAAGGTTCAAGCAAAAGCTACTTACTTGGTTTTTGTTTCAGGTTTTTTCTTTGGTCAGGGTCATGGGATTTTGGTCCGAGTTTCGTTATGTACGACTAATAATGTACATCTTGTTATCTATAATTTCTCATCAAAATTATCTAGAGTTTAATGTAAATCATCAAAAGCATATTATTTTTGTAAATACAGTACATTTGTACATACTTTTTAATAGTAATCAATCGATCTATTTTAAACATACGAGACTATCAATTGATTGTAACATACTAACATTTACTCAAGTTGAATGACAAAGACAAGAGTCGTTTTTTAAATGACTCGATTCTCGGAATGTCGTTAGAAAAAGCTTTACTACTCGGAGCGAAAAATCATCTTTGGTCAGTAAAAGCCCATCTTCTTCATTTTTGTTGCCAAAGATGCGCATTCATATTTCGTTTCTAAAAGTAGAGTTTCCTTCCTCTGTGCTCCTTAACAAAAAGCAGCAACCATCCATTTACTGCAAGGAAAACGACATTCTCGGATGCTCAGAACCGAAGTGAACGGATACATAGAGATACCACCATTCATTTACTGCAAAGAAAACGACAATCTCGGATGTCAGAACCGAAGTGAACGGATACATAGAGATACCACTATTTTTAGATTTACATTTTTACACTAACTTATTTTTCCTTAATTCTAAATTTTCTTTTCAGTTTCTTAACTCCATTGTCGACTACTTTTAGAGGTTTCTTTATTTGTAAAAAGGTAGTAACAAAGGAGAAGAAGGGAAAAGAAAACGAAATGGAAGGGAAAGAGGACGAAGAAGCGAAGAGGAGGATGGTGATGATGAAGATCAAACTTAAGGAGACAGCTCAAGAGATAAGCCAAGAAGACATCAAAAGACAAGAAGCTTACAACATGTCTCCACGTGCACGTCGTAGTGGCGGTGGTGGTGGCGTTGGTGGTGGCTCGGTAGTTATGGGCAAGTCATCGAGCGTGAGGCAAAACTGTTTATGCGCACCGACCACACACGCTGGCTCCTTCAGGTGCCGTTACCATCGCCGTAACGCCGGACTCGGAATGTCACGTGGCATTTCTGTTCCCTCTAACCTTTCCATGTTGGCTGGACCTGCCTCTCCTAAATGATTAATTAACATATACTTTGTCTTTCTTCTCAATTCAATGTTGTCGTGGTTTGTGTGTATGTATATATATAAACGTCCAAGGCTTTAATTTTCTTTTAACTTTTGTTGTTAAAGGGATCTACATGTTTTTTTTTCTATTGAATTACGAAAATGCATAATTTCTCTGGATATTCAAGTTGCTCGTAGCAAAAAGTAAGTAAATTCAGGCACTTTTGAATGAACATGCTTGGAGGTTCAGAAAGAAGCATACAGGTTGTCACGGCTCGGAGTGTTGAGATAATAATGGAATGGTACAATAATCTCGTCGAATAAAAAGAATGTGTAATCCAGCACATGGGACCGTACAACACAGAGCTCTGTAATAAATTTACATGAGAGAGGAAATCTAAAACAGATGTATTTTAGAAATAAAAAACTAAAAATTTGTGCCTGACAACACAAAAGAGAGATCAAGTGGTAGTGGGTCGTGTCCAAGAGGTTTGAGATGTAGATGTATTCCCATAGTAAACTTTTTTGCTAGATTCGTCCCAATACGCCTGCAAAAGAGAGAAAATCAAGTTGCCATGTTTTAGCGATTGCGTTTTCATTTACGAAACAAACATTATGGTGTGAAAAAGAAAAGTAATCATACCTGCCATCCCGATGGAAGATGTGCTGAGAGTTTGGTTAGATCAGGTTTTTGTTCCTTTTCTTCTTTCTTCTTAGAATCGACAGTTTCACGTCCTGCTCGCTCTTTCCTCCGTTTCACTTTCTCACGCCTAATCTCATCAATACAAATGTTAAACGCATTAAGTAACTAAATCATGTTTTAACGGTGGAGGAGACGAATGAATCTTTGCATGAACTAACCAGTCACCACCGAGGGGTTGGAAATTTGCGTTGTCTTTAGCCTCTCCGCTAGCGATTTGTCTGGATTTCCATTCTTCGATTTCTCGTCGTCTTTTCCTGTCTAGGATCCCGTAATCTTCTTCTTCCTCTTCTTCTTCACTATCGTTTAGCTCCTCTTTCGCAGCTTTCCACTGAACACAATGGAGAGACACTTTAAGTATGAACTTTAAGAATTAAGATCATTACCTAGAAAAAGGGTTTGTTTGTGAGGAGAATAAATGAGAAAACAACAACGTACCTTGTCCACCAAACTCGAAACCTTTTTGTTTGACTTTAACGAAGATGCAGCAACTGTCCGCTTTTTAGGCCGTTTTACTGTAACAAAAACACGATGTGTGAAGCGAAAATTCAAAACCAAGATAATAGATCAGTGAAGAAGATAAGGTGACTCCAAGGATCATACCGTTAGATTGGCCCTTCGCTAACAGCGAAGATCCACCTGTGACATCTGTGGACTGAGTAGCAGTGCCCATAGATGCCATTTCAGCAGTGTCGTTGGATCTGGAGCTAGGCTCTACAGCTGTAGACGAGTTGCTTGGGATGTTGAAATTAGCAGCACCAACTCCACTGTGATGCAGAGATGACTCCGCAGAGCTAATGACTGGAAACAGCGGAGCTGCACCTTTGAAATCGTAATAAGCTTCAACGGCACTGGCTGCTGCAGGAGTAACTTCACTCGTACCGGGAGCAGTTTCATAATAATATGTCGACTGGGGCAGAGAGACTTGAGATCCGTCAACATGGCCATAGAACTGAGTGTTGGCAATATACTGATAACTGGACTCTGGATAGGATAAGTTGTATTGTGCCGCGTAATCCGTAGATTGCTGCATATAAGATTGAGGTACGGTGTAGGAAATTCCCAGAGAGTCAGTAGACAAAATTGGAGGGACATGACCAGTTTCAAGAGGTGGTGGAGGAACTGGTTCACTATAACTGTCTGGTGGCGGTGGAGGAACATCTTCACTCTCAGACGGCGGTGGCGGAATCCATTCCTCACCTGGAGGTGGTGGAACGTCTGTATGAAGGTCCGATGGCTCTGTTTGACTGAACGTCTTAACATCAGAAGCATCTATCACTTGAACAGAAGACACTGGAACTGGTTCTTCAACCTCCATATCAACATCCATGTCAATATCTTCCACAGCTGAAGAGCCAGCCTTGGTGAGCATCTCATCTGAAGGAGTAACATTAGACTGCTCAACTGAATGCCCTCGGGTGTGGGTGGGAGATCCATCGCCACCCACATCAGCTGAATCATCTGAATGAAGAGTTTTCCCAGATTGAGCTAACTCTCTTTCTCTCCCACTGTCCTCGAATTCACTTTCTGTATTACTAGCATCTGCTACCAGCTTGCTTTCCGGAGAGCTTTTGTTAGTTTCTGCAATTTCATCCATTACTGCAGATTTGGCAAGCTCGTATATCTCATCGTTAACAGCATCTTCCAGACGCTTGAGTTGTTTCTCAGTGTGAAGCCAAAAAGAAAGTAAAGGCGAGGTATCCAGTATGAGCGCCTTAACATCAGAATGTCTGACTTCAACCTCAAGAATGTACTTTGATATCTTCTCATTGCTGTCAAAGTTCCCATGAGACCTACAAATTAATATAAATTAGATAGTCACATTTCAAAGAATATAAGGGAACTGTGACCTATTTGCCTAAAAACGTAAGATACGTAAACAAGAAGACGCAGAGTAAAATGGCTTACTTTTTCAGAGACCTCAGCTTCTCCAGTAAGCCTTCGGTTTGACTCAACAGACGAGACGGAAGGTCAGTAGCCGCTCCTGTATCAAAATTAGCCTGTGAATGATCTGAATTTCCTGCCCCTGCAAGTTCCTCCTGACCTGGCTGGTAATTAACAGCAGAGTCCATCTGACATTCAACTTGATGATAATCACTTTTGTTTCTCTCACCCAACTCAACTGTTAGAGTAGTGGAACAGTCAGTTCCTATGAAATCATTTTGCACGGGTTGCAAATAGCTTGGTTCAACACCAGAAACCAACGTTGACTCATATGTAACCACGGGACCCGACGGATTGTACCCAGTCCCATATGCACTAGCAGTTTGAATCAGAACCGCAGGAATTTCCCAAGACGTTTCCCCAGTTTCTGTATTCCAGTAGTAATACTGATTGCTCTCCTCATGCAAAATCATCTTCCACATCGATGTAACATCCGTAGGAACATGGTGCTCCAAAGACACAGGGCCAAATGCTTGAACTGAGGGAGTCACTGTGACATAACTAATCTCCCCTTCGGCCTTAAAATCAGGTGCGGAAGAATCCTTCACTGTTTTATGTTGGTCAACCAACTGCATAGAGGTGTCTGCACCCAATTTAATATCTGCATCTTTATGTCCTTCCTGAAGTAATCCATCAACCTGGTTTCAATAAAATTCATCAAGATTAACAGAGACATCATGAGCATATGCCATTTAATATAAGTTGATTAGTGTTACCTGCTCATTTTTATTGGCTAAGGAGCTATCTGCAGTGGCAACATCTTTTCTCTCATCCAAATTCTCTTCCACATCATCGTCACTATATTGCCCAAGTAAAACCAATGGATTCTCTGTTTTCGGATCTGAAAAAAAATATAAAGCGTCAAAATTTGGAAGCCCCACTATATATACATACCTAGACTACTTCAGTTATATAAATTGATAACAAAGAAGAGCTATAGGATATTTTTTAAGTTGCATTAGAAAGTAGAAAAAAAGGATGGAGAGTAGCGTCGGGGAAGATATTTCAGCGACCTGTCACAATTTAATGACAAAGCCGTCAGATTAAAGCGTTGCAAGCCAAAATATCCAAAGACAAACGAACCGCAAGGAGATATTTCCAGAAGAAAGTCCCCAGAATGCTTGAAGCTGCAAAAATAGAGCAACTCATTCAAAGTATCACAGTGGCTTGGCCTGAACTGATGTCATACGAAGTCCCCAAGACCACAGCCACCTTATACTCTGAGAAGAAATTTCGAGGGCAAAGAAACAACACAGCATGTTGTTTTGGAACACAAAACAAGAATTCCCAAATTTGCACCATTAACATGTCCAGCACTTATTGGCAGCGGATTTTGAAGATAGCTAGCTGATGGGAACCCACCTGAAGAAGATGGTGAATTGGGTAACTCATTAGGCTCTGTTTGTTCCCTCTCAACTCCATCGCGCACATCTGAGCCACCCAAATCTCCTACAAGATATCACACAGAGAGATAACTACAGAAGGCGGAAAAACGCAAAATCGAGAATTTACATATACGTAAACAGAATCCTTATTAATTAACGAGCTCCAGATTTAACCAGTGAAGCAGCGAAATCGAATCCTTAAGACCGTCACTGACTCTACTAATCCAGCATTCTAATAGATTCAAATCGATCAAAAAGGGCAGAAAACGAATCGAAATCGATAAGAGAAGTACACATAAAGTTATATACCAGAGGGTTCCGCAGAGAGATCAAGCTTGACACGACGGCTGGTATTATTGGCGGCAAAACGACGCTCTTTTCTCTTCCCCATCAGATTTCAACTCTCTCTATACACTAACCAACCTTTCGTTTTCAGCAGAAGAAGCGAAAAAATAGGAAAAACAGAGAAAGCCCTCTCCGCGTTTCCAAAAAGTGCGAAGAAGATGTTTAAGGAAGAAGAGTCGAGTGCCGGAGGTTAAAAAACTTTACGACGTTTTCTCCTATAGCCGCCTTAGACGTCGTGCCGTTTTTTATCGGGTTAATTTGCGATTTTACCGAATCAAATTGAGTCCGGGACGGCCCGGCCCATTACATATCTTTCATGTTTTCAACTTTTCATCAAGAATCTCTGAAAACTGTTTTATTCAAACTAAATTAATAGTCTCGCGCAAAGATATGATCAATAGGATGTGATCAATAATCCAACTGTTTACTTAAACAGTTAAAACCTTTCGTAATGATAATTTCAACACATTCAGATTTAAGATTCGGAATGTATATGTTAGTAAAAAGAATTTCACGTACATTTAAACTAGAAAAGAAAAAAGGGTATTAGCAAACCGATAGGCAAAAGGTAAATAATAACTTCATAGAAAAATTTCGACTATATCGCTACATTTATCATACAGTCATTCAGTGAAATTGCTGATATTACAAATTGGGAGCCAAATTCCACTCGAAGATAAAGACTCGGGGAAATTCCAAACAAACAGAAAAACCTAGGGGCCAAAATGATAAAGGTGAAAAATATGATCATGAAGCATGAACCATCAAGACTGCTGAGATTCTAACCTCTTGAGAAGCTGGGAAACGACGCCCCAGTTGAAACCCCGGTACTGAAGCCACCGGATAACTCTAGCTTTACGATTTTCTATAGGCAAGTCTCGGCCTTGGTGCCACCGCTTCGACGCCTGAACATAAAGCTGATCCACTGCTTCCTTGGACATCCCATGCTTCGTTTCTGGTTCTTCATCTTCTTCCCCGCATTGTCCTTTCTCAAAAACCAGCTTTATGGCCGCCTCTGAGTCTTTGTTGCTTATGCCTTTCTGATACAATGCCTGATTCACATACACAAAATGTGAAATGGGAATGGCACATCAATTATTGTCAACAAAGGAAAAGCAAAGCAGTAATTGGGGTGGAGTGAAAATCCCCTACTTGTTTGATCCGCCTAGGTCCCCAACTTAAGGAAGACCATCTCGATCGAGAGAATGACTCTGCGTACAAGCTATCATTGATAAAACCTCTGAAAACACAAAAACAAAAAATAGAAAAATGACATTTTAATCAGTAAAGTGGATGCATGTGGATGGATACTAATTGAAAACAAGAAATCGAGAGGAATCTTACCGATTCTGAAAATCATTGATCACTCGGTCAGCGATTTCGTTAGGATATTTCTTTCCAATGAGTTTCTTCTTCAGCTCAACTGCTGTATATGCTCTAGGACCATGCAGAAAATAGCAGAATAAGAAAATTAGATAATCATACACACAGACTCGAGTGAACAAGCAAATAATTTAACCTTTCTTAAACATTTTAAAACTGAAAGCGACACAAAGTCAAAGTTGCAAGCAAACCTTAAACCAAGATAACGAATAGCCATATTCTCTGCCTCTTGCGTAGTTTTGCAAGCTTCTCCGCTACTCTTGGCCTTCTCAGCTTCCATATGTAGTTTGACTTCATCAAAGACTTTTTTGTGTTGTACCTTCGACATATACCCTCTCGATCTAACATCGTCGCGGCTTTCTTCCAACTCTGCAAAAAGATGAGCGAGACACAGTCTCTCGATTATGCTTCGTTTGGAGCCAAAAAAGAGCCAATAAACATGATAATAAAATCCCATTGATTAGTTGGAAAACGATAGAGACAGTGAAATTTTTTAAACCTCATTATTCACAAAAGATTACTTTCACTAGCATTTTTATTTTCCAAGAGTTTAATCCATATAGAGACCTCCCTAAGAGCTAGTTGTTACTCTTAAGACCTGCCATAACGACGCTTGCATAAAGCACATAATACCTTCACTAGATTCGTCATCAGTTGACACACTGCTTGACATTCCAGCATTGTTTTTATCCTGCAAGCGCGAAACTGTGCCTTCTCCAGCCTCTTTGAAGTTACCCTTCATTTTAGACCCGAATACACTATGATCCCATCTACTAGCATTTATACCCTTCTCCAAACTCATCACACCTTCATTAGAGTCATCAAAAGACTCGTTCATGTAACTTCCAGCATCGTTTTCCTCTTGCAGATCCAAAAATGTGCCATCTCTAGCCTTAGCTTCAGATCCCAATATACTAGCATCTATGCCTATCTCAGAAATATCAACAGGCTGATATGTCAATTCTTCACTAGTCTTCCGAGACTTCTTTGGAACATACTTACTCAGTCCCGACGAACTGTAGTCCCGCTTCTCTGAACACAAGATTCTCGCCGGCGCCGAGTGGCTCTTTATCCTACAGATATCAGAAGTGAAAGACTTAGAATTTAAACTACACCCTTGCTTATAGAGAAACGTAAAGGTCCTCACTTGTAACAGTCACCGAGAAAGTAGTGAGATCACAGAACAAGTTCAAAAAGCCATCAGTGCCAAAGTGAAGAAGATAAGCGCTTTCGAGCTCTCGACTAACAAAGCCACGCTTTCAAATTCTCTCAGCAGCCATTAACGTTCAATTAAACGCAACCTTCTATTGTGAGACGAAAACAAGGAACATGAGGAAGACGGATTTAAGCAAAAATTAACTCACCATGGAATAACGAACACGCGATGTTGAATGCCAATCGATAACCTAAACCCTAATTTCAGCATCTCTCAATTGAAAATCTCTCAGAGACCGGCGATATCGAAAAGCCCTACCTACTGTAGTTCTTACAGAATTCAATTTTAGCTGCTATTGTGCGCGCGTGTCGACTAGCTGCTATAGCGCGCGTGAGTCGACTAACTGCTATAGTGCGCGTGTTTTTTTTTCTCATTCCTTTTTTACGTTGAAGCCAAACTGTGGCGGAAAGTGGTAACGGTTAACATATCGATCACCAGAATTTACAATATGGGAAACAAATAAGAATTAACTAACTAAACTTGACTTTGAAAATCATATACAGTACATGGAAATTCTAATTATTCCAAAAAAAAAAAAAAAAACATATGGAAATTCCTAATTATCCAAACCATATTCAAAATAAATAAATAAACTCTTCCACAAATTTGTTTATCAAACTTTCACAGCATACAGAACATGGCAATACATGGGCGAGGAATCATCATCCTCCGCATCGCAACCACCATCGTCGTCTTCACCGCCGGAACCACCGCTAAACCTAGGACTTTGAGATTCGAATCCAGTCTTGGGCTTGAAAACGAACAACCCGCTGGCCGAGCCAGAGGAATCGAACAGCCAATCATGAACGTCCCAAAAGATCTCCAGAGAAACACCATCGCTCACGGTCACGACCTCGTTCCCTCTAAATCTCCAGTTCAAATTCATGATCCTAATCGCCGGCACACCGTCCACCGTAATCCACATCTCCGGATCGTCGGGACCGGAGAGAGAAGTCTCGATCACCACCTCGTTCTCCCGCCGCGACTCCTCACCGCCAAACGCGGTTCGCGTGTAGAAAACGCGTTTCCCGTGGACGTGCTCTTGCTTGGAGACCAAGGCAGCTTCTGTTGCCGAAGGGTTCTTCTTCGTCCTCTGCAAAGCTTCGTTCTTTAGATCCCCGATTGTTAAAACGACGGCGTTTTGGGAGACGAGGGAGACGTAGAAGCCAGAGGAAGGCTCCGGGAAGTTGGAGAATTTGGCTTGACGGAAATCCCAGTATACATCGACCCTTGTGCCTTCAGCTTCTAAGCTCTTGAGACCCTTTTTGGCCCAAAACGAAGAACCTCCGATATCTATCTTCACCTGATGATGATTATGATGATTCTGTTCTCCGTCTTTGACGTTCTCGATTTTAATGGTCAAGGAATGCGAGGAGGTGCTTTTAGACCATGTTACGTCTACGTTTTGCGTAGTGTTTGCGATGTCGACTGCGTAAAGTAACGAAACAGAACTTGATAGGTTAATCATTTTTGCCATGAAGCTCGTGCGTTGTTCTTGTTGTTTCTTGAATCTTTTTATCGGTCTAAATTTGACCTGAGAACCCACAGGCTTGGCCTCAGGTTGATAATTGTCATTTGAAATGTTTGATTCTGGAGATTTTAAGAACTCGGAAGATTTTTCGCTGACCTGAATTTGTTCGGTGAAACGAACTAATGAAACCGAAGGTTTTTGTTTTGTTTTGTTTGTGACTTACTATGAATAGATTGTTTCTTGGTTTCTGGAGGAAAAATCTCTAAGTTTGGAACTTCTTGTGTCAACACACATTTTGTAATAGCGTGTGAGTGACCTTGCCTATCTTTAGGTAACCTAAGCAGAGCTGTTAGGGAATATTCTATTAATCAACCCATCTATTTCAACGAACAATTTAGAGGGTAAAATAACGGACCTCAACAATCAAAAACATTTATTACATTAGTATAGCAATTGAACTAAACATGGTATACATGATATCTATAGATATAATCACATAAGCCTAGCTATTGAACATGTTATACATGGTATCTGTAGAGTACAAACATAATTTATGTAGCAAAAACATGCTCAGAGACTATGCACAAACCGGAAAATTTAAAGCGGAAATGTAGTAGACTAGTAGATAAGCATACTGTATTTCCCAAGCAAAAAACAGTAAGGGCCTTCATGGCCCAAAGTTTGACATAACTTTTTATGGGTTTCCTAAACCCAATAAGTTTGTTTAGCACTTTAGCTGGCTCTTACGAAACGATGTCGTTCTAGAGCGGCGACATAAATTAAACCCTAAGCTTTAAAAATCTTCAAGATTCAGGAACCAGCAGCTCCTCTCCGTCGTTCCGTCCTCCCGCCATCAAATCCCAATCAAAGAGTTTTCGGGTATTTATTTTAATCTTCTGTCAAATTTTATCTTAAAAACTCTCTTTAACAGCTCAATTGATTCAAATTGCATCAGAAGATTTTGATTTCAGCTCTTTGTGCAGCAATTCGAGTTGTGTCGCTGCGTAACTATCGATTTTACCTAGCCTTAGTTATGATATCATAGTGATTCATAGGAAACACATAATTTTTGAATTAAAGAGTCTGATTTCATACTTATGATGTTTATGTCTGTTTTAATTTATAGCTTTGTAGGTAATAACCTTGACAATGGCAGAGTCTACTCAAATGGAAGTTGAGATTGCAACCGTCGCTGTGCCATTACCGGTTAAACCAATCTTTAAGCCATTGAAAGCTCACGAGATGTCCGACGGCAAAGTCCAATTCAGAAAACTACCGGTACCACCAAACCGGTACTCACCACTGAAGAAAGCGTGGTTAGATATCTACACGCCGGTTTACGATCAGATGAAGATCGACATAAGGATGAATCTCAAATCCCGCAAAGTCGAGCTCAAAACCCGAGCCGACACTCCCGACGTCAGCAATCTCCAGAAATCTGCTGATTTCGTTCATGCTTTCATGTTGGGCTTCGACATTCCAGATGCGATCTCTCTTCTGAGGATGGACGAGCTTTATGTTGAGTCGTTTGAGATCAAGGATGTGAAGACTCTGAAGGGAGAGCATTTGTCTCGTGCCATTGGGAGATTGTCTGGGAAAGGAGGGAAGACCAAGTTTGCGATCGAGAACTCGACCAAGACGAGGATCGTGATTGCAGACACTAGGATTCATATCTTGGGAGCTTTCACTAGTATTAAGGTTGCGAGGAGCTCGCTTTGCAGTCTTATTATGGGATCACCGGCCGGGAAAGTTTATTCCAAACTCCGATCTGTCTCTGCTAGATTAGCTGAATAAAGTTCTGATTTTGCGAATTTTTGAATACATTAACTTGATTATTGTTCGAGTTGTACCAATTATTTACTATTTGATACTGCATTTCATTATGATTTGATATAAAACTATTTCGAATTGCATTTCTTGTATAAAATCCTTAGTCTGCTTATTCGGAATCATAAACAAAGTCTTGAAGACATGGTCTAGCAGTTAAACACCTTTTCTATGTTTCGTAAAGAAGAGCTATTAAAATACAAAAGGTTGAAGATTGAAAAAAGAGTTTTTTTAAATCACAATTTGTTGGCCTTTTGGTATTGTGAATCTTCAGCCGCCAAAGAGAAAGCCAGCGGCTTGTTCTTCGTTTCCTTCAAACAATCTGAGAGCTTGAATCACTGCTTCGCGGGAGAAACCTAACTCCACAAGCTTTGCAATCTTGCCTTCAAATTCAGGTCCCTGTGTTGCAACGTGAAGAAATGATTAATGGAGACTCAAAACAAGTGAGACTCATATATCTAAACACAGATGTTTGTTACCTCTGATGTGTTTTGCCTTGCAGGTTGATTCGTTGGGCTTGCAACAGTGTTACTCTTCTTCTCTGTAAACCCAGAAGGAACCTATAGTAACCAAAACAAAAATTGATCATGTAACAGCTTATTTTCCAACTACTGTTCATCAAAACCAACGATGATGGAAGATAAATGCAAAATTTTCTTACAGCAGCTCCAGAGCCAGATGCTTGATTGGGAACACGTTCTTCATCCAGGAATCGGGAAGGAAGGTCTTTCTCTGAAGGAAGAGCAGTTTGGTTTTTGTCAGGTTAATTGAAATAAAGGTAAACAAACATGAAAGGGGCTCAAAATCTCCACGACAGAGAATGGTAGTAGAGAACTAGCCTTGCAAAAAGGGAACCGAGACCTCTCCTCCTCCGACAGTCAAGACGTTCTCCTTCAGATCTATAGTGCACTACACATAGAAACAGCGACATTGAGAAACTTGGAGCAAATGCACTAGATTCAAAATCAAATGGTGGAGATGCTACCTGATGCTTACGCAGCATATCCAGGCCAAACAGGAATTCCATGTTAGGTGAGTCCAGCACCACGAATGTACACGGGTAAAAGTTATTCCCAATCTGCAAGAGTTACGACATTTTCAATTTCTTTTGCAAAAAAAAAACAAAGGGGATAACATCATTATAAGGAATAGATTTGCGGTGCGTTTACCTTGATTGGAGCGACATGAATGCGGCCTAATATCTCTGATTGGCCAACACCGTGAGCAATACCTTTATAGCGCTGGTCCATGAGTCTCAGCAATCTGAAAGTAACAGTTTTAACAAGACTCTATGAGTTATTCCATCACTCTGTATTAAAAGAAGTACCAGAGCAAAACAAACATGAAAAGTTACCCGCATTTCTCAGCACAAGTCTTGGATATAATTGTCGATTGTGCACCACTATCAACAAAGGCCTGGAGATGGTGTCAAATATAGGTTTAGAACATAAAGATGATCTATAAGGAGAGCTCAATAACAGATCTCTAAGTGCACAGGACCGAGATGTATTGATAACAGATAGTAAGCTGAAAAAAAGGTTATATTCCGGTGGCCAAATTTTTTACCTTAAGAGGTACACCATTGACCTCCATATCCACATACAGCATTATCTAAGGAAATGAGAAAAAAAGGCAAAATTTTAAGTCTGTTTACAAGAAAGTTGAGTTAAGGAATTACACAAGCATAAACTAAAAAACATGAGCATTCATACCACTCGAGCAAAACCTTCCGGATTATGTTCAAGGGCAGCTTCCCAGTTCTCATCAATTCCTTTCTGCTCAAAAGTATCAAGATAGCAGCAAGAGTAAGAAATGACTCAATACGCTAACAAGGGAATTAGAAGAACATAAGAACCTAACCTAAATGAATGATTGCATCAAGGAATCACAAAAGAGTTATTTGCAACTAAAGACATACTAAAGTACAGTACATGAAACTTAAGTAAGACCCATTAACCTGTCGAATTGCAGCTTCAATTTTCTTCTGTGCTTCAACATCAAAAGGATCTGCATGCAGAAGAGCCTGCAAGGAGGGGAATACATCAGCAGAATTCTTTGACAGTGGTCGATATAACTTAATGTGTGGAAAAACTGAGAAATTAGCAACTCCTTTTTCCGGAATGAAAATAGGCTTACAAGTTCTTCTTCCTTCTGACGCTGTAACATAGATCGCTGATGATGCCGTGAACGCAAAACATCCTGTAACTTATTCAAATCGCTTCCAGAAATCACTTGTGCAAGCTCAGGATCATTCTACAATTCACAACACCAAAGCCAAGGTGACATAGTCTTAAAACGAGTGCTAAGAAAGATATCATAGTTCCAAGCTAAGTTCTAGTTACCATCAGTACACACCTGAAATAACTGTGTCATAAGATTAGAATCACCCCGAATGTGCTGTTGAAAGGCTGCAGGGTTCGAAGCTGATCCATCAGGATTCATGGTTAAATCACTCCTCGCCGGACTACTGAATGAAGCAACCAAAAACACCAGAGTAACTATGATCAATGGTTCAATTGCAAAATTTTCAAAATAGAGTAGAGCAAGAGGTCAGTCCACCGTACCCAGCTGAGGCATTGGAAACCATCATCAGTAAATCATCATCTTTTACACCCAACGCACTCAATTTATCGGAATTCCTCATCTCGTTTCCATTAAACAACAGCTGCTGCTGCTGAATCGGAACATTCGACTGCTCATCGATGACAAAGACAAATTAGCTTAAGTTCCAGAAAAATCCAGATTTCAGCAGAATTCAACAGGTTTTAAGCTGGTTCGATCTTACTAAGCGACACAAATCTAAATAACAATCGAAAAGAGAGATCTGAGATCCCTTACCTCAACTTCGAGCAAGGCTTTAACATTCTCAACCTAAGAAGAAAAAAGCAAAAACCTCAGGATCAGCAAAAGCAAAACTTCCCGGAAACGTCGACTAACCAGGGAAAAATCTAGCTAAACCCAAGAACCTTCATCGATCAATTCGAGAAGTACATTGTGAATTAAGAACCGAAGAATCAGGGAAAGTTAGGGTTTTTGGTTTAAGAAAACTTACAGTTTCCTGAGAATCGACATCAAGTGAAATGATTTGTTCACCGGTGGTCATCACAGTGATCCTCATCTTGTAATCGTCTGTTTGGCTTCTCCGTCTCTCCAAATTGGTATCTCTGTGGCTTCCGAAGTTGGCTTTCTTTCTGGTTTTAAGTTTTTTACTCTAGTCCTCTGGCTTTTCACCCTAAACCTGCTCTTTCAGGAAGAGGCTCTATCGAGGTTGGTCGTTAAATACCGAAATAGTGCCCATGGCTTTTCAGGAAACCCGTAATTACCCCTGAATTTGTTTGTTGCTTTTATTTGACATCTTTCTATTTTTTTTTGTTAAAAAGGATTTTCGTAAAGTATTTTTAACAAATATTACGCCACTTTTCACCCAAGAAAAATAAAATATAATATGACATACCCTCGCAAAAAAAATTATAGCAAACAATGCCAAAAGGAAAAAAGGGTTAATCATTTCATTTATATACCAACAATATACTAGTAGAGTACCCGTACGTTTGTGCGGTGTGACATTGTGGTTTTATGTAGAAAATTTAAACCCTAAATCCGAACCCGACCAAAAAATCCTAATAAAAAATTTTAAAAACCCAAATGTTTTTAATATGTATAAACCCGAAACTCCGAAATCAAAAAAATCCCGAAAACCCTGAACTGAACAAAAAAATCTAGAAACTTTTCACCGGAAGCCGACCCAAATACCTTAATCAAAATTTTAAAATACTCAAACTTTTTAAATATATCTAAACCTGAAAATTTGAAATCCAAAAAAATCCGGAAAATCTTAAACTGAAAAAAAAAAACTCTGAACTCAACCCAAACAGATTTTCATCTATTAAATTAGGTCTCAGATTTTCATCCAAATCCGAATTTATCTATAAAAACCCGAAAATCCAAAAAGCATATTATCTTGATTTGGTATTATCGTTAGATTATGTTAAGTTTTTTTTTATAGATTTGTAAGAGCTGAAAAACGGAAGTTTTCTAAACCATCAGTTTGTTTTAAGTTATTATTCTTGTATCCAAACAATTTTTTCATTTATTCTTTTATCCAAATAGCTTTTTCTCTTATTTTTGTATCCAAAGATTACAATGTACTAAATTGACCCTAATTAAATATGTTGCCAAAACACTTTCTCTTCATAATTAGATTGGTTTTTTGGTCATAATTTTTTCATGTACTTCTCAATTAATAATATAATAAAGATTCTAGTGTAGTAGTGTTCCATCTATATATTATTTGTGAAATTTACATTTTTGGACAAAAAAAAAGTTTAAATTTTGTATTCACGTTGATTTTCACCTACAAATTTATGCATCGTCGTGTAAAAGTTTACATGTTGTAACATCGTACAGTAGCAAAGAAATTTAAGTATTACCAACATCTTTAGTTCTTTACTTGGAAAGATAAGGTGTACCAGTTTATATTTCATTAGATTAAGGCCCGCGTATACGCGGGTATATTTTAAGATTTTATAATAAAAGTATGGAAAATATTAAACAAAATTTGATCATTTTTAAACGTAAACAAAATAATATTGAAAACCCGATAAAAATATTTAAATAAAATAAGATTGGTAATACTTTTACATTTTTATTGTAATTGATTTTTCTTTTGAATTTATGATATGACAAAATGAATTAATTTTTTTACTATTATTTTTATCCAATACAGAAAGACTTACACATGTCTAAATCTGATCAACTGATTAATTAATCAAACTTTTATTATTCCATTCAAGAGATTTTAATTGATGAAATCTTTATTTCAATTTTTTTTACCTAACAAAAATTGAAAATCAAACTATTTAAAATTAGAATATCAATTATAATTTTTTAATATTAGTTAATTGCTTGATAATTATTTTGTTAGTTTTCTATTTATATTTTTTCTTTCTCAATTTTGTTTTTGCCTCGACCATTATAAATACTATATATTGGTATTTTTCCTTTTCGAAATGGATTTTTTTCCTTTTCTTAATAGATGTAACAAAAGAATTTAAATTATTTGTTTCCTGTTTTTTTTACTTTTAATGGATGTATTATTTTTTCATTTTAATTATTTGTTATCTGTTTTTCTAATTTTTAGTTAGTCTTATACATATTAATTTTTTATTTTTATTCCATGACACATGTTACGATCTTCATACTTCCAGAATTTTTTTTTTCTAAAACACATGTCGCAATTTTGTCAGTTATAAAAATCCTATGTATCGCAAAACTTTCAAAAACATGATTTTTAAATTGGAGAAATAAATCAAAGGGATTTGATGAATTTATGAATTTATGAGAAACCTTGACTCTCTTTTATAGGGTTCAAGTAACCTATTACATGCAGTTATAGGAAATTTAGTTTACATAACATATTCCATGTACAAATAGGATTTTATTTATTACATTATTTTGATTTTATTATTTGTTTGGATAATATTAATTTGATGAATGAGAAACCTTTCTCTATTAGGATATGACAAATATATTTTTATTTCTTTTAACTGTAATGATTCTTTTTTTAAAAAAAATTCCTTTATCTAAATTTTTTATTATTATTATTTTTTTCTTTAAGACATGTGTCACGATCTTAACGGACGTAACATTAAAAGTGACACATGTCGCGATCTTATAAATTATAAAAATCATATGTGTCGCAACCACGTTTTCTATTTATATTTTTTCTTTCTGAATTTTGTTTTTGCCTCGACCATTATAAATATTAATATTGGTATTTTTACTTTTCGAAATGGAATTTTTTTCCTTTTCTTAATAGATGTAACAAAAGAATTTAAATTATTTATTTCCTGTTTTTTATTATTTTTAATGGATGTATTATTTTTTTCATTTTACTTTTTTGTTCTTTGTTTTTCTAATTTTTACTTTGTCTTATACATATTAACTTTTTATTATTTTTATTCCATGACACATGTTACGATCTTCATACTTCCAGAATTTTTTTTTTCTAAAACACATGTCGCAATTTTGTCAGTTATAAAAATTCTATGTATCGCAAAACTTTCAAAAACATGATTTTTAAATTGAGAAATAAATCAAAGGGATTTGATGAATTTATGATTGAGAAACCTTGACTCTCTTTTATAGGGGTTCAAGTAACCTATTACATGCAATTATAGGAAATTTAGTTTAACATATTCCATGTACAAATAGGATTTTATTTATTACATTATTTTGATTTTATTATTTGTTTGGATAATATTAATTTGATGAATGAGAAACCTTTCTCTATTAGAATATGACAAATATATTTTTATTTCATTTAACTGTAATGATTAATTTTTTAAAAAAATTTCCTTTATCTAAATTTTTTATTATTATTATTATTTTCTTTAAGACATGTGTCACGATCTTAACAGACGTAACATTAAAAATGACACATGTCGCGATCTTATAAATTATAAAAATCATGTGTCGCAACCACGTCGTGCGCATTCAACTTTATATAATAAAAAAATTTGATGAATGAGAAACCTTTTTTCTGTTTGGATATGGTAAATTTTTTTTTTCTTTTTTGATATAATAAGATTAAATTAAATTTCGTTTTTTTAATTAACATTTTTTTTTTTTTTTAAGTTCTCCATTTTTCCTAAGACACGTGTCACTATCTTAACGGATATAAACTTAAAAGTGACACATGTCGCGATCCTAAATTTTATAAAAATCCTACGTGTCGCAACGAGCTTTATATAATAAGATATCGTAATAAATCACATGATTATGGTATTATTCTCTCGTCCGTTCTTAAATTGATATGTTGTAACTTGTAAACAAAAATGTAAGTAAATTATCTAAAAATGTATCAAGCCATTTGGTGAAGCTGCAGGACCAAGTTAATTCAAGAAACAAGAAAACAAGATGACGCAAGTTATAATACATATGTGAAGGAAAGCGACATCAAAGCTCAACAGGTAGAGATTTAAAAGCGCATCTACCCTCAATACTCAAAACCTGATGACACCTCTCAACTTGACCCCAAATCTCTCCTCCTTGTCTTCTTTCCAGCGAAATCTCAGCAAACCAAATCCCATTTCCTCTTACTGCTTCTTTAAGAAAAAACAAGGCCAGTTTCCCACTGTAACTCACAGTCTCTGACCCCTTTGAACCTATCGTCTGAGCCAACAAGTCATCCAAACCATTCACCACTCCCCAACACCTCTTCTTTGGATCATACGTTCTTAAACAATTCTCATCTTCATCGTAATAATACAATACGTCATCAACCACACACGCACCCTTAACCCTCCACTTCTTAGAATCCAGCATCTGGTCTCTTCCCCATGTCCTCTCCTTTGGGTCGTAAAAAACGCTACTCCTATAATCCATTATATAAATCTTACCAGCCATCATAAGACTAGACCAAATCATTGGACCTACCTCGATGTCTGGCTCTATAATCTCTGCCTCCCACATTTGTGTCTCTGTATTGAACACCACCATCGAAACCTCATCTCCGTCATAATCGCAATTTCCACTAACATATATTTTCCCGTCAATGATGCTAGCAGCTCCGGTTAGCATGTAAGGCATGCTCGGGAGGGTTTTCACCGTGTGAGACTGAGACTGAGACGTACACTCGATGCTTACCGCAGTTCTCGAGTATGCAATATCCTCACCAAACACATATATCTTCGAGCCCGCTGCGACAAAGCTTCCTTTAGTGGGAAGCGTAGGGATAGGGACCAAGCGACGGTTGTGGAGAACGTAGAAACATTTTTTCGAGGTGCGGTAGTCATCGAGGAGAACATAGAGACGGTGTTCAGTGCGGCCCAACAAGGATCTTCTCGCGTGTAGCTCAGGCGAGGAAACAGTTGACCGGAAGCGCTTAGACACAAGGGAGAGTGTTGGATCGTCGCATCTCTCTACACGCGCTATGATGTCAACGATGATGTCTTGGGGAAGTGACATAATCGGAAACGGAATCACCGACGATTCCGAGTTAGCTGCCATAGTTATGGAAAACATCACTAATCGGAAAAATCTCCACATGTGAGAACGGATAAGTGTTTAAGATAAATCCCAATCTACAAACCTACCAAAGATTCGAAGAAAGGGGAAATTCAGTAGGAGCTGATTAGTGAGAAAGAGTAATCACCTCGAAGATTCTGGATTTCGGTGTGAGGAGGATGAAGTTGTTCGAGAGAAAGAGACGAGAGAGTAATTATGTGTTGTTGCAAGGCTGCAGAGTTCGAAGCTGATCCATCAGGATTCATGGTTAAATCACTCCTCGCCGGACTACTGAATCAAGCAACCAGAAAACATCGAGGGTAACTATGATGAATGGTTCAATTGCAAGAGGTTAATCAACCGTACCCAGCTGAGGCATTGGAAACCATCATCAACAAATCATCATCCTTTACACCCAATGAACTCAATTTATCGGAATTCCTCATCTCGTTTCCATTATACAACAGCTGCTGCTGCTGAATCGGAACATTCGACTGCTCATTGATGTCAAAAACAAATTAGCTCAAGTTCCAAAAAAAAATCCAGAATTCAACAGATTTTAAGCTGCTCCGATCTTTTTTAACGCAGTTTACCTCAACTTCGAGCAAAGCTTTAACATTCTCAACCTAAGAAAAAGCAAAAACCTCAGGGATCAGCAAAAGCAAAACTTTCCGGAAACGTCGACTAAACCCAAGAACCCTCATCGATCAATTCGAGAAGTACATTGTGAATTAAGAACAGAAGATTCAGGGAAAGTTAGGGTTTTTGGTTTAGGAGAACTTACAATTTCCTGAGAATCGACATCAAGTGTAATGATTTGTTCACCGGTGGTCATCACAGTGATCCTCATTTTGTAATCGTCTGTTTGGCTTCGCCGTCTCCTAACCGGTATCTCCGTGGCTTCCGAAGTTGGCTTTCCTTCTGGTTTTAATTTTTTTAACTCTTAGTCCTCTAGGCTCCTTAAACCTGCTCTTTCAGGAAGAGGCTCTATCGAGGTTTGTCGTTAAATTCCGAAATAGTGCCCAATTTGCTCATGCTGACTTTTCGTAAAACCCGACACTACCCCTGTATCGTTTTAAGTTGTTTGTTGCTTTTAACTTCCGGAGTATTATTTTTTGATAAAAGCATCTTCAATATTTGCAAACTTTTTAACACCTTTAACAAACATCGCCAAAAGGAAAACAGGGTTAATCATTTATGTATTATTTTGGAAATTTAAAGGGTTAATCATTTATGTATTATTTAGGAAATTTACTTTTTTAGAGTAAAAAATTTTACATTTTGTATTCACGTTGATTTTCACCTACAAATTTATGCATGGTTCGTGTAAATGTTTGCATGTTGTATTTTAAAAAAAAATGTTTGCATGTTGTAACAACGTACTAAAGAAATTTAAGTATACCAACATCTTCACTTGGAGAGATAAGGTGGCAAGTTTGTATTTCATATCGTAATAAATCACATGATTATGGTATTATTCTCTCGTCCGTTCCTAAATTGATATGTTGTAAACAAAAATATAAGCTAACTGTGTACACTTTTAAAATGCCACTTCAGAAATGAATTTCATGCTGTCATTATATTGATTTCCAGAGTAATTGTTGTCTTTTGTGAAATTTCGACAATCTTTACACTATAGAAGATCTTTAATACAAACCTTAAATATATATTATTATAATAATTTTTATATCATTAGGATGAGATTTACCCGGTACGAGAATATTACTTTTATTGTCATCGAGAATCTTACTTTATTGTTTTTGATAAAGAAATTTTACTTTATGTAGATAGGAATAAGAACTGTTTTATTTTATTCTCTCTTATTATATGGATTTTCTAATAGAATTAGGTGATCTTTTGGCGTTATCATATGGTTTAACTTTTTGCTCAAAAGCAGCTAACTGCATTAACGTAAAATAATTACGACGAATACGAATCATAGACGTTACGTATTTTAATCGAATTGTATCTAAAATAAATACAGTGCTAAAAAGAAAAAGAAAAAAAAACAATCAATCATTAGGTCAAAACTAATTCTAATCAAACGAAAACATCAGAACGCGAGGAGTCAAATGTGAGATATTGGGGAAAAAAAGTAAAACAACAACGAAAATCAAAACCTACGAATCGATATATCCAATTTCGAAACCAAAGGCAAACACCGCCGATTCGAAAGAATTGCGATCACAGCTAGTTGTTACCGGCGGGAGCTGGGAAACCGTAACCGCGACGCCCAACGTCTTCGCTGCAGCCGAATCTCGGATCGCATTGGAGATTAACGGAATCGTGGATCTTGTGGAATCCATCCTTGAAAACTCCGAAACCGAAGAGAAACCCAATCGCGATCACCACCAGTAGCAAGCACGTGCACAGCATGCAAATCCGTCCACAACACATCTTTTTGTTCTTCCTCCGAATTCCTTTCCTATTTGTCCAAAACTTGTCGCCGGAGATTCCGAGATTCGTCTTCGATTTAGGTTAAAAAAACTCTAATATAGATCAGAGAGAGATTGTTTGTTGGTTTCGTTGGCGAGAAACGTGGGGAGAGAGAGAGAGAGGGAGGCGTCGTAGAGTAGAGAGGATAATTTTAGTGGGTGGAGAAAAAGAGATATAAAGGAGGTTGTGCGTGGCGTGGGGACGTTACGCCTATTTCTTGCTTTTAAAGCTAATCCAAATCCAAAACCAATTCGGACAAGTACAACGGTCTTCTTTTTTTATTTTCTTTCTCGATTTAGGTTTTTCTCTTGATAAGTTATAAGGCCTGAAACTTTAAGTAGGCCCTTTACGTTATAAGGCCCAAACCAATATCGCACAAAGTAAAATATAATGAATTTATACAGAAGCGTCCTCATAAGTTTATTAGATCCGCGATTCTCACCCCACAACTTTTAGTTCTTAGCATACTGCCCCAATTTCATTTTTGATTGAGAAAAAAAGCAAGTCTCCAAAAGTCCTTTTACCTGTTCTCACTTTCAAGTCGTCATCGTCTCTTTCGTCTTTATTGTTGCTTTTCGCGCTCTCTATGTGACTTTCCATTTCTTCTTCAGATCTGCCGAGTCTTCTTTTTGCGGAATCCTTCCAAGGAGCTTTGCATTCAGTTACACCACTTTATTGATCGATTTCGCAAACCCTAGCTCCGGCGATCTTGAATCTGCAATATCCATGGCGTCATCACCTAGTGATACTAACCCTCACAATCTTCCTCCGTTCGATCTCGGTAATCACTTCAATCCCTCATCGAACCCTTATCCTACGCCGCCGGGTTCTTATCCTCCGCAACCAGGTCCTTTTCTTCCCAGCCAGTACAATCAGCAGCTCTTCGCTCCGCCTGGCATCGCCGCCCAACCATCGCCGGCGAATCAGGCGCAGCATCAGAATCAAGACATGCCTCCCACGTCCTCCGCGAATAACTTGCACCAACAGAGATCACTATCTTACCCCACACCACCTCTAAATCTGCAATCCCCCCGTGGCAATCACAATCCCGGAACACAGATCCTGGCTCTACTCAACAATAACAACGGTGGAGGCGTCAGGGAAGGCGCCGTGCCCAACCAAGAGCCGTCGATTCAGCTCCCAGTAGCGAATCCGCACGAGATCACTCGCTCGTTTCCTGGCGGTTCGGGTCCTATTCGTGTTCCTAGCTGTAAGCTGCCCAAGGGAAGGCGATTGGTTGGTGAACATGCGGTGTACGATGTGGACATGAGATTACACGGAGAGATTCAGCCGCAGCTGGAGGTGACTCCGATTACCAAATACGGGTCGGATCCTCAGCTCGTAGTGGGTCGGCAAATCGCCGTGAATAAGGTTTACATATGCTACGGACTGAAAGGAGGAAACATTCGAGTTCTCAACATAAACACCGCATTGAGGGCTTTGTTCAGAGGCCATTCTCAGGTTGTTTTTCACTTTGTTCACTTACTTATACTCTGCAATTTGTGAATTACTTATTGAACTCAAGTACCCATCTGGTTTGAGGTTTGATCGGCGGTTTTCTTTATCAGCATGATAAGTTCCTTTCCCCCCCACTTGTTCTTAGTTCTAATTACGTGTTTGTGTGTACAGAGAGTGACGGATATGGCTTTCTTTGCCGAGGATGTTCATTTGTTGGCTAGGTATTGTTCTGAAACTATAGATTCTTGTACCTTGTGGTTAAATTTCTCCTTTTTTTCTTACCGTCTACTTCTCTATATCTTCTAAACAGCGTTAGTCTAGATGGAAAAGTTTTCGTGTGGAAAATTTCTGAAGGGGCTGAGGGAGATGATCAGCCTCAGATCACTGGAAACATAGTTCTTGCTCTTCAGATACTAGGAGAGGAAGATACCAAACATCCACGCGTTTGTTGGCACTGCCATAAGCAGGTAACTGAACATATTTATTTTGTTATGGGAGTTGAACAAGCTTTCTTGTTTTGTGTAATCTGCTGTCTATACTTCTTATTGCGTAAAATCCATTTTTTCAGGAAATTTTGGTTGTTTCCATTGGTAAACATGTGCTGCGAATTGATACAACCAAAGTTGGCAGAGGTGATAAATTCTCTGCTGAGGCACCTCTGCAGTGTTCCCTTGATAGACTGATTGATGGTGTCCAGATTGTGGGTAATCATGATGGAGAAGTTACGGATTTGTCAATGTGCCAATGGATGACCACGCGCCTGGTTTCTTCTTCAGTTGATGGCACGGTTTGTGTTTGTTCTTATCATTTATTCACTCGAGTTCTCATTTCCTTATCAACAGCTTTCTGAAATTGGTTCTATCTAGGTGGAATGTTAAAGTTTGATTCTTTAAAAAGCGTTTAGCCTAATTTGGATTGGTTCTGCGTTAAAATTGAATAGGTTTACTAAGTTTCATCTTTTATACATGCACTGTGTACGGTCTCTTCTCACTTTACGTGAGTCTCACTTTTTTTTTTCCTTCTAATACCAAAACAGGTTAAAATATGGCAAGATCATAAGGTACAACCAGTTGCAGTTTTGAGACCTCATGATGGCCATCCGGTCAATTCAGCCACATTTGTGACATCCCCTGAGAGACCCGATCACATCATACTTATAACGGGGGTAGTTTTCTTAAATCAATATGACCAACTTTCCTCTGCTCTATTGTGTTGAGTTTACATTTTTTGTCGCTTTGCTTTCTGCTAAGCTGCTAACTCTGACGGTGTGGGCTCTGTTCTTGTCGTAGGGTCCTCTAAATCGAGAAATGAAAATCTGGGTCTCAGCGGGGGGAAAAGGTTGGCTCCTACCAGCTGATGCTGAGTCATGGAAGTGTACCCAGACACTTGACTTGAAAAGTTCAACTGAGCCACGAGCTGAGGAGGCATTTTTCAACCAAGTCATAGCATTGTCTGAAGCAGGCCTGCTTTTACTTGCAAATGCGAAAAGAAGCGCCATATATGCGGTGCATTTGGAGTATGGCTCTTCTCCAGTTGATACACGGATGGATTACTTGTCCGAGTTTACAGTCACTATGCCTATATTGAGTTTTATAGGGACAAATGATCCTCCAGAGGTTCCCATTGTTAAGGTTTACTGTGTTCAGACTCAAGCAATCCAGCAGTATACATTGGAATTATGCTTGTGCTTGCCACCTCCTCTAGAGAATATGGGTTTGGAAAAGTCAGATTCTAGTGTTTCGAGAGAGGCAAATCTTGTTGAAGGCTTGTCAGGAGCATCTGGACTAAAGCCTACAGAATTACCTTCGGTTGATTCAGTGCCTAAACCATCTATTCTAGTGAAAAGATCGCAAAGTGGCAATACGTCAAGTTTTCAAGCGGATTCTGCATCAGGAGAGACCACAGCACCATCAATTGTTCCATCCAACAGCGAGCCTAATATTTCTGGGTTGCCATATGAGACCATTGATGCAGGTTCTGCGTATGCTCCTTCACCGCAGCTTCCTCTAAGTCCCAGACTCTCAAGTACACTTTCTGGTTATCACACTCCTGCAGAAGATATCGAGCAAGTACTGCCTCGTCGTGAGCTCGGTGGCAAAGCTCCTTCTGCTGATTATTCTGTTGGTAGGCAAACTGATGCTATTGGAGAAAGCAATTTGGATGCGTCTTCCATAGAGGAAAGCTCAAAAAGAAAGGAAAAAAATGTTACACCTGTTGATGACGTGTCTGGGATTCAAAGCCCATCCGGTTTTTTCAAATCCCCCACACATCTTGTAACTCCAGATTTTTTTAAGGGCGTTTCGTCCACTGAAGCCTCCATTACTACTGAAGAGAAGAGGGATGGAGATGCAAATATCCAAGATGTTAGTAATGGTGCAAGAAGCACAGAAGTTGAGGGGAAAGAAGTAGGTGCAGGAAGGTCGATCCAGAATGGTGAAATCAACTATCATTTAGAAACTGAAAGTCGCACTTCAAAAAGTAGAGAAAAAATCTTCTGCTCGCAGGCTTCTAATCTCAGCATTGAGATGGCAAGAGACCATCATCCTGTGACTGAGGAAACTTTTATTCCCGAGGACTCTGTGCCAAATGGACAATATTTACAAGCTGGAGATGAAAAGAGTCTTGATTCAAGAGGGGTGTCTGGAATGCTTCCTGAGTCGGTTTCATCTAGTGGGCTTCCACAGTTGGCAGTTACAAATAGCAAAGGGAAGAAGCAAAAGACCAAAAGTTCGCAAGGTCTTGGTTTGTCATCTACATCCTCAAATGTTGCCAATCTTGCTGACTCCTTCAATGAGCAAAGCCAGAGCTTAAATCATCCCACCACAGATTCACTTCCTCAACTCTCAGCTATGCAAGAAACGATGAATCAGGTGATGTATTGATCTTGGAACTAATAAGTACCTTATGTCTTAGTAGAACCTGTTTGCTACTCCTGGATCATTTCACCACTATTAAACTTATTATTACGTTGTTTGCATATAGCAGCTCTCTCGCTACATTCCTTTTATAATGAAAAGTAATGTATACATAACTGGCATTTATAGATAATATAGGCTGTTACTATTCTTTTTAAGACGTGACTTGGTGCACTTTCATTGATATGTTGACTTGGAACAATTTTTCCCTAGCAGATAATGGCATCGCAGAAGGAGATGCAGAGACAACTATCAAATGCTGTCAACGGCCCTATAATTAAAGAAGGTAAAAGACTAGAAGTTGCTTTAGGGCGAATGATTGAGAGATCCAGCAAGTCAAATGCTGATGCTCTATGGGCGCGCTTCCAAGAGGAGACTGTTAAGAATGAAAAGGCATTGCATGACCATGGCCAGCAAATTATGAATGCTATGACGAACTTCATGAGCAAGGAGTTAAATGCCATCTTTGAGAAAACGATAAAGAAAGAATTTGCTGCACTTGGTCCGAACCTAGCTCGTACAGTTACTCCAGCGATTGAAAAGACTGTATCTTCTGCAATCACAGAGTCCTTCCAGGTTAGTTAGTAATTTACAAGAAATTTTAGAGCAGTTTCATTGAAAGTTAAAATGTTGGAAAAATGAAGACTGCTTTCTCTTATATACAGAGAGGACTTGGTGACAAAGCAGTCAATCAGCTTGACAAATCTGTTAATTCAAAGCTCGAGGCAACCATAGCTAGGCAAATTCAAGCCCAATTTCAGACCTCTGGCAGGCAAGCCCTCCAGGTATATTCGAGTTTCAACTGATTTTATGATACTTAATAGGATTACAGCAAGTTTCAAATGCATCAGAGTTTGGCGAAAAGGTAGTTGATTAACTTATATTTCTGCCGTTTATAAACTTTAGGAAGCTGTTAGGTCGGGTCTGGAGTCCTCGATCATACCATCCTTTGAGAGGTCATGCAAGACCATGTTTGAACAAGTAGATTCGGCATTCCAGAAAGGGATCGCTGAGCATACCAACGCAGCTCAGCAACGGTTTGATTCTGGACACACCCAGCTCGCTCATACTCTAAGGGTATGATGGAAAATCCTTTTTTTTTCCAGCACTGTTATGGCTGCAAAATCCAGTCAGTTATTTCCTTTTTCTGAAGTCGCTACTCATTTTACAGGAATCAATTACTTCTGCGTCATCAGTTGCTCAAGCCTTAGCCGAGGGCCAAAGGAATCTGTTAGCTCTTGCAGCTACTGGAGCAAATCCTGGTGGGTCAAATCCATTAATTACTCAACGAAGTAGCGGAGCTTTGGGTGCTCTTCTTGAAAAGGTTTGCACATATGATAACCATGAATCTAATAAGCCTCGTGTTAGTCTAATGCGGGAGCACTGTAATTACCATAAATAGCTTGTAGCTGCTCAGCTATCATAGTTGAGTCGGTTAGCCTGAGAGCTAACAGCATAAAAGGAAGGTTAGGCACATAAGGGTTGAGCGTTCTGCATTGGTATAGGATCTTGGCTTGGGGCTTAGGATAGTTTAAGGTTCTTCAGTTTGTTCGCAATTCGTCTTTTGTAATCGAGTAAGAGGTTATTAAGAGAGGAATATCAGAATCCTAGTTTGATGTCGTTTTCGCAACATGTATCCTTTCAGGTTGAAGCACCAATGGACCCAACGACAGAACTATCAAGGTTGATATCCGAACGCAAGTACGAAGAATCATTTACTTCGGCTCTACAAAGAAGCGATGTCTCTATAGTGTCATGGCTTTGTTCACAGGTGAAATTTTGTTTGGAATATTGCGCGTATCTTAAGATCTGATATCCATGTGTTAGCCTTATGACATATGGTTGTGCCAATTCAGGTGGATCTTCGTGGACTGCTGAGGATGAATCCGCTGCCACTGAGCCAAGGTGTGCTTTTGTCACTTCTGCAACAGCTAGCTTGTGACATGAGCAAGGACACATCCCGTAAGCTTGCTTGGATGACCGATGTGGTTACAGCTATAAACCCATCAGACCAAATGATTGCGGTCCACGCTCGTCCAATTTTTGAACAAGTCTATCAGATTCTGCACCACCACCGTAACGCACCGGGTAACGCATCTGGCAGCGACGTCTCTGCCATCACAATTATAATGCACGTCATCAACTCCATGCTTATGGGCTGCAAATGACGACTTCCCCTCGCTCTCTCATTGTGGCAAAACATAGGAATACAACAATCTCTCTTACTTTTTAGATTTTTTTCTTCCTCATTTTTGTTTTTTCTTTAAATGTAACATAATCTTGCAGTCTTGCTTGTTTTTTTCTACGTTCAAACCTGAAGATGAAGAACCCTGATGAAACATGAAGATCAGTCAAAACATAAGTAAATATTTTCCATTGCTATGTTCCTCTTTACAGTTTCTGGAATCATAAAAGAACATATGTTATATAGATGAGTTTGAATAGTCATTTGAAATTGAGGATTTACATAGCAAGATCCAGATATGCACTTTTTTGTTCAGTTGGATTTGCTTTTGAGATATGGAGCTGACCCTCCTTTCTAAGCTGGTCAAAAATCAGAATCCATATGTTCTTGTTTCTCCATCGTTGGAGAATTGCAGATTTCAAGAAAGAACAAAAATGACGGTGAAGATAATAGTATGCCTTGCTTCTTTCAAGGATTTTTTTACTCTCTTAAGATAATTTTGAGCAGCTTAAAAAAGTGAGCAAGTATCTCTAAACGAATGATTCGGACTTACGTGGGTTGATAACACAAGGGCCCAAACAAATATAGTACGGCGTAAAATATGAATTTATACAGAACCATCCTCACATTTTTATGTTTATCAAATCAATCAAGTAGTCACCAAAAGTTCTCTTCTTCTTCTCACTTTCAAGTCATCATCGTCTCTTTTGTCGCTCTTCGCTTCTCTCTCTCTCTCTGCGACTATCAGATCCGCCGAGTCTTCTTTTGTGGAGTCTTTTTGAGGAGCTCTGCGTTCATTTCCACACCTCTTTATAGGTCGATTTCGCAAACCCTAGTTTCGGCGATCTTAATCTGCAAAATCCATGGCGTCCTCACCTGGTAATACTAACCCTCACAATCCTCCTCCGTTCGATCTCAGTAATCTCTTCAAACCCTCATCGAACCCTTTTCCCACTCCTCCGGCATCTTATCCTCCGCCAACAGGTCCTTTTCTTCACAACCAGTACAATCAGCAGCTCTTCGCTCCTCCTGGAATCGCCGCCCAACCATCTCCGGTGAATCAGACGCAGCATCAGCAACAGGAGATGCCTCCCACTTCCTCCGCTACTAACTTGCTCCAACAGAGATCACTATCTTTTCCCACGCCACCTCTAAATCTTCAATCCCCCCGTGGCAATAACAATCCCGGAACACACATCCTGGCTCTACTCAACAATAACAACGGCGGAGGCGTCAGGGAAGGCGCCGTGCCCAACCAAGAGCCGCCGATTCAGCTCCCAGTAGTCAATCCACACGAGATCGCTCGCTCGTTTCCTAGCGGTTCGGGTCCTATTCGTGTTCCTAGCTGTAAGCTGCCCAAAGGAAGGCGATTAAGTGGTGAACATGCGGTGTACGATGTGGACATGAGATTACACGGAGAGATTCAGCCGCAGCTAGAGGTGACTCCAATTACTAAATACGGGTCGGATCCTCAGCTCGTAGTGGGTCGGCAAATCGCCGTGAATAAGGTCTACATATGCTACGGATTGAAAGGAGGAAACATTCGAGTTCTCAACATAAACACGGCTTTGAGGGCTTTGTTCAGAGGCCACTCTCAGGTTGTTTTTCACCTTGTTCACTTACTTATACTCTGCAATTTGTGAATTACTTATCGAACTCAAGTACCCATCTGGTTTGATCTTTGGTTTTCTCTATCAGCATGATAAATTCCGTTTCCCCCACTAGTTCTAAGTTCTAACTACTGTACGTGTTTGTGTGTACAGAGAGTGACGGATATGGCTTTCTTTGCCGAGGATGTTCATCTGTTGGCTAGGTAATGTTCTGAAACTATATATACTTGTACCTTGTGGTTAGCTTTTTTTTCTTTTTCTTATCGTCTACTTCTCTATTTCTTCTACACAGCGTTAGTCTAGATGGAAAAGTTTTCGTGTGGAGAATTTCTGAAGGGGCTGAGGGAGATGATCAGCCTCAGATCACTGGAAACATAGTTCTTGCTCTTCAGATTCTAGGAGAGGAAGATACCAAACATCCACGCGTTTGTTGGCACTGCCACAAGCAGGTAACTGAACATAATTATTTTGCTATGGGAAGTTGCATATTTTTCTTCTTAGAACAATCTTTCTTTTTAAATGTAATCTGGTGTGTCTATACTTCTGATTACGTAAAATCCATTTTTTCAGGAAATATTGGTTGTTTCAATTGGTAAACATGTGCTGCGAATTGACACTACCAAATTTGGCAGAGGTGTATTCTCTGCCGAGGCACCTGTGCAGTGTTCTCTTGATAAACTAATTGATGGTGTCCAGATTGTGGGTAAACATGATGGGGAAGTTACGGATTTGTCAATGTTCCAATGGATGACCACGCGCCTGGTTTCTTCTTCAGTTGATGGCACGGTTTGTGTTTGTTCTTTTCATTCTGCTTCACTTGGATCTTTCTATTTTCATTATCTAAATGTTCAAAAACCTTTCTAAAAATGACACAATTTAAAGAACTTAAGTTGAAACTGATTACATCGCTTGCTTAATTTTAAGTCGTTAGCCTTATTAGCAATTTTCTCCTAGTGCATTTAACATTCAATTACTATTCTAGCTTACTTTAAATTTGAAAGATTTGCTTAATTTTATCTCAGATTTTCCCTGTCTTGTTTCATCTCAACCTGGACACATTTTGTAACAACTAGTTTTTTTGTGCCCGAGTCTTACTCCTTTCCTCATGATACCAAATCAGGTTAAAATATGGCAAGATCGTAAGGAACAACCACTTGCATCTTTCAGACCTCATGATGGACACCCGGTCAATTCAGCCACATTTGTGACATCCCCTGAGAGACCTGATCACACCATACTTATAACGGGGGTAGTTTTCTTGAATCAATATAACTAACTTTTCTCAGCTCTATCTAATGATAGATGGCTCTATTGTGTTGAGTTGACCTTCATAATTGAAGCTTTCCTTTCTGTTAAGCTGCTAACTCTGACGGTGTCGGCACTGTTCTTGTCGTAGGGTCCTCTAAATCGAGAAATGAAGATCTGGGTCTCAGCTGGGGACGAAGGGTGGCTCCTGCCAGCTGATGCTGAGTCATGGAAGTGTACGCAGACACTTGACTTGAAAAGTTCAGCTGAGCCACGAGCTGAGGAGGCATTTTTCAACCAAGTCATAGCATTGTCTGATGCAGGCCTGCTTTTACTTGCAAATGCGAAAAGGAACGCCATATATGCGGTGCATTTAGAGTATGGCTCTTCTCCAGTTGATACACGGATGGATTACTTGTCCGAGTTTACAGTCACTATGCCTATATTGAGTTTTATAGGGACAAATGATCCTCCAGAGGAACCAATTGTTAAGGTTTATTGTGTTCAGACTCAGGCAATCCAGCAGTATACATTGGACTTATGCTTGTGCTTGCCACCTCCTATAGAGAATGTGAGTTTGGAAAAGTCAGATTCTAGTGTTTCGAGGGAGGCAAATCTTGTTGAAGGCTTGTCAGGAGCATCTGGACTAAAGCCTACAGAATTACCTTCGGTTGATTCAGTGCCTAAACCAACTCTTTTAGGGAATAGATCTGAGAGTGGCAATACGTCAAGTTTTCCAGCGGGTCCTGCATCGGGAGAGTCCACAGCACCATCAATTGTTCCATCCAACGGTGAGCCTAAAATATATGGGCTGCCATATGAAACCATTGATACCGGTTCTGCGTATGCTCCTTCACCACAGCTTCCTCTAAGTCCCAGACTCTCGAGTAAACTTTCTGGCTATCACACTCCTGTAGAAGCTATTGAGCAAGTATTACCTCGTTGTGAGCTTGGTGGCAAAGCACCTTCTGCTGATTATTCTGTTGATAGGCAAATTGATGCTTCTGGGGAAAGCAATTTGGATGCGTCTTCCATTGAGGAAAGCTCAAAAGGCAAGGACAAAAATGTTACACCTGATGATGATGGGCCTGGCATTCGTCTTGTAATTCCTTCAGATTTTCTTAAGGGCGTTTCGTCCACTGAAACCTCCATTACAACTGAAGAGAAGAGGGATAGAGATGCAAATATTCAGGACGTGAATAATGATGCAAGAGGGACAGAAGTTGAAGTAAAAGAAGTGGGTGAAGTAAGGTCGACGCAGAATGGTGAAATCAGTTATCATGACGAAACTGAGCTTCGACCTTCAGAAAATATAGAGAACATCTTCCCCTCACAGGCTTCAAATCTCAGCACTGAGATCGCAAGAGACTGTTATCCTAGTACAGTGGAAACTTCCATTCCAGAGGTATCTAAGACAGCTGGGGATGATAGTGGTCTTGACCCAAGAGGGTTGTCTGCAAAGCTTTCTGAGTCGGTTTCATCTAGTGGGCTTCCACAATCGGCTGCTACAAATATCAAAGGAAAGAAACAGAAGGCCAAAAGCCCACAGACTCCCGGATTGTCATCTACATCCTCAAATCTGGCTGACACCTACAATGAGCAAAGTCATCTCATGACAGATTCACTTCCTCAAATCGTAGCTATGCAAGAAACGATGAATCAGGTGATGTATTGATCTTGAGCTAATAAGTATCCTATTTCTTAACAAAATTTATTTTTCTACTCTTCACCATTTTACCGCTATTATGCTTGTTTCCATGTTTTGGCGTAGACCAGCTTCTTTGTTTTAAAGAGAAAATGTGATTTATACATAACTGGCATTTATAGATAATATAGGTTTTTACTACTTAAGACGTAACTTGGTGCACTACAATTTTTCCCTAGCAGATAATGGCATCGCAGAAGGAGATGCAGAGACAACTATCAAATGCTGTCAACGGCCCTATAATTAAAGAAGGTAAAAGACTAGAAGTGGCTTTAGGGCGAATGATTGAGAGATCCAGCAAGTCAAATGCTGATGCTCTATGGGCGCGCTTCCAAGAGGAGACTGTTAAGAATGAAAAGGCACTGCACAACCATGGCCAGCAAATTGTGAATGCTATGACGAACTTCATGAGCAAGGAGTTAAATGCCATGTTTGAGAAAACGATAAAGAAGGAATTTGCTGCACTTGGTCCGAACCTGGCGCGTACAGTTACTCCAGCGATTGAAAAGACTGTATCTTCTGCAATCACAGAGTCCTTCCAGGTTAGTAATTTACAAGAAAGTTTAGAGCAGTTTCATGAAAAGTTGAATTTGATGAAAAAAAATGAAGACTGCTATCTCTTATATACAGAGAGGACTTGGTGACAAAGCAGTCAATCAGCTTGACAAATCTGTTAATTCAAAGCTCGAGGCAACCATAGCTAGGCAAATTCAAGCCCAATTTCAGACCTCTGGCAGGCAAGCCCTCCAGGTATATGCAAGCTTCAGCTGGGTTTATGATACTTAATAGAATTAGAGCAAGTCTCAACTGCGTCAGAGTTTTGCAAAATAAGACTTGATCAACTTATATTTCTGCCATTTATAAACTTCAGGAAGCTCTTAGGTCGGGTCTGGAGTCCTCAGTCATACCATCCTTTGAGAGGTCATGCAAGACCATGTTTGAACAGATAGATTCGGCATTCCAGAAAGGGATCGCTGAGCATACAAACGCAGCCCAGCAACGTTTTGATTCTGGACACTCCCAGCTCGCTCATACTCTAAGGGTATGATGGAAAATCCTCCTTTTTCCAGCACTGTTATTGCTGCAAAATCCAGTCAGTTGTTTCCTTTTTCTTAAGTCGCTGCTCGTTTTACAGGAAAGCATTACTTCAGCGTCATCAGTTGCTCAAGCCTTAGCCGAGAGCCAAAGGAATCTGTTAGCTCTTGCATCTACTGGAACAAATCCTGGTGGGTCAAACCCCTTGGTTACTCAACGAAGTAGCGGAGCTTTGGGTGCTCTTCTTGAAAAGGTGTGCACATAACCATGAATCAAATAAGCATTGTGATAGTCTAAATGTGGGAGCATTGAAGTTACCCTAGATAACTTTGAATCGGTTATCAAGAGAGCTAACAGCTTAGAAGGAAGATTAGGCATATAAGGGTTGAGCATTCTGAATTTGTCTAGGATTTTGGCTTAGGGGTTCTATCTTTGGTTCTTCTATTTGTTCTCAGTTCTTTTTTGGTAATTGTGTAAGAGAGTGATGAAAGATAGAATCGTTTATCAGAATCCAAGTTTGATGTCATTTTCTGTGTTTTGACAATCGCAACATGTGTCGTTTCAGGTTGAAGCACCTTTGGACCCAACGACAGAACTATCAAGGTTGATATCCGAACGCAAGTACGAAGAATCATTTACTTCGGCTCTACAAAGAAGCGATGTCTCTATAGTGTCGTGGCTTTGTTCACAGGTGAATTTTTATTTGGATTATTGCACGTATCTTAGCGATGTGATATCCATGAGTTTTTAGCCCCATGACATATGGTTGTTGCCAATTCAGGTGGATCTTCTGGGACTGCTGAGGATGAATCCGCTTCCACTGAGCCAAGGCGTGCTTTTGTCACTTCTGCAACAGCTGGCTTGTGACATGAGCAAGGACACATCCCGTAAGCTTGATTGGATGACCCAATTGGTTGCAGCGATAAACCCAGCAGACCAGATGATTGCGGTCCACGCTCGCCAGATTTTTGAACAAGTCTATCAGATTCTGCACCACCACCGTAACGCACCGGGTAACGCAACTAGCAGGGACGTCTCTGCCATGACAATTCTAATGCACGTCATCAACTCCATGATTATGGGCTGCAAATGACGACTTCCTCTCGCTCTCCTTCTTTATCTTCTTCTTCGTTGCTTATATATAAAACATAGGTTTACAACAATCTCCACTTCTCTGTATCTCGGCTTTTGTTAGATTTTCATTTTATCTTTTTCGTTTTTAGTTTGAATTTTGTGTTTCCTTTTTCTTTTAAATGTAAAATCTGGTTGTTTCATATACGTTTTTGTTCTCTCCTTCTCAAGAAGATCTCAAACCAAACCAGTGTTTGGAATTAAACAGTAATTTGAAAATTGTACTTGTTACTATTCTTCACATGTTCTTCGTAAATATTTCTCCTTTTCTTTTGTCTTTCTCAACCACAGTTTATCTTATTAACATTGGCACGTATCTATCCTACTACATTGTTGTTCACAGTATTTCTTAACTAATTTGATAACATAGCTGATAAACAGTGTATTATTTTATTATTAGGTGTAGGAAAACTATTCTCTTTTTGTTATGGTGAATAAAAAGTTGTCTATAAAGAGAAAGACTTTATCACTTGCTTTACTAAAACCTAAAATGAACAGTACTAAATTCTCAGAAGCTATCGGAGTAACATCTTTCCAACTGCCAACAGCTTTTCTTTGTCATTTGTTATGAGAAAAATCCCCTCAGGAACTTTATATTTCATTTTCAAGAACATTAGATTAGATTAACCACACGGAAAGATAAAGTAATATACATCTCTCTATTCATAACTTGGGTTATACATTGTTAACTTCTTAAGCTAAAAGACCAAAAAAAGAGGCTGATAAAAACTTATTTTCCCCTTAAGTTTCCAAGATACGACATGAAAACAAAAAAATAATGGAAGGGGAAACTGAAGTCAAAAAGTGCCCTTTCGCTACTGCAAAATCATCGGAAGCCTAAAAAGACTAAACTACCAACACTGATCCGTTTCCCATCTCCGGGTCGACGTGTAAACCCGACCCGCCGGCCGACCCATCGCCCCAGCGTGCACGCGTCTCCGGCGAAATCCCAGCGTCGAATCGTAGATCGCTCTGGTCGTCGGATCCGCTAGTGTCGCGTAAGCTTTGTGGATCTCCATGAAATCACGCCCGTCCGATTCCGACGCATCCGGATGGTGAACCTTCGCCAAGCTCCTGTAAGCCGTCTTAATCTCCGTCAACGACGCCGTTTCGTTGACTTTCAGCAGCTCGTAGAGACTAGACACTCGTCGGCGAACGGATTCCGTTACATACGGCTCGGCGTTAAGCGTCTGCGCCGAGGCCTTAAACGACCGAGCTCCGGTGGGAAATTTGGCGGTTCCGTTGCGGGATCTGTTTATCTTCGGCTGAGGAAGACTGGTTACCTCCGAGAATCGGAGGGAGCTAGCGGCGGAATAAACAAGGGATCCGGACATTTACGAAATGAAATTTAAAACTGGAGGGGCAAATTCGGAAGAAATCGTAAAATTTTGTAGAAGCAGAGAGAGGTTCGTCTGAGAAGTGGAAATGAATCACAAGGAGAAAGGGTTTGAGAAATGACCATATATAGAGAGGAGTCCAAAGCCCAAAAAGCTTTGTCATTTTGTTATTTGGAGTAGAATATTAGGCTTTAGCTATTTCTTAATAGAAAGTCATTAATAATATCCACTGTTTAAAAAAATATCTAGTATTGCAAACAAATTTTAAAAAATTGTGTTGAATCCGTGTTCGATTTTTCCATTGCAGTTTTTCAAATTTTGAAAAATAATCCTAAAATAATATAATAGCCGACGTTAATTTGGTAGAACTAAATAGATGTAAATTTTGCCGACAAAATAAAATATGTGCAATTTTTTAATTAAATGGGTTAACATGCAATTAGGGTAATTAAAAGGCGCGAAAATCAAGGAAAAAAGAAAGGTAAAACCCGTGGGGAGTGGCAGTCACCTGTTTTCTGAAAAATCTATGGAACGGTGACGTGTCATACAGTTCGAAGATTGGCCTTCTAGAAGGGCTCCCTTTCTCGGCTCGGCTTATTTTATCGGCTCACGAATATTGAAATGATGACATGTCACCTATCATCACCAGTTATTTATTCGTAATTTTTTTTATGAATTTAAACAACCAAAGATTACATTAAAGCGAAGGACGTATTTCTTGAAGAGTCAACTCTAACCATTAATTTAAATGTGCCAATAGTGTTTGTATAGTACTTTCAGATATTTAATAATGTAATCTCCACTGATTACAATACTTGCATAATATATTCGATTCCAAACCTCCCCAAAAAAGTGCTTCTAGAAGAAATCGATGCCTAAGCAGATCAAACGTCTGAGAATTAATAGAGCTAGGAATATTGTACCTTTGCATAATAAGAAAATAAAACAGAGAAAAATAAAAGCGTCGACTAATAAATATCAACGGCTTTCTAGAAGCCTTTTTGTCATTTTCTGCTGAATTATTTATTACTACGTTTATAAATTATATGGAGTCGCATTAGAGGAAAAGAGACAAAAAGTGTATTCTCCAGAGGACGTGTCGGTTATGCTACGGAGATGGATAGGACTTCTAGAAGACAACGAACCCTACAAAACCTACCATACGATTTTGTGCATAACACACAATACGATTTTGTGCATAACACACTCCTCCTTGTTTAAATGTGTTTTGAACGATGAATTTATCAGACCAAGTTTTACTTACTACAAATGCTTAAAATTCAAATTTACAGTTGGATGAGACAAAAACGGATGTTTTGTTATGTTAGAGGAGAAATTAGCACATTTCCCTGAGCCCGTCATCATTAGTAAAGTCACAAAGCCCAATCCGATTTTAGGCCTAACTTCTCAAGAAAAAGGCAAGACTTGAGAGAAAGGCACAATCCATGGAGAAATGTAAATAAATCTTCATGCCGACTTAAAGAATGGAAGGAGATCAAGACAAGAGGAAGTTTTCCATATCGCAAAAGAGGAAGTTTTCCATCTCGCCCGAAGGAGAATATTCATCGTTCGACCGAGTTATCAACACTATATATTGAAGACCCCCCATTGGGGAAAAGGGATCCGAAATCATCTAGAATCACTAGGCCTTTACACCCGCTTTTACTCTCTCCTCTTATTCATCTATATCTCGCTAGGCTTGTTAGCGAGATTACTTCCTTGTAACCTTCTTGATAATCTAAGAGTCGAATTAAGCATTCCAGTTTCCTAAACTCACATCTTTAATAGCCCGTCTTGACGAGTGCTATCTCGGATCTAACATGTTAGTTGCTGAAATAATCAATAAAAAAAAAAAAAAAATTAGTCAGCCAATAAAAACAAAAGTTACTTGTTCATTATGATTATTCAAATAATTTTTCTTCGTAAAAAAACGTTGTAACTAAACAACACTTGTCTGATTCAAAACTTCTATAATGTTGGTTTTGTTGCTCGAAAGAAATGTGGTAGGGAAAAAATTGACGATAAAACACAACGATGTTAGCAACAGAAAACAATAGTTACGGATTTAAAATTGTGGCTGATAATAGAACATGGATGAATTATATTGTCGCTCTTGACTGTAAACTTTGTTAGTTATTTTATCATGAAAGGGACACGCAATACATCAAGCTTCTAGACTGTGGTTGATAATAAGAAATGAAAGATATTTTAATTGGTATTGGATGAATGGGAGTTTAACTTTCTTGCTTACTTTATGGTGAATGTGTCGCAATAATTAGCGTATATTATATGGTGCTTTATTTAATTGTGTAGTTAAGGTGGGGAATACCACTTTGATTTGAGGACTTGGTGGGGGGTGTCATGTTTTGTGTGTACTCCAAGTTCCACAAACGCTGACTCTTCTTTACTTTTCCTCCTTTTTAATTTCTGCAAATTATGTACCATATACAACTAACATTCAAGTTTTCTTGCAATCTGATTTCTAAATAATACATATCAAATATAGAAACAATGTAACTTTCTTTATCATCGTTATAAATCTTATATTTACTGAGAAGAACCACCACGAAAATCTTTAACATAAAAAAAGAATCACAACCACGAAAATGGCCGTAGGTCCACAAGTAACCATCGTCTAAAATCTTCCTTTTTTGTTGTCTTTCATATAAACAGTATATTGTCCTTTCATGTATTTGGATATATTGTTGGCTCTATAGCAAGCAGAAACTCTCTATTTTCACAAGTTGATCATTGTATTCGCGCAAAGTCATCAACTGGAGCCAAAGTAAGATATCTAGTGTTTGGCTTGTTTAAAACTAAATAATATCTCGATTAGAATAAGATGTTTTGGATAATATAATTAAACAACAACGTAGCTGAACAAAACCAATAACAGTGCGTATAGGATAGCTACAATTCGGTACGAAGCTACCTGGCCATGTGCTTAACTGAAAAGTACTTCCCAACTTCTTATAAAACTGATTCTTTTTGTGAACGAATTATTTAAAATTTACATGATATGATCGTATCATTTTACTTTTCCAGTGAATTGGGCTAAATCTTACTGGCTTCAGCTATACTGAGTCCATGTTTTTAGCACAGTCACCTTACGGCCTACTAAACTATTCATAGGCCCAGACCGGTCTCCACTTTTTTTTTTTATAATTGTAAAACGTCCAGTGAAAATAAAATGTGTTTCTCAAGATCCAGTTACTCCAGTAGTAGGATTTGAAACGGAAAAAGATTTTCAAACACAAATAAAAGGGCCCTTGGGAATTGTCACACGAGCTGAGAACAGTGTTGTTCTGGGTTACAAAGTTGTTTTGTGTTTGTAGAAAGCACAAAAAGACGAACTTAATAAGTTTGCTGGTATTATCATGTGAGACATGTTTCTGGAGTCACTGCCCATTTCCCTTTCATATACGAGATTTTCTTACAATTATATTAGCTTGAACATTTATTTTCACTGCCCATTTATATGCTAATGGCAACTGCAATGGATCCCATGCCCCACCCTTGGCATTGCACAAGGTCCAATTTTTTGTTTGAAGTTTTATGTTACATTTTAAGGTATTTTCAAAAAAAATTAGGATCATATTTGCAAAGTTATATTGTTATTTTTTACAAAATCAAAACTATTGCACTGGGTCTACGAAATTTAATGGGCGTATCTGATTGGATCCCAAGCACAGTGAGAAGAGTTTAAATATAACAGTTGCTGCACATTAACTTTTTCTTAGCATTTATTAACATTTTCCTAACATTTGTATATTGTCATTATAGTTTCCTTATGCAACTATGCAAGAGGAAGAAATGGTAAGATGGTGTTTGGTTTATTTCGAGTAGTCTGTTTGGTATAAGAAAAGATAGAAAATGGTTAGGGCATTTTGTAGGAAAAAATACATAAATACATGCATAAAAATCCAAACTAAGGAGTCTAGGCTGTCTAGCAATAATATAGAGAGCGAGTGGTCGAAATAAAACGGAAGAATCATCAACTTATGGACCATCTTAATTGGTCGCATTATAGAGAGTGGATACTGGTTACATTTTCAGTATGATTCGTTTCATGTTTTTATAAAAAAGGTAGATATTTCTACACCATAAGAGTTATACTTTCACCTATTCTATTAACCAATAACAAAAAATTCACCTATCAGTAATTTGTACAAATATTCCGAAACACAAATAAAATACCAAATTAAAAGATTCGCGGTTTATTAGGACAAAAAGTTGCAATTTAATGAATTTGTTGATTGATGACATAAAGATTCGCGGGTTATCAAGACAAAGAGGCTAGATTTCTTGAGGAGATATGGGAACTGTCGTAAGAGTTGAAACGGCGCCGTTACTTTTGCCTTCCTCCATGTTCTTCTTCTTCTACGTTCTCTAAAATTAAAGGTTTTGTTTTCTTCAACAGAAAAAAATATAAATTTCAACGCAGAACGAAACTTCCTCTCCGGTCGCGCTCTACTAACATCTGAGATCTAGGGATTCTATTTACACTCACCGACATCCAGATCACCGAACTGTTCTATATCAATTGAAAATATTATCAACCGGATTCATCACACTCGGCTTCTCCTTTTTTTTTTTGTCTCCAAGCAGATCATAAGAAGATATAGACACCTCAAAGTCGCTGTTTTTCCCTATTCCACTTATGCTTGATTTGGTTTCTGATACTTGTTCGATTCTTCTTCTCTGACCCTTCGTTGACTAAGAGGTAAAGTTGCCTTTTTTTCCATTAACCAAGTCTCGATTTGTATTAAATCACTCGATTTCTTTCGGTTTCATTGAGCGTTTGCTGTTAGAATCTGTAGATCGATTTTTAAACGTATGAGCAAGTTTTAACTCAATAAAATCCGCTGTTTCCATTTGTTGGTATGTGGAAGCGATGTATTTAGCGTTTTTCAGATAGTTTTGATTTTAATTTGCTTGTTCTCATTTTCCAAAAGAACTAGGTTTATGCCTCTGTTTACTTTCTAGGGTTTAAGCTAATGTCTATTTCTCTGGAATGTTAAGCTTTTAGACTAATTTTCCTTCTCAAGAAAATTATGAGTGTAAGTTAGTGTCATTATAACTTAGATCTCAAACAAGAAGTTTCACTGTAACTAGGTTGCAGCAGAAGCGGAGGCTGTAAGTTTATCGTTGGTCCATGTTTTGGTAGCACAAGGGTATGAGTTGTTGCAAACAGCCGGCTCTTATCGAAGCACAGGTTGAAGTAAGTTCATGGCTCTTTGATTTTTGGACTGTCTCTTATAAGAGGTTTTTCGGCTTGCTGTGTTGTGGGCTTAATGAAAAGATGATTGCTGTAACAGATGGGGTCGGTTAATGATCTTGAGCAGAAAAGCCTATTTAGACGAGACGAAGATGCCACACAAACTAAAGAAGCTTCTTTGATGGAGCAAGGATCGCTTTCTACGAGCTCCCCTGGACACATTGCTAAATCACCAAAGAACAGCGTGCTTAAAAGCATCAAGATTGTCATTTTGTCTAATAAACTCAACCTATTATTACCTTTCGGTCCTCTGGCTATATTGCTCCACTACATGATAGATAGTAAGGTAAACTGTTGGAGTTTAGGGTAGTAAAATTTCATATTTCTTTCTTTTTAAAAGTTAAATCTCAAGAAATGTCTTTTTTTTTGTTCATTGGCTCAGGGGTGGGTGTTCTTGCTGAGCTTAGTTGGCATTACTCCATTGGCTGAACGTCTAGGATATGCCACAGAGTAAGCCTCTCTAGCACAGTGTTACCGTACCATCATTATGTTTGTGAGACTTATGTGATGGTATTTGCTTATTTGAAACAGGCAACTGGCTTTTTACACGGGGCCGACTGGTATGACTTGGTTCTTATGAAACAGGCACTTCCTTTTTATTTGTTGCTTTTGTGATATCTTTTTGACATGCTATACAAATTTCCACAGTTGGAGGCCTCCTAAATGCTACATTCGGGAACGTGACAGAACTGATCATATCGATCTTCGCTTTGAAAAATGGGATGATACGTGTTGTTCAGTTGACGTTACTAGGATCGATTCTGTCTAACATGTTGCTTGTACTTGGCTGCGCCTTCTTCTGCGGTGGGCTAGTCTTTTACCAGAAAGACCAAGTCTTTGACAAAGTAGGAATCCTTATCCACTTCATTGCATTCTCCTTTGTCGTTTTGGTTTTATTTGCTAAGCCCTATTCTTCTGCATCCAGGGAATTGCAGTTGTGAATTCAGGATTGCTTCTGATGGCTGTCATGGGGATACTCTTCCCCGCTGTTCTTCACTACACGCATAGTGAGGTTCATGCCGGATCATCAGAGCTGGCCCTGTCAAGGTTCAGCAGTTGCATAATGCTTATTGCCTATGCCGCTTACCTCTTCTTCCAGTTGAAGAGCCAGTCTAATTCTTATAGCCCTCTTGATGAGGTTTGTTGTCTGCCAACGGACATAAAACAAAATTAGTTTGTGTAACTCTGTTCGACCTGGACTTACCTTCTTGTATGGTATATGCTGTAAACTCTAGGAAACAAATCAGAACGAAGAAACTTCTGTTGATGAGGAAGAACCTGAGATCTCCAAGTGGGAATCTATCATATGGCTCTCAATCTTGACTGCTTGGGTCTCTCTTCTCTCTGGCTATCTTGTTGATGCCATAGAGGTAATCAACGTTCCTATTCTGCGTTTTTTACCTTATGGATGTAGTTGATTAGGCCTTCATTCATTGCAGTATTCTGCTTGACTTGTAAATATTTGGCTTATGTAATTGTTATCTCAGGGTGCCTCGGTCTCATGGAACATACCAATAGCTTTTATCAGTGTGATCTTGCTTCCTATTGTTGGGAATGCAGCCGAGCATGCGGGTGCTATCATGTTTGCCATGAAAGACAAACTGGTAAGCATAGTAGTTCTTGAGCTGTAACATTTATAAGGCTCTTCATTTTCAGCTCGCTTTGAGACACGTTTTAAAACCTCTTCATCTCTACAGGATCTGTCCTTGGGAGTGGCTATTGGCTCCTCCATCCAGATCTCCATGTTTGCGGTATGCAACATAGATACATTGCAAGAGCAGTAGTGTAGTTTCTCATCTTTGCCCAACAAGATTCGTTTCAATAATCTTTGTTTGCTGCTTGATATGGTTAGGTCCCTTTCTGCGTTGTGATTGGATGGATGATGGGTGAACAAATGGACCTTAACTTCCAGCTTTTTGAGACGGCGATGTTGTTCATCACTGTTATAGTAGTAGCTTTTTTCCTCCAGGTGGGTAAATCCTAGAGGCATAATAAATCGCTTTATAGAGCGAAGTGAAAAAAATGCAAAATGAGTAACTGATGATCTCTCTATGTATACACAGGAAGGGACATCGAATTACTTCAAAGGATTGATGCTCATTCTTTGTTATTTGATAGTAGCTGCCAGTTTCTTTGTACACGAAGATCCTCCTCAAGGTTAGTTCTTTTGCCCTTGTTCTATTATCTATGATACTGGCATGACAGGTTTCTCTCTCAGTTGCATTCAACAAGAACAGTCTCATGAAATTTTTCCATATCTGCTCTGTTGTTTTCTTTTTGGGATAGATGGTATATAAAACACGGTGGAGGAGTCTGGTGTGAAGCAAGTTGGGTCTCAATCAAAAGCTGATGATCTCAGGAACACGAAGTGTTGGGGGGAGAGAGATGTTAAGATGTAAATCTGATTTTAATAGTGGTTTCCACGAACACGAATCTCTTAAACCTGTTGCTTGTTCGTCTTAAGAGTCTTACTCGAACAACAAGTGAAGGTCATATTCCTTTTGGCTTTCTCTCCCCAGGAAAAATGAATATTCTTAGTGACTTAGTGAAGGTTACAATTTTTTGTTATATTACAATGATGATGTTATGAAAAGAGTGAAGATTTTTTTGTTCTTATGTTACAATAGAGGCATTTCTGTGATTTCTAATTCTCGATTTCGACTTCAATATCAGTGACAATTTGATTGGTGACGATATCTGTATATTCATGCATGCAAATAGCCTGGTGTTTTGGCCTCTGGCGCCTTGGTACACGCGTGTAGACGTTTTCTGTGTGTTCTTCAATTTTCGTTGTGAAGTAAATACCGAAACCATGGTTTTTAAATATTTTATGTCACTGCATCTATTAAGCATAACGTGAGAAATAGTGTTATAACAAGTGAAGAGTACAGAGATGGTGTTCCTTAAATAGTAGTATTATTGTCTTTGACGAAACAGAATTCTCCCAACGTAAATCAAGCAAAGTACGAGGATGAGGAAGATGTATCCGCCAATAACTGCAAATGTTTGGACAAAATATCACGTTATTTCATAACTATACTCCAGTTCCCTATATATGCATCTATAAATCAAGGAAGATAATGTAAAGCCCAAAATCAAATGCATTACCTCAAGCTGTTCTTCAGTGAAAGAGTCTTTCTGGATGTTCCATGTATCTGCATGGGTTCGCCGGAACTCAGCCACTGCTTTAGTCACCGTCGATTTTATGGGCGTAGGTTCACCGGCGAAACTAGCTAGTAAAGTCACATGATCTGGCAACCAGCTGCAATTTTTTTTTGAAAAAAAGACGTTTCAGATCAGTCACAAGATGTCCAAAGCTACTTAGGCTCTGGATCACACACTTTAATGTAAACATGTTAAAACCTGGGCATGTCATAAGGAACAGACAAAACTGAAGCTACCAAACCAAGAACGGCTCCATGCACCTCTGCTATTGACTTCCTTGTACTTGATTTCCTGAAACATACCAATTCGAATGTTAGCTCATGCTAAAACAAATTCGAGGAAAGAGTTAAGATGAAAATGCTGCAGAGGGAAGAAAAGGAAAACCTCCGGTTTCCAATCTTTTGGATTGAGTTTGCCTTTGCATAGGATCTATCACGAAAATCTGAAGCAAAATCTTCATCTCCTCCTTTCATTAAACCTGCTAGAACTGCTGCCGCATGCTCTCGTACCTGAAGACCAGATTATATCATTTAAGAGGTGCAAGCAAGCCCTTAAATGTATCTATCCAGATACAAGTAATCACAAGACTAAATCATTTCAAACAACTCTACTTGGAGAAAAGCAAAACCAGAACTTGCCTCTACTTGGCTGTCAACAAGAAGCTTTTCCACGGTTTTCCAGATTTTCTGTTTCTCCTCATGAGTGAGTATGAAAGTATGCCTAGTAAGAAAGGTAGATTGAAAAGCTTTGTTAATCAACAGCGCATTTGTTTGTCACCTTGCTATATATATATGCGTGTATTACCTGTACATAAAAGTTCGCAGATATGTCAGGGTTGAAGATCTTATCCGCCAGTTAGAGTCATCAGCAGAAGAATGAACAACTCCAATAACTTTCTGTAGATGAGATTCTGGGAAAATCTGCCACTTCATCAGCTCAAAGCACGCCTTAGCCAATATAGACAGGTCCTTATGCGATGTTTCCTTCAGTAAATGAAAATATAATTTCCATAATTCTCACAGTCATGGAATAGCAATTAGAAGAAAGAAAGTAAAATGATAATAATATAACGGTTATACCTGTAAGGATATCACCGGATAGAGGAATCCCGCAATTACATCCAGCAGATAAGAAGACCTCCCAGATTTGAAAGATGCGATAACGAAATGGAAGAGCTATAGATAGGAATAAAAAATGGTTAGTATCAAATGTCTCAAATAATAGGACGGAAAATTAATTTTCTCAAAAATTCAGAGGGCCAGTACCGTCTCCATCCATTTAACATCATCTAGAGAATCGCCATCGGATTGAGTATTTTCCATATCTACATCTGCTGAAGAGTCCGAGCTATCTGATATGCTAGCTTGTTGAATGTTTGTAACAGCTTCAGATGCTCTTGCACTAATCAACTTGAACCAATTTTCCTCATTAAGTCGGCTATCAACATCTGTTCTCCCTTCTTCAGATGGATGTGCTTGTTGATATGACATCCGCAGCCGAATGTTGGACCATAATACTGAAAGAGTTACACCGATAGCCTCCCTTATCTGTTGTTCATTGTCACACAAACGTAACAGGCTTTTCAGAATATTACTTTGACCCTTCTTTAGCTTGTCAAAACTCAAAAGACAGCGAGATGCATAATTCTGCGTGAAAACGAAAGGGGGAGAGATGTAGTGTACAATAAACGAGTGCGAGAAATCTTACTTGTGCCGAGGAATGGAACATATTACGGGTCAACTCATCAAGAAGCACGATATGCAGCTTCACTTCTGACACAGGCATCTTTGGTGGAGATAGTTCTACTAAAGCAGCCGAAAGAAAAGCATACCGCTTTGCAACAACAGTGGTGGTTGCAGTTGGTGGCAATGGTGCCACTATACAGTCCAAAATTTGTTGTCTCAGGACAGGAATTTTGGTTCCTTGTTTCCCTTTCCCTGTGACAGCATAGCGTATGCAAGCAGCCCACTCTGGTATGGATTCCACTGATTGGCCAAGAATAACATTCTGCAACTGAACCATTATCCAGCTATCCCACTCACTAAGAAGACCATGAACATCAGAGTGTAGTAGCCCTGCTAATGCTTCAGCAGCAACACATTGTTTTGGTCTCTCCTTGGCGTTACAAAACTCCTCTAAGGGGGTTTTAAGTGCCAGTAACACAGGCACTCCACATTCTTGTGCTAAGCGCTTGAAGATGCGAGCAAAACTTGGGTAGAATATATCACTTCCTAACAAAGAAATCCAACTAGGAGTTCTTGGCCATGATGCCGAAAATTCAAAATAGAAACGAGTGATTGACTTGTCCGCCATGCTCTGGAAGTATGAACCTCCTTGATTACCTCTAGAGGAGGCATTATCAGTATCAGTGATATGAATATGAGAAAGGCTTTCAAAAGTCTCCCCGAAAAATCCTTCCTCTTGAAAAATATGGCTCAATGCTAAAGCAAGGGATGAGTTGGCATCTTCTTGGGAAGACACAGAAGGTTGATCCTTCCCTTGCATCTTATGAGGTGATTCTTTAAGTAGCGTGTTTAAAGCTGAAATTGCCAGTATTCTCGTCTGAGGAAGTTGACTTTTCAAATTTTTCAAGAAGTGGCCTGGAAATACCAACATAACCATAGTTAAGAAGGAGAAACTCAAATAACATGAAGAAAAAGCCTTCCCATATATTCGACCCTTCCCATATATTCGACCAACTAAAATCTGTACCAGCGGTTTCATCAAGGAATTTGAAGGAGAAGTTTGGGTCACCCCTAGAGGACATAACTAATAGAAGGAGCACTCTGTTAGCCATCAAGTTGTACCTGTCATAAGGAAAAAAAACAGCATAATGACTCTATACCTTGAAACATATGAATGCAAGTTGGGGAGCTAATAGCTTAACTAGGTATATTAAAATGGTTTTCCCATGAAAAATTGATTAATGGTAGGTTATAATTACCGCCAATGCAAGCTAGACGAATCAAAACTCATGGAGCCGATCTGAGAAACAAGATCCCCAGAAGTAGACCCCTCAACATGGCTATCCAATGAGCGAAGTATGTTTCTAGACAGTCCCGCGAAGTGAATGTTATATTTGACAAAAAGCTGCATATAAAAATATTTAAGCAAAAACTCGAAGAAAGAAAAAGAACATTTACCATAGCTTACAAGGACTGAAACTTTACCTCAATGATTGCTTTTTGGGCTTTCATAGATTCGTGATGAGAACTACAAAAGAATGAAATTATATTTATATTTTAATGCTAGTTTTACAAGCATATTTTTCCTTACCAAGATAAATAATTTAATCTATCTTAGAAATGTAAAAAGGTTACCTTGAAAGAATCCCAAGAAGAAAAGAGGAAAATGATTTTGGATCCTGGAATAGCAGAATAAACATAAGATTTAGCAATAAAAAATTAAGCAAAGAACAACTAACACTAAATTATTACCGTTGTCAAATGCTTGAGAACACTCTGAGAAGAGAGAATGGCACAAGAACCAAGGACTACATTCTCTGGTGCATCCTGATTTCGCAAGTTCTCACTGAGCGACAAAACACATTTTGAAAGCAATGGCGGCCATCTCTTTAACAGTTTCAGCAAAGCTTTTCCAGCAAGCCTGAATACCACGATAAAATTATAAGCCAAGCCTAGTCAATAAATGTATTGAAAGAAACGTAAAGCCCTGTAGAGAGCTTTACAGACAACATTCTGGTTGAAGAGGGTAATCCTTTTCCAAACTTAAGGCCGATAACCAATTTTCGTTCACATGCATATTTGTTCCATAGATGGGCACAGAAGTACTCACACTCGAACAGTCTCATAGTTGTGCAGACAGAGGGTCAAAAGATCATCAACCAAAAGTGTCAAGGATTCTGGTGGAGAGAAGTTCCCATCTGTACGAAACAGATGATAGGACGATTGTGATGATCTCCATGTGTTGTGCATGTAAGCCTTGTCAATGAGCGCCCATCGAGGCCTGGAAGACAACAAGATTTGCATGAAATTAAAATCAAGACGTGTAGGTTTTCAATTAGGACAAAAGGTAGAATTACCTTCTCTTGCCCTTAGAATTAAACTCAGTAATAAAGTTCGCTGGAGGCTCCACAATCGCAGCAGATTCCAGTTTCCAAGCCAGCCTGTGA